TCGCTGATGTAGTCTTGTAGAGGCAATTTTCGAAAAAAGGATTTCATCAATTCCTAGATTAATGTGTTAGATTCATTATAAGCAACTAAGGGTAGCAACCTTTTAATGTTGTGATCATGGATGAGCATTCCACAGTTGTCCAACAAATCTTCTAAGGAAGATTGGACTATGATGTATTTCTCAACCAAATGTTCAATTTTACGTATCGATAAGTTTGACATTATTATATATATATTATATTATTAAATGTTTTTATAATACTGCATTAAAAAACAATAGTTTAAAACTATGTATATTGTGAGGATGTATTGAAACAATAAATATTAATACGGAAGTCTCTTTGCGTTGATTATGTTTTTCTTTATTTCTTATTTTAAATAAATCACTTTTTCCTTTTCAAGAACAAATTCCTATATTTTTAAGTCCATGAAGCTGAAAATGTAGGTTCTAATTTATTTGAACTGTTTTCTAATTTAGTTAATCGATCTTCAAATTCCTTAAATTCATTCCTCACATTAATAGGAGTCTGAGTAGGAGGTTTATCCTTTTATTTTTGAATAGTTTATGTGTTTTTTTAAAGAGATTTAAATTAATTACATTCACTATTGTGCAGAGGTTTTTAATATAAACTTTAATCTTACAAAATCTTTACTAATGTTACTTTTTACTTCATGCGTTCTTTAGTATATTGTTGATGCACCTTTCTTGAATCCTGTAAATTTGGTCTCTTTTTCTTAGCAATATCGAAATGGATTTCAAAAAAATCTTAAGAATTATATAATCGATGTACCATAAGGACATGGCGTATTAATTTTAAATAAACTGTAATACATCTCATACAATTTTTCTGTTTTGAGACTAGTAGCTTAGAGACGATAATGAATTTCCCACAGATGCTCAACTTACTTGAAATTCTCTTGAGAGAACTCTTAAAGCAATTCCTATTAAATAATGCATTGTCAGAATACTGAAGCATAATCTCTCAAGCATATTTTAAATATTTCAATAATATCAGATTCTTGATCTGAGGCAATTTTATTTTCAAACATTTTCATCATCCTCGGTTGAATACTACATAAATGCTTCTAATTAAAGGGTGCCAAGTAAAACTCCATAATTAATTAATTTAAGGTCTAAATATTGCAATCGCTTGAAACATCATTTGAGATAAGTGACATAATTATAAAATATTTTAATATATGCAACAATTATGAATTATTTATATATACTTACAAATCATAATATTTATTCTAAAAAGTAATTGCTGTCATTCTACTCCGTCAATAACTATTAATATTTGTTCAATACTTTATTCCACTCATCCTCAAACAATACATTCCCTTATTCCCCTAGTTGTCTCTCAGATTTTTGTCCAAACTTAATAATAATAAACTCCTCCTTGATTGGGATATCCTCAAACTTCCAACAAGCGAATACTATCACTTTCTTGTACCTCATAAAAGCAACTCCATCCTTGGTTAAATATCTATCATTCCCTATAGTAATTAAATTAGGATGAGCTTAATACTTATCAGCTATAGAGTTAATAAGATTAGAATTGCAGATTCCTTTTGGTTTTGGGATCAATTAGAAAATCTTATCAATGTAAGCCGCGTTGTCCACTTTCCCAATCAAAGGAGCAAATTCATAGTAGTCCTCCTTTAAAATTCCAAAACTCACCCTATCATTTGGTGAATTAATGTTCCTGATAATGTTGTGAAGTGTCCTACAAGCTCTGACTATAGCCAGATCCTACTTCATATTTTTGCTTCCATCCAAAATGAATATCCAATCCTTAGCGATTGGTTAGTATTGGATTAAGAAGTCATTAATTTTCACAAGAGGTCTGCTGTAATGCTAAAATATAGCCTTCAACATCACTAAGGCTTATAATCGATCTCTACTGCTAAATTTACCGTTCACACAGAGGGATTTCACCAGCAATTATGCTGCCTCTAATTTAAGATTTTTCTTATATAAAACTAATCCATGTGATAAGTATAGCTTCTATTCAAGAAGTGAAATGTGTCCTAATTCTGTGTCCTCATTTTCTTATTGGATCTTATTGTATTGCTCATAAGCAATTAAGATGAGATCTTCGCTTTTGCTCATTTGACCATATTATAAATAGCCGATAATTAATTTTTGAGTTATGTACAATTACTTTTGTTTCTTCTTGTTCAAATGGAATTGCATAATATCTTGACAATACTCATAAGTTCTGATCGTGTCCCTCCATAATTATTGAATAAGGAACTCTATTTCTTTCTCTGTTACTTTTTCTATGTTATGGATTATGATGTTATTTTAAAAGTCATGAGTCCCCAAAAATTAGGATCGAATGGTGAACATAATGTCATTCAATTTTTGAAGATCAAGTACATTTCTTTTGGCATTCCCTTTTATTTTGATAATTTTTTCAATTGATTCCTACTCCTCATCTTAGTCTTAATTAAAAACTGAAACAGCCTTTTGTCTGGTGGCATGCGTATTTTCAAGTTATGCATACATCATATTTTCCATATTAAATAAGGATTTCCTTTGAGACTTATGAGAAAACAATAATTCTTGAAGTTCTAATATTTCAGATAATAGAAATTCACTGAGGGCTTCACAAAGATTAAAACAACGGTTGAATACTATTTTACTTAAGTTCTGATATTCCTGATCTATGATTAATTCATCTTCATAAATTCCTACACTCTAATATTTGTGTTTGTATTTTTCCCATTCATTCTCTATGCAGATTATTGCTTCCTTGAAACAGAAGATTGCCTCTTAAAATCTTCTATTTCTTATGTGGATGACTCCCATATTATTCTGAATGACTCCTGCTCCCAATCTGTTGCCATTCTCTAAATAAAATTGATTAGCTACTGCGTACCCAATAATTGCTTGACCATCATTACCTTATATAAATGCTTCATTTGCTATTTTGACGATGCCTATAAAATCATAGACACTTCTCAATAAGAGTATCATTTCATCTGGGATCAATTTCGAAGATTCTCCTTATAACCTTTCAGAAAAGTATTCATCTATGTTGTTTTGATCTATGTTTCTGAGGGAATGGGTGAGTTCATCAATGGGAGAAGCCACAATCAAAGATATGGATTTTGCATAGTAATTGATTGCGGCAATTATTAACACAAATTCGATTGCTGCCAAAGATAATGTTATTTAAATTATTTTGCTATTATCTGAATTGAGTGTCGACCTCATGTAAGTGATATTTCCAATTACTGTTTATAGATATGACTCAACCTTATTCAGAATTCCGAGATTTTCTGATTAATGATATATCATTGTGCAAATCAATTAATCATTCTCAAGGATGTAATATTAAGCACCGTCGCTATATATCACGATATTGGCAGCATTATAGTTGATCAAAGGACTATTGCAAAGCAGCGCTAGTCTAATGTATATAGAATCTACTATAATATGGAGGAGTTTATTCAGTTTATTCTGTTGATGTTCCCAAATTGCTTATGCTTTCATTAACTTGATATAATTCTACAAACCAGGGATAGAAAGCCATAAAGAATATTAGTACTGTACAAATTATAAGAGGAGCAACAAAAAGTATGCGAATTTATTTCGTAAAAATCATTAAATAAAACAATGTATAATCATCAATCAATTCGTAATAATAATACAATTCATTGTTTTGCATTCCTCATCCTATGATGAATCTCTGATTGTATACATTTGGAATATCTTCTCCCTTCAAATAATCAGTATTGTAAATTTATTAATTATTGCTTATTATTATAATGGATTACGATGACTTATACAAGGTCTTGCCTAAAGATCCTAAAAAGTGGAAACTCGATGATGTGACTATTTGGTTGAAATTCATAGGACTACAAGACTTGGATGTCAACTTTAGATAAAATTCTGTTGATGGAGCATTATTGAGTACATTGGATGATAATGATTTAAAAGAAATGGGAATAGCAGAATCCTAGTTGAAAATTAAAAAACTAGTCTAATGTAATCAATATCTATAACCAAAGGGATTAAAATTGGTTTCAAAGAATATTCTGAATTTTTGAAATCATTAGAAAAAGGTCAAACTTTTGATTCCCAAAAATAGATTATCAATCAACAACAAGATGAAAATGATACATCAAACAACCTTGTTGTCTCCAATCAATTCAAAAGAAGTTCAATAAAAGCTGCAATTTTTGAAGATTAAGTCTAAAGTATTTAATCATTCAAATAAACTGTACAAGAAGATAATAATGTACATGAAGTCATCAGATCAACACATATGAAATAAGAAGGTAGTCCCTATTTATTTAATATTACTAATGGCAATTAGAGAATCTTAGTCCCAAAGGAGGGTGTTTCTATTGGGAGAAATCCTGATAATACTTTAGTACTCAAAGAAGACTATGTAAGCAGATAGCATTGCAAGATCTTTCATAAAGAAGCTAATGGGAGCTATTATCTACAAGATTTAGGATCTTCATCTGGAACTTACGTCTAATTAACTAATCCTACTCTACTAAAGGAAGGTTTGATTTTACATATGGGTTTGGGTTAGTTTTTGATATCCAAAATTAAACTACAAGGAAATAAATGCTCTGTGTTCATCAGAGTTTTGGAAGGCATTATGGAAAACAAGAATCTTGATTTTGAATTAACTCAAGATTAGACAGCTCTAATTTTTGGAAGATAGATGTCTATGTTTGCAGAAGACACAGTAAATATGCCAAAATATATTTCATTAGCATTTGAGTGGTCAGCATGCTTAGTTCACTTACATAGAGGAGGGCTTAGTTATTGAGGATTTAGATAGTAGAAATGGAACCTGGTTGAGATTGAGTCCTCCACACAAACAAAGTGAGCCTGTTAAATTAATCGATGGAAGGCGATTTAGATTAGCATTTGAATAGTTTTTTGAATTTCATTCAGATTGATTATGCATTCATATTTATGCTATTAAAACAATATTATTATAGTTCTAATGATAATAATATTCATTTATCTCTATGATTTAAAATGAAATTGCAGAATGCATTAAAAAAATGACAACTTATCTTGATTCGAATGGGTATAAGAAATTTAAGCTTTTTCAGGCTTAGCCTAATTATTTTGATTTGAATTATGAGGAAAGAAAAACATTATTATAGGCTCCATCTGTTGATTACTTATGCAAATCTATCATAATGGAAAACACAAAGTATGATGATTCATATCCGGATCATGAAGTCAACCCAAAATTCATTTGCGTTGTAGTTCAATATATCACAAAACTATAAGGGGAAAAGGTAAAATAGTTAAGAACAATATTAGATTAATAAATATTTTAAATAGTTATAGAATCAGAAGTACCCAAATAAACAAATATCCAGAAATAAATTACACTTCAGATTAACATCAGATGAAGTAACTAATTGTTTATTAAATTAGATGTCGTATCAACTAAGTGGATATTAATTTAATGCTATAACACCTTTCAACATGATACAAAATATGCCATTGTTGATTTCCGAAAGAATATTGAACTTAGAGTATATATGGTTTGGAGGTGGACATACAGATGTTAAATTGAGAATGGACATCAAGGAAATGTGCACTCTCTATCCAAATAAAGTCTTTTATTCAGACATAATAATGCAATAACAAGAATAATGAAAACCTAAATAATCTTAATATATTTGATAATTAATCAACCAATAACTAATCTATTAGCACCTGCCTTCATTTGTTGTTTCTAACCCTAATCGTTCGATAATTATTAGAGTTTAACATTCAAGATCTTCTTCAAATCACTGAAATAATTCATCTATGAAATACTAACATTAAATTACTTGTCTCAATGATGGTTCATAATTCTCTTTAACAACTTCTCTTTGCTACTTAAGATTTTTAATGTTTTCTTCTAATTTCAATATTCTCTATTGAAGCATTTCAGCATTGGATTTAAATTGCGATGATAATTATTTCCCTCCTTTGCCATACTCAGCCTAATATTATATTTAGTATTTGTACTTCATCATTTAATCTTTAAATTTTGATTTCCAAAATTTCAGAATTGTATTTGTTAAGTTTAATTTTTCTATCTAAACCATAAACTTCATCTCTATATTTTTTCACTTCATTCACTAAGGTGCTTTAATCGCTTTCAACTCCTAACATAATTCTGTCAAATTCTTATTTCTTCTACTTATGCACTTATTCTAAATCCTGCATATATGATAATATAAATTACAGAGTATTGTTATCTGATAGTCTTGATTTCTGCCAATTGTTCTTATATTAAAGGTCTTTTCAATTAAATTTAGGCTTAAATTTCATTAACAATTTTTGAGATTTCTTCTAAAGTTTGGCCTTTTTTTAGATTCATTTATTGATTTTCTTCTGATAACTTCTCCAACCCTTCCTTTTTCTTGCTATAACCAACAATTCCATGAGTCTTTTCTAATTCTTATTATTATTTGAGTAATTCATTTTTTTATTTCCTCAAGATCTATTCTGTTCTTTCCAAAGTTGCTCTTTCAGCTTACAGTGTTTTCAATTCGTCCTTTAGTTTTTGATATTGAAATTTCTTATCCTTTAATTAATTAGCATATTCCTTAAATTCTCCTTTTGACTTATAATTAGGTCCTCTCTCTTTTGCAATTTATTCTTCCTTTTTAAATACCTCTTTCTCAATTAATTACTATTCCTCTTCAACCTTTTTGATATCCTCAACAGCCCTTTCTTTCTTCTTAGCAACTAATTAGGCTTATTATTTATAGATGGTTAATTTATCATCTTCAGGTTTTGCTTCTCTCTTCAATTTGTCCTCCATTTGATTAACTGCTCTTCTCAAGGCCATCAAAGTATTTTCCAAATTATTTAGTTCATTCAATGTAATAGGTGGTTCAGCAAGCAATCGTTCAATTTGTTCTAATTTCTTCCTTCGTTCCTTTAAATCGAAACCCAGTCTATCTTTACTGATTTCCCTATTTCTTTTGACTTCATTCCTCAGAGCCATCAACATCTATTCTGGTGAGTTATCTGGAGCCAGTGACTTTTAGGCATCAATCAATCTTTATTAGGCCTACAATAGCATTTAATCTGTTTGATCTAATTGCATTCTTTGTTATCTTAGTTTGTCCTATAATCTAGCTTCTTCTTCTTGTTCCCTTCTCAACATGTTTGTAACTTCCAACAATTCATTGAAATTGGGCTTAGAAGAGACTTTGCTTTTGAAATTGCTTATTTTGTTTAATAATTATTCTCTCTCTTATTCAAATTAAGTAATGTCTTTTTTTAATTCTTCTGGGTTCATGGATTATGATTACACTTGCTCAAGTGACTGATGATGGACTTAGAATTAGGCTTGTAAGTCTTTGATTTGATCTGCACAAGTCTTGATATCATTGTCCATTTGAAATTCATCAGCCACAAAGACTGGTACTAAATACTTAGCAAGATAGGCTCTCTTTTCTAATTCAGGATATCTAGTTAATAAGTAATGAAAAATGGGGTAGATAACTTTCTTGTCCGCAACCAAGACTGATTGGGACCATTTATCATCAAATTAGCCTGGGTAATTTAGAATTCGTAGATACTCAGTAATTTTGTAGATTATGGTTTCTTGATTGTCTACTTTAATATCTATAGTCCATCTAGAGTCCAGATGTGTAAATATTTTATTTAACAGTTCCAAGAATTCAAATCTAAAATAGATTTCAAGAATGATTACTAATTCTGTTCGTCGAAGGATACCAAACTATAATTCTCATTGAATTTATTATTTAGGATTGCCACTATATCTTTGATGTCATCCGTGTTGATGACAGTTTTGACTTATTATTCACCTGAATAAGATGCCATTTTTAATTATATTAATATATATTTAAATTCTCATACAGTGCATTATTTCTACTCCGGAATATTATTATTATTGCTCTAAAAGTACAGATTCTACACAATTGTTTGTCTTCTAACAATCTCTAATTCTTTGGTGTATTTATCAATGACTTAAGTTTTAAGATCAGGATTAATCTTCAATTCTCTGAAATCTTGTTTGGCCCTCCTGATTACATATTCTCTAAAATTGTAATCTTTGAATTGATTTCCAGCTCTAAGAATTGATTTATATAATTTCAACACTGATTTATCCATTTAAAATAATTCACAAATAATAATAATGAAATTCGTTTTAATTGTGTTTTTAGCATTTGCATATGCTAAAGTAGGATGTGATACTGATAACAAGGAAAGAGTAAAGGAAAGAGGGATGTCTAAAAAGAAGGAGGATGAGTTATTGGAATTGCATAATGAACATAGAAATGATGTAGCTTTGGGGAAATAAAAGAATTGGTAAGGGAAATTTTAGACAGCATCAAATATGAATTATGTGAAATGGGATGATCAATTGGCTAGATTTGCACAAGAATGTGCAGATAAATGTCCAGCCAATTTTAGAATTGATTGTTCTTTCCCTCCTCAATATGGCTCTGTGACATATTCAGGTGATGTTGAAAATGGTGGTGCTGATTGGACTGTTAAAAGAGTTTTCAAGAAATGGGCTCAACATGAAGATCATGCTAGACAAATTGAAACGGCTCAGATCCAATTCTTTGGGTGTGGAAGATCATAAGTAAGTAGAAAGAATGGTATGAGTGATGAGATTGTCGTTTGTGTTTACAATAGGGTAATATATCACCGTATCTTAGAAACCAAATTTACATGGAGATGTCTATAAAGCAGGAGTTTCAGGCTAAGAATGCTTACACGGACGTAAAAAGGGATATCTAGGTTTATGCAAACATAGTGCTACTGATATGAGTGTTTTAAATTTCAAACATTAGAAAAAGCACAATGAATATAAGTTTCATCAATAAGATGTTAAACATCACAAAGGTCATAAGCATCATAAGAATAATGAAGGACATAAAAAATTTTATTGAACATCAAAACAAATTTTAACTATTATTTATTTGATGACCATCTAACTAACTATTTAAATTGTTATTCATGTATCTAAATCTTCCATACTAATTCAATTTAATTTCCCGTATTGACGTGTATTAATATTAATAGTTATTTATTTTAAATGTACTTTTTGGATGACTCTAAAAGTATGTATTCACTAACAATAATAGGAATCTAGGAATTGGAATGGGATTTCTCACTGTCAGTCTTCTGCTCTTCATTCTAGGCATAATGTTTTTCTTGGACAGAGCACTCATAGTCATGGGCAATTTATCATTTTTAATAGGATTGTGCTTGCTTATTGGAATTAAAAGCACATTGCATTTCTTCTTGAAAAAAGGTAAGAAGTTTTAATAAACAAAGGCAAATTGAAGGGGAGTATTTTCTTCTTTTTAGGATTCTTTGTAACCATTATATTCAAGCTCACCATCATTGGATTTCCATTATAAATTTATGGTCTGTTTCAAATGTTCAAATCATTTTTACCCTTTCTATATGATAGTGCAACCAAGTTCCCCGTCATCGGTAGATATTTAAGTATTTAAATTTAATATGATAAAGGAAATCCTTAATTAAAAAAAATGGTTGATGAAGTCTCAGCAAAAGGTCCATCAGTCTGAAATTTATATTATTAAGTATTATTTATTCCTGATAATTCCCTAAACCTCTTTTTATTTAAATAAGTATAAGCAGGTGGTATCACAATTTATTAATTAATTGAAAGAAAAATAAAATGATTAATTAAGAATGTGATACTAAAATTAAATAACAAGCAATTAAGAGTGCTCTAAAAAAGGAACTACACGTTGAAGATCAAAGTAATTTATATGCTGAACATTAAAGTGTTTCGACGATACGATAGGAAAGGTAGATAAATTGCTTTTGGTTCTAAATATGAAGTTACAATTGATGAACATGTTCAATTTTTACAAGCAATCCCTCCAGCTTCGACTCCAAGAGATAGAACGAAATCACCGGTTGGTATGCCTTTGAGTGCTAGATCACCTAGAAGCAAGTCTCCGCTTATGGACAAAGCTGAAACTGCCACTCCAATTTAAAATTCTCAAAAAAAATTGGAATTTACCAAAAAAGAAGAGGAATCTTTAAAAATATTAGAACTCAAATATTAAAAATAAAAAAAACTAAGCAAATAACCTAAGTAATGCTGTATAATCTGGTGATATATTTATAAATGAGTGTTATTATATTTATACGAAACTAAATATATATTGATTAAATACCATTTTAAATAGGCTTAGTTTCCAGAAAATCAATATTCCTAACCCTCATTAATATTCAAACTTGCATTCCTTTAAAAAAAGACTATCATTTATTTAGAGCATTTAAATGTTGAAAGTGGGTAAAAAGGATTCAGTTTCAAAAATATAATTATTATCAAATGAAATTATAATATATAAAGTAATTTGAGTTTGCAATTTGAATTAGAATAGGATAGAATATATAAATTCGAAAGGATAGGCAAAAGGTGTAAATAATTTATAACATTTTAAGTAATGTTTTATAAAAGATATACATCCAAGTAAAAGATTACAAATATTATAAAAACAACTTTCAGAAGCCATAAATGATTAATTAGTCATCCAAAAGAGATACTAGTTCTTTAACATGTTAAAGGTCGTTAAAAAGTTACTCAATTAACAGTAATTAGGATAAACATTATTTCATTTCTATTGAATTTTCAATTGGATTTTCAATTGGATTTTCTTCTCTTGGATTCATAGCAGCATTTCTTTTTCGTTTTCTTTTCTTCCTAAATAAGATATACTTATAACTTAAATAATTCGGCTTTTTATTTTGATAGAAGTCGTGCAAATCTAATGCATTTGTTAGCAAATCACACCAATCAAGGGTTCAGAATTAAGAGTCATCGATTCAGATTCTGGTATTTAATTTTCGTTCAATTCAACATTCATTTTCATTACCTTAAAAGAAAATAATTGTCTGATTAGAATAATATTACTAAATATATTTTTGTAAAATTCCGTTTTAGAAATAATTATATGCCTAGTAGTACATTTTATTTAAATTTACTCTGAATTTACATCAGTTTTTAATCTTATAAAATTAAATAGCAGACATAGAGATAAGGAAATGAATAAAACATTAAACTTAAAAAGAATGAATAGATAAAGCAAAGTCTCTTAATACGAAAAATTCTAATATATATATTAAATTTATTCTTTTTCTCAAATAATTAAAAATAATTCTTAAAACTTGAAAAATCTTCATTAATATTCCATATAGTATGAAAATGACAAATAAACACTCAAATAGTACTATAACAATATGTTTTAATATTCATAATACTGATGGTGTCTTAGAATTTCTTGATAATTATGAAAGAAAAATAGATAATTTAGGAATTTAATTAGATAATCTAATATAATAAATTAACATTTTATATGCCTCCAAAAGCTCCACCTCCAAAAAAATTGACAAAGAAGGAATTAAAGGAAAAAGCAGAATAAGAAAAGAAGGAAAGAGAAGAGCAAGAGAGAATTCGTAAGGAAGCTGAAGAAAAATAAAGGCAAGAAGAGGAACGGTTACGAAAATAGGAAGAAGAAAGATTGGCTTAAGAAGAAAAGGCAAGACTTTAAGAAGAGGAGATCGAGAATGAAGTTTAGAGAAGTGTTTTTAAGGAAAATCTAGATAATGCAAAGAAAGTAATCTATCAATATATATTCCAAAATTATAGGTAGCTAGAGCTAATGATGACTGGGATAAATTTTTGATATGCTCAATCAAACCTGACATCACATAGGAGGCTTAATTGACAACATTCATTACTATGCTTAGAGAATAAAAGATAATTAATGAGTTAAAGGTTCCAGAAGAACTCCAAAAGTTATAATAAGCAGAGAATATTGAAAGAGACATTCATAGATTTTTAACATAACTAAAGGCTGAAAGGAAGCTATAATAAAACCAATAATAATTACAATAACAATAATAGCAATAAATCTTTCAAAATGACACTGTGGCTAGAAATAAATTATACATCACTTAGATTAGAGAGATAATAATTAAAAAGCTTGAAGAAATCAATACTTAAATGGTATTAAATGCCGAACTATTTATTGATGTAAAGCTTTATATTTATAATCAAAGGAAAAATTTGCAGAATTAACTAAAAAGGCAAATGAAGGCGCAAAAGGAACATTTAAATTGGATGATAAAACTAAATAAGAAGTTATAAAGACTTTCCCACCCACTGAAGACTTTAAGTATGGTATCTTCATTTATCCATCCAACAAACCTTCTGGTTATAGACATAAACCTAATGAATATCCAGAATTATAATTAGCAGTTGATGTACCAAGATCAATCTCTGTATTCCTTCAAAAAATAATATGGACATCCTTTGATAATTATTCTCCTGATACTTATAGCAAATATAGAATTGTTGGAGGTGTTTTAGATATCGAGTATTTACAGATGCTACCTCCACCTAAGAAAGTCAATACATGGACATTGAAGTCCAATTATGAATTGAAGGAAACTGTAAAAAGATTAGCCTTTGAATTAAATGCCACGTTTAAGGTTTCTTATTAACTTCCTTCTTATATTTGGATTCCAAACAAGGAAAATTAAAAAGTATGGAGAGTAGCATTCTTTGATCGTGTAAGTGAATAATGGATCACAGATGGAGTTGAGGATGCTAAGTTGGATAAAGGAACCAATATTGTGGCAAGTGTTCCTAAATTAGGTCCTATTGGATTATTGCAAGAGAGATGTCTGGATTATCCGTATAAGAGCTTTAAATTAAGATGTGTTGGCAATGAAAAAGCTATTTTAGATATCTAAGGAGCAAGAGATTTATTCAAATTTGAAATTGGTCCAGGATATATTCAATTATTGAAGAAAGACCCAGTATTATTTAATTTATATGTTAGGAATTCTAACACTTCGCATATAAAAAGTTATTGGTGGGAGCATTATTCTATGAATTATACAGGAGTGGTGTTAATTTTATTCCTGTCAACGAGGATGCCTAATCTGCTAATATAGTTTAAAAGGATGAGGGTGCAGAAGAATTAGCATTGAATGATTTATCTGAAGCAGTTAGAGGATTCTACATTGAGTCAAGCAGGTGGAACAATAGTGATACAGGTCCATAAATAGTAGTGAAGCTTAAAGAAAATCCAGAATTTGATGAGGTTGTTATTGCATTTATCTTAGGAATTCGCAGAGAATTAAGAAAAAGATTGGAAAACCATAAAGTGGTGGAATAATAAATGTGCTATCATTTAAGCCAGAGATTCACATTAAAAGTGCAATTAGGCACTTTTGCAGGATACTGAAACTCATTGTAATTTAGAAGTGTTATTGAAAATGCATTCATTGACTACTTAAGAGACTTTAGGAAGGATGAAAGTAATAAATATTATAATGAATTTAGGATTTGCATTACGTTATTTTTGTTGAAACCATATAATAGGTGTTAAGAATAACTAAATTATTGTCGTTTACAGTTAGAGATTGAATTCTTATGTCTTTATTATAATTTATATTGGATTATCAGTTTTGTATAATATTATCTATTACAAAATATGATTGAAAAGGTATATAAATAATGTAAATGTAATTTGAGCTTTCATTTTTTAATTGTTGCAATTAGTTTTTATAGTTTTCTACTCAATTCAACTTCATCATTAGTTTATTGAATGGGATTTTTTGGAAATATTACTAATTTATAATCATCAACACAGTCTTATTTTAATTGCCTATCCAATTTTTATTTATGCTTTACAAATTTGACTTATATTTTAACCTCATAAACTTTATTGCTTTCTTCAGTTCCTTCTAATTGTATTTCAGATTGAATGCTTCTTTTTGTAGTTTAATAGTTATTGTTTCTACGGAGAAATGTGAGGTTGTTGATCTCTTAATTTTAAACTATCCTTACAGAATGTTATTATTTTTAATACAAATCAACACTCAAAAATAGTTTAGGTATTATATAATCCTTTTCTTAATAGGCTGACAATCTACGAGAACGAGGAGTTTATCTTATTTTATTCATAATATTTGCTAATAAAAGTATCAAGTATTAAATTAATATATTCTCACTCATTTTACAATGTTTAGACTCTTTCCTTTACAATTTTCCCTCCTTTTACTTTCTTAAACCCATAACGTTCACTTTCATAATATATAATTTTACAGCATTTTACTCCATGTTGTATCAAGAGTATCAGGCTTTGTCATCTTTTTAATATCATCATTATTGTCTAAGACACGTTGATAATCTACATTCTATGATTTTAATACTTATTTTCCCATATTTTTATTATTGATATAGTAAATATTCAATTTCTTGTTCTATCTTCTTTTGATCATACGGTTATTCTTTTTGAAGTTTCTGTTATAAATATAAATTCTAATACCATATTCTCTTTCTTTTAGATTTCTATTTAAGCAAAAATGCTTCTCTAATAAGCCTTTTCTCGGCTAATCGTCCTTAAGAAGTCTGGAGTATTTTCATTCTTTTTTTGTAGTTAGAAGTCATAAAAATCCTTTTGACAAGCAGGTGTTTATTACTTTGACGTTTGGGGACTTTTACTGTATTCAATTGAGTGTCCAGGATCCGTCTGCATTAATTTTCCAGAATATACACCTGGTCCTGGAATGAGACTCTATCATTTAGTTTATGCTTCTCCTTACATCTTTGTAAAAATACTCTCTTTTGGGTGTTAAGAAGGCTCTAGTTTGGATTGTTGCTGGGGTTAATTATTTCTTATACTCTCTAAACTATTTTATAAAACCTTAATCTGCTTAGAGATTTATTTTAAAATACTTTAATCTCTATCTTAAGGAAACTGTTTAATCTTAAGTGGTGATATCCCTCTTTTGGAGTCCTAAAAGATTTGTAGTGCTCCATTTATAAATGGGATGATTATTGCGAATCTTTCTCTTTGTTGTTGGCTGCACAACCACTTGTTAGCTTTTTAAAAATTGAAATCTAGATGTAGTTTCATTGCTCTTTGTTCTTTGAATTAATTTTCCAATTGAATTTCTTTCTTTTGAGAAGGGCTTAAACTTGTTCTTTAGATCATCCTTACTCAAAAAGGATTAGGTTTCATATTCCAAATCCTATTAACTAGCCCCATATGAAATGTTCCCTTCTAAAAATTATTCCAGAGTCCCTAATTCAATTGATGTTCGTTTTAATTGCATTATTATTTTAATTTATTAAATTTAAAAACTAATTGATTTTTACAACAATTCAATGTTTTTAAAGTATCTTTTTCGTCGCAATTAAGAATTCATTTAATAGAGTTCTATTCTATAATATTATCATATATGTAAAAGGTTGGATTAAATAAGTAGATCACTCAAAAATTAAATACATATTTAATAAATTTCACTACTTAAATCAATTGATGAAAAACTACAATCAAGATAGTGTCTCTTTCAATATCTTAAGTTGTCCAAGTTCTGAAAGACAATAGAAAATTAAAGTGACTCCCAATACTCTTATGACCTAAAGACTTAATATTCCATTAATATCATAAAATTCATAATAACAGAAAAGTTATGCAAATCGCCCCAAGATGTTTAAACAGATATGTGACTACCCTTAATTATAGCCTTCTAACTAAAATACATAAGCATTTAAAATGAAAACTTCCGTTGAACCCTATGAAAAAATTGAAAATAATAGAAAATACTAGAGTATTATTTAGAAAGATTTTTAAAGGGATAGAACACTAACAAATTAATAATTGCATTATAAAAAACCAATAGATATATACAAATATCAGACAGACACTACCAATAGAGATTAAAAAACCTCTATGCTTGTCTAGCCACTTGAATAAAATTTCCCAATTATTTAAAGTTCTGAATTTAATCCATATAGAGAAAATACAACATTACCTATTTATAATCATAAAAAAAATACGATATAGTTTACAAATAACAGTTCTAAAAATAGGAGTTATACTTTAAATGGAATCCCTTAAAGAGGCAATCAGTAGCACGAAATTATAAATAAACCAAGAGGAAAATATCGACTTGTTATTAAAAAATTAAGACTTAAAATTGTTGTCCTATTTGTTCTAGCCGCTCTCAGGTTTAGCAGAAAATACAAGTACATTATTTTCTTAAAATAGAATCACATTTAAAAAAAGAAATTAAGCCTTAGAACATTTTAATAAATTGAAGAAACCCCATTTAACCCACTTTAGTACAATGGGAGAAAGGCAAATTAAATTTTTTTATCGTACCTTTGTCGAATAGATTTTCTCTAAAATTATTAAACTTTTAAAGAGTGAAGATTATATTAAAGATTATACTGAAATCTTAAAATAAAAATAAGAAATGATATTAGATTTCTAGAAACAGAGGTTATGCTTTTTCATAAAATTAATATTTTAAGATTTAGAATTGATAACAAGAAAAAATTTAATACCTGAATTTATGGTCGATTGCTTGAATTTAAGTCTTTTCTCTAGAAAAAACACATAAACTAGCTTGTTTGTAGCGAATAGGACTAAGTTTTATTCAAAAACAGTTCATTCTCTCAATTAATAGTAGAAGATGTTAATTACATTAGAATTCCTTATTTTCGCTGTTATTATACCTAATGCATTAGATATTGCTAATTAATATGAATGCGTCAATGAAAATCATCAAGCAATAGTTCAACTCTACTTCATTTCCATAGTTATGTTATTAACAGGATTCTTCACAAATTATTTCAAGGACTTGCCCAAAATTTAATCATCGAATGTTAAACCAGTCTAATTGTTATTGAAAGTTAGCGAAGATTAAGATGACAATCCTGTCTAAACACGAATAATTGTATCCCAAGAATTAGAATAAAATGAAGAATTGATTCTCTCGGGAGATTTGAAAATCAATTTTATTGATAAAAACTTTAGTGACAAACCTAACTTCTAAAAAGATATGGGTAAACTCTTTTCCAAAATCGTTACTAATGTTGGAGCAATAATAGATATTTCAAATGTAGAATGAATATTCTAACTCTTATTATATATATTAATTTATATTATGAAATAATATCATAAATTAATTTAAGTTTAATTGACAATATTTTGAATTTAACAATAAAATGGTAACTACGATTTTTGATTATTATATTGTTGCGAATACTGAATATAATTATTTGCAATTAATTTATGGTAAATGAATGCAATAATAATAATTTCTAATTTATTTAGATTTTTTAAATTCGATAATAAAAAAGTATATATATAATATCAAACCATTATAATTCATCATATACGATAATTCTTAATTGTTTTTAAATTTCAAGAATGTTAATGTTCGTCTAAACTTATATCAAAGATTAATTTTATTAAAATTGATAGTAGTCCTATTTATCAAATATAGTAATTAGTGTTTTAAAATTTGGTAAAAATGGAGAAATTCATCTTATTTCAGTGAAACTCTTAAAGCTAGCAAGTTTTAAATTAATAAATTAGCCTAATTTCTATTAACATTTATAATAAAATTACCTCTTAAAAATAAAATATAAAGTGTAGAAATCTTCTATTAATGTTTAAACCTTTGATTAATAAGAGGTAAATCTTAATAGAACATAAAATAATATAGCTTTGAAGTCCTTATTAAGCCCGTACTATTGGAAAAAATTAATAGAAATTAAAAATTGTTACAATAATTTCTATCAATAAATACTCATAGAATTTCAAAATTAAAACAATTTTCTTATTCAATCTAATGAGTATAACAAACATGCCTTTTATATAATAAAATACTATTTACTATAAATTTAGTACATAAATGCCATATTATTTCATAAGAAGTAGATTTTTAAATGTAAAGTAGAGTACTGAAGTTCTGCTAGAGAACATATAAAAGGGTGAAAAAAGTAACAGAGTAGTAGAGAAATGCTCATAATTATAAATTGAGAGAAGAAGTAGTCATTAATTAAATTGAATCAAATTTTTGAATAAAAATAATCTATCTAATAAAAATACAAATGTAGATTCGACTACATGAGAATTTAGAATTGATAAGATATCAAATTAAAAGATGTTCCAGATTATTGTCTCATCTACTATTTTAATATACCAAATTTTTTTGATTCCTATTAATAATTTTGATCATTATTTTATGAAATCTGAAAGAATAGAGTAACGAAAGAGAAGTTCAAGCAGGTAATCCCCTATATCCTTTCCTCTAAGACCTTAAGAAAGGATATGCAAAACGTTGATTGCTCATCACTTAAATCTTCCGTTGATATCTTCAAATTAAGTTGTTAGACAAGGAGTGGAGCGAAAATTTCGGATTTTTCAACACGATGAAGAGTATAATCATTTAAAGACTGTTTGTGAGATCAACGAAAATTAAAGACATCAACCAATATTAAGTTTATACACAGATCCAGATGGAATAAGCAGTCCAAAAGACAATATATTGATAGAAAATTACATTAAATCAAAATAATAAAGATATGATCAACTTATTGAAAGTAATTTGGATACCCTTAGAAATTTGGAAGGAAATTCGTAGAAAATGTATAAAGATAAAGACTAATAACAAACCTCGAGATAAACTGAGATAAATAATTAGTCATTTTACTCCAGACCCTTCAGAATGCACACTGTGGAAGTGAGGGCAAAGATCACCCCTGAAAAATAAGAAAATAATTAGGTCTTTTTTAAACAAAATTTTGAACACAAAAAAAATCATTCCAGATAAATCCAGAAAACAGTAGATGTAGATAGAAATATCGATTTAAGCTTAAAGGACTCTGATACCGCCGATGGATAAACAATAATCCTCCGTAAATCAAGACCTTCAGTGCAAAATTAAATTTGGGATAACTTAAATTTATTTAAAAAGGAAGAGGCTAAACCTTAGCTTAAAATAAGAAATAGAAGACTTAGAATTGTTGTATTTGTAGTGATTGCCGTCTTAGGATTATCGAAAAAATATAAGTATCTATATAATAATAGAATTAGAAAAATATTTCAAGAACGACAAATAGCTAGAGAACATTTTCAAATGTAATAAGGACCACATTTAAAATATATTAATTTTTTTGGAATCAAACAACACAAATTACAGTTTAGAAAATTTGTAGACTCCTTATTATAAAAAATAATAATGATACAAAAAGACCAGAAATACATTAAAGAATGTAAAACTATTTAACGGGAAAAAGATAACATCAGGAAAGATGCTTAGAAATAGAGATTGTGTTTTTTCATAAAATTAATTCTTTAAGATTTAGAATTAATAACAAGAAAAAATGTAGTGCCTGGATTTATCCATCATTTTTTAAATTTATCTCTTTTCTCTGGAAAAACTACATAAACAAGCTAATTTGTAGCGAATAGGACTAAATTTTACTCAAAAACAGTTCATTCTCTAACTTCTGAATAAAAATTGTTAATTGCTTTAGAATTTCTTATTTTCACTATCATTATACCTAATTTATTAGATATTGCTAATGAGTTAGATTAAACCAATAAGGACAGTTTCTTAATCACTCTATTTCATTTCATTGGAATTATAGGTGTATTAATGATTATATTTACAAAACATTTCGAAAGAAAATTTGAAAAGATTAATGGATCAAATGTAAAACCAGTTTAGAGAGTGATTCATCTTAAAAAGAATGAATAGGGATTACCATGTGTAGCTACATTCAGTATATCTGATACAATTGATTAAGATGAAAAGAAAATTATTCAAGGAGGTTTTGAATATGCTGGTATTTTGGAACTGTTTGAATAAAAACCATATTGGAGTGAAAAAGTATCTAATCAATTTAACAAAATTGCCAAAAACATTGGAGAACTAATAGACATAACCAATGTTAGCTGATAATTTGTATATATTTTCTTTTTAAATTGGAATTATAATCAACAATCTAATTTCTACAACCATTATTTATTTCTACTTCTTTATTTTATTTTCCAATAGACTATTTTGGCAGATTTATATAAATTAAATAAATTATATATATATATGAAATAACAATAAATAAAAGTAATATTTTTTATATGTTAACTAATGTAATCAACCTGATTTTGATAATAATGATTTGCAACATTGTTAGATATAATATACCTTAGCATAATAAAATGTAACTGTATCATTTATATATTGCGTCGTCTAAATGATTTTTAATATTTTAAATAAATTGACCATGAACAGCCAATTTTAATAAGGTCGATCCTAAAGCATAAAGTTCATTTAAACTCAAACGATATATGAGTAGCCCTTCTTTACTCCTAATGTTGATATTCTCTCCATCTCTGAAAATCTTTATTTAGAAAAGATTTCAAAATAGGCAACATCTCGGGACTAATCTCCTCGAAAATGGCAGGAATCTCACAAAAATCCTTTAGCACAGTAACCTAAATTTGCAACACCTTAAGAAGCTCCAAAAGAAGTAAAGATTATACAAGTTAATAATGACGAAAAAGTAATCCAAACTAAAGAAGTAATCTCAAAGCCTACAACAGAACATAAGTAACTTATAGGAAGAGCTAAAGTCTTACTCTTATAATAAAGAACATTAAATATGAAAAAATACTTCAAAATTGCTTCACTTGCCATAATTGCTGCTATAAGGATCAAGAAATCTTTAAACTATTCACTTTGGAAGAAGTATTAGACATAATTGAAGAATATCACTTTTTTTCTCAAATTAGAATTAGTACAAACCGAAAGAATTAATGCTTGGTGCAAGGCAGTATGTGCTAAATCACTTACATCAGTAAATTAATAACTGCACAATTTTATTGAGTATCCGAATGATAAAGAATAAGTGGATCAATCAATGATGAAATCCATCAACTCCTGCCAATTTTTATTAGAAAATTTGGCTTATTTCTCATAACCGAAGTACTTTTGTGAAGAGTTGAAATACTACTTATTAAGTTAAGTATTTTTAGATCACAAGGCTTATTTTTCAAAATTTGTGTCAAGTAGAACCTTATATTTGCATACACGAAACAGATAAATAAAGCAGGAAGAATTAACTATGATCTTAGTTGAATCCATCTTGATTGATTAAGTTTTAGTAAATATTTTCGACTCTAATTAAAAGTGCATATTTTTACTCAAAGTTTTAGCTAGTCTTCTTTAATACTTGTTTATAAAAAAGTTTGATAAACTCAAATTAAAAAGAAATAATGTCTAAAAATTAAGTGCTCATTAAGTTATATCAACAGAAAACAAACTGAAATTGAATTAAATGCCCAACCCTTAAAATAACGATCTCCTTTTAATAGGGTTGTATAAAGATGAGGACATGCTTGCTCTATTAAACTATAAGAAGACTGCATCTAAAAAAATAGATTAGAACTTTGAGAGATTTTGTTGTAATTTATACACAACTATTTTGGCATGAAAAATGTAAGTATATATTAGCAACCTCATGTTTTAAATCAAAGTGATCTTTGTAAACTGTGACAGATACCTAATACATGTTTGTAATTATCGACACTATATCTAAGATTTGATTTAAAATACATGTAGGATTGGAAAAATATTATTACAAAATTCATTATTATTATTAAATTACGTTCTCCACCAGTTCAATCAATTTAGAATCCCCCATTTATAGACATTCTTGCATAATCTATGCAACTATACGTTTTTATTTTAATAGCTCCTACTCTAATACATCAACGCAAATATTACCTAAACTTTCTATGAAGGTCTTGAGATCCCTCTCTATTTGATATTAGCACTTAATCTCATTTTCTAACATCTGTAATTTGCTTATCTAAATGCTATCTCTCTGTGACAGTGTGCTTCTTTAAGAATTCGATTAAATTGAGGATTTCAATTCTTTTATCTATTCTTATAATTTTAAACAATTATTGCATTTGTCCAACGTTTAAACTTCTTTAATATTTGGTATTTTAATGATGTTAGATTTAATTAGTGATTCAGGTTCCAATAATTTTTATTGGATATCAGGGATCAGTTTGCTTTTGTTCAAAACTGCCTATTTAAATTTAAGCTAAAACTTGAGGGTTGCAGAAGAATCAGGACAATCAATGAGCAATTTTTCATCTTAGATCTATTGCATCTGTTAATTCATATATTCACTAATATCAAAGTTTATTTTGCCAGCTTTCTTGTAGCTGTTTTTATAATGTAGAATGACACGGACTTTTGCCTTATTATATTTATCTGTATACTTTCTTTTCTTGAAATTTACCCTTCTTTAAATTCATGGTGGTGACGATTTTAAGCTACTGATAATCGAAATTACATTCTCTTTATTAAAATAAACATCCAGTTTAAGTAGTCAGAGAATGTGATCCACAAATAAAATTCAAGAAAACTTCAGCTTCTACTCCAATATCCAATGATAGTTTGATGGGAATAAAAGTAATTTAAGTTTTAAGAGAGTTTGCATAGTTCATAATTTATAAATATATGAAATTAAATGAGTATTTATAGGCTAACATGGAACCCTACAAACCATTATTATTGAATGATAGAAATGAAAAAGGAATATCGACTGGAAATTACATGAAGCTTATGAAGATGAATGCATCAAGATTAATTTCAAAGTCTGTTGAGTCTCCACTCCATCCATTAACAACAAGGCCAACCGTAGAAGTTGTAAAGAATTCCTATAATCTTCCCTAAATCTAACATTTGGTAGTTGAGAATCAAGTTTTACAAGCAAAATTAAAAGAAGAATAAAATAAAGCTTAGCTTGCAACTAATAAATATCTGTATTTGTAAATGATGTACAAGAAAATGGAGTATGAACAACTTATTAAAAATGAGTAGTAGAAATCATAATTACCCATCATTGATACATAAAGGGAATTTAACACAACCACCAAAAATAAGTATCTAAATGAAGAACAATTAACTGAAAGAATCGGTGAATCAAGAGGGTATGTTAGAAATAGAATCAAATCTCTTGCTCAATAAGTTAAAGAAGAAACACCAAAAGTTTATAAAGTTAAATATTATTAAAATAAGAAAGTCTTGACACCTGAAGAAGTAGCAGCAGAAGTCTAAAAAATGAAGGAAAAATATAGGATTGAAGAGGAAAAGGAAAAGAAAATGTAAAATTTGTGGAAGAAATTCTTAAGATGTCATCTTGTCATCAAGATTGTAATTAGATGGTCAGAAAATATTAGGTATATTACAATAATAAAATAAGAATCAAACGAAAGGAGAAGGAAAAAAAATTACAGGAATAAAATAAGAAAGCTAAAATGTTATTCAAGGAAATCAAGAAATACACTCAGATCTAATCCTAAGATATAATCAAAAATTGGGTAAGCAAAATTACTCTTCGTATGTATCAAGGAATGATTGGAGAAGAAATGAAAAAGGTATTCTCTCAAAATTTTAATCCAAATCAAGTTGAAAATTAAGAAATTTAAAAAAAATGGTTAATCTACTTTCTTATCTTATTTTTCAAAAATGTTGAATAGCATACTAGATAAGAATCAATGCCAGATTTCTTATGTTTCATGATGACACTTCAATTATATTCGTATTAGAATAAGACTGCCTCTTTATTTTTAGTTAAAAGAACTACTTATTTAAATGGGAATGTATTTTAATTATCAGAGAAGGAGATTCAAATGATTACAAGTGAATTTATACTATTCTCTGTAATAATTCCAGAAATTATAAATTAAGATCAAAAACAAAAGTATTTTAATCAATAACATTAAATTTAATGTCGATAAATTTTTTTACATATATTTAGTTTATTGTAAATACTTTTTATGAGTACTTTTTGTGAATTACCTGAAATTAAAAAGACAAATAAAATAAAAATCTTATAAAAACGAATCATTTAAAATTAATAAACCATGGAATTCAAATTCGAATAGGATGATTAGATTGACTTAAGCTAAGCAATTGTTGTTGGATTAGAAAAAAAACAAAGATATGAGAAACTATATAAATAAAATACTGAAGTTTTAGATGATTTGAAAAGATTTTTAGAGGTTATCTTGGACAATATAAGTGGAAATGCATATATTTGACTAGATTTTATTTATTATTTATGTTAAATCATAATTTGGGTCTACAGTTCTTTAATTGATTAACTGCATTCGAAAAATCAATCTTATTTATTGAGTTCTCATTAACAGCCCAATCATATGTGTATTCATATGGCTTACCATCTGCTCTTCCAATGGTGGTTCTGAGGCCTCCATCTGCTAAACAGAAAGACTCTACTAATGAGAGTGCCTTAAAATAATATTAATATTTACTTCAGGTTTGATTACAGTTAATAGATTCTCATACTCATCCCTCATTTATTTGATTGTTTGTTAAGTAACAACTTCATTTTCCAAAAGGGCTATTGGATTTTATAAAAGAATTGTGACACCAAATAGATTCAATAAATTTGTTAATACAACTTAAGTTTATTTATGAGTGACCTATAAAATTGTGTTTTAGAAACAAACAAACTTATAGTACTCTATAAATTGATTGGCTGATTCCCAAAGCGAAGTGCCTTAAATAATGTTATTAGATATTACCTAGTTTATAATCCCAAACAGCTTTAGGATTCAAACCTCCCTGTATTTCTTACATCATCTTCATGCCAGTTTAGGTAATGAGATGAATGACTGAAGATTCCAAAAGCGACAAGATGTTTGAAGTTTAGAATTGGTCACATTTGAATGATAGTATTTCATTGACCTATATAATGGGAATAATCACTTACTCTTTTAAATAATGAAAACTATTCAGGAATTTTTTCTGGGTGTTTTTAAGAAGTTTATAAGAGTTTCAACAAAAAGCGAGCCAATTATAGAAACATTATTTGATTCTCTCCTTCCAAAGTTACATTTGGACTATGTTCTTAATAAATACTAGGTAATCCTGAATAATGGGCATAACCATGTCCTCCACATGATAATCTACACCATTCAGCACAATTCACTACAAAGTGAGTGTAATTAGCTTTGGTTCCACAAAGTAATGAATGACATGCATTCATATGTGAGAAATTGCCTTTCTAAACTTCAGCGAAATTCAAATCTACAAATTTGGAAGTAACATTTCCTGAAAGTACAACTGCAAATAAATTGGCTAACAATGGCAATAATTTATGTTATTGAGTTTAATATTCAATGACTGAATTCTCGACTCCTTTGTCGTTTGTGAATTACTATCTTGTATAGGAGTATCTCAAAGCAATAGTCAATGAAATTGCAGCTGCTTTTGGATATACTGTGTTTAATAATTTTCTCATCATCATCATTGAAGCATAGGATATCTTTGGATCTCCCTCCTTTACTACCTTTCCTTATGGAGATATTGAGATATATTTAGCCAACATATTAAATTTAGGAATTCTAACGTTGTCAAACTTCAAGAATCCATTGTCTTTCACTTAATATCCCATCTTAGGTCCAATATCCCCAACTTCTATTCCTTTCAATGGCTTGTGTGTTTACTCATCTCGAATTTAGACCATAAATGATTAGACTCCATAATTGGTTCCATCCACTACCAATTAAGCAAAAACTAATGCCCAATTAGCTAGAATACCTAGATCTCCAGGCCAAACTAATTTTACTTAGATTATATACATTTTGCTGCTTAAATGGTAGGAGTATTTATTACAAATTCTTATGTCTGCTTATCATAAGTAGCAGTAGTTTATAAACTCTAAATATCTGATCCATGACCTAATTCAGTTTGTGCATAACAAGCAGCTTTTCGAATGTGAATTAAGTCATCTAACCATCTAATTATTGTATAGATTGATACGCTTTTATTTGTTCATCTGTTCCCAAAATCTTCACTGCTGGCACAACCATTGCTAAATAGACTCCATAATGATTCGTTGTTGCACTGTATATCATAGGTCCCGTGTATTATTCCATATCATCAACCTAAGATTATTTATTAATCTAATATCATTACTTAATGATTAATCATCTTCATGAAACTAAACCCCTATTTATCTTTCGATAGGAACTGCTTTTTCCTATTCCAGTTATAAAAGTCAGCGTTGGTTTACACTTCAGGTATTTTTTCACAGTCAGCTAAAAATTGTTTCACCTCTCTTTTATTTACTATCATATATACTTAGCTCTTTATTGAGACCCAAAGATTAAGCCTGCGACTTAGATTTGATCAATGGTGGATAATTATCGGACCTGTTCTAAGGAAGTCATCTTATTAAATAAATCAATTATTTTTCTAATTTGATTACATAATTCAAATCTAGTATTTATATCTAAAAAGTTCAAAAAAATGATCATCAAATTTGATCATTTGTAAATATGATGATTGTAAATTCAATTAGTAATATATTATTATTAAATTTTAATTTTCTTAAGAATATAAGAAAACCATAAGATTATAATTATATTCTAAAATTTAATCAATTTCGTTTTGGGACATTAACTATGTTTCCTATTAAATATTACTTAATCTGCTGCTCTCTTGTTGATTAAATAAAAAGGAAATTTTCATTGTAAGTAAAATATGATTATTGAGTTTATTAATATTAAGTAGCACTTTGAACAACCTGTCTTTTTCAGTTAATATTATGGACATTCTAATGAATTAAAAATTAAAGCAAATATATAAAATTCAATTTACTTTTCTTATTGGTTTGAGTAATAGATACTTTTTCTATGTTAAAATGATTCATTCATCTTTTTTATGGATTCTTATACGACAATTGTATATCAATATTAAAATCGATCATAAAATACTCAAATAAGTTTCTCTATTTTGGTATTTAGCCTGAATATATATTTATTTTCCTTATTTATTTAATAACAATAATATAAATGTTAACAAATTCAACTAATCATGAGAATAATCATCAAGAATTGGTGTCAGATCAATAATAGGACAATTTACATTAAGCTAGATAAATATAATTTTAAAAGGCATTAGAATAAAGTTTGAGAAGCTATGTCCAATATTCTTAATAGCAAAATCAGCTTCGATTCGTTTATCAATTAATATTTGTGCTAGCTTTCTATTAAATAGTAGAACTCATTCTATGTATAATCTCATTTGGTTTAACCTCGAGAAATCACCCCTTATTCTATATTAGCATCATCTCAATATCAATTAATGTAATTTCCTTAATACCTTCTCTATATTATTTAAAGCTTTTTCATTAAAATGAAATCGAGTATTTAGAAGGATTACTTTGGTTTTAGTATGATATAGAGTAAAGGCCTGATTATGAAGTTAAATAGATATTGTAAAAATCTCATTGTTTTTGCTGTTACCTAACGATTCTAACTATATTCTTATAACTTTGTTTATTAGTATTGATTATTTTGGGATAATCAAATTTCCAAAGGTCAATTTCAGAATAACGTATTAAAATTATATATGACAGCTATAATAATTGGGTTGTCTTTTCAACTTATGACCACAGCAAGAATCTTAGTTCTATTTATAGGGACAATATTGACCATAGTTACTGTTATTTCAAAAAGATTATATAATCAGATCTACTTGTAAATTGCTAATCTTCAAGAATTAGAATATGAGTAATTTTCACCTTTAAACAAATATGAAGTCTAATTGGTGGATGAGGATTCACTCTCTCAATTATCTTAAATTTAATGTACCATTTGTCTACATAATTTTGAAATCCACGAAGAGTACTATAAGTTAAAATGTCATTCCCTTCACATTTTCCATAAGCCATGTTTAACTGAGTGGATAGTAGTCAATTAAACATGTCCAACTTGCAGGTCTGCTATTTGATGTTATAATATTATATTTTAAAATCTAATATTCGTAAAAGTTTACATTAATTATTATTCCCTATAAAATGGAGAATCAGACAACTAATAATGAGAACTTAAACCAAAACTTTTTTAAGTTTGTTATCAAAACAAGGATTATTATTTTTAATATGTAAATCAAAGTTACCCTACTATTTCATTTTACGTTTCTTCATATTATCCACTAAATCAGCTTGCTCCTATAATGTCATACTATTTGATTCATTATTTCACATAAATATTTGCAAGAGTTATTTTAGTTCTCTATCTCATTACTTATTACAATAAAGAATATTAGCTATCCCTTAAACTCCATATATTGTATTATATTATCTTTCTTTATTATATATCCCATTAAGTGTCACTTACTAATTATTCATTAAATCATCATTATCCTACAAAGTGAAGCTTATGATAAAAAGATGACCCAAGTTTACGTTCTTCTAATTTTTTATTTAATTTTGTAATTAAATAAAACTCCAAAAGAAAATTCAGGAATAAAAATTGAAATTACATAATAGTTAAATATCAAGCCATCAAGACTCAATAAGTGGAATTTAAGATAAATAGAATTTAACGCTAGGATAAAATGAATTAGCAATTAGAGTGTTTAATAAATGTTTAGCTACATTATTCAGTAATAATTAACAACAATGATTGAATGCAATAAGCATATAATAATCTTTCATACAGTACTTCATAATTTGAAAAAATAGACCGTATTGAAGATAAAATTATGATGTTCAGAAGTTTTTTGACGAATATACTATACCAAGACTGATGTAATTAACTCAATCTATAACATTTTTTCTAATTTCTTGTGATAATGGTTCCCTTGCTTTTACGTATGATTTATTTAAAGTTGAAAATAATGATTATTTAAATGTAGTTATTCATTTTAATTTTTATAAAATTAATTATATCATTTCAAGAGAAGTTTATCAATAAACTATTAAATCAATAAAAATGATAAATATATGAAAGTGATTTATATATAATCAATGAATTAATAAATTATATTTTCTACTGTCTTTCTTCTGTAATAGAGTTTCCACATAAAGAAAATCATCTGGTTTAAGGTATTTAAGAGTGTTTTTTAATTATTAAGATTCCAACAATTTTATTTCACTAAAATACCATTATAAATTACCTTTTGAAGTAAGTCAGGAAATGGTTCCAAGAAGACATTTATGAAATTTACTATTTAATGGATTTAATTTCATCCTATCTCAATTTAAATATAAGAAATAATATCAAAAATAACTATTTGATAATACAAGGGTGATCTTTGAAATAAGATAAAAAGTTGATTTTTAACAAGACTCTTTTGAAAATACCTAGATTTCCATATATAAAACTGATTGTAAGAATTCTTGTAAAATAATTCATAAATGTTGAGTTTTCATAATGAATAGAACAAGCTTCTACCAATAAATGCCAGAATGATATTGAAATTAACTATAATAGGCTTTACTTTGTATTTTCTAGGATTAAAGTAAGACTTTCTAATAGAATAATGGTTCTGACTGATAATTATTGGGATAACAGTTAAGTAACTAGTATTTTTACAATCAATATCAAATGCTCTTAAAAATTAAAATATACAGTTTTTTCCAAAGAATTGTTTAGCATAAGATTATAAATTCTACCTGCTATTAAGTATGTACATTAATATTCTTCTCCATACTTTTATTTTAATAAATAATTTTTAGTAATTGTCTAAATAAACTTTTGTTTATTATCTCCAAGAATTATATTAAGATAGTACAAGGGATTTTCATTAGACAAGTTATTAGATAAAATGAATTTCCTTGGTGTAAATATCATTAGTAATATATCATAAATGCATTATAAAACACCTTTAGTATAGTGTTCATTTTTTAAGCATAATTGTTAAAATTCTTCATCAAAAGCTAATCTTTCGAAATCAGTGATTTGCTAATCTTTAAGTTCAGGAGGATATATATTTACATCTCTTTCAGTCTCATTTTATTTAACTTTTCCTACTAGATGATTAAACTTATTTAAAATTATTGAATTTTATAGTTTAGACTTATTGATTGAATCAGTAATATTAATTATAGAGGATTGTTGACTTATTCTTTTCATACTCTGTTATTTCTATTAGCTATAAAGCATTATCATTTGAGTGGGTCGTTTTACAAGAATTCTCTAATACATTGGTTTTTATTTGATGTCTTGATGTGACTCTTTAGCCTAAATTTAAATGGACTCTGTAATGACACCAAATAAATTGTTGGGATTAGTAAGCGCTTATAATTGACTCCTTGATGTATTATTAGATGAAATTTGTTGTGTTTCAAATTCTTGACTATACCTTTAAACCGAATATTTTGAATTGTCATCTAATAATTTCATTAATCTTGGAGCAATTATTGTTTTTCTTCTAGTGGGACTAAATGTAATTGGATCAGCTTCTTCATTTTTCCCACTTTTCACTGTTTGGATTGATTTCGGCACATATGAAGTCATAGTCATTCTTGATTTGGAATTTGTTTTTTTAGAAGCCTATTGAAGCATTCTTTCAAATAACTTTTTAGTTTTTTAACATTTGCTTGGGAGAAATTAAAATATAAGATCAAAATCTATATTGATTTCATCTATTTCTTCGGCAACTTTTTTATGTTCTGGTTAAGTGATAAATTTTTCAATTTCCAAAGGTGAAAAATTAGGTTAATACAACAGTTCTTCTATCTTTGATGGTCTATACAATTCAGTTGATTTTTTGGTTATTATGTTGTCTAGCACTTTTGAATCAAATAATGTTGTATCTAGTAAATCTGAAAAAAAATTAGTTAACTCAAAATACTTCCATAACAATTTTGTTGATTAAGGAATGAATTTATGATAAGGAGTCTAAATAAAACTCATAAACTAGGTAAAGTATTGAGATATTTCAGGGATGTCCAAAAATAGCATCAATCTAAAGGGTAAATGATAGGATATTAAGTAAAAAGTAGAAATTTCAGGCTCCTAATAAAGTAGGAATGTGAGATATTGAACAATGATTTCAGGACAGATTATTATAGCCACTAAATCTTATTTAAGGCATTCATGAATCATGGAGTAAGCTCTTTAATAGTAACCAGCATTAATTTTAGTTAATAGAAAATTATTTCTATTATCAGTTAATGCTTGCATTGTTCTAAATGCTCTAAATTAAATGATAGGCCTATTCTCTTAGGAAACATTTACATTTAATTATCTAAAAGTTGGAGGATCAGGATATTTTAGATCTACATAGATATTAGATAGTTTCTAATGAGGATTATAGGATATTATTACATTCTATAATATTTGGGGATACTTTGTTGGAAATAACATAAATGACAAGAACATGTCAAGTAGTTTATTTGATTTAAAAACATCGCTTTACATTTGGTCTACGGTTGGCTGATTAGCCACGAGAAATGGGACTTCACTTGGTTGAAATAACCATTCTTCAAGCATTTATTATTACATCTCAGTTTTATTTAAGCCACTATATGCTAACTTTCTAATTTGTTCATGACCATTTTATATTTAGAAATCAAGATTTTTTGAACTCATCACTTAACCTAATAATACTAGTTCTACTTGATAACTAAAATTATTTACAATTTTCCACATCAATCTCAAATTGTTAATCTACTTCTTTAAGCAATTTCCAAACATTTCGCTTTTCTAAGGCAAACTAGAAGCATTAATTAAGCATATCAAAATCGGCATTGTATTTGATATAACTTTTAAAAAAGTTATTTATCATTAAACAGACACTTTCTTCATTAAAGAAACACTCTTATATTTTGTTAATTAAGTATTTAGAGTTTTCAAATAAAAACAATCTTAATTTCGTCTCATTCTTTCTTACACTTTAACTATAAACTAGCAAAGTTCATACTTTATAAATTACTCTCCTAATTTATTAAACATTTTATCACACATTCAAAATAGAGTTTCACGTATAACTTTTCATCGCAGTATCTATCTTATAATGCTTAAAACATCATTAGTGCCTATGTAATTATTGATATTTAAAGTTAATACGCAATTTTCATTTAATTAACTAGCTATCAGTAGATATTTTAAAATGTTAGGTTTTTATTATAAAATTGTGACTACAGAAGGAAAAGGAAGTATTCTACTTAGCTTTCTACAAACATTGAACATCATAGCTTATCTTTTAGTATCATCCTCTTCTTAAAGCTTTAATAATAACATATCTTACAGTTTCCTTGAATAATTCGCAAATTTCCATTAGAATTTTTAATTAATAAAACAAAATAAAAGTTAATTAAAAGTATTCTGATTAAAACTCTATTTATAGCACCATAATTTTAACATTTAGTTAATTATACTAAATTCATGTTATTCCAATTGAATATAGACTATGGCATGCTTAATAATTTCGATTCTTTTTTTCGTAAACATTTTTCAGCTTTTTACAATTACGCTATTAATTAAGTTCTCTTGATATTGTCTTATTAATCATTTTTTAAATTAGATTATTATTCAAAATGAACTGCTCTTTAGTTAGAATGAATATAGAATCTGTATTACATTATTAAATTAACTTAGCATTATATCAATATATTCCATAAACATAATCTTTCTATGATAACTTTACTAATATAAGTGTATTATGTGCAAGTACTAACCTAAGATTTCTTAGATCACTAGTTATAAATTATAAACCATTAACATATTAAATATCAATAGATAATTTCTATTTCATCTGTTAATCTATGGTTTCTGGATTCTATATATAATTTATTTAAAATCTAGAAATAGTTAATGTTTTCTTATTATTCTAATTAAGTAATTAATTTTTATTGATCATTGGAAGACTTTACCAAAATTATCCTGAAAAATCAAACATAATATTAAATACTTAACTCTTGTTTTTCGCTTGTAAAATAATGAAAGAAATGCAAATTTTTGATTTTAAATTATTCAACATTTATTTTCGATCTAAAAAATGTGTCTTATAGTAGTAGTATGTTTTGGCGTTATGCCAAAACTATATATTTTATATTAAATTGCTCACATTTAAATTATTTTATTTATACATGCTTATCATGAATTAATAGTTATTTTTCAAGGCGATTGCAAATATAAAGCTAGAAATAGGTTTTAAAATAATTAAAATTATTAAATTTATTTAGTTTGAATATTTCTCACTTTAATTTTGTAATGAATTTATTATTATACTTGGTGTACAAATGATTATAGTCATTAAGTAATTTCATAGAATTTAGAAGTAATTCGAAGAAATATCTATGATGGAATTAATTTATTACCTGAGATATCAAGAAAATGAATATGTTTTTTTTATTAAATATTAATGAAGAGCTCTTTATATTTTGTATCATCTGTAAAGCAATCTTTTTGGAACAAAAACTTGAAGTCTTTGGTTAATTATGATTTTCATAAATTGTCAGAAGATCAATAAACAGTAGTTTTATTTAAATAAGGATAATTATTTAAGAGAGCAACTCCGAGAAGATATAGGATTTATAACTAACACTTATTTTATTTTAGAGAGGTAGTGATCTATATTTTACTAGTTGTCTATTACAGAATGGTGAAATAGGAGGCTTTCTAGTTCTTAAAAATGTATATTGTTCTTTTAGAAATAATGAAAACTAATTAATAATCACATTGTCCCATGATCAATCTCAACTGCAGATTTTTACAGGCAATAAAACAGAGGAAGTTTAGAACTTTGTTAATGAGTTGAAGTTAAATTGCATCTAAGAATAAATTATAGAAAATTTTTACACAATCAATCAAAAAATAGGAGAGGGAGTCACGTGTGAGGTGTATTAAATTTGTAATTTTATTAGGTCTTCCTTGGAATTAATTAACAAAATTAGAAATTTGTAATAAAAAGAGTAGCAAAAGCACCACTTGGACATAAAATGAGAGATAGACAAGCCAAGAGTCTTGCAGAGGAAATCTTTATCATGAGAAGTCTGGATTATCCAAATATTCCCAAATTATATGAGGTGTTTGAATCCAATAGTATCTTTTTTAATTATAATTAAACAAGATTACATTGAGTTAGTAATGACTCATTATGAAGGTGGCATTTTATATGAAAAGCTTTTAAATTTTAGTCTATCACAGAAATAACAATTAGTCAAAGACATACTAGAAACAATGAACTATGTTCACTTTTAATAAATTATGCATCGAGATTTGAAGCCATAAAATATTATGTTTAAAGATAAGGATCCAACAAGTACTGACATTGCCATTATTGATTTTGGGTTTGCAACAAACTTAAATTATTAGGAGCATATCCTTTACAATTGTGGTACTCTTGGTTATGCAGCACCAGAAGTATAGGAATATAAGGAAAAATAAAAAATGTATACCACCTAATGTGATGTTTATAGTTTAGGAATTATCATTTATGAAATGTATCTGTATTTATTAATTAGATTCTTCGGAGTTCATCCCTTTAGAAACTCTAATCCTGGGAGTCTTACTTTTAGTGAAAAAGTCAAGGTTCCACAATCTTTAAAGAATCTTTTAATTTAAATGACTAGATTCCAACCAAAATTTCGATTTACCTTATAGGAATGTTTAGAATAGGAATTTTTTCGAGAGGATCTTGATTCCTTAGGGTTGGATGGCTTGTCAAAATACAGTTTGGTCAATTCGATTCATTAAAAACCTCTTAATATATCAAGAAAAAACTCCATTGAGCCTTCTGTAAAATAAGAGAAATTAAGTAAACATGACTCTACTAAAATCAAAACAGTAAATTCTACTGCAGCAGAATCTAAGAATCTATAAATAAGGAACTTAAATCTTTATGACGAAGAATATTAAGATGATCTTTAATTTATTGAAAATCATAATTTTCCAAACGATTTTAATAATTTTATCCAAAAAAGAATATGAAGGAAATCCTTATGATAATCTTATTGTATTAATTGTCATTTTTACTTATAACTATATTATTAAATTATCAAAAATTATTAATTATTCCTTCCAATCTCATATCAGTGCTAAATTATTAATTATACAATATATTTTCAAACCTATATGATACNAGGTCTTCCTTGGAATTAATTAACAAAATTAGAAATTTGTAATAAAAAGAGTAGCAAAAGCACCACTTGGACATAAAATGAGAGATAGACAAGCCAAGAGTCTTGCAGAGGAAATCTTTATCATGAGAAGTCTGGATTATCCAAATATTCCCAAATTATATGAGGTGTTTGAATCCAATAGTATCTTTTTTAATTATAATTAAACAAGATTACATTGAGTTAGTAATGACTCATTATGAAGGTGGCATTTTATATGAAAAGCTTTTAAATTTTAGTCTATCACAGAAATAACAATTAGTCAAAGACATACTAGAAACAATGAACTATGTTCACTTTTAATAAATTATGCATCGAGATTTGAAGCCATAAAATATTATGTTTAAAGATAAGGATCCAACAAGTACTGACATTGCCATTATTGATTTTGGGTTTGCAACAAACTTAAATTATTAGGAGCATATCCTTTACAATTGTGGTACTCTTGGTTATGCAGCACCAGAAGTATAGGAATATAAGGAAAAATAAAAAATGTATACCACCTAATGTGATGTTTATAGTTTAGGAATTATCATTTATGAAATGTATCTGTATTTATTAATTAGATTCTTCGGAGTTCATCCCTTTAGAAACTCTAATCCTGGGAGTCTTACTTTTAGTGAAAAAGTCAAGGTTCCACAATCTTTAAAGAATCTTTTAATTTAAATGACTAGATTCCAACCAAAATTTCGATTTACCTTATAGGAATGTTTAGAATAGGAATTTTTTCGAGAGGATCTTGATTCCTTAGGGTTGGATGGCTTGTCAAAATACAGTTTGGTCAATTCGATTCATTAAAAACCTCTTAATATATCAAGAAAAAACTCCATTGAGCCTTCTGTAAAATAAGAGAAATTAAGTAAACATGACTCTACTAAAATCAAAACAGTAAATTCTACTGCAGCAGAATCTAAGAATCTATAAATAAGGAACTTAAATCTTTATGACGAAGAATATTAAGATGATCTTTAATTTATTGAAAATCATAATTTTCCAAACGATTTTAATAATTTTATCCAAAAAAGAATATGAAGGAAATCCTTATGATAATCTTATTGTATTAATTGTCATTTTTACTTATAACTATATTATTAAATTATCAAAAATTATTAATTATTCCTTCCAATCTCATATCAGTGCTAAATTATTAATTATACAATATATTTTCAAACCTATATGATACAGAGACATTCTAAAATTAAGAGTGACAGTTAACCAATATCGTCCACAGGGAAAGTTAATGCTAAATCATTTCATTCTTTAAAGGTATTACATAACACATTATTTTGAGAAAATGTTGTACTTTTAACAAAATACTAAGGAATCCCCTGTTATTATTGATAATAAATACCTTCTATTGAATGTTATATATTAAGGGAAGAGTTCTACAATCTTTGAAGGTATTTTTTATATTAAAAAGCCATCAATTTAAATAAATAATCATCTTGTGTAATCAGGATGACTATACTTTCCAAACCAGATAATAGTACTAAAATACTTTAATATTTTACCAATTAACATCACATCTAGAATAAAACTTAAGAAGATGGAAAACATATTAATAAATTAGTTTCACATTTCTAAGATTGTCTTCTCAAGTTACTTGATCATGGGATTTTTTTAAATTAATATAGGTATTAAGTTCTCAATAAAACTGGACCCAGTGTCAAATTCTGGTTTCAATTTTTATAATACGATTTTTCTTATGATTGTATTATCTTGATAATTTTGAAAACAGTATTATTTTAAATTATTTTAGATAGATGCATTACAATTAATACATTCAGCAAACTTCTTACATATGAATCTTAATTTGGCAAGCTTATTGACATGTTTAGATAACTAAAAGAATCTACTTCTCACTAATTTTTAGTAATCATACTAATATAAAACTAATTCAAAATTATCCTAAAATTCATTAAAGCTTTGTAAATATTCCAGTATAGGGTAACATCTTGGTTAATGTAATTGCTTATTTTAAAAAAAGAATTACATCCAAAGGATGATCTCGAGAGTCTTCTCTATATTGTGATTCAATTATTAACAAAAGGTGAATTCTTTGGCTAATCAAAATAGTTTAGAAATTAAGCAGATAAAATTCATTACTATTTTAACTTAAAAAATTCCCTATTACCAGAAAAGATTTTGAAGACCTTTCCTATATGTATAATAGAATTTGCAAATAGAATTAAATCTTTAAGTAATTTATTTTCGAAATTAGATCCCATCGAAATTCCAATTAATTATGAATATCTTAAAGCTGTGTTCAAAGGATACAAAGACATTGAGTATGATTGGGTATTTGAAAAAACTATTTTAGACACCAATAATTGCTGGGGTAAAAAGTTAATCTTAAACTTAATCTCAGTCTCTATAATAATTTGAAGATAATTTTAAGATTACTTCTTTAATTACTATTCCAGAATCTAATCAAGAATCCATTCCAGAAGGCTATAAGTAGTTAGTCAAAACTTAATAATCCATAGGCGATTCTATTGATACTCATCCCGACACATCAGAATCTGATGGAGAGTTATCATCAACAGATGAAACAACTGAAATAAAAAAAATATACTTTTTTGAATGATTAACAATCTTCAAGTTAAACTTATGGATATTTTATTATATGCTTTAAGTTGTAATTATTTATTTGTTGATTAACTTAAGAAAGGAATCTATTGAATACTCCTATTTAAATAAGTATTATAATATTAGTATTGTCATTCTTTAACAAAAATAAACATAGTAATTACTACTAGTTATAGTCTATGCTTCTATTCTTCATTACTCTATGCTATATTAATCTCATTATACTTTAATTGGATTTAGTGTTAAATTGATTGATAAATTTTCTGATTATAATTTTATTTATTATTATTATTATTAAATTTTAGTTGGATTTGATAAAAATGGCTTGAGGATTTTAAATTAGAGAACTAGAAATTCAAATATTTCCACTTTTAAAAAATTTATAAATTCAATTTCGCATATTTCAAATTTACCCAAAGGTTTGAATGATAGTCCATTCAGCAACTCATTTATACAAAAGATCTATTAAATAATTTAGCATTTAATATTTCAATAATAAGAAGATAAATTTTTGTATCTTGCAAAGTTGAGAATAGTAAATTCCTACTTTGGATAATAAGACATTTAAAAATAATCATAATTTACATTTTTTAGTGAAATTATTATTCTTATAAGACAAATTTAAGGAAATAATGCGTGCTATCATAATTAAATATCTTCGACACTCAATTCATTAATTTTCTTTTCTGTAGTAATTATTGAATTAAAGTTATATAAGTAATAACAAAAAAATAAGCCTTTCTAATCTTAATAAAAAATTCATTAGGTTTGAAATATGAAAATATATTCCATAAGTTAGTAGGTTTTAATTTAATACGAATATTCATTGTTCTTATAATTCGATGTTCGCTTGTTAAAATGATAATTTAATTTAAGAGTCTTTCAATAAAAATAAATATATAATAAATATTTACTAGAAAATATCATTTCAAAGGAACTATTCTATTAATTAATTTTTCTTAGAATCTTTTTCCATAGATATCTGGTTCTTGCGCTGAAGTATCTAGTTGGATATTCATTGTAATAATCTTTTTTGTTTTTCTTTCTAAAGATTTATTGACATTCCATTATTACAAGTAATCGATAATGGCAATATGATAATATATCTAATTAATAATATAATATACTCCTTTTTCTTTGATAGATGGGATAATGTTCATTTTTTGACCATCCAAATGCTTTTACAATTCATTTTCTTTCTAATCCCAATCGATAATCATAACAAGAAGGGAATAGTCAATCAATTTTTATTTTTCTAAAAATATTGAATCATTAATTAGAGATTGATTGAGTTCTAAAAATAGAATTAAACAAAACTTTTGTAAATCGATTCATCAATCCATAATTGTTGTTCAATCTTAAAGAAATCAATATCCTTTAAGGTCATCTATGAGAGATCACTTGAAGGTTTCTTAATTAGTACTTCTCTATCATATTCAGAGCCTTTCATATCGTATGTTCTCAGAATTTAACTTCTTGGGATGCCTAATGAAATATTTTTCATGATCAGAAAATGTACTCTTGAATTAGATTATTCTTCTCTTTCAAAAGTATACATTCCATAAATTTTATTGAGTAAAGACAAAGGATTGTTTACTTGATAGGTAGCAAAATTGTAGAGTCTCTTTTTGTAGGTGTTCACTTCACTTTGCCTCATAGTTTTGATGATCAGTTGATTATTATAAGAGAAGAAGAAGAATTCACCACTTTTGCCTCCATCTGGTCCTGTAAATTGATCAATTTTAGAAGAGTTCTTGATTAAATCAAAGCAATCATCAATATCTATGTTATCTATAGTAATGAAATAGTTGAAAATCTTAGGTGCATAAAGTATACATCGCATAGAGAATACTTCAATTTCCTAGTCAATATTCAATTTCTCTTTTAACACTTAATTATTTAAGTTGGTGACTAAACATTCTTCTATTTCTTCAATTGTAAAGGGTTGGGAAATGGCTTCCATTAATTCACTTAAGTCTCCTTGACTGGAATTGCTTCCACTCCCATCTTAATCTTCAGTAATAACCAGATCTCTGTATTAGATTACATCTTCTTATTTTTGTCTTCTAAGTATTTGAACTCCAGCCAACATTGAGGTTACTTAAGTTTTCTTCATTTCTTTATGTAATTATTCTAAAACATTGAATTCTACATTAATAAATCAAAGTTACGTTATAAAGAGATCTCTTAATTATCATTGACTATGTTGTTATCTGCTGTTTAAGAATGGCTGGACAGCAAATTAAGTGATGGATCTTTGAAAATGATGATAGTTTATCCAAGTATGCACAAAGCTTGAGTGATGTTTTGTAAAGTTCCAGAAACTTATAACCAAGCCTAAAGAAATATGTAACAATTTAATAAATTAATTGCACTAAAGATTCCAAGTAGTAATTTCATAATTATACTAAACCCTATGAACATTTAGTAATATCTTAGGTATTAACCTCTGGCTTGTCTCATTGTTGAGAACTTCGGAATCAACTTTTTAAAGGTTATAGCATAAAGAACGGACATGGTTGCAAATAAAAGGAAAACAAATAAATAGCTGAGTGAGATTATGAGATCCCAAGTTACACTATCAGTAGCTGATATTGCACATATTCTAAATTAAATTTATGATACCCATTTAAAGTAGTGGACACTATTTTTTCTCCTAATATAACAATCAAGAGAATTAAGGCAAGAAGCGAATAGTTGAAAATTCTCAAGATTCTGGCTGTTGATTCTAATGCATTGTAAATTAAGGCCAAAGGATAGGCAGCATAAACAAATATGTTAAGATTTGAAATCATAAAAACAATTGAAGTTGCGAGTCCTGTAATCTATTTTATTTTTGCAATTACCTCGCAAAATGCGTTCTACATTGGAGCCTCATTAGTTACAAGCACATAGATGGCCGTTGAAAACTAGGCAGCACTTTCAATGCCATTGGTTATTGTAATAACAAAAACACTATCTCCAGGGATTCCAAACAGTTTAGTGTTCTTTAGAAATTGGTATATTATTCTTGAGGATCCAAAAAAAGTTACGGGAGCTTTGTTAATACATTTATTTTATACATAGTAAGATGAAAATCCAACAATCTATTGGATGTAATTTAAGTTTTTAATCATTATGTTACTATTTTTAAAGAGGGATTTTGCAATTATAGAGTTAATCTTCAGTGTACATTTTGGCGATTGTATGAGTAATGAGCAGAAGAAATAATATCGAATTTATATTCATAATAATTATAATCAATTTTATCATAATCTTTTTCTATATTATGGAAGAATGAGCTGTTATTGCTATTAAATGATTTGTTGAATAAGTTTATTTTTTGGAGATATCGTAGAGGAATTTAAAGAGTTGGCTTTTTGCATTATTCGATGGCTGTAATTCTTTTAATCATAAGTTTCCATCCTTTATCTGATGGTTGTCTTTTATTCGCATATTTCATTGGCTTGTTGAATCTTTCTTAAGCAAATCTGCAAGGTAGATTAGGATTTTCTCATTACAAGGGTTTTTGATTCCTTCTTTACGAGTTTATCAGGACTTATAGAACTTTGTGTAGATTCTGATAGTTGAGGCAGTATCAATCTTTAAAAAGATTAAGATTTTCTAAATGACTTTTTAGGTGATTCTATTTTGCTATGTTCTGAGTCACCTTTCATAGGAGAGACCGATGATACCAACTAAATCATCTGATGATTATTTCCACAATCAACACTAAACTTGTGTTTTTCATGATATTTCTTTTTCGGAGAATCCAATGCTGGTTATGAAGATATTTTATTAATTATCTATTATTGTATCTATTACTGGTATTAGAATTACTCTTCACTTTTTTATTAGGTAAGCAATGCTGTTAATTAAGAGAATCTAATTTTACCTTTGATTTCCTCATGTTTCTATTCAAATTTTGTTTGGCTCTTTAAGACTAAAGGTCTTAAGAGTTTACTCTTATGTTGTATCTATTTATGAATAGACGTTTCAGAATACGTTTGACTTTCCGGATGGCTTTCTGATCGATTGCGATGCTCAGTCAATTCGCCACTCCTTTTTAGATATTTGAAGAACATGATCATTTTGATATACTGAATCATCTTCTCTTGTAATTGCTTGCATATACCAAATTCTCTCAAACCCATAGGGATACTATCCTGAAGACGTCTTGTGATCCATGGATGTGAAAGAGCTTACAAGGCTGTGTAGCGACGATGAGGATCATAGCACAAAAGACGTCTCAGGAAATCCCTAGTTAATGATGACGTATTATTGGGTTCATCGTATTAAATGTTGGGAAAACTCTATATAAATTAATTCTTTGTAGAAAATTTAGGATAATATGGGTGTTTCTTTTGTAATAGCATGTAAAGAACAATTCCGCAGGACCAAGTATCTACAGTTTTGTTATATGACATATTGAGGATCTACTCGGGTGCCATGAAAATGAAGGTACCACATTAATGAGACACTGTTTAATAATACTGGATCTCTGCATCATATTGGAAACTTAGCCCGAAATCAGCTAATTTAATGGAAGATAAGTCATTTTTATTTTTGATTAAAATGTTATCTATTAATTAATAACCATATTTAGATACCAGGTTTGATGTCTCGATGAATGATCCCTTGACCATGCAAATACTCCACTGCTGATAATAAGGATCTCATAATGCCTATTATTTCATCTTCTGAAAGCTTCTTCTAAATATAATCCTTCAGTGTTCCACCTGAACAATACTCCATAACCAAGTAAGACATGTTCCCAAATTTTTATTCCTAAATTCAGCACTATTTTACCTTTAGTAGTCTTATTATGTTGGGATGATCTATTTTTTCTAGAATAGATATCTCAGAAAGGAAGGAATTTTGAATTATCTGGTGCTATCACTATACAATCCTTACTTTAACTGCTACTTCCTACCCATTTAAATTCCCTTTATACACTTATCCGAATGAGCCCTCTCCTATCTTGATTGGATCTTTCACTCCTATCTCTTCTAAGTGTTAAGTTTGCATTATTATTTTATATAATTATTATTTTCAGCATAATTCATATAAACCAATATCTTTCTATGTTTCACTTAGTAAGAATATTCCGTTTTTATTTTTTACTACTGTTTACTACAACACATTACTTCCATTCTTACTCGGACAATCAAGCAGTTCTCCATACTTGTCCAATAGAAGTACTTTATTTTTTTTAATCAAAATCCCTTTTATTTATTTTGAATTTTCAGCAATAACTACCAAAACAAATTAATTTTCTTGTTTTAAAATAATCATTTCCTTGATCCTATTATTAAATAACTATAATATCTATCACCTTAAATACCTAATGTTCTCCAAGTAAACTGTTCTTAAACACATTGTACAATCTTACTTATCCATCCCAACATCCATAGCAAATAATTAATTCATTTTGAAAGTCTACTCCAATACAAGTGCTTATATTAGAAATTGGAATAGCAGGTTGAATCGATTCTAATTAGCAATTTACCAATTAAGTAGCATTTTGTTAATTCCCACTCAATTTCAAACTATATATAGACACAATATTTCCTTGTGAAATCGTAGCAAATCTCTCAAATTTATTTAAATACACAAACTCTACTAATTAACCTTTATAATCAAAGTCACACAATATTCTATTATCATGATAATTTATTATTTATAAAAAGGTATCACTTTAACAAAGAAAATGAGACGAGTCAGCTAAATCCATGATATGATTTAACTTTTATTTAAAACCAACTAGTTTTCTTTCAGGATAAGGTACATAATTTTCACCTAATGTCCAAATTATTGCATAATTTTCATCACTCAATGATGCCAATCTAATTCCTTTATCTTACTTAAGTACAACTAATTAATTGATGGGTTTTGAGTGTTTTATGTAAGTGTTTGGATAAAAACTCACTTTACTAGTGTTCATATCTAATAATTTCACAGTTCCATCTACTAATCCCAGAGCTACATGAGAATAATTAACTAGGGCCATTGTCTGAACCTGGAATTCTATACTCAACTTTTTCTTAATCCTGAATTTAGCACTTAGATGATTCTAGGAAATGATTTATTTAATACATTACTTTTGTTTGGTTCTATTCTTATATGATTCTTTAATCCAATACTTGTGCATTAAACTTTGGAATTTCCAAATTAGGTTGTAAGTTTGAAATAGGTACTTTAGAATCAATAAACTTGATTGTTGTTTTGTTATCATCAATTGGTACTGGTCTTTCAGAATAGCATAATTCTAAGGACTTGCTTTTGATAGGGGTAAGAGTCTAATTGTTATATGAGGGAGGGATTTCCAAGAGAGTTGATGTTGGGATGGATAGATTCTTATTAAAATATTCGGTGATTGAATTTTGGGTTTCATTTAATAATTGATTTAAAATGGAGGTGTTTATTTTCATCTCTTATGATTTTTTGAATATCTCAAAGTTTAATTTCAACATTGATGGCTATTTTTATTAGAGTTATTTGATTGAAATCTTGACTTACGATCCTAAATCTGGCTTAGTGTGTAATTTTTACTAGATATTGAACATATGTTACTTTCAAGTTATTCTCATTAGTATAATATTTGCACTTAGTCAATAAAAAATGGATGGGTTCAATTTGTTCTTTTAGGATGAATAAGTTACTTTTTTAGATTTAAAGATAAGAATCTAGTTTGTTGAATAATTCAGCTTTCTGTGCGTCAAACTCTTTGCTAATTGAGTTCAATGTTAATTTGATATCAGAATTAATCTGATGCTTTAATTATGATATCTACGCCTCAATATTACTGATGTGTTCATCAGACGATAATAGTTGTTATAAGACCTAAGACTCTTGTTTAAAGAGATCATTGAATTAATGAGCTTCATTGATATTGTTTTGGATGTTCTTACTCATTTAGGTAATGTACTGTGGATAAGGGATTAAGAATTGATTATGTTTGGTATGTTGTGAGATGGTTGACTAATCACTCAAACAAATTTAACACATAAAAGGGAATGCTTGGCATTCTAAATCAAGACAGGCGTATGTTACATGTTATTTGTGTTGAGGACATATTAAATTAACATTCATTTTAAAATTAAATATTTATAATTTGGTTGTTCACACTCATGCATTCTAAAATACTTAAATGATTATGTTATTTTAATAACATGGATTACAATATTAAATGAATTAAATTAAATAATAATAGCACTTTTTGAACATCTTAAAATAATATTAGGAAAGATTGGTTGAATTGACTAATAAAAATGAAAACAAAACTCTTATGATTATAGAATTGTTAAATAAGGAAGAATAATTGCAATAGCAGATATAATAGATGCAGATAATCATAGATAAATTGACAGAAGAAAATAATCAGTTAAGGGCAGATATGTTGCCTTATGGGTCTATCAGTGAGGTTAAATAATTAGTGGAATAATTTAAATAAATACATGCTGAATTGTCTCAGTGAAAATTAAACCCATATTATATTAAATTGTTTATGTTGATTATTTTCATTTTTCGTAATGTTAATGCTTGGTTATAGGCACAAACTTAAAGCTTTTTAATCCTTGTATTTCGAAAGACCCATTGATAATCACATTGTCATTGCCCCATTCAAACGTATCCCATTTCAAATTCTCAAAAATCACCTTTTTCTATTCTTTTGGCAGAGGAACCTAAAATATAAATAAGAGAGATATACTCCAAATTTTTAGAGCATCTCAATGTCTGATTGTTGAGGATACAAGACTTCTTGTATTGTGAATACGTGAGAGTCTAGAAATACTTCTTCAGCAATTTTGGAAGAATCCATAGATATTTCATATCTTCATAAGAGAATTAAAATACTTTTTGTTATGTGTTTCAATATATAAACAATGGGTTTTTAATTTATACGAAGTTCTGCTTGGCAATCCTTGGGCTGTTTATCTATCCATGAAAGTAAGTAAATTGTATTTTTAGCTTGGCTCATTGCACATATCCCATACTATCCAACCTTCATTTAATGGAGGCAAATTATTAACTAATAGATTTTCAGGATATGAAATCTGAGGAGGTTCATGCAAATATACAGTTGAATGACTTCTCTTAGTTAATCTTCTGTTTTAAGGCAAAGACATTTTTTTGGCCCAACTTATTAATTATTCTGGAGAACCCAATTGAGGTAACCATGTAACCTTTTCTGGCTTCAAACAATGAGCACAAGGAGTCTTCAAGGATCTAGACAACAAAGGCACTTTCATTTATCCATTTAATGATTTCTTTCCTTTAATAACTTTACAAGATAAACTCACTCCCTAATAAAATGCACTTGTTAATTTCAAGTCTCCTAAAGCTAATAATCCAGCGTGGATTCCAATACAAACTGCATCACTATGACTAGCATAAGCTCCATTAGAACCCCAGATTTGACGCAATATAAGAGCAGGATTATTTTTATTAATATATTCACAGGCTATCTTAATATCGATTATTGAATTAATGTAGTTTGATAGATTTGGTAGTTCAGCGCCAGGCTTATATAAAAATGTTGCAGTGGCAGGAGTTTAAGTTGAGATGGGTTTTCTGAGTTTGGCTTCTCTTTTGTTGAATCCCTTGGGCCCCAAAATGGGTTACTATTTATTCTTCATTCTCATGCCTGAAATACAGATATCTATTACCGTCATATTATGATAAGTCATCATCGTCTATTGGACTGTCGTAGTCTTCTGAATTGTTTTTCTTCCTCTTCTCTCTTTAAGGTCTTTTATTGTTTCTCCTTTAAGAAGAACTTCTTGATGACTAGCTGCTATGGGATAAGTTTGACATTTTAATTATAATATATTTATCACTCTTATTTCAATTCAATAGTTTTGCTAAATCTGAACAGAATTACTTCTAGTCTTATCTTCCTTTACGCATGAATCGTGAATATATTTTCTTATTGTTATCAATTTTGATTTATATCCATTCTTTTTTTAATGAGAATTTCAACATCTCCATGATTCTAACTGGTGCTAAAAAATTATTTATTTGATAACTCTAATTGTTCATTTATTTTAAGGTGAATGAATCAATTTTATTGTATTAAATATTGGCTGATTTTATTCATTTTTTCTCATTATTGATCTGCTTCATCAATTATTAAATATCTTAATTTCGAAACATCTATGAAAGGATTCTCCATCCCCACCAAAATTTTAGAAATGACAAAGATAAAATTGAATATCAGATCCTTTTAGACTATTTTCTTCAATTATTGAAATTTCTGAAACACATATTCCCATATTTAATAGATTATCCTTTGTTAATGCAATAATATTTAGATTTTCAAATTCTATTCATTCAATCTATCAGATATGTATCTTCGAAAGCTCTCTTCATATTATTTCTAATAGATTTTTAATCCTATTATTATTGCATAAAGATGGAGGATTTGAGTTTCCCTCACTCTGATGTCTATTTACTTCAAGTCAAATGTTATATAATGCTTCTCTTGGAATGATCGAGAAATAAGAAAATAAAAGCAAGCAGAGTGTGTTTAGTTTCCTTGTGCTATTTTTCCTTGTGCTATTTTTAATTGACATCCTAGCTAAACAATATTGAATAAACTCATATTAATGAGAGTAAACTTTAGGTTCAATCAATTTAAATCATCAATTAGGTCAACTTATAGAATGCCTTCTAAATCAGCTCAATCTCTATCTTGCTAATCTAATTTTTGATCCATAAATTATTTAATGCAAAATATTAAAAATGTTATCCTTCAGTTGATCAAATACAGCATTGTGGATGAACAAATTTAAGAAATACTCATTTAATGTAAGCAAACTCAATATCCAATTAGAGCTCCACTAATAGTAAGATTAACTAGATATTGCTGTTTTGGCAGAATAAATTGAAAATACTGTTAGCCATTCAGATATCAATTTGATTCTAAAGCCAATCTAAGATGAGATTAATCAATAAAAATAGGCATCAGAGAAAATCGATAAATAACTAAAATAAGTTAAATTGCTTATGAGTCAACTTGACTATCAATGTCTCGGCAAAGCTAATAAGATGGATATCGAAATATAATAGCAAAATAATATTAAATTACAATCTTAAATTCAAGATTGCAATTCTAAAATTGCTCAAATTTTATAATAATAAGATATAATTACACAAAACAATCACTAACTTATTCAAGATCAATTTTTGGAATAAATAGAAACATTAGAATAGAATATTAAAAAAAGCGTGTTAGTAACATTGGATTCTATATATCAATGCAACTTTTAGAAATACGATAAGTTGCTTTAAAACTATGAAAAAATGACATTCATTTTAGAAACAAAGGCTGATCAATCTCAATTCGCTGAGATTATGTAATCAAAAGTCAGTATGTAGTAGTATCTCTAAACAAAAACTAAGTTGTTCGACACTCTGAATCATCTAAAGTACATGATGGAAGCTGTATTGTAGTTTTTCGAGGCAACGATATCAGAATAGGATTCAATAAATATGAGAAAATCAGATTAAATTAAATCGATCAATTTAATAAAAAGTATCATCATTAAGTTGATTCCAAATGAAGAATAAAAATAAATTCCTTAAAAATTTAATGTTAAATTGAAACCAACTATTTTTAAGACTATACAACATCAAAGAAGAATTAAAACAGAAATAAATGATTGAATATCATATTTATTAGAACTTACAATGTGTCGAACTAAAATTATTATTAATATGTTTTAATTATCATAAAACTATATCTTGGCATTAAGAAAAATCATCTGCCTTGACAAATCCATTCTCATTTTTTTCATTATTATTAGTGAATTAACAAGAAAGTTAAAGTGTGTGATCATTTTGAATGTTGCTCATTTTAATTTAGTGATTAGATTAGGAAAGTTTACTTGAGTGGGTTTTAAGATGTTTTAAATTAGTAAATGCTTATAAAAATCTCTGTTGTATCTAATTTCTCTGATTTTTTTTACTATTTAAAAATTTTGAGATAATTGATTTTTTTTAAGTTAATCCAGGGAATTAATACTATATAAAACGTTTGATATTATCAAATCTCTCAATGTATTTATGATAGTAAATTATAATTAGTTTTATGCTTACTTTTAGTAGTAAAAATATAAAAAATATGATAAAGATTATTTCTAGTAAAAAGTCCATCGTTGTTATTTAATTAATTTACGTTTAATATTTTAAACAACTAATTACTATTATAATTTCGCATAAGCAGATGCTATCTAATTCAAAACCATTTAAAGATTTAACATTATAGGGTTTTTATATAAAAACAGCAGTAAAATAAAATAATAAGATTATAAACATTATGCATCCTTTGGTAATGATTTATTCTTCGTTAAAATTCAAAGTCAATATAATTATTTATCTTTAAAATATTCTAAATATTTCCCAATAATAACATGACTCCTAATAGTCATTAAAAATATATCCCCAAATTTTACGAAATCTATCTGAATTAAAATGCTTTCTGATTTTGATTAATTTAAGTAGAATAATAAGAGGAAGAATGGCTCCTTCAAAAATCAACAATGGAATGATACAAAATGTCATCCAATTCTTATGCGTTTAAGTGGAGTATAGATATTAAACATTTTTATTTATATAAGTAATTCCTGAAATCTTTCTTTTTGCTGCTAAACTGCCTAATTCATTTATTATTTAAGGTTAGGTATAAAATAGCAAATAGAGTATTGCAGTGAAATATATTGTTATTGATAATTTGGCTTTTTTGAATAATATAACAACCAAATAAATGGTGATAAAAAGCAAGTAATAAAATATTGGTATTAGTAAATTAATCATTAGATTTATGTAGATAACTGGAACATTCGATTGTTAGCTATAAAAACAATCATATGAATATAGAGAGCTACCAACTGGATTGCTAAAAGGATTCAAAAAATCAATAATATTTGAATACATCTAAACTTGGAATGACTTTATTCCAATCAAAATTTAAAAATAGTTTACAATCATCTTAATTAAAGCAGCTGATTAATCTATAATATAGTATTACATTATACCTTATCCTTATCGAAATATGATTTTATAATGAACTGTAGTATATTTCAGTCGTTTAAAATTCATAAAGAGTAATTAGGCACTATTCACAGTTAAATATGTTGATAGCAATGTTCTATAGATTTAATTATAAAAATTACATAATTGTTATTACAATTGAAATGGCAGCTTTCCCAATAAAATTTTAACAATATTGGCATTTATAACTACTGTTTTGGTAATATTAACCAAACCCTCTTATATTATATATATCACATTCTTCACACAATCCTCCTATAGATCCTAACTAACATGAATCATCTCCTGTTTCCCAACCTCCTAAACAATTTTCAGGTTTTCTGATGCAAAATGAAATAAGCGAGCTCTTAGAAGAGGGTCTCCAATATCTTGGATATAATTCAATCTGATTAATTGTATTTTTTGAAATCATCTTTGGGTCTATTTTTAAACAATAAGATGCTTTTGGTTCAAGGGAATAATACCCTCTCTTGGCCTCGCATTATAAACATTATGATTCATAATAGTATTCTCCAACTTAACATGGAAATGTCTTAACATTTAATTAAAATTTGATCACTTCCTTTAATTAGATTACGCAAGTCATTTATAAATTTAAATAACTATCCTAATTGGAATAAGGATCAAATATGATAGTTAAGTTTTCAAAATTAAATGATTGATCTTCCTAATCATACTCAACTACAAAATCATTATATTTCCCATTTTATTATTATTCTCCTATAAAATATACTTAATTAATGGTGCAACTTGAAGTTTCATTCTCAAAAAGTAATACTTTTTCCTCTAGATTATTCACAAAATAAAATTTTAATTGAATATTATAATTTTGATAATTTTATTATTCTTTTGAATATAATTGATATTATCCTATTTTTTAGCCGCTTGGCAAATAAACGAAGTTTTCATTTAGGAATTTTTTAAGATTGGGTTGATATTTGCCTCCTAGACATATAGTTTCAATATTTGTTTGGAATATCGATAACATAATCTAGAGGGGCAATTCTTAAAGATTATCTATAGCAAACTTGCCTTTGTTGTCAATCAAGTAAATTTAAGAAAAACATGAGGTTTACAATTTTGTGCTATTTAAGAAAATAGCACCCCCAATATTTGCCTTATTTGCAATGAAATAAAGATTTTTTGTCTAAAGTTCCTGATAATATTGGGAATAATATCCTCCACCTTTAGATGCTGTATTTTCAATAAACTTGATGTTTTGTAAATCTAGATATGATGCCTATAAATTAAGTGAACCATTCATTGAACCTTGGTTTTAGATGAAGAGGCCTTGATTTAATTTTATTGATGTTGTTTGGTAAGTTCCTGTAGGAGTGGCAGAGAGACATGATTAAAGACCACAATCATTTTTAAAGAATAGTACCTAATTAAAGTTTATTGATTTTGTATATTCTGTGAATTGTAGATTGATTAAACCATTATAGCAATTAGAACAATTATTTTAAATAATCTTGAGATTATATAATTATATTCTTGATGTTATTTAGGCAACCATACGAATATCCAAAAATGAACCTTTTGTTTATTAAATGACATTTTAACAATTATTTATGTCTATTTCTCTTAAAATTAAAGAGCTTTAAGTCTTATAAGCCAATTAGTACTTTTATTCATTGCTAATGGATATAAATGCGGCCCCAAAAGATGTAGCCTGATTTATTTATATATTAGTTAAACGAAGATAATGGATAAAAGATAAACTAAATATAGAAACTGAGTACGAACCTGTAATCAACACAGAATCAATACTAATCTTGCTTTTAAATAATTAATTAAGGTTACCTATTAGATACAACAATCAGACCACTCTAACTTGAATTAGGGCTCTAAAAGTTCATTTATAGAATACGATTATAAAAGCTTTCTTCAATACTTATAGTGTTATTTTGAAATTCAAATGTATTATCACTCAGATAAAAATCACATAGAAAAGAAACCAAACTTTATTCTTATGAAAATGTATTAATAAAGTTTGAATTAAGAATTTTCAATTTATTAGATATTTATGAAGGAAGTAAATATATAAATCCCCCTGAATCTTTGCTTATAGAAAGTGTCACTGAGATATTTCTTACAAGCAAGTCCAATTCTGAATTTGTTGCATCAATATAAAAACTCCCACCAAAAGAATTTATACTCATGTTATTCCAACTTATTGCATTTTAAATAACAACATTCTCTATTAAAACTCTACTTTTTTCAAGTAAGACCATTAATAAACAGGCACCTTGATGTGCCATCATATTTTGAAAGATCAAGTCAAAAATTAAAATATTTTTAGCAATCAATTACCCCAATCCTCCTTATTGATAGATTTAAATATTCGAAAAATTCAAGTCTGTATTCTACTAATCTGTATTGATATCAAAAACTATTAAAGATTGCAATGTTATGGTTTCTGAGTTCAGATAAATGTGAGAATTTCTTGAATTTATAATTGTATTTTTTTTAAATTGGCCAGAGATTAAAGATATTTTGCTTTATTTTACGAAAATATAAAGTAAAGAAGGAGCTATAATTTAAGAATCCTCAATCTAATACTAAATAAGATTATGCTCATAATTGATCCTAGATAATTGAACATTGCAATAATATTCAGATTATATGTATAAAAGTGATGGCAAAGTAAATAATTAACTTTTAACAAGTACATTGTTGCTAACATTAAAATCATTTACTATAATACTTTAGTTAAATGTAACATCTTATTTGGATTATATATAAATTAAGGATGAATCCGCCATATATAAATTGGTTATCTCTATATTTGATAAAAATATTTCAATAAAGTCCTTAATAAACAAAAATCCCTTATTATTGATTGATTTATTTGAAACATGATCAAATAAACCTTATTATTCTTATTTGATTATACAATTCTTTATAATAATTTAATTAAAGTTTTTCAAACAAAATATTTGAATATTTCTATTATTTAATCCTGCAAAGTTTGTGATTTATATGGATTGGCTCTGAAAATCAAAAAAACAAATTGATTTATTAAAATCATATACACTATCCTCTTGAATAATATCACCTTATTCTAACATTATATCTTAAATTTTTATTTAACCTTTATAATCACTTCGATAGATAATTTTAAATGGGCTTTACCCCTATAGTGAAATTTTTTTTATTTGTATTTTTTAAAATAAATGATCAAAATTGGTTTCGCTCAGATATCCCTTTAGAAGTAAAAGAGTACTATTCAATAAATTCACATTTTCAAAGAGTAGTTCTTAAAATATTGTAGATTAAGTAGATTATATTAATATTCCTTAAGTAATTGTAGATTTGATTAATTTTAGTTATTGTATCTAAATTTAGCTGCTGAGAGGTATTTTAGCAAATTCTGAATTGATAAATTTTGAATCGCTGATACTTATGTTCTTAATTATTATTTTATTAAAATTGGACTGTTAGATGAAGGTAAAAAGGGAAGAATTTTCAAAGGAGCAATTTACGATTCTTAAATTATTGATCACAAACTAATAAACATAACTTTGATAATTATCAATAAGTATAAAAACACTATTTATAAATTTGCAATTCAATAAAGTGATATTATAAAATAATAGATTCGTTTTCTAGAAATCCTATTTATAAAAATTTTTAATAGAAATTAGTGATTATTATGAATTAATTAATTCATTTATGTAAATATAAGACATAGTTAAATTAGTGATATTAGTTATTTCAATTAAAGTTCTTTAACTAGTAATAGTTGAAAGAGTTATGTTGTTAATAAAAACCTCAACTCCATATTTAGAGGTGATATTCAAAATATTGTTTTCATTAATAAGGTAAAGGTTATGAATAATAACTTAAGATTAATTAAAAATTTGAATAATTTTTTCATAATATTGTTAGTTTTATCCATCATAAAAGAACTGTTAATTTTATAAAGAAAAAATTTATTCTCTGAGATTGATAATTTGCTCATCAGGTAAAAATGAATATTGAGCTTCGTATGTATAAATGTTTTTTTGAATTAGATATTACATCTCCAACTCTCTAACTTATTCAGATGAGGAGAATTAATTTTAATTGAAGATCTTTGTTATTTTATTAACATATCTGGCTCCATTTTAGGTTAATGGTTAAATCAATCCTAATTTCTGATGTATGTACGTTTCCTAACTTCCATAATTTTTGATACAATAATATGTTTAGCCTTTTGTCTATTCATTAACAATAAAATAAGGATTGATGAGAGTTATCTCTTCTAATGCTCTTTCTTTGCAAATAATACACGGATATGGGCACATCTGACATTTTTTATCGAAATAGGAGGATGATTGATAAAATTTTGATTAAGATTTACAAGTTTTACATATCATCCCATTTACATCAATAAGCCAATTTAAGCAATTTTTATCATTGGCAATTTTACAATTATCATAAAAATTTATATAGCCCTCTTCACATTCTTCTGAAATATAATATACAATAAAATATTATCCTGAAAGCAATATCGGAATTTTATCGGGCAGAAATTTATTATAGAATCCCATAACCTCATATTTCCAAGAATCTTAAGAGGATGTAAGCATTTAACATTTGGTTGAATGTGTAAAAATCTCAGAGCAAGGTTTGCAAATTCCATTTTTAAAATTGAGATAGTATCCATCTTCGCATTTTGTACATTAAACCATCTTTTAATTATCAGAAACACATTTAACACAGAACGAGAAATAAGCTTAACACCCAATTAATTCCAAAGCTCCTTCAATTATTTGAGCTGTTAATGAAGAACTAGTACAAATTAATTCATTATCTTAATTAATAAAGGCATTTAGGCATGGATATTCCAAACTCTTTTTTATGCATTGATTGATAGTAAAATCAAAAATATACCCTTAATGACAAAGCGAACACCCTATTATATAATCTTCTTCTAAATTAGATGCCAGGTTAATAAAAGGGGCTTTTCTTGCAGATACTTAATTCAAGTCATATAAGCTGTATGAAAAACAATATTTACAGTTTTCAATGTTACATGCTCTACATATTCCTTACCAATCACTAAAGTATAGTGTAGTATCCTTGCAGTAATAGCAAAGTCTAAAATTGCAGTAACCACAGAACTCATTGCATGTACCTTTCTAAGATCCATAATTTCGTCTTTCTATCACTTTTTGTGGCTAGCATTTATTAGTTTCATAGTCAAAATCTGTGTATATACATTCTATATATGTATCTTAATTCATGTGCTTTAAAGGAAATAAAATGCAATAAGCAAGTCCCAATTCTTGCTCTTCCAAATATTCTTCCTTTGAACAAAATACGCAATCTTCACAAGTAAATAACTCTTCGTCAACCAATAAATAAAAATTTGATTATGGAGAAGCAGAATCAGTAAAATCTCTATAAGTATTTTATTCATCCATATCTAACTATTAAGATTATTGATAACAAATGCCTTTTGAAATCCATGTATCTGGATATAGAAGACATTCTAGACATTATATGGATCCCTTTTATGATGCAGATGGACTTATTAATCAATAAATTATACCACTAAATGCATGAATCTAAAAATCGAAAGTACCCAAAAGCACATTAAACTGTTGGCTAAATTTCATCATACCTTGTATCTTTAGGTAAATAGATTTCAGTTTCTATTAAATTAAACTCAGATTACCCATGACATTAAACTTCACCTAAGTCTAAATACCATAGTTTGCATTTGCATGTATTAGTTTATGGATTTAATAGTCTATTTTTTGTAATATCGCATGACCAACAATGATTGCTGTTAGGCCCAAAACAAGTTTCACAAGAGTAATGACAATGGTAAAATGAATTACTATCATTGGAAGGACAAGTTGAATATTTTAAATTTATGAGATGGCCACTAAGAAAACTCTCACCTGTAGTTTATCCTAAGCTAATTGTAAATTTCGAGCAAGAAAACTAATTTACGTTTTCAAATTGATTGAGCAACTATTTATTTAGTAAATAGTTTCTCATTCTATAATTGATTTATTTATTTTAGTAACTAACTTATATTAAATGCCATGAAGTAAGAAATTCGCTACCAATTTCATATTGATAATTCTGAGTAAAATCCTAAATTTAAGTAGTTGAAAGAATGAACGGATAATTATAGGAATAGAATTAAAGACAATAATACCATTTTTAATTCTCACTTATATAACTAATTTAAAAACTCGTCAAATCTATCTTGTTCTCCAAGTCTAATTGATATCTAACATTCAATCTGATAATTTAAATTATTTAAAATGCTGCTAAAACATTATCAATTTGGGCCCAAACCTATATCAAATATTCTGTGTCATATTCTTAATCAATCTGTAATTATAGGAATTGGGTTTTATAATCATAATATTCGTTAATTAATGTGTAAAAATCCAATTCGCAGTCTTTTAAATTTGAAATATAAAATTCTCTTATCTCATTTTTTTCTAAAAGTATTAATTTCATTTTTCCTGGAAAACTGCTTAATAGATATTCCTCCTAAAAAGTGTTTTTAACGCTCTTTATATAATAATAATCTTACATTTAAACTCCCACCTAATATTAATTTAAACTCTTGGTCGAAAAAGCTCAAAGAAATAAGGCTTTTTTCCATTGACCATTCTTTTGACATAAATCCTACTATAATTTTTCTCTAAATTGTATCATAATACATATACTACATATACCATTTACCTTCATAATTATTGGAATCGAATTCAAACTCCTCTTCCATAATTTCATTTTTAATGTTAAATTTAACAATATGTATAATTTTCCTCTCTTCTGGTAGGAATTTTACGTAATGAATAAAAAGTAACACCTCTGTGAGTCTTTCATATCCTAAATATAATAGATAGGAGTTAGTTTAGCTTCGTTAAACAGGTCCTATATGAGATATATTGCTCAAAGGACAATATTTAAAAAGTGTTCCAATATATGAATCAACTGGATACCATATACTGTTTAAGGATATCTATTATGCATTCTAATCTATTTGATAAAGCTATTAGCTAGTTTACAATATTAGTATTAGTATGGTAAAACCAGTACTTAATTCATAAAATGAATACATGATATATTAATTAGCAATTGGGAATAATAAAATATTTTAAATAAAGTAAATTCAATCATTCTTAGTTAATAAAAACTTAAACTTAGATTGGAAAGATTGTCAAAGGTGAAAACACTACGTGAGTTTTAAGAATTTCAACCAATTCAATTATTTTCGATTATTATCAAAAGCATACTTCAAACTATGTTAATTTTATAGATATATTCGAATAAATTTTTACATTTATTGTTTAGAAATGTATTTGATAAATGTATATTAAAAAATGATAATAAATGAATCAACTGGGTTTGTAATTAGGTTTAGATGCTTGCACTTGATACATCATTTATTATTAACAAGCATTAGAGTATGCAGCTGGTTGGAGTTATTATTATTGCATTCCTGTAGCAGAGAATAAAGAATTGATTCCGCCCTATTGATAGTTATTACTGACCATTTGACACATTTACTTTTGGCCAAATAAATTATATGTATTTCTTGCAGATGCTTATTTTGCTTATTATAAATCTTAAATAATTCCAGTACATTTAGATGCAACATTTTGATTCTTCTGGATTTGTATCAACATATTATCAATTAATTTTTAAGCATCTTCATTCTTATTTAATTCACAAGCTTTTCTTGCATCATCAATTACTTCTGTTCCTTTAACTCTATAATATTATGCATAAACATCAATATCTGATTCATTATAATTAATTTATTCATCTTAATTAAAGAATGTTAATGTGAGACTAGTTTATTTCATAATAATTGTTCCATTAATTGGATCTTTTATTTTTAATACTGCATCTATAACTTTCACATTTCTTTGATTGTCTTCAATTTTCCCTTCAAATTTTGGAAGAGCCAATTCAAAAACATAATCTTTTCTTGTTCCAGAAGCAAGTTAAGGTTGAGTGATATAATATTGATTTCCTTTCTTTTACCACATATTTCCATAAGTTTTAGATATTTGAATATCTTAATAAGGCTAAGGGACTAAAGATTAAAGAGTTATTTCTAATTATTCACCTACAACAGATATTAATCCTCCCAAAGCATCTGCGAAGAATTCATCCAATAATGTTACATCTTATACAAAATAAAAACTTCCACTCTTTAAATTACAAATTTAAGCCATCATTTTAGCATCATGATCCTCTCCAAAACCAAATGTATGCAAAGTAAACCCTTCATTCACTGTCTTTATTTGCTCTTTTACTTGTGGATAAGTTGAGTCAACACCATCAGAAAGTAAGAAAACTGATGTCACATTATTTACATATTTTCTACCTTTTAACTAGGAAAATGCCATTTTAGTAGCTTTTGAAATATTATTGTCTCCAAATGCTTGAATTTATTTGATAATTTAAATAAAGTAACTTTTATTTTGTTTTGTTACAATCTTTAAAGGAGTTAATCTATGGGCTTTATCGTCGAATGTAATTAATTATAGTCTATCATTATCTCCAAGAAATTTGAGAAGAACAATTAACGATGCCTTAACCATTTCAATTTTAACTCCTACCATACTTCCACTAATGTCGATTAAGCATATCTAAATGAATATTCAATTATAATTACCAAATCTACTCCGACTCGCTAACTTCCCTATTTTTAAATGATAGTTTCCTCTTCTGCTTTTATACTTACGATTCCAGGCAAGTACTATGGTCTAGTTTTTAGTAATTTTCCCATCTTGTATAAGGCTTTAACTTCGAATGAAAGTTTTTCATTTAAATTAAATTAATTAGAAGTATATTTTTTCGGTTAAATCATTTCATCATCATTATAAGTGATCTTTTATATTTCACTATGACTTTTTTAAGCATATTAATCAGGTAGTGTTCTGTATTTTCTTAATTATACTTATTACACAGGACCATTAGTAATAAAGAGCAATTAATTATTATAAGGATTCATCACATTTGGAGCGCTTTATATCGCTGTTTATTATGCAATCTTATAATACTAAAAACAATTTAATTGTTGGCCTTAATGTAATTATGTCTTATTTTGAAGACTTTTTTGGACTTAAATCTAAAATTTTCAATTTAAATGCTACCTTTCTAGGATATTATTAACTATTGATATTTATCATGACTCAGATTTTATTTAATATTTAAACGCAAAAATTAAATTGCTTATAAAATAGCATTTATGTCAATTTCTGATGTTACTATTTATTTTTGAAATATATTCATTATATTTATCTGATTGTAATTCTGCTTTTTTGGAGTTTTTAATTATTATATCCACCAACCTTTATTTAAACAATCTACTTTTCTATGAATTTAATCGACAAAAAGTCATCTTATGTAAAATCATTAGGTTTTCTAATTCTTGAAAAGAAAAATTCACCTGGCTTATAATATGCATCTCAAGGAGTTTTTTATGTGTATGTTATACTTTATGTTTATGGGTGCATTACAATTCTTTGCTTTAAGAAAAATCGGTTCAATTTTTCTACACTCATTAACTCTCTATTTTGAGAGGAATGTAGGAATATATTTTAATACGAGTAGTTGTTCTATTGCAAGGTAGACCCATATAATATCATGTAATATTAAACCTTTCTAAAGACATTCTATTTTTAACAAAACCTATATTTTTGTATTCTTATGAGATTTGAATGAGAATTTATATTAAAAATTTATAAGAATTCGTTTTGATGAACTTGTAATGTATAATACAGAAAACTTTGGTTATTATTTTGGAATCTATTCCTTTAAATGATGGTATATTAATTTGAAATTTCTCAAATTGATAAATTAGAGAAGGAGTAGATATTTATAAAAAATGAATATGCTTCAAGATAAAAGATATAATGTATTTGATAGATGTATATAAAAAATAATAATAAATGAATCAACTGGGTTTGTAATTAGGTTTAGATGCTTGCACTTGATACATCATTTATTATTAACAAGCATTAGAGTATGCAGCTGGTTGGAGTTATTATTATTGCATTCCTGTAGCAGAGAATAAAGAATTGATTCCGCCCTATTGATAGTTATTACTGACCATTTGACACATTTACTTTTGGCCAAATAAATTATATGTATTTCTTGCAGATGCTTATTTTGCTTATTATAAATCTTAAATAATTCCAGTACATTTAGATGCAACATTTTGATTCTTCTGGATTTGTATCAACATATTATCAATTAATTTTTAAGCATCTTCATTCTTATTTAATTCACAAGCTTTTCTTGCATCATCAATTACTTCTGTTCCTTTAACTCTATAATATTATGCATAAACATCAATATCTGATTCATTATAATTAATTTATTCATCTTAATTAAAGAATGTTAATGTGAGACTAGTTTATTTCATAATAATTGTTCCATTAATTGGATCTTTTATTTTTAATACTGCATCTATAACTTTCACATTTCTTTGATTGTCTTCAATTTTCCCTTCAAATTTTGGAAGAGCCAATTCAAAAACATAATCTTTTCTTGTTCCAGAAGCAAGTTAAGGTTGAGTGATATAATATTGATTTCCTTTCTTTTACCACATATTTCCATAAGTTTTAGATATTTGAATATCTTAATAAGGCTAAGGGACTAAAGATTAAAGAGTTATTTCTAATTATTCACCTACAACAGATATTAATCCTCCCAAAGCATCTGCGAAGAATTCATCCAATAATGTTACATCTTATACAAAATAAAAACTTCCACTCTTTAAATTACAAATTTAAGCCATCATTTTAGCATCATGATCCTCTCCAAAACCAAATGTATGCAAAGTAAACCCTTCATTCACTGTCTTTATTTGCTCTTTTACTTGTGGATAAGTTGAGTCAACACCATCAGAAAGTAAGAAAACTGATGTCACATTATTTACATATTTTCTACCTTTTAACTAGGAAAATGCCATTTTAGTAGCTTTTGAAATATTATTGTCTCCAAATGCTTGAATTTATTTGATAATTTAAATAAAGTAACTTTTATTTTGTTTTGTTACAATCTTTAAAGGAGTTAATCTATGGGCTTTATCGTCGAATGTAATTAATTATAGTCTATCATTATCTCCAAGAAATTTGAGAAGAACAATTAACGATGCCTTAACCATTTCAATTTTAACTCCTACCATACTTCCACTAATGTCGATTAAGCATATCTAAATGAATATTCAATTATAATTACCAAATCTACTCCGACTCGCTAACTTCCCTATTTTTAAATGATAGTTTCCTCTTCTGCTTTTATACTTACGATTCCAGGCAAGTACTATGGTCTAGTTTTTAGTAATTTTCCCATCTTGTATAAGGCTTTAACTTCGAATGAAAGTTTTTCATTTAAATTAAATTAATTAGAAGTATATTTTTTCGGTTAAATCATTTCATCATCATTATAAGTGATCTTTTATATTTCACTATGACTTTTTTAAGCATATTAATCAGGTAGTGTTCTGTATTTTCTTAATTATACTTATTACACAGGACCATTAGTAATAAAGAGCAATTAATTATTATAAGGATTCATCACATTTGGAGCGCTTTATATCGCTGTTTATTATGCAATCTTATAATACTAAAAACAATTTAATTGTTGGCCTTAATGTAATTATGTCTTATTTTGAAGACTTTTTTGGACTTAAATCTAAAATTTTCAATTTAAATGCTACCTTTCTAGGATATTATTAACTATTGATATTTATCATGACTCAGATTTTATTTAATATTTAAACGCAAAAATTAAATTGCTTATAAAATAGCATTTATGTCAATTTCTGATGTTACTATTTATTTTTGAAATATATTCATTATATTTATCTGATTGTAATTCTGCTTTTTTGGAGTTTTTAATTATTATATCCACCAACCTTTATTTAAACAATCTACTTTTCTATGAATTTAATCGACAAAAAGTCATCTTATGTAAAATCATTAGGTTTTCTAATTCTTGAAAAGAAAAATTCACCTGGCTTATAATATGCATCTCAAGGAGTTTTTTATGTGTATGTTATACTTTATGTTTATGGGTGCATTACAATTCTTTGCTTTAAGAAAAATCGGTTCAATTTTTCTACACTCATTAACTCTCTATTTTGAGAGGAATGTAGGAATATATTTTAATACGAGTAGTTGTTCTATTGCAAGGTAGACCCATATAATATCATGTAATATTAAACCTTTCTAAAGACATTCTATTTTTAACAAAACCTATATTTTTGTATTCTTATGAGATTTGAATGAGAATTTATATTAAAAATTTATAAGAATTCGTTTTGATGAACTTGTAATGTATAATACAGAAAACTTTGGTTATTATTTTGGAATCTATTCCTTTAAATGATGGTATATTAATTTGAAATTTCTCAAATTGATAAATTAGAGAAGGAGTAGATATTTATAAAAAATGAATATGCTTCAAGATAAAAGATATAATGTATTTGATAGATGTATATAAAAAATAATTAATAAATGAATCAACTGGGTTTGTAATTAGGTTTAGATGCTTGCACTTGATACATCATTTATTATTAACAAGCATTAGAGTATGCAGCTGGTTGGAGTTATTATTATTGCATTCCTGTAGCAGAGAATAAAGAATTGATTCCGCCCTATTGATAGTTATTACTGACCATTTGACACATTTACTTTTGGCCAAATAAATTATATGTATTTCTTGCAGATGCTTATTTTGCTTATTATAAATCTTAAATAATTCCAGTACATTTAGATGCAACATTTTGATTCTTCTGGATTTGTATCAACATATTATCAATTAATTTTTAAGCATCTTCATTCTTATTTAATTCACAAGCTTTTCTTGCATCATCAATTACTTCTGTTCCTTTAACTCTATAATATTATGCATAAACATCAATATCTGATTCATTATAATTAATTTATTCATCTTAATTAAAGAATGTTAATGTGAGACTAGTTTATTTCATAATAATTGTTCCATTAATTGGATCTTTTATTTTTAATACTGCATCTATAACTTTCACATTTCTTTGATTGTCTTCAATTTTCCCTTCAAATTTTGGAAGAGCCAATTCAAAAACATAATCTTTTCTTGTTCCAGAAGCAAGTTAAGGTTGAGTGATATAATATTGATTTCCTTTCTTTTACCACATATTTCCATAAGTTTTAGATATTTGAATATCTTAATAAGGCTAAGGGACTAAAGATTAAAGAGTTATTTCTAATTATTCACCTACAACAGATATTAATCCTCCCAAAGCATCTGCGAAGAATTCATCCAATAATGTTACATCTTATACAAAATAAAAACTTCCACTCTTTAAATTACAAATTTAAGCCATCATTTTAGCATCATGATCCTCTCCAAAACCAAATGTATGCAAAGTAAACCCTTCATTCACTGTCTTTATTTGCTCTTTTACTTGTGGATAAGTTGAGTCAACACCATCAGAAAGTAAGAAAACTGATGTCACATTATTTACATATTTTCTACCTTTTAACTAGGAAAATGCCATTTTAGTAGCTTTTGAAATATTATTGTCTCCAAATGCTTGAATTTATTTGATAATTTAAATAAAGTAACTTTTATTTTGTTTTGTTACAATCTTTAAAGGAGTTAATCTATGGGCTTTATCGTCGAATGTAATTAATTATAGTCTATCATTATCTCCAAGAAATTTGAGAAGAACAATTAACGATGCCTTAACCATTTCAATTTTAACTCCTACCATACTTCCACTAATGTCGATTAAGCATATCTAAATGAATATTCAATTATAATTACCAAATCTACTCCGACTCGCTAACTTCCCTATTTTTAAATGATAGTTTCCTCTTCTGCTTTTATACTTACGATTCCAGGCAAGTACTATGGTCTAGTTTTTAGTAATTTTCCCATCTTGTATAAGGCTTTAACTTCGAATGAAAGTTTTTCATTTAAATTAAATTAATTAGAAGTATATTTTTTCGGTTAAATCATTTCATCATCATTATAAGTGATCTTTTATATTTCACTATGACTTTTTTAAGCATATTAATCAGGTAGTGTTCTGTATTTTCTTAATTATACTTATTACACAGGACCATTAGTAATAAAGAGCAATTAATTATTATAAGGATTCATCACATTTGGAGCGCTTTATATCGCTGTTTATTATGCAATCTTATAATACTAAAAACAATTTAATTGTTGGCCTTAATGTAATTATGTCTTATTTTGAAGACTTTTTTGGACTTAAATCTAAAATTTTCAATTTAAATGCTACCTTTCTAGGATATTATTAACTATTGATATTTATCATGACTCAGATTTTATTTAATATTTAAACGCAAAAATTAAATTGCTTATAAAATAGCATTTATGTCAATTTCTGATGTTACTATTTATTTTTGAAATATATTCATTATATTTATCTGATTGTAATTCTGCTTTTTTGGAGTTTTTAATTATTATATCCACCAACCTTTATTTAAACAATCTACTTTTCTATGAATTTAATCGACAAAAAGTCATCTTATGTAAAATCATTAGGTTTTCTAATTCTTGAAAAGAAAAATTCACCTGGCTTATAATATGCATCTCAAGGAGTTTTTTATGTGTATGTTATACTTTATGTTTATGGGTGCATTACAATTCTTTGCTTTAAGAAAAATCGGTTCAATTTTTCTACACTCATTAACTCTCTATTTTGAGAGGAATGTAGGAATATATTTTAATACGAGTAGTTGTTCTATTGCAAGGTAGACCCATATAATATCATGTAATATTAAACCTTTCTAAAGACATTCTATTTTTAACAAAACCTATATTTTTGTATTCTTATGAGATTTGAATGAGAATTTATATTAAAAATTTATAAGAATTCGTTTTGATGAACTTGTAATGTATAATACAGAAAACTTTGGTTATTATTTTGGAATCTATTCCTTTAAATGATGGTATATTAATTTGAAATTTCTCAAATTGATAAATTAGAGAAGGAGTAGATATTTATAAAAAATGAATATGCTTCAAGATAAAAGATATAATGTATTTGATAGATGTATATAAAAAATAATAATAAATGAATCAACTGGGTTTGTAATTAGGTTTAGATGCTTGCACTTGATACATCATTTATTATTAACAAGCATTAGAGTATGCAGCTGGTTGGAGTTATTATTATTGCATTCCTGTAGCAGAGAATAAAGAATTGATTCCGCCCTATTGATAGTTATTACTGACCATTTGACACATTTACTTTTGGCCAAATAAATTATATGTATTTCTTGCAGATGCTTATTTTGCTTATTATAAATCTTAAATAATTCCAGTACATTTAGATGCAACATTTTGATTCTTCTGGATTTGTATCAACATATTATCAATTAATTTTTAAGCATCTTCATTCTTATTTAATTCACAAGCTTTTCTTGCATCATCAATTACTTCTGTTCCTTTAACTCTATAATATTATGCATAAACATCAATATCTGATTCATTATAATTAATTTATTCATCTTAATTAAAGAATGTTAATGTGAGACTAGTTTATTTCATAATAATTGTTCCATTAATTGGATCTTTTATTTTTAATACTGCATCTATAACTTTCACATTTCTTTGATTGTCTTCAATTTTCCCTTCAAATTTTGGAAGAGCCAATTCAAAAACATAATCTTTTCTTGTTCCAGAAGCAAGTTAAGGTTGAGTGATATAATATTGATTTCCTTTCTTTTACCACATATTTCCATAAGTTTTAGATATTTGAATATCTTAATAAGGCTAAGGGACTAAAGATTAAAGAGTTATTTCTAATTATTCACCTACAACAGATATTAATCCTCCCAAAGCATCTGCGAAGAATTCATCCAATAATGTTACATCTTATACAAAATAAAAACTTCCACTCTTTAAATTACAAATTTAAGCCATCATTTTAGCATCATGATCCTCTCCAAAACCAAATGTATGCAAAGTAAACACTTCATACACTGTCTTTATTTGCTCCTGAATCCTTTAATTTGCCTGATCATCTTGACCATCTGATAGTAGAAATATAGATGTGACATTGTTTCTATATTTTCTTTATTATATTTATCTAAATGCTATTTCTGTAGCTGATCCAATAGTTGTTCCACCCCCAGAATTGATTGTTTATATCACCTATTTAAAGTATTATTTATTTCCATCTGTTACCCTTTTTAAAGGTGTTAATCTTTAAGCTTAACTTTCAAAAGTTATAAGTTGGTATCGATCATTTTCGTTTAGAAAATCAAGCAGTAAAGCTAATGTTTGTTTTACCATAGCTATCTTTTACCCATTCATACTTCCACTTTTATCAATTAAACATATTAAATCGACCCCGATTCGCTAATTTTATTGATTTTATGTGATAGTTTCCTCCTATGCTTTTATACTTACGATTCCAGGTAAGTATTATGTTCTACTATTAAGCAATTTCCCCATTTTATATAAGGCTTTTACTTCAAATGAAAGTTTTTCCTTTAAATCATACTAATTTGCAGACTATTTTGCATCTACTTTTTTAGGTTCTATCTTTTCATCATCATCAAAATTAATACGAATATCTTGATTTTCTACAGTATTCATCCCAAAAAGACTGGGTTAATTGAGCAATTATTATTGTTAAGGATAATATTGAGGTTGGGCTCCAAAAAAATTGTTATGAGAATTTGGAGGATGTGATATAATTGGGAAATTTGGTGAAGCTTAAAAGGGTATTTGAGAAAATTGTTGGAAATACTATTATTGTTGTTGATTGTAAATTTATTATTATTACTACTGTTAGTTTGATGAATTGTGAAAGAGTGATTACGGTATCTGTTATTGATTCATGTTTAAAAATGAAATAAAATATTTAAATAATTTAAACAATTGATTTTCTGTGGCTTTAATCATAGAATTTTGATTAAATCTGATTGTTTAAATATCATTAATAATAAAATAATAGAATTCCCTAAAACGATATTTAATTTAATTAATAAAATAGTGCAACTATTGATAAAAATTAATCTAAATTGTTCTTTTTTCTAAAATCCATTCAATAATCATGTACTATTTGAAAGAAATATTAGACACTAAGTAATACTGTTTTCAATAGGATTATACATCCCAGTCCTTTAAATTTTTATTACAGATATAAAAACTCACCTTGTTAATCAAATTCACTACAAATACATTTTGATTGAACATTTTCAATTCTTTGGTATTAATTACTTTTTCTACATTTACGAATTTTCAGAATTATTTGCATCTATTCAACATTTTTTATCTTTTATTTATCTCTTTTCTTTCTTCAATTCTATTAATCATTAACCTCATTTTTTAATATATTAGTTGGTACTTGGATTTTGTATCGTTATTGAATTTACTAAAAGATATTAATTTAAATGTGGAAGATTAACTCTTAAAAAATTGTTGTTGGATCTTTGCTTAATCAAAGTAATCTTTCAATTCTTTTTTAAATTTAAATGTTCCTTTATTTTTTATATATGGTTGTATAAGAAGAATTTATTCATTTTATAATGATTAAAGTTAATCTAGTAGTTGCTTATAATATGGTTCTGCTTATTGCGCCTGTTCTTCTTTAGGCTGATTCATCATTCTTTATTTCTATGGTTAGATTATGTTTTATAAATTAACTTAAAACTTTAAGAGAGGAATGCAATTAAGTTATCAGTCCTATTCGAAAAGTAGCAACATAATAATAATATTCTTAAATGTTGGCATTAAAGTAATTAAAATTAGGATTTGCTTTAATTAAATTGTTATTTTCATTCTTTCAACTTGAATTTTTAGTAAGATAGTCATATCAATATTTAAGTTTTTCCATTATATATTAAAGGAAAAATTGATTGTAAAATTATTTCATGTTTATATTCCTATTTTTTAAATTAACCAATAACTTAATCTGATATTTTAGTTTTAGTTCACAACAAAGGAATACATAAACCTTTTGATAATTAATAATTATTATTTATACATTTTCAAAAGTGATCTTATATATATGACAGACAATCTTTGAGATAAAATCACAAGCCTAAGTAAACATTAAAAGTATAATTTACCTTCTTTCTTCAATGCTTATACGTTTAAATATTTGTGAATCTTCATTTTCAAAAATTGACAACTCAGATTATTACACAACCTCTTGTCGTATAATCAGAAGATGATGATAAATTCAGCATATATAAAGAATTTATAAATGGAATTTGTTATTTTGATTATGTAAAATTTGTAAAATGTAAGTTTAAATAACATTTTTGACTTATTGATGCGTCATATTGATTGCAATTAAATTCATAAAAAATGCAACTTAATATCAATATAAGATACTAATCACAAACCCTAAACTTTAAATATCCTTTATTAAGTTCCAAATTCTTTTATAAAAGGCAACTTATTGTTTTATTACTGACAATTCCAGTCCAATATGATTAATTTATTTCCCATAATATGTCTGATGCTGAGTAATTTTCTTGTCTTGTATAAGGATCCAACTTCGAATGAAAGTTGTTCATTTAAATTATATTTATATGTATTTTATTTTGCAACTTATTCTTGAGGTTTAATCATTTCATCATCATAAAAAATAAACAATTATTTCCTTACTACTAAGCATAAATATTGTTGGAATGTTGTTCATTAGATTGGTACAGTAGAATTGAGGAATGATAGACTTGGGAAAATGTTTTCATGTAGTCGTTACTTACTTTGAAGGATTACTATTACTATTGAAAGTCCTTGCTTTTATATCTATTAAATGAATTAGAATACAATGATTATTGCTGCTAATTATGAATAGAGAAGAAATATATAAAAAATTTTCAATATCTTTGGATTAACATATGAGTGATATAATTTTACTAATACTTTAGTAATGTATTATATTATTTTATTTGTAATCAATTTTACGATATTATTTAAATATGTTTTATATATTCCATTTATTATAAATATGTAGCTCTAGCTTCAGTTATATCAACGATTAGACTCGATACTCAGTTGTTAGCGAATGGAACAATCCATTATTTAGTTATGGGGTTGTTTCAAAATTATACCCATTAGGAGCAAAATACTATATGTATGAATCGATTAATACTGATATATGCTATTTTTTGTCGAGTGCCAGACTTTTAGAAGGAAGTTTATTTTATCTTCATTATGTCGAATTATCAAATTCGTAATAAAGCATAATTCATCATTTATATTATTAATAAGAAAACTAATGGTTATAGAACGAGTTTATTTTTAATTTAGGAGAGTATGAAGGATTATGGTTTTAACAATATATCAATTATAATATTAACTCGAAATCATTAAATTTAGAGATGAGGTGGGGAAACCATAATATAGCATTAAAATAATATACTTTTAAAGAATTCGAGTATTCAATTTTCAATTTTGTTATAGGAGGTTCTTATTAAGTACTTTGTTATTATCAAATAGGTTGAGCATCCAATTACATTGTCTATGTTAAATTTAAAAACCTTCCCTGGCTAATTATAAGCAGCTATTAGCGTCATAGAAAGAGATAGGGAAGACGCTTGGGATGTATTCTCTGAGATCAAATGTTCAGAAACAAGCGTTTTGCTTTTAGGATAGTTAGAGATGAGAGAGTTTAACCAGCATCAAATCTATATGATTGAAAATTAGAATTAAAAATATTATAAAGTAACATTTTGGGCTAAGATTTAAAAAGAATTTGATCCGGATGTTGATCAAAATATACATATTTTAAGAATAGTTGCTAACCGATTTACTACTGATTTTTAAGCGACAGGATCTAATTCAATTATTTTAACTTATGTGTATTATTCAGAATAAAAACGATGGATGATTAGAATCTAGTATTATTCTTATTTTTTACCAATCATTGTATAATTTAAAGATAATAATGATCCATTCTTAAAAGAAGATTCTATATTTGTTTAAAATCACTCTCTACTAAGTACATGGCATTTCATTCAAGTTGAATATGATCCGAAAAATTTAAATTTTCATTTAATTAATAAAATATAGGGCGGAAACATAGAAAAAAGATTTCCAAATGTGAATTAATTTTCAAATATTTATTATCGATTATTTTTTGGTGGATCAAGAGAAGAATTTAGTACATTAGGTAGAGCATTTGGACTGATTTCATTTTATGATTGTAATAATTAAAATATCTAATGCCATTATTCATGCTAAACGTGTATAGGGCCATCTTAAAATTAATGTTTGAGTTGTCCAGAATCAAAAAATAGAATTTACAATGAAGTTGAATAAACTTGTCGATGCAAAGTATGGTATTCGGAAAAATCAGATTCTAGTTGCTAATTTGTTACTTAGAATGAAGTTACTGTTAGTTTGGAAGATGCATTAGAAGAATATGATTAGGAATTCTGTAAATTTGGAGAATTTAGTTTTGATTAAATGTGTTTTTAATGGTATTTTAATATTTAAATTAGTCCGTCGGCAAGTTAACAAAATTAGGTCATCTGCACAGAATGTTTAATGAGACCCATTGACTGGGTAATAAAAAGTGCTAATTGTAACAGAACATACTATTTGTTTGATAATTAATCTTCGAATAATTATCTTAAAAAATCAAATGATCCTGAAATGACAAATTTTTAATTTTTATTTGAAAATGAAGAATTGATTCCATGTACTGGGTGCTAGTTATGTAATTAATCTGAAGATTAAGATTGTTAATTATCGAAATATTACCATTTGAATAAATAGACCTATATAAAATGCTTAGATAATTACTTGTTTGAAAATGGTGAATGCTCCTAGAAAAGATTTCCTAAAATTAAAAATAAGCCTTGTTAAAATAATTGTTAATAATGTAATGATGAAAGTTGTTTACTGTGTTCGAGTTAAACTTAATATTTCATAAATTCTATGGGATAATGTTAATAATGCTCAATAATACATTGCAAATATTGTTTTTAATATAATTAATACAATCTTAAAGAAAATTCAATCTTAAAAGATGAATAAAGTGAAAGTTAGATTTATGATGATTATGTAATTGGATGTGCACTATGTTAACAAGGATATTCATTCTCGTATAAAAATAATTTATGTGTAAAAACTACGTTTGATAATAATTGTCAATTTTATATTGACAGTGATGGAGATATTATTTGTTATGCTACACAATTTGAATTATTAAAGAACAAATTTCAATAAATAACTAATTGCTAAGATAAGATTCCTAATTGTGAATAATGTATCTATACCTTATTTGATTTGATGGTGTGTATATAATGTAAATTTGGATATTTTAACAACAATCTAAATGGATTGTGCATTTCTTGTCAAGAGAAATTTGAGAATGTTTAAGAATGTGAGTTAAATAATAAAATGTTATAAAGGTATAAATTAGAATCTATAGGATATTTATAATCATTAACTTAAGATTTTTATGATTTGAGCTAATTATTTAGGAACTTTGACCAAGTCTTAATCACTAAATGTTCAAATAATCTGGTTTTAGATATTTATTCAAATAAATGCATATTACCTTGTTCGAATTGCGATAAATGTGAATAAATTGATGGAGAATAATAATGCCTTAAGTGTACTACTACTTCAGATGAATATATTGGTTTTTATTCATAAATTTCTGGTAATTGTTACTAATGTCCTTATCCATGTAGATTTTGCCTTCCACTTGACAGTGATTTAGTTCATGTAAAAATTTAAATAATATTAGAAATACAATCCATACTTTCTACTTAATTCGACGAGTATTAAATAAACTTATAAATGTCTAGCAAACTTTGATAATAATTTAACTTATATTGATCTAAGGAGTGGGTTAATCTAACCTTTTAATAATGAAACAAAATTGAAATAACAATTTATAAGCAGTAGCAAACAAAAATCTAGTTCCATATTTGATGGTAACTTCATTTTATAAAAAAGCATTTCGAACTATTATTATATTATAGAAAATACGATTCCGAATTAAGAATATCTTTTAAATGATTATTATGCCTTAAAAAATTACACTGCCACAATTATTGTTGAGGCTGTCGATATAGGATAGGGGTTTGTCGAACTTTTTAATATAACTAACTTTCACATATTCAATAGTATTTATAAGCTTAAAGGTTCTTATATTGCAGTGACGACTGTTTATGGCGTTGATGTGATTGTTTAAAACCTAACAATAGGAAATGAAATAGCTAAATATTTCTTAACAATTAATGTCTCATCTGAAGTATAAATTAGTGTGTTGTTAGTAGAAAATGTATATTTAAATGAATCAACTATAATAACAATAAATAATTTCTTTAAAAATGCTACCATTTAAATGAATAATTTGTAATTTAGAAATTGTACTTTCTAAAATAGTTAATTTTTTTATTTTGCATCTGATAAATTTAATAAAATATTGATTAAATCTGTTAAAATTTAGAATTGCACCTTCAAAAATAGTGTTTTCATAAATTAATTATTATAAAATCGTAATTAACAATATGAAATTGAAGAATTTTTTATTGAAAATAGTGTTTTAGACAACAGTTCAATATTCTGTATTTCAAAAACTTAAAATATGATTTTAATTCGTAATGTAAAACTATTGAAATCATTTTTAAATAATTCAACAATAATCTCGACTTTTTCTTCTCTAAACTTAGAGACTATTCGCATATTAGATACTATTGCAATTAACAGCAGGATCTTTTATCACTAATTTGAATAAATCTAAACTTTTTTTTTAATAAATCAATTATAATGCTCAAATTTGCAATTAAATGGAACTAATATTTTATAAATTATATCTTTGTCTCAAAATATAAATATAGACGTAATTATTCAGAATTCTCAATTCTAAAGGGTTGATTAAATATATTCTAAAGGTAAAATAAGTGATAATTTTATCTTCTATATTCAAAATGCAAACTTATACACAAATCACATTGTAATCTAAAATGATGAGATATTTCAGTTCTTAGGCATAGAAGACTGTTCTAATATTGTTGTAGATGATTTATTAATTGAAAATAAGGATAAATAATAGGGTAGCTATTAATCAACAAAAAATTCAAATAACATTTATTAGAATTAATTAATTTATATTTCAAACTTTGAAAAATTAGAATTAATATCAGTGAAAATTGTAGAAATGATTTAAATTGTTGATCCTTTAATTTAAATTAGATCTGATGAGTCCGGGAAAAAATAAGTGTATATCAAAAATTTAATAATTCAAAATTATTAAAGTTTAAATTTAATAAAGTCGATTCACTCAGTAATCCACATTTAAATCGATTCTGAATCTATAATTGAATTAAGAAATTGCCTCTTTTACTTTAATTAATTTTGGTATTAAGAGCCAAACCAAGATTTATTATAATCTTCTCTAATATAAATAAAATCACCTAAATCATAGATTATTTTAGATAATTTAAAGTTTGAAGATATTATGGTTTACAATTCTTCAGAAACAATTATTCTTTTTGAGGCTAATTCAATATTAGCATCAAATTTGAATGTTAAATATATTAATTTTGATTTTTAAAATTCAATTAAGTCTTTGAGTGGCTTTGCTATTTTTTAAGCAGAATTTATTAATCTTACTAACTCTCAATTTTTTGATGTGAATAGTATTTTTTATGGGTTCATTTATATTTAATTAAAATAAGAAGGAAAAGTAATACTCAACAAATGCATCTTTGATAATACACTTTTAGCATCTCATTTGGAATATTTTACCTAATTAGGAGGCGTATTAACTATTGATGCTTCATAATCTACAATTTAATTAAATTTCACAGATGTTTCAGCCAAAAATATTTTTACATAATAAAAGAGCGCTTTTTTACATCTGATACCATCTTCATTAACTAATTTTATCTTTATGAAGTGTCTCTAATTTATTAACCTATACTCTTAAGAAAATACTTTTGGTAAATTTGACTTTTCTTCCAATAGTAAAAATAACAAGATCTTTCTTTATTATATTACTTTCAACAATACTGATGAATAAGTGAAAAATAAGTTAGCCACATATACCAATACTCAAAATTCAAGTAATTTAGATGGCATAATTACATCAAGTTTTAGGTAATTTAATTAATAATTCTAGTCCTGTGATAATATTTCATTTTCATTATACCGGTTATTTGAATTAACCAATTTGTAGACTAAAAAATGGTGATTTAAGATTAAAGTAATTTTTCTTAATCTCTATTATGATAATTAGTGAACTTTCTCATTTAGCTAGTGTTGAAACAAGTTTAATGAAGAACATATTTATCGAAGATTTTATTCTTTTTAATATTGAATCTTAAATGCAATTGCGTTATTTCTTCAAATTAAATCAAACTTAATAGTCTTAGTATTTGAGATTTAGGAATTTTAAACTTATTAATATTAAATGTCCATTTTGCTAGAATGGATTGACAATGTTCCTAAGTGATTCAAATCATTAAAATATTTTATTTTCTAATATTTATTTTGTAAATAATAATTGTGGATATAATAGTTGTTTTATAGNAATTATTAAAGTTTAAATTTAATAAAGTCGATTCACTCAGTAATCCACATTTAAATCGATTCTGAATCTATAATTGAATTAAGAAATTGCCTCTTTTACTTTAATTAATTTTGGTATTAAGAGCCAAACCAAGATTTATTATAATCTTCTCTAATATAAATAAAATCACCTAAATCATAGATTATTTTAGATAATTTAAAGTTTGAAGATATTATGGTTTACAATTCTTCAGAAACAATTATTCTTTTTGAGGCTAATTCAATATTAGCATCAAATTTGAATGTTAAATATATTAATTTTGATTTTTAAAATTCAATTAAGTCTTTGAGTGGCTTTGCTATTTTTTAAGCAGAATTTATTAATCTTACTAACTCTCAATTTTTTGATGTGAATAGTATTTTTTATGGGTTCATTTATATTTAATTAAAATAAGAAGGAAAAGTAATACTCAACAAATGCATCTTTGATAATACACTTTTAGCATCTCATTTGGAATATTTTACCTAATTAGGAGGCGTATTAACTATTGATGCTTCATAATCTACAATTTAATTAAATTTCACAGATGTTTCAGCCAAAAATATTTTTACATAATAAAAGAGCGCTTTTTTACATCTGATACCATCTTCATTAACTAATTTTATCTTTATGAAGTGTCTCTAATTTATTAACCTATACTCTTAAGAAAATACTTTTGGTAAATTTGACTTTTCTTCCAATAGTAAAAATAACAAGATCTTTCTTTATTATATTACTTTCAACAATACTGATGAATAAGTGAAAAATAAGTTAGCCACATATACCAATACTCAAAATTCAAGTAATTTAGATGGCATAATTACATCAAGTTTTAGGTAATTTAATTAATAATTCTAGTCCTGTGATAATATTTCATTTTCATTATACCGGTTATTTGAATTAACCAATTTGTAGACTAAAAAATGGTGATTTAAGATTAAAGTAATTTTTCTTAATCTCTATTATGATAATTAGTGAACTTTCTCATTTAGCTAGTGTTGAAACAAGTTTAATGAAGAACATATTTATCGAAGATTTTATTCTTTTTAATATTGAATCTTAAATGCAATTGCGTTATTTCTTCAAATTAAATCAAACTTAATAGTCTTAGTATTTGAGATTTAGGAATTTTAAACTTATTAATATTAAATGTCCATTTTGCTAGAATGGATTGACAATGTTCCTAAGTGATTCAAATCATTAAAATATTTTATTTTCTAATATTTATTTTGTAAATAATAATTGTGGATATAATAGTTGTTTTATAGTCAAAAGCAAATCAATCAAATTTTATAAATCGAAGTTTGTGAATAATTTAGCGTAATCAAATGGGATACTGTAATTTTAAAATAGTTCAATCAAGTTAAATTAAATTGTATTGAAAAATAATTTTGTATTAAATATTGCTGGAGCCATTTATTTGTCCAATTCTTCAATTATTGCAAATCAAATCATTATAATAAATAATAGTGCTAAAATTGGTGGGGCGATGTTTATTGAAGAAAATAAGTTGGAAAAGAATACAATAATTAATTTTATGCTGTATGAAAACAAGGCTTTAGAGGGATTAAACAATATAAAGGAGGAAGCTGATTTTTTGAAACTATAAATTTATGGAGTTGTTCTAAAGACTAAAAGATAAGAGATGGGACATTTAGTAGTCGATAGTCCAGAGTATTTAGTTAATTATAAGAAATTACGGATTAATGATACATATATTAAAGTTGCAAGTGGACAGATGCTAAAAGATTTCTAAATATTTGATAAATCTCAAATGCAATATGTAAAAAACAATATCTCTCTTAGAATAGAAATATATACTTAACTTGGAGAAAAATTAATAGATAACTATAATAATAAATGTTATTTTGAATAATTGTATGTTGATAAAGAAAAAGGTTATCAATTATAGGAGATTTTGATTAGCTCTCAATTAGAGAATGTAACAATATCATCTTTTAATACTGAAACGCAATCTTATAATTTAGATAATATGATGTTTAATTTAGATCCATATTCTACTCAGGAGATATATTTACTAGTAAAATCATATTGTGAAGGCATGAGTGAAAATCATTTATTCACTTTTAATGTTAAGACATTAAAATGTCAAATTGGTGAATACTACAGTAACCAATAATGTTTAAAATGTGATTTTGATAAAGGATATTATTCAGTAGAAAAGGATTCAATTGAATGTTAAAGATTAGATCCCAAGAAAATCAAAGCTGTAACATCTTAATCAATAGAACTATTGCCAGGCTTTTGGAGATATTCTTATTATTCACATTATATAGAAGAATGTGAAAAAATTGAATAATGTATTGGAGGTTGGAAAATAAATTACGAGTCTTGTAAAACAGGTTCGATAGGAGCAATCTGCAAAGAATGTGATCTTTATAATATAAGAGGAGATTCTGCATATTTAAAATCACTTTTTGGAGAATGTGAAAAAAGGGAATTGTAGCCAATAATCATCATAATTACTTTGATCTTAATGATATTGTAACATAATGAATTATTAAATTAGAACCTTAGTAGTTACTTACAAAATCTCAGGATGTAAATATGAAATGAATTTACTCTATAGAAGTCTAAAATTAAAGACAAAACACTTCAAGTTGTTATTTCGATGCCAAATCGGTATAGTTTTTACTTTATAATTTAAGATCAATTTTCCACATTGATAAGATTACTTGTACATTAAATGTAAATTTTATATCCTTTACTTCCTACCCTAAGTTTTGAATCTTACTTTTCTTAAATTATTTGGCCTATTGGAAAATCTTCTAAATCTTTGTTGTTCTTAGTCAATTTTGTTGCTGATTAATTTTAGATATCTATCATTTACTTAAAAGTAATTTGGGCAATCTTGATACCTATTGGATAAATATTATTGCTTGGACTCTTGTATTCAATGTGTTCAAAATTATTTATTGATAGAAACAGAAGTTACAAATACACTCTAACTTCATTTCTCTTCATACTATTTTATTCGATGCCAAACATTATTGAAGAGTATAAATATTGTTATTATTTAGGTTATCATCCTTGACGTCCTCCAGAAGAGTTGTAAATATAGAATGGATAGAAGCTAATATGGCATATAAATTTGAAACAGACCAACATTATACATGGATTTTTTACTTTATTCTACCTATATTGTTAACTCTTTTTTTCACTATTCCATTTAGTACATTAATTTTAATCAGGAAAATACATAAATCAATTCATAAAATTGATCCAACAGCTGGAATTTATGGATTTCTATGTAATGATTACAAGGAATAACTATACTATTGGGAGTTAGTCAATTTAGAAATGAGATAAATAATAATAGTAATACATGCTTATGTCAATGATTTAAGAATTATATACAAAAACTTGATGGTCATTTTAATCTTATTTATATACTTTGTTGCAATATCTCTAAAGAGGCCGTATGAGAAATCAAATATCAATAAGATAGAATAAGTGGGGTTATTTTTATGCTCAATATTTGTGTGCTTCAGTAGTTTATCTTATGAAACTAAAGTTGAAGGTTTAATGGAAGTGTAATTTATTGCAGAATTAATAATGATAATAATATTGTTATTCTTGATGATTTACATCTTCTCTCATATCTTGTAAACCTTTATCAGGAAAAATGATGAATATTTTGATAGATTTCGGAAGATTATTTTACAAAAACTGCCTAATATTATTTAATGTTTCCCTATTATTAGAAAGTGTCTAATTTCAAAGGCAGAAATCCGTCGAAATGTAGAAAAACGATTTCTTTTGATTAAGCAACATTTAAAGATTCATAGATAAAATAACCCAAGAAGTCTTCGATAGACAATTAATTTCAATAGTGAGGATACACATGTTATAATGTCCTAGATTCAGAGATCAGATCATCGTAATTTAATAATGTCATCTTATTTATATTGAGATGAGTTTAAAGTTTGGAGTGTTTTAGAAACTCAAATCTGATAAATATATATATATAAATTTTATTTGTGATGTAAGAAGGCAAAAAGTCAAAATAATTCTTTGGGAAGGACATCATGAATCTTCTAAAATTAATGGTTCCTGAGAAGAGATTTTGTATAATAGGAATGACTGTAGTTGGCTTGAATAGTGCATTACTTCTCTATTTACCTTAAGTGACAACTGATATAGCAAAATTGCAAGAATTAAAATATGATCAAGAAAACAAAGAAAAAAGTTAATAGACCAATTTATATTACCATGTAAAATGGGGAGGTGTATGCCTGCTTGGAATGCTTTTGGGAGGGGCTCGTAGATTCTTAAATACATAAATAAGCAATAGAGTAGGAATGAGAATGAGATATGCTATGTTTTAGAAATTAATGAGTACTAGAGAAACTCAGTAGTTGCATTCACAATAATTAGTTCATAAATTATCAAATGATGTTAGTCTGGTGTCAACAGGATTATCCTAAGACATCTTTGTAATGATTCGAGGATTCATTACTACATTAGGAGGAGCAGCTTATTTATCATATTATGCATTTCCTTTATTGGCATCTGCAAGTGCTGCTGCAGCTGTTATGGGAGGATCAGCAGTTTTATTAGGAAAATATATGTCATAATTTAAAGTCAAAGAAACTCAAGAATTAGGATCTTTAAGCGAAGTATCATAAGAAATGCTACAAGCACATAGATTAATTAAATTATCTGACATGGAATAGAAAGAAAATCAAAGATATTCAGCATAATTATTTAGATGGTATGAATAAGCAACATAATTTTCAAAAATGCAGGCTTTAAATATGGGATTGATGGAAGGAGGAGGCTTATATGCCCTGATTTTGATCTTATTCTAAGGCTGTTATCTAGTTGCCACTGGACATCTAGATCCAGAGTTAGCCAAATATTTTATTTAAGCAGTTTACATGGCATCAGGAACTAGAGTAATGATAGCTATCTATAACGAATTGGTTAAGACTGCTGCTATTTATAAAACTATACTTGATATACATCCAAGTCTTCATGATTCTGAATTGTATAATCAACCAGATCTAACAAAGAATTATAGAGAATATATCAGATAAGATGATATTTTGAAGGCAAAATTGCTTAATCCACCTTAAAGTACTGAACATACTAAAGAATGGTAAGAATTATATGAACACTCAACAATTCCACCACCAAGTATTTCATTTAAAAATGTTCGATATTCCTATTAAAATCATGAGAACTCTACATTAACATTCAACTTGTAAATCAATTCAGGTGAGATTGTACTATTATAGGGACCAAGTGGATCAGGTAAAACTACTGCTCTGAATTTATTGACTAAATTATTAACTCCATCATCAGGTGAAATATTAATTGATGGAGAACCTCTATCAAAGAAAGATTTTAAGTGGATTCAATAACATGTTTCTTATGTTTAATAAGATGGAATTATATTTAATGCTACTGTCTATGAGAATATCATTTATGGTAATCATGGGTATGATCAGAGCATGGAAAGAGTTATTTGGGCAGCTAAATTAGCAAGAGCACATGACTTCATTGAGAATATGCAGAATAAATATTAGACTAAATTAAAATCAGATGGAACAACCTCCTTATCAGGAGGATAGAAATAAAGAATTGTATTAGCAAGAGCAATTCTAAAGAATCCAAAAATTCTCATTCTAGATGAAGCAACATCTAATATTGATAGCCTATCTGAAACTGATATCATATAAGCTTTAATGTAGATTTGCTAAGACAAAACAGTCATTATTGTTTCGCATAAAGTTGAAAATTATAAACCATTATTAACAAGAGTAATTAATTTGGATGGATGATATTATATGTTATCATAAATTATTTTACACAATTATATGAACTATGTTTCTAATAGAATGCTTAATTATCTTGAACCTCAGATGTATGCCAGGTTTACAATATTGGCTAATCAGAAAGGATGTGTCAACTTAGGTTAAGGATTTCCCAATTTCCCTCCTCCTTAATTTTTGAGAGAAGCTCTTTCTCAGGAAGCCTTGACTGAATAGTTGTAATATACCTAGACTGCTGGTCATCCTAAATTGCTTAACTCTGCCTCTTACTTCTTAGAGCAAAGAATGGGATTAAAGATTAACATAGACAAAGAGATAGTAGTGAGTTCAGGTGCCTAATCGGTGCTCTGTTGTTTGATGTAAGGTCTTCTAAATCCAAACGACGAAGTCATTGTATTTGATCCAGCCTTTGGTATTTCTTAAACAAAACAATAGATTTGTACAGACCTTTGATTGAATTCTCAGGAGGAAAACATATTGGTGTTCCAATAAAGCCAAAAGTCTTTAATACTAAAGAAATGATGTAGAAAAGATTTTAGAATGGCCAATTCATTTATTCTGATGATGATAATTGGGAATTAGATTTCGTCTAATTGGAATAAGCAATTAATTAAAAAACGAAGTTGATCATTTTAAATTCCCCGATGAATCCCATTGGAAAGTATATATTTACATTTATAATTGAATATTTAACAAAGTTGAATATGATAAATTAGCAGAAATCTTAGAGAAGCACCCTAATATCGTCGTATGTGAAGATGCTGCATATCATCACATAACATTTGGGAATAATTAGCCTTTCATATATCCTAGGTGTATCTCTCACCCAAAATTAAAAGACAGATCTATTTGTGTAATAAGTGCTGGCAAGATGTTTTCAGCTACTGGGCTAAGAGTTGGATTTGCCATAGGAAATGAAAATATCATTAAAGGAATGAAGGCAGCATAAACTTATCATATCTTTTGTTTGAATCCAGTGAATCAAACAGCAACAGCAAGATGTTTAGATTAAACAGCAGATGGTATTTATTTTGATTCTATTCGACAATTATATGAATAGTAAGCTACAAAATTATTAAAAGGATTAATAGAAAGCAGATTGAATCTGAATTATTGGGTTCCTTCAGGCGGATATTTCATAGTAACTGATATATCCAATATTGAAATACCTAATAAATATTTTATTTAGAATGATGTGAAGGTCACTAGAGATTTCGCTTTTGCACATTATATGATAAATGAATTTGGAGTAGTCTGTATTCCTTGTTCTCCTTACTATGAAAATAAAGAGACAGGCTAAAACTTAGTAAGATGGGCATTTTGCAAGACCGATGAGACCATATCAGAAGCAATCAATCGTTTAAAATGATTATTTAAATCTTAAATTATAATTAATGCTTTCGTAAAAAAAATATAAAGAAGATGACCAAAACTTTTAAGGATATATTAAAGAAAATTATGATGAAGACAGTGATGATTAGTCTAGGAAAAAACCAACTTTAATTATGAATGTTTAAGGTAATTCCAGATTTTATTGAGAGATACTCGATATAATATCGTCAAATTTGTAGGATAAAAAATATTTAAATGGAAATTATAATATGAGAATGATGGAAATTAATGGGATATCTTTTGGACAGATGCTTCTGTGCAATCAGAAACTTTGGGAAAAATGCAACGTTTTAATTTATAATTATTTTCTATAGCTCATCAAAAAATAAATCATTTTCCAGGCATGTTCTCACTTTCTAGGAAAAATCATTTGGGAAAAAATCTCATGAAAATGAAGAAACAATTTCCTTATGAGTATAAATTCTTTCCAAAAACCTGGTTATTGCCAACAGATTATGGAGAGTTCAGAAATTAGTTTATGAATGGGAAAACAAAAACTTTCATTATTAAACCAGAAGCTAGTTGTTAGGGCAGAGGAATTTTTCTAACTAAAGACATTGATGACATCGATCCGAATGATCATTAAGTAGCCTAACGATATCTGGATAGACCTTTCTTAATAGAAGGATTAAAATTTGATTTAAGAGTATATGTACTACTAGCTGGGACAGACCCTATGAGAATTTATGTGTATCAAGATGGTTTAGTGAGATTTGCTACTGAACCATATGTGGCACCCTCATTTAATAATATTGATGATGTTTGTATGCACTTGACTAATTATGCTATTAATAAAGGAAATCCTAATTTCATATTTAACAATGATGCATCTAAAATGGATGTTGGACATAAAAGATCAATTAAGTCAGTTTTTGGTAAATTAGAAGAGGAAGGATATAACATTTTAAAGTTATGGTAAGACATATATAAATTAATTATCAAAACCTTTTGTTCAGTTCAACCAATCTTAAGACATCATTATAAATCCTGCTAACCAGATAATTATGCTAACAATATGTGCTTTGAAATATTAGGTTTTGATGTTTTTGTAAATAACAAGTTTTAACCTGTTTTATTGGAAGTTAATCACACTCCTAGTTTTACCACTGACACACCTTTGGATTCTCTAATAAAAAAGAATCTTATTAGGGACACTCTAATATTGATGAATGTAAATCTAAAAGCAAAAGAATAAATTATTAGATCAAGAAAAGAGCAATTAAAATAAAGAGTGTTAACAGGAAAATATTAGAAGATTTCTCCTGAAGAAAAATAAGCATTAATTTAAAAATTCTAAAAACTTAGGGATGAATACGAAGATAACAATTTGGGAGATTTCGTTAAAATATATCCATTGTCAGATTGTGGAGAGTATACTCGATTTATAGAATTTGCAACTTTAATGTAGGATTATTGGACAGGAGCAAGTAATTATAAATTCATTTATTCAAGAAATAAATAGAAATATAAAAGTGGAAGTTAATAACGTTAATAAAAATAACATACATTCTGTCAATAATTTTTAGAAACAACAAAGAAATTCAAAAAAGAAAGAACAAGAAGTTCTGATTAATTAACATGGATTCTTAAATGAAGAACCAGAGACTTAACATTATGAGAAATAAGCGAATACTTAGAATTAATTTAAAAGATAGGTATATTAATTATGAATATTTAGTAATAATTAAATATGAAGGAAACTTAATAATAATAATTAACCATGCATCATTTACAATAAAAAATATTAGATCAAGATGTTATTACCAATGAATATCAGCCTGCTTCATCAAACAAGTAATTAAATTTTTAAAATCCTCAGTAAATATGAAAATATATATATATTTATTTATCTTTTATTTCTTTTTGCTGTTGTGATTTATCTTTTATGATTACACAGCTTGAAGATCACAAAGAAGAGTATCTATTCCTCCTGAAGTTAAACCATGCATTGTCTTCTAAATTTTACCTTTGAATGTATCAACATAAATATAGCAAATGGCAAAGTTTTTAAGAATTCAGAAATATGGATATCCAAAATAAGATTTAGCAGTGGGAGAAGTCATAGAGATAAAATAAGGATGAATTAAACTCGCTTCAAAAATTGAGTGTCAGTTTTGTTTTTAAAGGGGGGTGTCTGTATCTTGATTCTCATGGGATGGAAAGGCACTAAAGCAACATGATCAACCTTTATCACTGAATTCTTACTTATTAGATTGGATTAGCCACATTATTATTTGGAAGGTGATGGTAATCCAATTGTTACATTTACTTAACTAATTAATGGTTATGATTAAAGTAGCCAATTTTGATAAGTAGGATCAAATAATCAACATCTTAATTTCTCATGGAAGTAATTGAAAAGGCATCTATCCACCTTAAGTTTATCAGTTTTGGTTTTATGGGAATGATTAATGCTCTGAATACTTTATATGAAAAACTATTTTCCGTGAATGTGGGGTATTATTAATAGTAAGAATATTTGTAAACCTATACTTGAAATTGGCTATATCTGAATATTGCATAGTATCATTTAATAAATTCCATTAGTATAAATTATCAAAGACTGGTACTATTGTTCAATTATATTAGGACCCATGTATTTTTTGTTTCTACTTCAGTAGTATTGATTGATGAAGTAATAAAAGTACTTTTATAATTGATTAATGCTTATCATTAGAACAACAGAAAGAAACTTGATTTATATATTTGACGTTTATTTATAAAATAAAATAGCAAATATTATAAATATGATCATTATAATCAATATAATCAAGATTATGTTATTCTTCTTTTCAAAAATCCATCCTTTTTCATTTACATAACAGTTACTTTATCATCCAGAAATGGATTTCGAATATTATTATTATATACATCTCTTTGGATAGTTGCTTCGTCAATTTCTCCAAGAAATGCACGATATTCTTCGGATTCATCACTAAGACTTTTCTTTCTTTCCTCAATTTTATTTAAGAATATTCTATCATTCTTTCCAGAATTATATACTTTCAGATATCCATTATAGATCTTGTCTTTTTGAATGCTAGTATTTTCATTCAAACATAATTAAGAGAATGATTTATAATTTTTGAACATCGAATCCAGTTCATAATTGATTTCCTTTTACTTTCTAGGTATTCTCTTTTTTAGTTCCTCCTTCATAACATCCTGTATAACATTAGATTTCTTATTTATGATATCTCTGTTTAATTTATCAATCAAAGTAGGAACAGTGGACAAATCAGAAGCTCCTTTATATGACTTCTTTAGTGAGTATTTTTAAGCTGCTATTTCAAGTGCAGTTTGACTTTTACAATATTGTTGGAGTTAATTGATTCTTCTTATGGTTTCTTTCTTATGATCAAATTAATTTATATTAGTATGGGGCTCTTGAGAGGGATTAGAAATTCTATTATGCTTTTATTCTAACTTGATTTGAAAGTATGATTAGTTTTTAGGAACCTGGACATAGAATCATATTAATACTTATGCATTGCTTATCGAGCTGATTCCCATAATTGCTACTCTATTTTCCTATTTGAGTCTAGAAATGGCTTTTCGGAGACTAGCAGATCTTATTTAAGTGCAAGAACCTGTTTGTTAGATTTAACGATTACTGATTCCTGATTAAATAGATGTACTTAAATCAGCAAAAGTAAATGTTTTTTTCATAAATTATTAGATAATAAATTTAATGCGAAATAAAATAAAGTAATCGTCAATAATGACCATACTAAAATGAGATGTTATTAATGAATTCAAAACTTGTCCTTCCAATTCCATTTAAATTATATAATTGTAAACACTCAAAATGAGTAGTATTATCTAGTTAAATTCTGTTTCAATCAAGAATGAAACTAATTGCGGTTATTGTAATGGTGCAAAATCTAACAAGCTATGGGTTACTTCTGGCTTCTATTGTTACAAAATGAAGTTGGATGAATATTAACAATTAATGGATAGAGGCTGGAGAAGATGTGGTGTTTATTATTATAGGCCAGCTCTAGCCCAGAGCTGTTGTCAAGCCTATGCATTGAGAGTTGATACACAAAATTTTAAACTAAGAGTGACTCATGAGAAGGTCCTTAAGAAAATTAAAAGAATCCAACCTATCCAGAATGATCTAAATGATTTTCATCAAAAGGCTGAACTAAAATCAGAAATCAAAGAAGATTAATTTACTTAATCTATCTTATCTCAAATGTAGACTGACATCGATACCAAGGATTTAGTCATACTTTCAAAGGTTGGATAACATTTTACATTTAAAAGTATTTAATACAAAGAAGAAGAACATATCAAATAATTCAAATAAATTATTATAAATAATTTATCAAAAATTACGATTCAAGAATTATCGTAAGTATTTTTAATTACCAATGAAGATCATTAAAATATCCTTCTTAATCTGTTTAGAACTAGTTTATAAGAATTCTCGATCTATGAAATCACTGTATTTAGAGGTCAACTTAATAGAATTGAAAATGAATGGGGATTTGGATGTAACTTGATTCCATATTTTTATTCCAAATTACACACCAAATTTAAACCTTTATATCCAGAATTCCAAACCAAGGAGGAAAATAAACTATACATTTCTTTGATTTCTAAATATTTATCAAACCCGGAGTTTACATTCAAAGTTTCCTCATGGGATAATCAAATTTTGATCAAAACACCTTAAACAATTAAAGAAAAAATATTTAAATCAATGGTGTTGTACTATTTGTAAAAGGCAGATTTTTAAAATACTCAAAATTTCGCTAAGGAAAAGAAGCATCATCAAATTGAAATTAAATGGGTCAAAGCTTAATTTTAGGAAGACAGTTTTGAAGTCTACAAAAGATATTAAAAAGCTATTCATGATAAAGATAGAGTTAGCAGGTAAAGCTATTTAAATTTTGTTTGTGTGGATGCTTTGGATAGTCAAGAATTAGGATGTTGGCATATGAAATATTATTTAGATAATTAACTTATAGCAGTTGGAGTAGTGGACTTATTACCATAATCACTATCTTCAGTGTACTTTTTCTATGATCCTGCTTATAAAAAGTATTCTTTAGGAGTTTACGGTGTTCTTTAAGAAATAGAGTACATTAAGTAACATCAGAAGGAGAATCCGTAATTGAAATATTATTATATGGGATTCTATATAATGGATAGTAAAAAGATGGCTTACAAGGCTGATTATACTCCTTGTGAATTGTTGTGTCCATAAACATATAGATGGATTGCGTTAACCAAACCAATAAAAGAGAAGATTAAAAAGATCACAGAGTATGCATAAGATGTGAGATTGGCAGAAGAAAAGGCCGCATAGATAGGCTATAGTATTAACTTAGACGGTAGTACAATAAAGGATATGGACTTTTCAGATGTAGACATTCAGAATTTCATTTTATCACATATAAAAATATCTTAAGCTGGAAAGCAGTATTCAATTTCATAGCTCAAGAAAAACTATTAATAATACTTTATGAACTTATTTGAAAATCTTCTTGGAAAAATAGGTAAATAATTGATGACCAAGTTTTTGTTTGCTGTGAATTGATATTATATTTAAAGTTTAAACTTCTAAGTATATAAATATATATATAACAATAAAATCAAATAATATTTCAGAGCAGTTTATTTTATGACCGAAGAAATCTTCTCATTAATATTATTGATATATTATGAAATCTGTGTTATGCTTTTACAACATCAAGGTAAACCAAGATTCTAAATAATTATAGCATTTCATAAATGGGAATCATTAACTATCAAAATTATAGATTTAATAACTATGATGATAACTACCAGAGTGTTATTTTATTTGAAAAGCACAAAGAAGACCACCACTACCCTTACAATTTTAGCTGGCTTTCGAATATCTGTACAAATAACACTAAGTTATTTTTGTTAGGTAGAGATATTTTTAGTCTTTTTAAACCTTCTATTTATCTATTCTCACTATTAGGATTAATCACAAAATAGATTGTTATCTAAACTTCCATAAGTATTTTTAATTGGAAATGTATTTTTCGTTTAAAACTTTTAAGACAATTTAAAGAATATTGCAATTGCTTTTACTTGCATTTCAATTATTTACACTTTTAGATCAACAAAAACCATTTAACATTCACCTAAGAATCCTAAGGACACATGTAACAAAGATTTTGGTATTTGTATTTCAGCACTTCCATAGAAAGAATTGGAACCTTAAAAATCTTGTGATTTCAATGGATCAAATTCGAAAAGTATAGTATATGGTGGATTTTCTCCTTTAAAAGAATTATCAAGATCTATGGATACCATCCTATTTGAAGAGTAGTAATAATTTATTACAAGATATTTTAAGTGCTTGGATTAAGGGATAATAGTTCATAGTCTTGGATGAATAAGTAAATGTAGTCATTCAAACTTTTAATGTAGCTGATATTTCCAAAAACTCATTAAGTAACTCTGTCGAAAATGAAAGTGTTTCTGCAATTTTGAATCTCGGTATAATCCAAGGTAATAGAGATTTCTAAGATATTGTGGCAAGCAGTGGTACTATCAACCAATCAAAATTTTTAATCAAAGATTTAATTATTAAACTCTTAGGGGACTATGAATTATATAAGAACAATCTATTTATAATAAATAAAGTTGATGCATAATGGATGCAAGATAGGATTATTAAAATATTTTTGGTATAAAAAAATAAAAAAATCTTTGCTTTTGTTTAAACTGAGTAAAGAGAGATATAGTATTAAACTTCTTATTAAGCCTTTAATTTGTTTAGTTCCTACATCACACCTAGTCTAAACTCAATAATGACTATATCTGTGTTAGCAGAATCAGATACTATAGTAAATGATTTAGTTTTGGAGAAATATCTATATCCAATTAGAGTGGCAAGTGTAATTGTTTATTTATAATTGGCAAATATGAGAGATTATAATTTACATAACTAGAAGAGGTTTCTATTAAAGTATCTACCCTAGAAATAAGTGCCATATGTGAAGACCTGATTATCATGGTGTAGGATTCTGCCAGAGCCAAGGGAATTGAGATTAAAATAGATTAAGAATGTATTGAAACTATCGAATCGGATGCAGAAAGAGTATTGTAAATTTATTAGATATTTAGTTAAAACAACTAATGTTACCCCTCATTCGATATTTTATCATACAAACTAAAGATGAAAATATTACTATTTCTTGGAAAATTTTTGCTTCCAAAAATTATTAAGTTGTTATTTACACTCCCATTAACTTAGATGAGAAGGAAATGCGTTTGATCAAACTCAATCTAAAAAAGCCAACACTTTCTTTTTCAGAATTCAATATTTGTCATATATTGGCTCAATATTTATCTGGAACTGCAAGGAAAGGAATAGATATCTCTTTAGTAGAACCACAAGGGACAGCAATATCCTTTATACTTTAATCATTTAATTTAAATAATGAAGAAATGAAAGCAATCAAATTGATAGGAGGAACTCACTATCAAGAAACTTCTCTGAGCTAAATTTTAGCCATTTAAGATACCTTAAAATAGAATGATAAAACATATACCTTATTTAGGGAAGAATCAAATAAAATATCCATGGATCATTCTCTTCATTTTTCGTAATCAAGAATTTCTAAGCAATTTAGTTAAAAATATTCGGAATATCATAGCAATTACTTATCTTAAATATCGAAACATAAACCAGATTAAACATCATATATTTTTCATTAAGATGAAGAGACTAAGCAACTTTAAAGATTAAATTATTAAACTACACCTTCTTAATCCAAATATTAATTGCCTTATTTTCCTGATGCCACAATTAATAATAGTTTGAATAATAACAGTGGACCATATGGGAATACATTGAATATAGATGGAAGAGAAAGAGAATAAACGTTTATCAGTTAATAATAATAAAGTGAATTAAAATAAGCAACCTCTTCAAACTTATATATTGATTTTGGGGTTGATTTACCTTCATAAATATAAATGCCTGTTTCACGACCTGTAAAAATGTAAGGAGAGATTATCAAATTTTCTACCACAGGAAAGTGTTGTTCAAGAGTATTGATAGCAGATTATGAATTCTAAAATATTTAGATTTTAGAAATGATTTTAGCAAAGTTTAAGATACTTTCATCAAGGGCATTTAACACAGATGAAGTATTAAAGATGATAGAAACTAAAAAGCAATGCAAATGTGGAAATTCTAGTTTTGTTGTATTTTTTATAAATGTTGATTTGCCAAAAAAAGGTGGATTGTGGTTGAGTAAATAAATTAAAGAGAAAATTAATTAAAAAGCCCATGTTATAGGAACCACAGGATTAGTCGAATATCACTCAAAAATTGAATTTTATAAACATGGAATAGATCAATACATCAGTTTACCATTCGATTTAGGCGAAGTGACTAAAATTTTATAAATTTCATAAAACTATTGATAATTATTTATATAAATAAATGAATGATCATATATTTTTAACGAAATGATATTTTATTAAACAAAAGTATAGGTACTAAGGCTTTTAACTTAGGAGTCTCAAATTGACATTATAAAAATGAAATATTATTAGTGATTATATATATATATATTAAATAAATGAACGTTTGCAGTTCACGATATTGCCAATATAATTTAAGTATTGGTCAGATGGTTCCTATCCCTAAGAACAGGATTTATTGTCCATTTTGTAAAACGACTTATTATTGTTCTCAGAGATGCAGAGATATAGACTGGTATCAATAAAAATAAATGTTTAGGACTTCGGGACATAAATAATAATGTATACCAGAGAAAATGATAAATTCTCAAGAGATATCTAATAGTGATAAGGTTTCAACTTTAAGACAAATGAAGAGAACATCAGAAGAATTTGAGTTAATTTATGATTATCCATAACTAGGAAAGGGAAGTTTTGGAGCAGTTAAATTAGTTAGAGACAAAACTAATCAATAATTGTACGCAATGAAGATTGTACATATTTCAATAAAAAATACAAGATTAACAAGAAAGATATATTCGAGTATTGCTCTATCGAAAATTTAAAAAGAGAGATCAGAATTCAACGCAAATTGTATCATCCCAATATTACTTAACTTTATCATTATTTTGAGGATAAAGATCGTGTTTATTTGATATTAGAATATGCTGAACATGGTTCTTTGTTTTAATACTTGAGAAGGAGAGGAAGACTTAGCGAAGATGAGGCTATGAAATTTTTCAAGCAAACTTGTTTAGGAATATAATACTTACATCAATAAGACATAATTCATAGAGATTTAAAAGTATTATAATTTTCATTATTATAAAGCCTGAAAATATTTTATTAGACATCCAAGATAATGTAAAAATATGTGATTTTGGTTGGTCAGCTGAAAATCTAGGATCAGTTAAAAGAAATACTTTTTGTGGAACAATAGATTATATGGCTCCAGAGATGATAGAAGATAAGCCTCATGATTATTCTCTTGACATTTGGTGTTTAGGAGTTTTGTTATATGAATTATTACATGGACAGGCTCCCTTTGATGGTAAGAATGATATTGAGAAGTGTTAGAATATAGTCAAAGTTCAATATTAAATAGATGGTTCATTAACAAAAGAAGCTAAAGATTTAATAAAGAGTCTAATAACATATAATTAGCAAGATAGGCTTAGCTTATCATTAATTTTAAATCATAAATGGTTTAAACTTTACTCATAGAACCATTCAAATTAAATGAAACATGGTCGAAATAAAACATATAATGCCTATTCAATCCATTCCCAATCCTAATTCATTAATAAATCAACTGCATCTTCTCAATCCTCAGTAATTAGGAATCATGTAACAACTAACGAAACCTAGAATGATACATCAATTGAAATGAATTTTTAGAGATTCAGTAGAAGCTCGGATTTGCAAAGAAAACAAATTAGGTCATAAACTTCTTAATCAATTGAAAACGAATCATTTATGCATAAAATTTTAGTAGCTTTAGGGTGTGTTAAACGAGAGTAAACATAAAATAGAAATTATTGAATGTACTTATATTTATTATTGTAATATGACTACAAAATTATTGTTTTTCTTATTAATGTTAAATGTTTATTAATTATTTGACAAAATAATCTTGATTAATATTGCATAGTTCTCCCATGTGCTAAACATAGAAAATAAAAATGAAAGATTATTTATTTAGACTTCATTTATATATAAAAGATCTGGAACTTAGTAATAAAACTATAAAGTCTCATATGATCTGAAAATTATTGAACAAATCTCAATATAAATTGATTACATATATATTGATTTTTACTTATTAATGCAAATATTTGGCAGAAGTAGATAAATTTTTGAAATAAGAACTTCAATACAATTATTTTTTCACTTTCAGTAGCTCTGACTAGTTGATCTTATAAATATAAATAGATTATTATTATATATTTCTTATGCAATTTTATGGTTTGCTTCCAGCTCCAAATCCTTTAGTTTAAGCTGCTGATCCTGACATTAAATAAAAAATGTATAAATGTAAATGAATTAGTGGATAGATAAAGAAGAAAGATGTTTATGATGAAAATGATTCAGCATTTAACATGTGGGATTACTTTAGCTAAAATAAAGTTAATTTGATTTATCAGCGCTTTGATAATTATCCATGGTCTATGATTCCACTAAATAATAATCGATTTGCTGCATCTTGTTTCTTTGATTGCAAAAAACTGCTTGCTTTAAATAGAGAAATAAGATTATAAGAATTTGCATCTTTATTAAATAATTACCTGTATCCCTCTACTATGAAATAAAAGGAATAAAAATAATTATATCTTGAATAAGATAGTAAGAAATATAATGGTCTCAAATTTGATTCAAATTTTGAAAGTGGGAACTTGTTTACGTCATACAGGGTTAGTTTAAATGAATATGATTTGATGATGTAAAATGACACAAATACTAAAGGAAACACCTAATGGTTTTATTTTTCAGTTGAAAACACAGTGAAAAACAGTGTGGTTACTTTTAATATCATAAACTTTGTAACTTATAAATTTTTATCAAGCCTTGTAGATAAAATGCGATTCATTATTTAATATGGGGTAACGACCTGTAGTTTTTTCTACAAAAAGCAATCGATCAAAAGGAACTGGATGGGTGAAAGAGGGACATAATATTATTTACTTTAGGAATAAATTTAAACGAGAAAATAGTTCTCTTAATACTTATTACACACTTTCATTTAGTTATAAATTTGAACACTCTAACGATAAAGTTTATTTCGCTTAATGCTATCCTTATACTCATTCCTAATTGAATAATTTTGTAGAAAAAATACGAACAAATAAGGTAAAAAAGAATAAATATTTTAGTTTGCTGTTATAAAAGAGTTATGTAAGACAATATCAAAATTATCCTGTCCCTTAATTATTATAGGAAATGGTAAGAGGGCAATAATCTTATTGGCTCGATAACATCCAGGTGAAACCCCTAGTTCATTTACTATTGAAGGATTAACAGAATTTTTGATCAGCAATTCCATGGAAACAGAAATCTTGAGGAATAATTTTACTTTCTATATCATTCCTATGATAAATCCTGACGGTGTTGTTTTCGGAAATTATCGGTGCAACCTTAATGGGATTGATCTCAATAGAATATGGATTAGTCCTCATAAAGAATTGCACGACTCTATTTGGTATGTTAGAGAATTGATAAAATAAATAAATCAATCAGCAGAGATATGTTTAATCATTGATTTTCATGGGCATTCTAAAAAGTAATATACCTCTAAATTTGTTTAGATTAAACAGTTTTTACTATGCTAACAGTCTTTGTGATGAATAAAAATTGCTACCTTTGATTAGTTGTAACCTCTCAAAAATGATGAATTTGCGAGATTGCTGTTTTAGTATTCATGAAAGCAAAAAAAAGACTGCAAGAGTAGCATTATAACAAGAAGTCATAAACGGTTTCACTTACACTTTAGAAATCTCTTTTCATGCATTTCGTAAACTAGGCCCTTAAGATTTTACTGAAAGTTATTATAAATAATTAGGTGAAGATGTAGGATTATCAATATTTAAATTATTCGAATCTACAATGGTAAAATCTAGTAAATTGCCCAGGACTTTAAATCAATAATTAAATGATGAATTAGATAACCTAATTAAACATTGTGATCTTAGTAAACTGTAGATAGGTGAAGATGATTCAGGAAGTGATTCAAATCCAGAGGAGGATGTGCTTCAGGAATAAGAACTCCTTTCATTTAATGAATTAAAAAAAAAACCCAAATTCGTTTTATAGGCAAAGAAAAAGCTAAACAAATTTGATAAGTCAATCCAGACTGATATTTAACACTATTAAAATCTGATGTTAGATGAGAAAGTGTTGGAAAAGATCGCAGAATAAGTTAGATCAATCAGAAAACCTAATTTTGATTTCCTTGGATTTCCGAGCAATTAAGAAACAAATCTACATTAAGATGTTCCATTATAAGACGGATTTAAAAACTCATTTTAATAAACTGACATTTCTCTTTAGCAAATCTTAGGTAAAATGTAAGTATATCATGTAAGAGTTTCTAACAAGTAAATAATTCAATTATTTAGGAATTCCATTTTTTAGAATTAATTTACCACTTAATCAAGCAAACCTATAGTGATAGTTCTAAAAAATCCATATTCAAAACAATAAATGCAGTCACCATAACGGTAAACACCATAAGTCTAAGAATTATTATCAACCAAAAATAGAAGGAGAATAACATCTCTAACAGGAAGATCCACGATAGATTATAAAGGATTATCTCGTGATAGAAAATACAGCATTCAATAATCTTAATAAGATCGAAATCAGGCCATCAGCTTCATTAAATAATAAATTACACCTTAAAATTTTTTAACACAAGAGGCAAATTTTGAGAAAATTGCAAATATTAGTAAAACCAAGGTTTATGATAAATAAATGCTTAAGAATTTGTTTTGAATTATATTAATTTTATTTCAAATGGGATTGATATCGTACTATTGTCTTATTGTCGTTGTCTTTATAGCTCTAATCATTTATGATTTATTGTTTTACACCACTTATACATATGACATTTGCCCACCCATCGAATATACAAATGCACGGTTACTCTTTTATGATCCTGATTAATCACTAGATTAAATCAATTTTTTAGTAGCATAATAAACTACTACCGACAACACTACTACTACCGATAACACTACTACTACGGATAACACTACTACTACTGATAATACTACTACGACTGATTCAAATGTTAGTGATACTTCCATGGCAAATGCACTAGTATTCTAATAAAAATAACAAGGTTACACTCCCATTCATAATTATATTACTTTATTGTGGTGTGATAGGCTTAATTTTCTTAGCCATGCTCGGTATATATTGTTTTGGTAAAATGCCTAGTGAAAAATTTGGAAATTTAAGTAGTTTTATTTATTTATTCTTAAGATATGTGTTGGGCTTGTTTAGGTATTTATGTTAGAAATTTTGCCGTCTTGACTCGGCTTCTTTCTTGGGTTGGTTTATTATTGATGGCAATATAAGCCATCATTACAATTACAAACGAAGAATGCTAAACTGCTGTTCATGAATACAAACAAAATAGAAAAATATATTAAGTGGTAATTCAAAAATTTTATTTTAAGGAAGGAGCAATGTATGATTCTTCAATTTTATTAATTATTGTAAATTTATGTTTTTGGGGAGCAACTCACTGTCTTTTACCCTCATTAAAGCTTCTTATAGATTCAGAATCCTTTTTATATGAACCATTTGACCGAAGTAAAGGTACGGCATATTGGTTTTGTTGTATAATGCTTGGACCTTGAATATTCTTTATATTTTTATATGAATTATCATTAACGCTATTAATTTTTTCCCTAAATTAGTTATTATATAAAATAATTTAGGATATTTGATTGCAAATATATTTATATTGGCTTTGAATTATCAAATAAATTCTAATAAAAGAAAAACTAAAAATGGAACATTTACTTTAGCAGCATAATGTAACGCTATTTCTATACAAATAACAATAAAGTTGCTTATATTAACTAGAATTTATCTATATTTGAGATAAATCCTATTATCAAATGATAACTAATGATGATATAACAAGTAATTCTATGAAACTATATATAATGTTTATTCTAAATTATGAGTGATGAGTTCATATGAGAAATAGTGAGGCAGGTAGAGTAGTATATATCCATTGTCAGGGGATCCTCATTGTTAAAAACTAATACTTCCCTCTACCATAAATGGAGAAAGTGAAGATGAAACTTAAATTAATTAAAAATGTTGTTATATTTAGGGTAACTTAAAACTTGGGGATCATGTTACATCTTAATATTAGTACAATAAACCTTAATTGAAAAACTATATGAAAGCATGTCACCAAAATCGATTTTACTAACCATAAATAATTTAGATAAAAAAAAAATCTCATTAGATATTTACTCTATTAAAATTTCTTTATTATGTAAATTTTAATAATATTATTCAAAGTAATCTTGTAATTATGTAATAATTAATGTGATTATTTGATTCATTGAAGGCAATTATTGAAGTAGAATTATTTCATAATATAGATATACTTTCGTAAAATATTTTCTTGATAATTTTAATAATCCCTACACACAAGTAAAGCTATAAAGACTTTAGTATATCTAAAATTGGAAATTGAAATTTGTTCTTATTATTGAATATCATTATTATTATTATTAATAAATTATGAATTAAAACAAATCCAAATTAGGGAAACAATTTATTGCATAACTTCCTACTTATTTGAATATCAAAGAGGTAACCAAATTTATGGCAAAAAAACGATAGGATGAGTAGATAATTTTTTATTTTTTAGTATCCAAGTTCTAAAAACATACACCAGCAAGAATCGATTAAAAGCATCGGACTCTGAATTGTATCAATAAATGACCGAGAAAGTGAAATGCTAAAAAAAAGATTTAGATCCAATTGAATATGAACAGATGTTGAAATTCTTTGATTAAATTCAACCAAAATATGAAATTGGGGATTAGATTAAGAAAATTTCAGGTATCGAACCAGTCATAAAACAAAATGACAATATGAATATAATACAAGGATAAGTATAATTAGAAATACAAAGTGATTTTTTATATATAATAAATATTTGGGTAATAAATTCAATTATAATAGGATAACATTGTTATAGAAAATAGTGGTCCTATTGATGAATTGATTGGATTGTATCAGAAGAGAAATGAATGGCATGATAAAATAAAACTTGTGGCAATTTCATTGAAATCTTCTTCAGAAGAGATTATTTAACTAGTTACTAAAAAGAAATGGGAATGTATGAATCATTACAAATTAATAAAGAATAAATAAGGAAATCATTAATTTCTAGATATGATAAACATAGAGGGGTTGCCAATTGTTGTCATAATTGGAAAAAATGGTAAAATACTTCATATAGGTTATCACTTTGAAGTAGATTTAGATGAATTAATTAAAATAGAAATGTCAAAAGTAGATGGTTCAAATCCAGGAGAATTATCTATATAAGCAAATCTCAAAATAGAGAATTAGAAATAAAATGTTGAGGGTAATCAAGTATAATCATAGAATGTGAATAACATGATAAAAGAGCAAGTAAAAGTGTTAAAACAAATTCTCTAAGATACACAAAAGGTTCTAAAAAATTTAGGATTTCAGATTAAATTCTAGGTTACTTTGAGGAGAATCAGGCAATAACAACCTGATGGGAGCTTTATGATCTCAGATATATCTCAACTTGAATTGAAGTATAAAATTACTGAGGAAGAAATGGAAATTTTAGATTAGTTTATGTAATAGGTTTGGAATTAAATACCTGAACACTTGCGAATTGTACTGAAATCAGATGTTGTGAATTTGAGCGATGTTATTCAAAATAGAATTCTAATCGCCTTTGCTAGATAGGGTGTAAAAATTAAATACAAACCTATAATAAAAAAATCTATTTCCTGGGATTCTAATATCCAAAAAATTGTGATACATGATACTGAAGTCCAAAAGGCTTCGATAAAAGGACTCAGTCTTGCAAATTTTTATGATGGACTTGAGGAATCAAAACCAAACATTGATTATTTTAGTCTGAACTTTGAATTAGGCAAATAGATTAATAAAATAATTGAAGAGCTACGTTCTGAAGTAACTCTTGGTCCAGGGAGGAGATTTGCACCTATTCTAAATTACAAGAAATTTGAAACTTAAGATAATGAAAATATTTTTCATTCCAAAGGATAAGTATTAATAATAATTTATTGGTAATGCAATTAGGATTGCATAGCTTAACTAAGAAATATTGATAAACTCATTGAAAAAAATAATGAATCTTGGAGTAAAATCGTTAAATGTGTAGCACTTAATATAGGGGAGGAAAAAGAATATGTAGAATTTTTAGAATAAAACTAAGAACTCTAAGGCCATCTATCAATGTACTATAAGAAACGGGCTTTTCTAACTGACACATCTTTATATGCAGTTTAATAGGTTCCACATTTAATAATTGTCGATAAATCTGGGTTTATTAAATACACAAACTGCCCAATAAATTTAGAAAGGTCAATATAACAATTAGTAAACGAAGAGGAAAAGGATATTAATTTGAATCAGGTTAAAGTACCAATCAAGGAACAAAGAGTGAATTCAATTAAACAAATAGTATTAAAGGAGGATTTTAAAGAATATTTATTATCAATTGATAAACACAGAGTTATCCAGTTAAAACTTGACTTTGAAGTCTAGAAAGTTGGCAACGATATTTTCTTTGACAACATCTATTTAAATTACTATATTAGGGATAAACAAGAAGAAGATTTTAATAAATTACTAGATAGAATCTTTTAAATCATCCCAGAGGATCGTTGGATTATAAGTAAATAAATCTAATAAACAATCTCTATTCCATATCCAGGAAATAAATGTGCAGTTTGTTATAAAGATATTTCAAAAGATCATAAATAATATTACTGTTATTTTAAGAATGAACATGTTTGTACAGAATGTGCTGAATTTATTGATGTAGAAAAAAAAGGAATGGATATGTATAAATATCAAGATACATTAATATTTATAAATGGTCCTCTTCAAGATGAATCGGTCTTACATGATGTAGATTTACACAAAATGGGAAAAAACAGAAAACTTTTAGAAGGTCAAAAACCCTCCCAGATTCATTAATTCAGTTGCGATGGGTGTTCTATTGGATCAGAAGGACCTCGATATATAGCAGTAAATGCAAAACCAGGAATTTACAGAACAAATGTATTAATTACTACATTATTTAGGGTTATGTTGATTATTGTAACAATTGTTTTTTTATTCTGAAAAATAAAGAATCAGTTGAAGCATAAACCATTATATAAAAAAGGGTTGATTTAGGTATGACAACTGATAATATTTTTACAAGAGTGCTGTTTGATTATGGGAACTATAGGGATTTTTGAAAATTAATAAGATATAATTTAATCATTGAACTTAAAAATACCATCTATTCTTTATAATCTAATTGTAATTTTTAGACTAAATTTCTTTAAACATACTTTTTAAGTTTGATATATTTATTTTTAGATCTCTATTACTCATAAGCTACTTAAAAAAAATCTCAAAAACTAAAAGGTTTAAGAAGAAATCTTCAAATTTAGTTTTATCCCTTCTCCTTTAAACAAATCTACCATTTTCAAATTTTGAAAAATATATAAAATTCTTAGACCCATAACAACAAATTAGCCTTGTGTTAATTTATGTAAAACTTTTTGGGTTTGTTCTACGATCTTTTAATTTTCCCCTTAGTTCTTTCAATTAGTTAGAGAGGAGATTTCAATTATCTATGAATCATTTTGATTTTAAAGAGTTTTGATTCTAACTATTATTAAAGGTTTCTCTAAGATCAAATAATTTCTTCTAAAACTTCAATGTTCAATTGGTTATTTTTTGGCTAACATTGCTTTTAAAATTTGTTTCATATCTCATCCATTATAATAACCTCTTAATTCTGTTAGCTTTTCAACACTCATAAAAGATAATTGAAAATTCTTAGTGAAGTAGTCCATTAATAAATCCAGTTTAAGGTTTCAAGATTCCATTTTCAAGTAATTCTAGAGTTTTTAATGAAATCTAAATATAAGCTAACTCAATAAGTTGGGAACAGGAGGGGTGTTATATCTGTCTAAACTAGAATAAATCTTTAGTTAGTTAGTGATATTAAGAAAGGTTTCTTAAACAATGTGTAATTTATTTTCATCATCAATAAAGCAATTTTAAATATTTCCATCTTTTTTCTATTTTTTCATAACAATTGTTTTTTAATTAACGAATAAAAATCTGAACTGTCTCCTTAAAATAGTTCTCTTCGTTCTTCTAAAATTGAATTTCTTTGTTTATTTAATCAATTTTGATCCTAGTTCTTTATTTTGTATTTATCCTTTGCTTCTAAATTTACTGTTTATAAAAGTTTTAAAATGAATCAAAAAATTTTACCTGATATGATTTTGGTGAGTTTTTAATATTTTATCATAAACAGGTGGCTGTGATTAGAAAAAATTCATAGAATATAAAAATATATAATAGAATTGCTCAGTTGTGGAGATAAATATGCTTTATAATACCTCCTGTATCAAAAAAAGGGAAAAAATTTCATTATTTATTTTATCATTAAATTATTTAAAAAAAATGTCATTGTCCAAAAAGTATAATGATTGTTTTTAATCGCTTTGAGGTGCATAATGTGAGTTGTTCAACAATGATGATTCAATTAAAAAGTTTCTGATGTAGAGTATTGTTTTGCCAAAAGTGAAAATTAACCTAAAATATCATATTTTTGTTCATAATTCAAAAAATTATTGAAACTATAACATTCTTATCAATATCATAAAGTTTGATTGATTTAGTTGATAATAATTTCTTTCAGGGACACCTGTTTAAAAAAGCTCTTAATTAATTAGGTTATTTTAATATAAAGTGAAGAAATTAGAAATGATAGAATTTAAAGGATTTTATTTTAGCCTTTCATTATTGATAATTAAACTACTATTCTGAAGGTAAAGTGTAAGTAATCACTTTAAACTTTTAACTCAAAAGTTGTGCAGAAAAATGAAGGGTACAAAGATCAACTGAAAAAAATCGATCTAAAATAACAAGTCTTGATAAGTAGAAGATAAATAGAAAGTAGATTGAAGATTTTACTAACAAATACTTGTTTAGAATAATCATATATTTAATAATTGTTTTCAGTTTAAATTAAAAAAATAAATTTCAAAATGGGAAATACCATAGTTTTCGAAGGTGAAAACTCTATAACATCAAATCTATTAAAAGACTAACTAAAATATGTAGGCAGTAAGCAACATAAGTATTTGGGATAGATTTAATTATGGAAAAATAAATAAAACCAACATGAATGGATATTTTCAAAGGTAAGAAGATTTAAATTAAATCAGATTTCTTTGATTGATATTGATGAAAATATCATAAATTCTTGGCATATAAAAAGGAAGTCAATGTAACATGAAAATTTATTATAATATTATGGTTGTACAATTAAAGAGCAGACATTTTAAGGAGCAATAAAAGATTTTCGAATTTATTATGAATTTCTACCAACAAATTTATCAAAGGTTCTTAAGGATCATTAATTTAATGGACAATATGTTAAAGAGTCGTTTATCTGGAAAGTAATTAAAATATTTCTACAAGTTAATAACATAAATTTCTACTGTCTTTGCTTATCTAGATAGTAAGAATAAATTTCACTCCAATATCACCTTCGACAGCCTCTTTTTTGATAAAGCCCACAATGTGAAAATTTTAGTATGAAATTATGTAAGCATAGTACTATGGAGCTGTCCCAAATTTATTATCAAATTATGCATAAACGTTAGGAAATTATAATTCAAACAGATCTTTGAGTCCTTAATAGATGAAGGATTATTAAAATCATTTGACTTAGTTATAAACTGACCCTTTCAAATAGGATTCTTATTCATTTGGAATACTTTTAGTGTCAATAATGAGTGGTAAAGGTAATAATGAATTTTTACAAATAATTTTAAGATGTAACAAAGTATACAGACTTTTATAAGGAAGTTATTCATTATAAGCAAATTTTAAATATTTTGGGATCTGCCTATCACTATTATTCTTAATCTTTAATAAACATAGTAGTAAGTTTATTACAATATGATGATTCAAAAAGACCAAATATTTCTTAAATATTTAAAGTCAAGATCCACAAGCAGCCCACTATCCAATATCGCCCATAATTATAGATAGTTTAATAGCCTTAAACAATTAATATTTATAGATTAGATACAACTCAATCTTGTTCTTCTTAAAACCATCATCAGAGTTAATACCTTTTGATATCGCCAACTAAAAAGACTCCTTCTAAGACAAATAACACAATATTATACTCATCACCAAGATAGGCCTCAAAAAGCTCATCATATGCATATCCTAAATAAATTTAATTAGCTAATGGATTTTTTACTCCAAAGACAAAATAATCCAGAAGTATCTCTTATAGATTTCTTTCAAGTAGAAACTTTAGTAAAGTTTAATCACCTTATATGAAATGATGATTTGATAAATATATACTGAATATTTTAATATTCTTCAATATTTTTAATATTTATTGTTGGTTTTGGTAACAGTTGTGGTTTTATATTCTGTTACAGGCTTAGTTTCAATTTTGCTTTTTAGATCATTGAAATCTTTTTGGTATGCTTCAGGCAAAAACTTAGATCCTCTTTGCAATTAAGAACTCGATATATTGTTTTATAATTATGAGTTTCTCACTTCATAAGTCTAGTTAACTTTCTAATTAATCTAATCCAATTTAGAACTTATTGACTCCCTAGGATTTAGAGGGTCTTATGCAGAAGAGTATTCGTAAACATCTGTCTTTCCGTTGACTGTGGAAACTACTTACTTCCTTACTTCTGTTGGTTTATTAGTTCCTTTATTTTCTACAGTATAAGTAGTTGTCTTTTAATAGCTTGAGGTTTGAGGTTAGATCTACTATTAATATTACATTTAGGGCAATTAATAGGAGGTTGGTCCTGAGGGCGGTTATTTTGACGGCTGAAATGATTATTATTAAGTTAGCTAGTCTTCCAAAATTGCAATTTGTTGCTATTATTGCTAAACTTTGTTTGAGAGACTGTTCATCTTTGATCTTAATTCATCATTTTCATGTTGTAAATCATCAATATGTCCATGCAATTAATCAATTTCTTATGGATTCACAGCATATTGCTTTGCTTTTTCCAGTTCTTTTTACAATCTTACTACTTCATCACATTATTTTTAATAACGATCAACATACTCAAGCTTTTATAATCTTTCATCTTTCAACTCTTTGTGCACTGTATTTAACTCTATTTCTAATTCGCCTAATTGTTAATCCTTCATTTATTTGAATTAATCTAACTTCTATCTCTCTAATTGTAATTTTTAGATTAAGTCTTCATTGCCTTGATTATTTTACTAAATAATAATTTCAATATAATACATAATTTTGTTTAGCATATTAGACTTCTTTTTACAAATAGATCACATCTTCATTTTTTTACCTTAATGCTTCTGTCATTCTTTGCAATTCTTGTGTGAGTACCCTCATCCTCTCAATGCAGCCAGTATGTCGTTCATTACTTTAGACAATCTCCTATTTTTGAGGTGATTACATTGGTTAAGTCAAAGAGGCTCTCACATTCTCTTATCTTATTACTGAATTTCTTTTTTCTTGTTGATAATTCATTTAATAATATAAATATAAATAGAAAATTTCCAATTCATATTAAATGCTATTTGGATTCTAATAAAATATAAGGAAAATAGCTATAAATTTCTTCTACTTATTTTGCTCCTATATTTGTGTAATGTTCATTTAAATCATTTGATCCTATTCATCTGATTTTACTTAATTGTTATTATATATTTTGTCATAACTAACACATTCCATTAGATTTTACTATGATTCAGCAACTTTCTTAGTTATGTTTAGTTGTTATGATTAAAAACAATTTTTAGGCTAAAGATTTAATAAATTAAATTGATTAATTTCTCACATAAAATGATTATTACTCCTTTTTTAATTTCATTAAATTTCCTTACTTTGCCAATTCGAGAATCGCTTATTTTGGATAATTTAAATTTGCTAATAAAAATAACTTATAAAATATTTTTAACAAAATAATTGATTAATAAGACATAGATGCTATATAATCAGAAAATAATACAACAGTGATTTCTGTTTTTGCCGATGGTATCATTATCTATCATACCCTAATACCTTAAATATTTGAATCCTTTATTAGAGAACGGTTCCAACATTCTATTTATAATCTCTATCATATCTAAAATTTTAGAATCTAATTCCTAAATCTCTTCTTTCAAAGATTTGATTATTGTTTTTTTCAATTCACTTGTCATATGAAAGAATATTTAAATCCTATAATACATTTTTTAGATTACTAGAAATCATAGATAATTGGAACATTAGATTCCTCAAGAAATTTTAATTGGATATTCTGATTGTATTGGTTTTAATTAATATTAAAGCAATTGTTGCCGATTTACTAATGATTAACTATATTTTTATACATAGACCATGTCAAATGAAATAGTTTCGAGCACTTAATTATTTGTAAATAATATAAAATTTAGCTTATCTTTGAAATCAAAAGGTTAAGAATGTAGTTAATTTGGGTATAATTTTTGATCATTCAAATACAATTGATAAGTAGGATCATTAGGAGAATTAATCATAAGGATTTGGTAAAGTTCTTTGTCATTTTACTTTTGCTATTTAATTTCTAATTTTTGAATCATTTCTATGTTTTGTTTTAAATTATTTATTAGTTCTTCCAGTTATAGTATTTTTATATGCTTTAATTTTACACTGTCTAATATTTCTTCAACAAACATGTTGGCTGTAAATTCAATAGACATGGAGGACCTCTGAAATATTTTTTAATAATACATTCGTTAATGGAGTTAAGAATCCCTCTCTTACGTTATTCTGACATTCTTTTATAATTTCTTTTAATGGATGATCACTTGTAAGTTTTTTAATGAAGTAGATGTTATCATCAATCAAATCATTCTATTCAATATTCTGATTTTTCAATGAATACAAGAGACTCAACTTTTTTTTGTTTATTTCCCTTGCTTTAATCGATAGAAAATCAGACTCCATTAATAAATAATAATATTAAAGTGATAAATAATTTTCATCTTCTTTAATTTAAATAGTCTCTTGCACTTTTATCTCTGCCGTGATATCCCCTGCTCATCATAGTCTGAGACTATCCATACCCTCCATAACCATATCTACTATCATAGTAACCTCCTTAATTTCCTTATTATGAGCCAAATTTCTATTAAAATTTACTAAAATTGAAATCATCTTCATCATCAGAACTCAATCCTTATCTATGTCTTCTTCTTCTCCTCCTTTATTTAATTTCCTCAATAATTCTGGTGTATTTTTCGATCAACTCATCATCATCATCATCAGTATTCTCATCTTCGTCGTCATCATTTTCATATGATTCTTTTTATTAATAACTTGTAATTGTTGTTGGAGGCAACTTGTTTTTGGATAAATNTCTGTTTTTGCCGATGGTATCATTATCTATCATACCCTAATACCTTAAATATTTGAATCCTTTATTAGAGAACGGTTCCAACATTCTATTTATAATCTCTATCATATCTAAAATTTTAGAATCTAATTCCTAAATCTCTTCTTTCAAAGATTTGATTATTGTTTTTTTCAATTCACTTGTCATATGAAAGAATATTTAAATCCTATAATACATTTTTTAGATTACTAGAAATCATAGATAATTGGAACATTAGATTCCTCAAGAAATTTTAATTGGATATTCTGATTGTATTGGTTTTAATTAATATTAAAGCAATTGTTGCCGATTTACTAATGATTAACTATATTTTTATACATAGACCATGTCAAATGAAATAGTTTCGAGCACTTAATTATTTGTAAATAATATAAAATTTAGCTTATCTTTGAAATCAAAAGGTTAAGAATGTAGTTAATTTGGGTATAATTTTTGATCATTCAAATACAATTGATAAGTAGGATCATTAGGAGAATTAATCATAAGGATTTGGTAAAGTTCTTTGTCATTTTACTTTTGCTATTTAATTTCTAATTTTTGAATCATTTCTATGTTTTGTTTTAAATTATTTATTAGTTCTTCCAGTTATAGTATTTTTATATGCTTTAATTTTACACTGTCTAATATTTCTTCAACAAACATGTTGGCTGTAAATTCAATAGACATGGAGGACCTCTGAAATATTTTTTAATAATACATTCGTTAATGGAGTTAAGAATCCCTCTCTTACGTTATTCTGACATTCTTTTATAATTTCTTTTAATGGATGATCACTTGTAAGTTTTTTAATGAAGTAGATGTTATCATCAATCAAATCATTCTATTCAATATTCTGATTTTTCAATGAATACAAGAGACTCAACTTTTTTTTGTTTATTTCCCTTGCTTTAATCGATAGAAAATCAGACTCCATTAATAAATAATAATATTAAAGTGATAAATAATTTTCATCTTCTTTAATTTAAATAGTCTCTTGCACTTTTATCTCTGCCGTGATATCCCCTGCTCATCATAGTCTGAGACTATCCATACCCTCCATAACCATATCTACTATCATAGTAACCTCCTTAATTTCCTTATTATGAGCCAAATTTCTATTAAAATTTACTAAAATTGAAATCATCTTCATCATCAGAACTCAATCCTTATCTATGTCTTCTTCTTCTCCTCCTTTATTTAATTTCCTCAATAATTCTGGTGTATTTTTCGATCAACTCATCATCATCATCATCAGTATTCTCATCTTCGTCGTCATCATTTTCATATGATTCTTTTTATTAATAACTTGTAATTGTTGTTGGAGGCAACTTGTTTTTGGATAAATCATCAGGATTATTAAGTGGATTTCCCATGTCGTCTGTTAAAAATTAGTTTTGTGGATTAGGGTATTTAATCTCTTATTAATATGGCTTTGGAATCATAACTTCATACGGAATTTCTACAGGAATTGGTACTTTCTCTAAGATTTAGATTATTATTTTATACCTATAATTGTTTAAACAGGAATATATTCTACAATTGTTCTCTCTACAGGAACTATTTCTTCTATTTCTTACTCTTCCATCTTCACTATTTATTTTTTCTAAGGAATATAGTTCACCTTCCTTTCTATTTAAGCTGCCTATGTGAATTACAAAGGAGGAGCTTGAACAAGCTATTATTAATATTAGATTTATGGTTGAGGTTAAATTAAATTTTAAACAACTAATGGCTGTTATTAATAATTGATCAAGTGCTGTGATAATTATCCCTAATTCACACTCTAAATTGGCATTGAATATTATATAGGCATCTATCCTTTTAATTATCCAACGCCAGGGCATGGCAATGGAGTACTTAATGGCATAAATGTTTATTAGGAATTTTATGATTAAAGTCCAAAATTGGGTTGAGTTACCCCATATCCCATTTGCAAATTTTAACCAACTCCTGCGCTTAATCTTGGGCCTTACAATTAACATTGAACACTTTATGCTAACATGTTATTCAATTAATAAATAATAAATTATTGAGTTATGACAGTTAAATTTTTTCATAAACAACCTATCATTACAAGTTAGCTTCGCTGAGTGGTCTAAGGCGCTGGATTATAGCTCCAGTCCGATAAGGGTGCGAGGAGTAACCTAGCTGTTAAAATTTTTTTATTTTATATTTCTGTTTTAAGCAATAATAATATTATTTTGAGAAAAAATTAAAGATATAATTAATTTTAGGTTCAATTCTAGATCATAAATTGAAATTTTAGTATTACTAATTCTCTAAAAATTTTTAGTATTTTTCTACTCATCTTATATGGAGGCTGAGTAGCCTTTAATGAAAATGAAAAAAGATGTTAAAAAATTGTTCAATCAAATATATTTTATGCGAATTAGGGTTATTCATTTAACTTAATAATTGAGGTTTTCAAATTACTGCATTAGAATTAATTGCAATAAATTATAGATCTCAATCAATAGGATCAAATTTGCTCCTATTTCAGAATATTTATTTTCAGAGTTTTCCCAGTCCAAACAGTGGGCTATTTTTGGTTTTTTAATGGATATATCCAAAAAACATAAATTAAATTTTGACTTGAATTCATCAGAGCGGAACTCTAAAAAAGTTATTAAGTAAACAAAAAATAATGTAGTATAAACGAAACAGTGGTTTAAAGAATAATATGACATTTCTATTGCAATCTACAAAGTATTTATATCGAATTTTAATGTACATATTTTATAATGATCATGCCTCTTGATTGATTTGTAGTCTTTCGCACAAATCCTTAAGGTATGTGATATTTTAATTAATTCTTGAGTTTTTATCCTTGATAATTGAGCATGCCACGACATTTCTACTTGTACCACACATTCTACCCAAATCTACCTTGCTCTTGACAAAAACATAAGGGACATTCTATTATGAGTCAATATTTCGAATACCTTGTCTTCGCATAATAATGGTAAATGAAGAACAATTTCTAATGGAGTTGTGTCAGCAGCAATAATGACTAATTCTGCAATACCTCTATTTAATGTTTTGGTTGTTTCGTTGGCTCCTTTTTTTAACTATAAATTGCAAAGAGGATTACTTATTTTAAGGCAGCTGCTTATTATGCAAGTTCTAGAATTTAAGGTTCTACTTCTTCATTAGCTAATGGCTGGGCTCTCTCAGGATATTCACTTTGCTATTTATATAGACATTCAAATTACCATTAGTTATTATGTTAACAAAATATTAAATGTTAATTAAAAGTTAAATTTATATTTGGTATATATAATCAATAGTTTGTGAATCTAATATAAGCATCTAATACTAGTTTTGGAGTGCTTATTTGTAATAATTATTCAGAAATAATATTAAAATATATAATGAATTCTATAATTTTAATATTAGCTAGCAGATAAGAATATATATTTCACCTTTAAATTTTGGAGGCTTAGATAAACTCAATGTCTAGTAATGACCGATTGAATTTAGTGTAATAATTATAATGCAAGATATTGAGAGTAGAGTAGAGAAGAATTTAAATAGAATCACAAACATTATTAAATTATTCTGAGCCTAGAAAATTCTTATTGAAACTCGTGAAAAAATATATAAAAATTCAAGGTTATTATTACTAAAAATTGCAAGTATTAAGACATGTAAATAGTTATATTTTCCAATATTCAGTTAAAGAAAATAATTTTTACCCATGCAAAGAAACTAATTATTCAAAATAGCTGGCAATACTGCTATGAGTTCAACTGAAATCATACAAATAATTATCAATCTGTAGAAAGAAAGGCTAGTTCGTTAGATTGATTCTTTAGTTAAATCCATAAATAGAAATGAGGCATTATAGTATTCATAATCATTATAATTTAGAACTGATTTAATAACAAATAGAAACGAAAAGTTTTGTTAAGATCCAATTTAGAGTTTAGATTACTTAAATCATATCCATTTAACTTATTATTTGCTTAATAAACCTTCATAAAAAAATGACCCATATGATATAATGAATTTAGATGAACCTACTAAAGAGTATTTAACATCTGGTTTTAAAAGCTATGTTTGTTGTTTTACAAAAACAAAAAATGTATTTATTCCAATTGAAAGCACTCAAGAAATTACTTTATTTAGGTATGAAAAATTCTGGAAAATCTTAAATGATCAAAATTATGCTCTTTATAAAAGAATTACAAAATTTTACTTTAAAAATTACTAATAATTATCCTCTACTCTTGAGAAGCAAATAATATGTTCTGTACATCGTTTACCTTTGAGACAACAATAAAAGAAAAGCAAAAGAAATATATTTCATAAAATCAGATTAAGCAAATAAGAAAACGAAGGTAGAAATTCAAGAACATTTTAAGATGGGTTTCAAACTGACAAAGAGCCTTACATAAGTAATTCAATTGGTATTGAATCATAAGGTGAAATCTTGAATCATTTAAAAAACATTGTACTAACTTCATCAAAAACAAGAGAATAGAAAAGTAGTTGTGATAATAAAAAATACATTCTAAGAGAAAGTTAAATTAGAAATGAACACGAATTGATTTAAAGTCAACTCCTCTTATGTGGTAAATCAATGAAATTCCCTTATAATGATTAAGAGAAGAGAAGAATTTTTAGTAATATATTTGAAAACAAAGATAATTCTAATAATGCTTCTAAAGACAAATCTGTAGAATAAATTTCACTTTCCTTAACAAAAAATCTGAAATTCTAAAAATTAGGTTTAAGCAATAAATACCACTTGATAAAAATCAAATAAAACTTCAGTCAGCTTAAATTGTAGCAATTATAATTATAAAATTGAATTAAACATTTTTTAAAACTTATCACAACTATCAGTATTTATTAATTGATAATATTTTTTAAACTTAATTTATCATGGATTGTATTGTTAAGAAATGAATTTATATAAAATTTTAATAATTTGATTATGTTAAACGAATAAAAGTTTTTAAAAGACCCAAAGCAATATAGATTGTACTTGATATATCATCTTAGCTTGAATTTAACGCATGGATTATGTATTTGCTTTTATTACATTCATAACCTGATAAATGGGTAATTACTATTCCCATTTGCAAGTTTTTCAAGCTCATATTTATTTTTGATTTTTATTCTAAGTTTAGTTACTTCAATTCTTTATGTAATTGTTCTACCTAAAGTGATTGTTTTAAATAAAAACAGCAGGAAAGACTGTAAAAAATCATTGAAATCATTTTAAAAATAAAAATTGAATACCTATCTGAACTCAACTCAATAATTTATCAATATGTTATATGTTTTAGGAATTTGGCTAGTAGTATGGAATTCCTTTACTAATTCTAATGCAGAATTTCAAGCTGTTATGTAAAATATATAATGTATTTTTTAAAATAGAAATTCATTAAATATTTTGTGTTCCATTCACTTTTTGAAACTATTTATAAAATTGTATTTAGATAATTGGCTGTAGAAATGCATAAAAGAGGAGGAATAATTTCAACCTCTATAAATTTATTAATGGATTGAATAATCTGAGATTACCAAAGTTCACTGTTTAATATGTTCTGATTCGTTCAAATTCGAAGATCACATAGGTTAATATTTTTGTATAGGAAAACACCAATTTCATAAACACTGCTTAAATAAATGGATATAATTGTCATCTGATAACAAATAGATTTGTCCTTACTGCAAATAAAGGTCTCAAAAGAAACAATGCGAATGAATAATTTATTTTCGCCTTAATATAAACTTTTTTGAAATAAAATTGAAGTTGATCTTCATATAATCTAATTTTCCATTAGACTCTTGCCATTAATAGTTCTATTTTCATTGTTCATTTTGATTACAAAGTGATTCTATCATCAACTGTTAATTAATAGTCTAATTTAGATATAGATTAATAATGCTATAAGTATTTTAAATAAATTAGCCTTTATTGATGTCAAAGCAATATAAATATTATTGATACAATTTGTTTGAGAGATCATATTGATAGTTGTTAAATGCACTATGCGGATATTTTCAAGTTTTAAATTTAGTATTTTTTAAGTAACATGTAGTATATTTCCATTATCATTTAAAAAACATTTCATTCTAGTTCTATATATTTTGTTTGATTTTTTACTTATTTGAATGTAAATATTGGTGCATGAGAGTTTTAGTGCAAATCATTTTATTTGGTCTGTCCTGAAAAGGACTGTTCATAAATAATAAAAATATTTAAGCACAAAATTTATTCATTCAAACTTTTGTGATCCCTTTCTCTCAATTTCTCTTTCAACAAAACTTATAAAAGTAAATTAAATATTCTCGCTTTAAGTTCTTTACCTTGCCTTCTTCATTGGGCTGGGAGTAAGTTATTAATCTATCCAAACTACAGGTGTTTTGCCATCTTCCTCAACTTCTTAAATAACAGTGTTAGGATCGCAGTATATTTTTTTTTTGATTTAAGGCTACAAAATTATAGAGCTTTTATTTACTATATCAGTTTAAGCATCACTTAGCAAATCTAGGTCCTCCATTCCAATATCTGGTTCTTATTTTGGCTTCAAACAAGGCTTTTTTGGTGCTTTATCAAAGGTGTTTACATATTCTTCATAAGTCATTGAAGAGTTCAATCTCTTGCGTTATTCTTCCATAATTTTATTTTATTATTTATTAAGATCTTATTTTATTTAATATTTTACATTCATACCTGTTCTTTCGATTTATATCCATTAATATAATGCAAATAAATTTATATAGCAATCACTTTGATAATGCAAGAATGGTTGATGATTTTTAGAGTAATTCAAAATTAAAAAATGCATATTCATTACTAAAAATGCATATAGAAATGTAAAGGAATTCAATCTTATTGAAAAAAATAATTATCTATCTTTTGATATGCAGAAGTTCAAAATTTTATTGTAAGAAATAAATATTAAATATGAAAAAATTTATGAGTGCAATGTTGCTAGTCCATTCGTTTGGAAAAATAAGTAATTTTGATAACGTGATAATTGATTCATACAAAGGATGTCATATGTAAATAAGCAAATCATATCAGAAAGAGCAATTTAAATTAATACATAAATAATCCAAAATTGTTTAAATAGCATCTAATCGACTTTATAGAAAAGAGCAAATCTAATAATAACACAGCAATTTGGATTGACCTTTAAAAGGACTAATTGCGTTTGGCTCCTGTATAAAATACATATCCAATAGACTTTAATTGAATAAGGATTTAAGATGCACAGAGTATCTGAGAATATTTTGCAATTTTCAAAATGGCTGCCAGATTGTCAAAGCAGATTGCCTGATTAATCAACCCATTATGTTGGGGTCGGCGGAATAGTCGTAAAGGGTGATAGCATATTACTTGTTCAAGAAAAGAATGGGTAAAGAAAGGGTGCTTGGGGAACTCCAGGGGGACTGGTGGATCAGAAGGAATCAATAATTTAGGCAGTGTTAAGAGAAGTAAAAGAGGAAACTAATTTAGATGTATGAATTAATATATATATAATATTAGTGTAAAGTGGAGGATGTATTGTATTTTAGAGAGATGCATGATGCAAGATATGGAAAAACTGACTTATATTTTGCATTTAGATTAAGATGTTTAGATGATTAATAGATAAAGATATGTGATTAGGAGCTGATGGATTATAGATGGGTGCCCATTAACGGGATATTAGATGTAATAGTTTGTTTATGATCTTTTAGTTCATGAAGAAGGAGAATCAGAAACCACATGTGATAAACTTCTATAAATCGGTTTAGGAGAGACTTACAGGAGATGAATGCAAATATATGAATATAGAAGAGAGGAAGGAAATGTATTATGGTTAAATGAAATATTATGTTATTTTCAAACCCAGATTTTGAATTTTTAAAATGCACATTATAATTTTCACTATTTGTTGAGTCTTGTGGAAGAGATATTAAAATAAGATAATAAAATAATCTTATGAGTTAGTCGAGTATTGGAGTAAATCAAAATAAAAATAGTGATAATGCTTAGCAGATCACTAAAAAGGAGAAAAAAGAAGCAAAAGAAAAGAGCAGTGTGCAATGCTTGGTTTAAAAAGGTATGACCAAAAATAAGAGTACATTTTTATATAATTATTAATCAAAGGTTTATAAGAGGACTCGTTAACAATAAATAGCATAGAATAATTTGAAAATTATAAAAAGATGGTAAAACTAGAACAAAAGAGAGAATCAGCTATTGCAATTTCAAGAATCCTATTTAAAGGACCTTTAAGATAAAGATTTGAGAGACTTGAAAGTTTTAAATCCATATAATAATTGCTGGCCATTTCCAAATACTAATTATTATGCGAAATGTTCCTGAATTTAAATAAAATATTAATCAATTAAACTTTAGCCTTTTAAGAAATAGTTATTAAATTTAAATAGGATTATTAAATAGAATTTAGAGTCTAATTTTTACAGCAACTCTTAACCATCTGGAATGATGCGTTTTCTTTGTGTTGGAAACATAACAACAATGATAAAGTTAGTTTAGAAGTGAGAATCAATGATTAGCAATTTGATTAAATTCAAGACAAGAACATCATATTTCAAAAGAAATTGCTGAATTATATACAAACAAAAGGAGAGTGTATAGATTTATTTCCTCTGCCAAATATGGAAAATATCTATTTAAGTATTAAGCCCGAAGGATAAGAATCACAAATGACTCACACCACATTAAGAGAATAGAAGGATTACTAAAAAAACAATAGTTTAAGATAAATTGCTATATAATTATAACAATATTTTCAACTTAGAGACGTATCAAATATATATTTGATCAATGTGGAAAAGTACTTGATCAAATAACAATTTGATTTGAATTCCAATAAAGGAATATTGAGTATCGTAAATGAATTAATGTTCAAGTATCCTGAGTGGATAAATTTAATTCAAGGAGAAAAAGAGTAAATTGTTAGAATCAATCGATCTATTGATATTAAATAGTTAATGAAGGAATAGGAGTGCTTAGATTACAATTGAAAATTATATCAAAAAAGAAAAACACCCATAAATTTATTATAATATTTGTCTTATATTAATCTCAGAATCCTATTTAAGTCAACCATTTTCTTACACTTATTGTGTGACTTCCATTTACTTCAACTCTTCCAATCTAATCTATTATCTCAATTCTATACCTTCTCAATTACATCTGCGTTTGAACACACCTTTCTTAATTCTTTGATGAATTCATTCACATCTCCTTCAATGTGTCTTATTACTGTTCTTGGTACTTCACTTCTCGCAAAATATTTTTTGTATACTGGGAGATTTCCATTTTAAGATCTCAATACTCTGAATGGAGACTCTTCCCTGGTTTTATATTGCAATGGTTCTGGGACTTAAGAGTATTGCTCTCTCTTTTATTATGCCACTGGGTGCAGTCTTTTCAAATTTTCTTTTGGTTGTCTTAACACAAGAGATTTTAATACTTAAGTTTTATTCATATATTAATATTAATAAAAGCTGCAACTCCACTCAGTATCCATTCTCTGCTAGTGTCACAAGGCATTGGAATGAATGCTATCAACTCTTTCCTATCTATCAATCTATACAATGGACACGAATAGAATAATTAATATTCATCATCCTCCTTGTAATTCAAATAACAAATGGGGAATTCATTTAACATGGAATTCGATTCTACTAATATGTGTTGCTTTTAATTCCATTTTGCTCCTTGCAAAGTTAATCCATAGAGATAGTAACCATTTGATGGACAGTTGGTTATATGCTCTAATTGAATGCTATCTAAAATAGTATATATTGTTTTTTTGTTTAAACATTCTTCACTATATTTTGCATACATTAAAAAACTATTAGGTTTCATCAATCCTCCCAACCATATTGCATTTGGCATTCCTTAATCATTCCAATTATTTATAAAATTCACTCTCTTCAAAAATTCTTAAAACCATTATCCAAGTTTCTTATCACTTCTGAATCCTATATCCATCCATTCTTATGGTACTCTCTAATACTTTATGTCCTCAGCTATCATTGTGTTAGGTGACGAATCTCCTGCTAATATTCTCTAAATCAAAGCTATAGATTCTTATATCATCTCAATCAGCTAATTTATTAATAAGATCTCCTAAACTAAAAATGGATCTAGTTTATGACTCCTTGAATTATCAAAGATAATCTATTTTGGTAAATTTGAGCTTAAATATTAAATAGTTTTGTTGATTTCATCATTTATTTGATCTATTTGTCCATACTCTTTGTACAGGAGATCATTTACAAATTCTTGACACATTTATTCTCCAACATATATTTATATAAGATTGCTATTGACTGGACTGACTTTATCTATTAGATAATAGCAAGATAATTTATTGAGAATAATTTAATCTTATTCATCTACAATATGACCTCCATAATGCAATTATGATGTTATGTAACTCAAAGCTATTGGCTTTAATTAATCACTTACATCAATTTTATTGCTTTATTCTTAAGTTATATTTAAATCATATTAAGTAAATTAATATTTTTTATTAAAACCCAACAATCCCAGTCTACAAAAATTTAATAATCCAAAATGAAATTTAGCAATATCTGTCATTTCTATTTGCTTCTCGTCATTTGTATTATATGTCAATTTAACACTTTTTTGTAAGATTCTTCCTGGAAATGACATTATCGATTTAGAAGTTAACCACAATCTGTAATCTGCATGTGATTCAATCATAATTAATTTATCTAATTCATTCAGCCATTGTTAATGTAAATGACAATTCTAGATTACAATCCATAATCCTTATTCTGCAGCTTCTCTTATAAGTCTCTCTGCTTTATTTCCTTAACCCTAACCCAAAGATAAAGTCCATAATTTCTTAATGAAATTTTTACTAACCGCATAATCTTTGATTTACTCTATTGGATCCTAATTATTTTAAAGGACATAAAGCAATATCTTATTGTGTGAACTTTCATTAAATGTTATGTCAAGAGGAATTTATTAGACTTTGTCAATGTCAAAATCTAACATTCGGATTATAAATTGTTTGACCATTATCTAAATGTAATCAGGTCGAATCGCTTTAACTATAAATATTCTTTGCATTTCATCTAATCGCTCTATATGAGGTATTTCTGATTCTTAGTATTTCTTACTTAAATAAAATTATTTAATTTATTCAAAATTGTTAATAAGTATTTTTGCTGTTACTAATTAGAAATGATTTAATTCAGAACAAATTCTTTGATAATTGGCATTATCTATCCATGAAAATGGATTTATTTTAACTTAAAAATCTTCATTTCTCAATTTGGAATATCCAATAAAGGCTTGCCAGTCATCCTGATCAACAGAGACCAAACACTATTTGGCCAATAGAAATGCTAAAACCTATCTATGTCGTTCAGTTAGAACTCTACTCAAACAACAATAATATCTTAAACGGAAATTAGAAAATATAAGTTTTAGATTGTTAGTATTTTAAATTGTATAGAGAAGTTAAGTAATGAACCATTCTAAGGAAAATTAATACATAGGATCTAAACATTACATATCTTGAGAGATGAAATATAAGTCTGTTATTTTGGATGCTAATTATTTATATTAGTGTTTGGTGGTGATCAGATCCTTTTAAATTTATTGGAATTCCGACTGAGCCAATTATATTTCATTAAATGTTTTCTTTGAATTAGAAAGTTGATTTATTAATGTTTCCTAATTGAGTAAGTCCTTGATATTTTCAACATTTAATATTGAAAGGATAGTATCTTCTATTTACTTTAATTTCTATTCATTCTTAAATTCCATCTACTTTAATTCAACTTATTGTTTATATAATTCTGGATTCTGAGTATTAACAATTTAATTCAAGATTAATTCTTCAGCATTCAGTTTAGTAATCTAAAAATTGATAACATAAAATTATGAATAATTTAATGAAGTCATCGAAAAGTTATATTGCATTGTAGTAACGAATATTTTTACTTTGGGATGAGGATTGTTGTTAACATATTCAGTTAACCAATCGGGTATTGTGTTTAGATTTTCAATAAGAATACTTTATTTTAATGAAAGTGCAACTTCAAATTAATGTTAATCATTTACATCCATGACTGAATTATTATTTCGAATATATTCATTTGCCTAACATTATGGATCAATGCATAGAATAGGTTTAATTGTATGTTGTAAAAATATTGAATTTATTTAATTCAGGTCTTAGATTTAGGATGGATTCAAAAACTATAGAGGATGATTTTCATATCCAATTCTAGATTTAACTTACTTGGACCATTGTTGTAATAATTAGTATTTTAATTGTTCTGAAAGTGGAGCACAGTAATTCAAATATGCTGCTGCTATTGCACAATCACCTAATACACTTCTTAGAGAATTCTCTAATACATGAATTTATTGAGACCATCTTTCTTGTTCCTACTCTAATCCTTAAGTTAATCCTATGGCACGTTACAATTTATTTGATGATTCTTCGAGTTATTTATTAAGAATTTCACATTTCTATGTTTATTAATCATATTTTTCTTAAAGAACTTTGACCTTTTGAAATACAATTGCTAATTGAGATTTCTTTTCATTTAAAATATCAGTTTTGTCTTTCAATTACTTTTAAGCTTCAATTAGTCTTTCTCTCAATGGTTTAGTTTCAATGTACACTTTGTTATATTCATACATAGCTTTAACCCAAGAGTACAAATATTTCACTGCAGCTGAACATTGCTTTGCTCTTTCGAATGTAAAGTCTACTTCTGATAGTACTATTTTCTCAAGTCTATTAATATTATATGGATTGATATTATTTTTGTCATAATTTCTTATTAACTCCAATAATTCTTTGGGATCATTCAATAAATATTTCTTAGCAATTTCAAAGTATTCTTGGTTTGTTAATGAAGTAAGAGGCTAAGTAATGTATTATCGTAAGTTATCCAAATTTAGGATGACTACTCCTGTTAGGATAATAACTACTGGTTTTGGTGGTTTTCCCAATGATTTGATTTCTATTAAATGTTCTTTTTTTAATTTAGATACATCTTATAGAGTTTAGTCTAGCAATAGATTAACTTCTTTAACTGCTTAGGTTGCTTCATTGGCTAATTTAGTCGCTTAGATTTATTAAACATTAGCTTGTGTTTCGTCCTCACTTAATAAAGATTCTTAATAGAAAGCTTAATCTTTTTCTTATTTTAATTTTTCCATCATTCTTGAACTCTCTTATTATGATTTCTCAATTTCAGGTGTAATTTCAAGTAATTCTTTCTTCAACTCAGTAATAGTTTCATTGGCAATTAAAATTTTGGAGAGTCCATTTTTGATACGAGTAATTCTTGATTATAATTCAGTTGTTTTATGTTGATATAGTTTATTGAATGTGAAAATGAGATCTGAAAAGTGAATTGAGGTAACAGTTTGAATTTTTTAATGATTATCGATAAGTTAAGCAGATTAATGGAAAAATTTGAATAATTCACTAATTTATTTTTGATTGATATCCAAATGTTTTAATTACATTTAGGCAATGCTAAGCAATGCTTAATCTGGCAGTTACTATAGAGCAAGGATTGTAGAACAATTAATTAGATTTGGATAATGTCGGAATTTGATGGTAGATGTTATACAAACTATGCAATGCAAATTCTTTACTAATCTATTTACATAAAGTTTATGTAGTAATATTTTGATGTTAATTTTAGAATCTTTCTATTCTTAAAGTGCTTATTCTTAGAATATCGAATGAAGATCATCTAATTCTTGTCTATTAAATATGTCGAGATCACCTGAATTCAATAGAGTACTTATGTCTTAATAAATTTATGCTTGATTATGAGCATTTCTTTAATCATCTATAATTATAGTCATCTTCTTATTTTCCATTATGCATTTCTTAATTACATTTCTCAAATCATCCTTCCACCTGTCAATCTGAGGAGATTCATTCTCTTAAATTAATGCTGCCAATTTGGATAATTGCACTCCTCCTGTGCCTACTTAACCTAATATTACTAAGTGTCCAGATTGCAGTCCTAATACTCTCGATATTGCAATCAATGATTTCAATGCATCCTCATATATTGTAATTCCTTATTTCTAAAATTGTTCCTTCATTAATTATAACAAAGTGTCCAAATCATTTACTGCCTTATATGAGTGATCATTGTATCCACTAGAAAATTCACAAAATTAAACAGCATCTACCCCAATTATTGATTAAGCTAAGATTTTGTCTTGCTTAGTAATCAATCTATCAATAAACGCTCTAGCCATCTCAAAATTCCATTGATTTTCATTTTATGTTTTCTTAGTACACATACTCTAAAGCACTCTCCAAACATCTCTCATTGTAAATTGATAATGCACCTTAAAAGGAGTTGCTTTTATTTGCTCTTTTATTTATTTATAAGCTTACAAAGTCTTTTAGACAATATGCTACATCTAAAATGATTGAGTCATCTAACTAAATATTGTTTAATAAATTGTTTCTTCTTAACAAAATTTAAATGTTGTCCATAATCTTAACATTCTATCACTATGTTAATGTTGTTGAGTCATGGCTGCTAAAATTGTTGTGTCTTCAACTTTTTGGAGAATTGAGTGAGTGTCTCTTTTTGAGTACCATCCTTTTTGATGTAGGAATTATCTAACCAATTCTACATCTTAAGGCATATGAAAATCATCCAAGACTATTATGCATTTCTAACCCATCTAAGGTCCAAATACACCTTTCCTTCTTCGTTCTAAATTAGATTCTAATGTCATTTATGTATTTGAAGAATTCGTAGATGAAGAACAGTTAATCCTTATATATTAAAAGTTATGTAGAATTTCATTTATAAGCTTTGTTTTACCCGCCCCACTTATACCTTCAAATCTGATATTTGATCGATTTAAAAGAGATGACGAGATTTTTAAGTAGGCCATGTCTTCTATTTTTGGTACATAAATATCTTCAAAATTACTGAATTTTAAAATTGTCGGTACATGAATAGGCTAAAACTTATTCATGTCTTCTTTATATTCATTATAAATTAATAAGTTATCACATATTATATTTCCTAGATTTATTAACTATTGATTTATATTTGATCGTTCATTCTTTTCTATTACTTATGGTAATATGGTCCACGCCAAACAATATACAAATAATTAAAGATTAAAATTATGATACTCATTCTATATTTCCTTTATAATTGTAATCAATTAATTAGAGAAATAACTCAAAGGTATTTTTAATTGAATTATTTTAGATCTCAATTTTTCAATAATCTCATTAAATTTGGATGCTTATTTATCGCAATTATTGGATATAAATTGCTTCAATCCCAACAAAGGATCATCAGAAATATACAAAATACCACATCTGGATATTGTAGATGGTGTTGCTCCTTTGAGACTATCAACTTCAAAAATCATAGAACAATTCAAATTAATTATGCATCCATTAGTTAAACATAATCTTTTACTATTATCCAAAGCAGAGTTCATGGTTTCAATCCATTCAGTCTCTACAGCCCCATCAAAAATATAAATGTCCTACTGTTATTCCTATTTTAAGAGACTTGGTAACACTCCTTCTTCCCATTCTAAAGTACCTATGTTGAGACATCCAAACAATTCAGAAACCTTCATTGCTTTAGGAAATAATCTAATATGAGTCATGCTTGTTTATTTAAGTGTTACTTCTAAACAAGCACTCTTTCCTGACCCTGCAGGACCTACAATCATAATACCATGTCTAAGTTTTAGTATTTACTTTAGTTCTGATACTTTTTACTGCAAAATACTTGTGACAATAAAACTACCAAAATCATCTCTTTCTACAGACTTGATTTCTTAAGCTGGATAAAACTGTAATAGTAATTAATGGAATAAATTTAGATCATTTTATATTAGTTTAGGCTCAAATACATATTTTAATGCTTTTAGAATATAATTTTATTGATTGCCATCTTGATCATTAGATTGTTTATATAATTAACCTGCTAACATTACTACACTCTTTAAGGCTCTTAAACTGTAATCGTAGTGATGTTGATTTGATAATAAATCCTTAGAAATAGAAATCAATTGCATTAATTAAGTAGTCAGTTTTTATGGTTCATTGAATCCAAAAATTGATAAAATGGTTGACAAAATAATTTAAACATTAGGTGAGATCATGGATGCCATTCTGAAGTATGATTTCAAATTATCAGGAAATTCATGTCTTCCTTTGTAATTAGGATTTATAGTAACGAATATTCCATCTGGTTAATATTACATTAGTTTAGATGCAGCCACTGATAACACTTCTGCTGTTATCCTATTGAATTCATCAAAACAACTCCAACATTAACTCGTGTAAATTCCTTTGATAAATTATGAAATGAGAACATAGTCTACTAATTCTGAACAATTAAAGAGAATACATCGATATCCCACAGCTTTACACAAATCCTTTATAGTTTCTGTTTTCCCTGTACCTGTTTATCCAACTGCTGCTCCTCCTCGTTTATAATGCAATGCATTCAAAAATATCACCAAACTCCTCTCTGTTAATGGAGTTATAATAATTCTCTCTATATTCCCTTGATATTCGTACCCATATTGTATTGAAGCTTCCAAGGAATTAATTTAACAATTGGCATTCTTAATATAATATCTCAATTACAAACTCCAATAGAATGGAATCAATTATTAATTATAATCTATTAATTGTTTTAATACTTCTACATGATGAGCCAATAATATGATATTGGCAACATCCAAATTTTTATTATGTAATTTATCCTTCAATTCCATTAGATATATCCTTAGATCCCTTCCTTATTTCATATCTTCTTCGACTCTATTTGTATGATCTAATTCAAAATTAATCATCGTGACTTAGTTACCACACTCATTATTCCTATTCAAAATACAATTCTTCACATTCTACTTCATTTGTTATTCTACCTCCAATAACCAATCTTCTATACACTTATTATTTATGTCTACCTTCTCTTATAAATGTAATTCGCAATCCTTTGTTTAAAGAGCATAAATATAGTTATTTTTATTCATCTTCAAATTAACTACATTCTCAAACAACTTGTAAAGATACTTCTACAAGAATACTAAATCCTATCCATTTGATAGAATTTCTAGGATTTCTTCGTTTGAAATGAAGTAGAATCTACTAAACTTCTCCTTCTTTCTCTCCAAATAATTCCCCAACTCCTTATGTATTTAATCCAATAAATTATTTATCTACCTAACTTTTTATACATCTTGCTATCCAAACTCAATCACTTTATCAGAAAACCCAATTGTCTCCTTATACAACTTATCTATTTATCTATATTTTTTATATTCTACAGGGAGTTGCTTCAATATATCTCCAGAATCAAAAATTGGTTACATATACACAATCTATGTCTAAGTCTTATTCCATTCTTCCAAGTATGTTGATATACGTCTCAAATCTTCATATAAAGAATTTATTTCCTAAATGAAAAAATTATTATTCTTTTGTTTCATCATTAATTCCAATGAAATCAAGTGATCATCAACTAATGCTTAAATTACATCTATTTTCTTAAATATTTATACTCCCTTCACTAAAATTGAATTAAATCTATATTCACTCCAAACATCTGTTATTTATTTTAATACTTGCTCAATACCATACTCCTCCTACGCTTTCAATCCTAATTCTATACATTCCTCAGAATAATCAATTATTTGTAAATCAATCAATTTTTATAAAGAGATGTAATTTTTAAATTAATCATCCTCAATATTTAACAATTATCCCAAATAATTAAAGTGTCTATCCCTTAATCCATTCTTTGTTAACGACAACAATATTGGAACGTACATTTAAAATGAATCTATTTCTCTCTTTAAGTTTTTCCACAAAGTGAATATTTCTTAACCTTATATTTTATCTACTACTTATATGAATTACTTATAATCTTAATTAAAAAACTATTCGCATCCCTAATAATCTACCATATTCAATGAATCATTTAACCATTTAACATTCTAATATTACCAAATTGAATTCACTCTCCAAACCACTTCAAATGGTTTATATTCGCATTGCAATTATAACAAAATTTCATAATTAGTTTATTCTAAACCAAACAATTGTTCCCTCTTATTAAATCTTTATGCCTCCTCTGAATATTATTAAAATTAATTATTAATGGTTATCATCTCTTCTTCTGCCATCTTACTCTGTTCCAATTAATAGAACTCTTGGAATTTATATACCTACTATTAAAGTTATTTAATTTTCTTTTTGAACTTTGATTGTTCATGAGCTTAAATCTGAAATATTTCCTCTTTTTAATTTTCTAATAATTACTTCTAACTCTTTGCTAATTTCAATAGTTGCTATTCTTAAATTAAAAGTCGATAATATTTATGAGTATCCTCTCTTCTAATAGGATAGAAGTTGATATACACAATATTTTAACATTCAATTACTGAATTTAGCAGATCAAAATAGAATTTGTTTTTAGAGACTTCCTATTGTAATAAACCCAATTTTTAAGGGAAAGCATCTTCAAGAAATTCTCTTTTCTCTACTAACTATTCAATATTTTAAGGCTTTTCGATTATCTTCATTTCTAGATCAGCAAATTCATTTAGCAATCTCATACAATCTTCTTTATGATACAATGACAATTATTCAATATAATTCTATTCTCTTTTCCTTAACAACTAATAAAATTGATTTTTCATTTCTGATATTATTATTAAAAATGCTCCTACTTCAATAAAATCTGGAATCTAGTCAATTTATTTCATGTCCTCTCTGTTATCAAGAATAAGAGTTTCAGCTAAATTTATTTCAAATTACTTTGAGTTCCATAACTTTTATAAACTTTAAAATTATTTCAAATAATCAAAAAGGGACTTTCTCACTTTATTAGCTAAATTCTCAATTGCATCAATATACTAATAAGAATAGAATGATAAAATTTACAGATTATTCTTTTTCAGGTGCTTTTAAGTTGCCATTCATTTCATATAAAAACTCCTTCTGAAAATATTCAATTAACCTAGTTTCTGGATCAGGTATATCTGCAATAGCTTCATAGATTTGCTCAAAGAATCCAATAATTATATCTTTGAATTGAAGAGGATTGATGGAATAACAAATTTCATTCGCTTTAAACTAAATTTATATAGTATATAGGGGCTTTAATATTGCAAATTAGTTAGTATAAATATTATGAACTTAAGAATAGGATTAAATTTATACATCTTCAGGAATATGTTAATTTAAGTAATAAATGAATTTTTCAAAATTAATCTTTAAAAAATTATGCAATGCATCTTGTAATCTCATTCTAATCAATTAAAATAATCTATCCAATTAAATTTATGTAAGTATCAAGCTTTTTTTATTTTAGATTTATAAATTTATTCCAAAAAACTCGATTATCTCTTAAACCCATTTAATTTTAATGCTTGACAAGACAGTTTTCATATGCATTTCTTATGAAAATTTAAATTTTTCAAATGGTTGTTATTGATATACAAATAGTTCTAATTATAACAAATCAGCAATCTAATTGCTTAAATATTATAAACATTTTTAAATAGGTTTAATATTAGAAATAGATGCCAAGAAATAGGATTGTCTCAGTATTTGAAATGAGGTTTTTATCTATTAAATCATAATCCCTTCAGAATAAATTAACTAATTTTATATTATGTTTCTAATAGAAATTTAAGGTTTTGTGTATTAATTGTTAAATATTTCTAATAGATCTTTCAATTTTTAATTAGTTTCACTATTTTTTAAGAAATGGATGAAAATGATTTCATTTTGTGTTTTTAAATTCAATATGTTTACTTCAATAAATTCTTTTTTTATTAATGATGACGGAAATTCAAATCCTAACCTTTTTTTAATTCTCTTTCTCTATTCAGAGTTTAATTAAATTAAATCATTTGTTGGCATATTCTCAACGTAACAATTAAATTTTAGATATCTATCCATCTAATCCCTGAGATAAAATGCTTATTTTAACTTCTTAATATACAATTGCTTATCTTCAAAATCCATTATAAAGTGAATTCTAGCACATCTACCTTCTCTATTTTTTCTTTGATAATGAAATAATTTAGAATATCCAATTAATTCAGCTCGATACCAGAACCAATCCCCCAAAGAATTCTGCTCCATTACAAATATTTAAATTTTTTAAGTCTTCAGCATTTCGATAACTTATTCATTAGAATATTTCTATATAGTCTCATCCTCAAATTTTTCTATTGGCAAGTAAACATTCTTATGGATTTAAAATGAAAAATCAAAACCTTAGGATATAAAGTATTACTCTATAGTCAATAATTAATTCATCTTTTCCTCCACTCTTCCTTACTCATAATTTTATTAGAACGTTGTATCTAAAAGATCATTTCTCAAGTATTTTGCTTTTGAAAATCTTGAAATTGTAAATTTTGGTTCCTATTTTTAATCAGAAAGTGCAATTGTTTTATTTGTTAAAGGCGGCATCTTAATAGCAGTAACTCTAGCATGCATTGACTTTTATCTACTACTTATTCTTTCCGTCTCTTCTTTTGATACATCCTTCTTAATATAAAATGATCTATTCAAATATTATCTCATTCGTATTAGAACAAAATCAAAAATTTTATAAATAAATTAAATCAAAATTTTCATCATTCTTATTTTCACATACTTTCTAAATTCAAGATGACCTAAATATATTATGATAATTATTTTGTCACTTCTTTATCAATAATTAGTATTATAGTGTTTTGATATCTAATAATTGTTATATCTTATTTATACAATACTATTCTTTAAACTATTCAAAAAATAATAAATTCATGAATTAAAACTGATGTGATAAAACAATATTTATATCTATCAATTTTAATAAGTGATAATATTGGCAACTGTGTATAACATATTTCAATATAGAATAGTATATATTGGAATATATGACCCAAAAATTCACCACATATATTTGGAATCATCTGTCATTTGATAGAATAACAAATTTAATGGTCATTCATTAAGTAATATTTTCTTTTAATTAATTTATTCATCTATTTATTTTTAAAGCCTATTAGAAACTAGTAAATGATTTTCGTTTTTATTTTAGTCCAATTTATATTCATCTAATATGATATTAAGATATTTGTAAAATACTAAATTCAAAAAATAACTACAAAACGCATTTCAAACTGATATTTTTAGTCTATTTTGCGATTAAATAAAAAATAAGATTCTAAAATAGGCAATACTATAATAATTTTATATTAGAAATTTCAGAAATAAGGGTTTTAATAAGTTGTTTTTCAAGAATTTAAATTAAACCACTTTGTCATATATTTTTATAAAATTAATTTCTAATATTCAGAAAGAAATGTTTATAAATCAAGTTAAAATCTCATATTATTTACAAGTACAATTATAAATACATATCCTCTTGGGTCTATTTTGTGTGACTTAAGTATTTTTATAAAATATTTTTTTAATTAAAGAGCTTTTTAATTCAATAAATTTACATGTTTTTGGCTTCTCAGAAGAAAGGATTAACATTTATTGAATAATATATTACAATGATGATTATATTAAAGAAATAACATTAGTTAACGAGATTAGCATCAGCTATTATAATAGTGATACCTTATATTCAACTACTAATTTTGACATTAGATTTGAGATTAAGCGAAAACACTAAGAAAGAATCTATACATTTTCAAATAGTAAAGAGTTTTATTAGACCGGATATGTGGTTAATAGAAAAAGGAAATGAATAATAATCTCTACTGTTTATAATTGTGCTTGTGATAATGTTGTATTAAAAAGCAAAACTCATAATCATAGTTATATTGTATTATTATATTCTAAACCAAGACAATCTGTTAGCTCATTTACAAAATAATTTTTATATCAAGATTCCTATTGTTATTTTAAGCCTCTACTAATAAATAATATCTTTAATACTCTATTAATGGTGTGTATTAATTTGTGTATGCAGTATTAAAAATCTCTTTGATGAGGTTGTTATTAATCAATAATTTTTAAACTTGTTTCTAATATTTTTAGTTTTATTGACTTTGATATTAGTAGTTTTAGATAATATTTTACATATAAAGGTGATAGAGAAACCAATTACTATGAAAATATAGGGATTGGAAAGAAAGAATATAAGCACTTATAGATATATATCTTTAATCATAGAATTTATTGTTTAGTTTCTTTATGTATTTCAAAAGGATCAAGCTTCAACTTTACATCTACTAATAGGATTATCATTATTAAAATGCTGTCTCGATCTTTTTGATCAATTTTCAAATTATGTTTTTGTCAATGGGAAATTAATCAAAGTTCTACTCTGTGGGATATCATTTTCTATTGTGGTTAATTTCTTAATAGAAATAATAGAATTGTAAGAAAAATATGGGTCAAGAGTGATATTCTAAACTCTTGTTTTAACTCCTATTGTATTTTAAATAATATATAAATATTATCAAATAGACTAAAAGTAAAATTTGGTTACATTATTTAATGATGAGATTCCATCACCAAAAAGATTCATTTACCATATTACAAGCATTTTGAATGAATAAGATTTCGAGTTTTGCATTGTTCAAAGATCTCTCATTTAATAATATCATTATAAGAGATGTTCAAATCTATCATGTTCAATCTGTGGACATTAATTTATTTTGGATACACGATCTTCATAAGGGATTACTATAGACATTTTTAAGGAGTTCATATAGTCAAGATTGATGATTTTATTGAAGGAGTCCTTAAAATTAAATTTTACTGATTAAAAAAGTTGCAAAAAATCAAAAAGAAGGTTCCTAAATTATGTTTTCCTATTATATGACTTTGGATGGATAATGCAATCATTATAGTATTTACATTAATTAAAATATGTTTAATAAGCACATTAATCGAATTAGAAAGGATTAAAAAACCATATAGGTACTTTACCTTAAAGTAATTCGTATTCTGATAAGAATAGCCATTATGTGACTGGAGACAATTAAACAAATTTGTCTCAACCTTAAAATATTGATGCAAGCATGTAATTCTAAATCAACATCTTGCTAAATTAAATTAAATTTAGTATGCTTGAGTCAATATTTATATCGGTAACTTTAGAAGAAGCAAGAAGAACAATATAAAAGAATTTTGGAACAGATGAATATGTTTAGCAACAATCAATTACCTCAGATTTTGTGACTTAATATTTATTGAATGAAGTTTAAGTTTAATAGGCAATTAGCATCATTACCAATCTAGCTAAACAGAAGATAAAGTTTTATGAAGACATGATGAAAATTAAATCAGATGACAAAAAAGTAAATTTTTGGGATAACCAACAAAGTTATTCTGGTTTGATTGATAAATGTTAATAGTTTAATTAAGGGGAGTCTAAGATAATTGAAATGTATAATATTCATCCAAGTTATGTGTTACATCAAGCCTTAAATGTATTTTATTGCTACATTTAAAATGATTATGAGAAGGCAATGCAATTTTCAAGGAGTCAGAAATTCTTAGATGAAAGGTAATTGAAATTTTTAAAGATTAAGAATTTCAATGTGAATTCTAAGGAGATTTATTATTTAATTATGATGTTGCAAGATGACATGCAACATTTTAATATTTAAACTCATTCAAACTAACTATTTGATCTATTTGGCATATATAGAAACAAGGGAGAAACCTATTAATTTGAAGACCTAATTCCATTAGCAGTAGTTAATTACCATCATCATTTTGTTGGTCAGTTTTTAGAAACTGGCTAATGTAAATTCTTTAAAATATTTGATATTAACTTTATAGTTGCTAAAGATTAATTTATTTAGGCGATCTATCTTAATGTTGACGTAACTGAATTATTTGTTAAATCAAATCTAACATTTTCAGCCTTTTTTTAACCTCCAACAGAAGACCTAATGTTTATATTAGTTGATGGGGTTAAACATTAATGTCTATTTACAAAGAGTATCCTGAATTAGATTGGATGGACTTCTGAATAGATTTAATGGTTCAAAGTTAATTATGATATCAATAAGATTGCTATAGAAAGCATAATGCCAGATTTCTTAGATATTCTTGAATCTCTTATAAAATTAACAGAAACCTCTCTTAGTCAAATCGAATTAATCTTTCCTAAGCCTCCTGATAAATTATAATAGAAACAGTATGATTTCCAATCTCTCAAAAATATTCGAAATAGTTATTTTAGATCCAACACTATCCAAAATGTTAAATACGTTTGTGATCTCACCATCAGAAAAAGATAAATTACTAATTATGTCTATTATGTAATGCATGTATCCTATATTCAAAAATAATAAAATGCTGAATCTTTTTTAGAAAATACAACAAATAGGTAGAGATCAAATATCATTAATGAAGGCGATTTCGATAGTGAAATAAATGAATTAGAATTATAAAACAGAAATCAAATATTTGAAGAATTTTAACAATAAGTCAAAGACTAATCCAGATAAATGTAAAGAAACCTAAAGTTATTCTCCAATTATATTAGTGATCAAATTTAAGATGAAATCCTAAGCCCAGGTAGAATTTGTATAACTCATCCTAATAATCAAGATAAACATGAAGTAAACGAAATTAAAGAATTGCTAAATTCCAATAAAGACAATTAACAATAATATTTCTGTCATGAGGATCAAATGAAAGACTGTTCCTCATATGAATTAATTGTTTCTCAGTATACAAAAAAATAAGTAAAATAATAAAAGACCAAGACTTTGAATGATATTTCCAAGGACAGTTTGTGGAAAAAATATGATGTTGTTCATAGAATTATGCAAAACTCAAAACCAAAATACGTTTTTCATTTTTTAATCTACACTTTCTTACTTTTAACGTCCTTTTTAGTTATTCCAATTTTTATAATGTATGAATTCAATAAAGATTTGAATGTCTTAATTGAATAAATTGAAATGTTGTAATTACATGCAAGTATTATGGGTCCTCATGATCTCTTCTTTTCAATGAGAATAACTGTAACATCCTATTAAATACAATATAGAGAAGGCTTTATTAATGCTAAAGAACTTTAAGTTCTCACCGCACCTTTTCTATAGTACCTACCCTTAGGCTATTAAGAATTGCAGGATAACTTTTACACACAATTAACCAATCCCTATTTAGCTTAATTTTTGAATGATGTAAGCATTCCTGTTTGGTTTATGGGGGAAAATTCTTCTGTTATATATTCATAAGAAGTGACATTCAGAGATAACCTATTCATTATGCTATAATATTAACAATAATAATTAGCTGCTTATCAGTTCAATAGAGCCATTGCTGGTCAGCCATTTTAAGTATTTTTAATTGCAAATTATTTGGTAATGTAAAATACTTGTGAAAGTTTGACAAGTGAAATAAAAATATATTCTGAATCGAAATGCAATTAAATTTATATAAAGTGGTCTATTCTATTGACATGTTTTGTTTTTGTTTTTATTTTGATGTTAACAATAGTATTTTATTACCAAAAGAAATACTTTGCTTCATATGATCTAATTATTGGATTACTAAGACATAATACAGATGAGGTTATTCTACATGAAATACAAAGACAGAAGATATTATTAAATATCATTTCAGGAAATATGCTTGAAGAGTTTCATCTAGATAAAGAATATATTGCAGTAATCAAAGCTTAATCTTTAAATGAAAATGCGAAATAGAATTAATTAATTTATCATAAATATGGCTAGCGATTTCCGTAATATAAATACAACATAGCAAATATAACTTTCTTACTCTTAATAATAATTTACGGAATAATAGTGTTTGTCTTAGCTTAATAATATCTAACCAAGTACAATGTTACAATGGATTTCTTTAAATTGATTTAAGATTTAAAATTTCGAGGAGGCAATGGATTTCTTTATCGAGAATTATTTTTTCGTTTCACCAGCTATCCGTTTCTAACGACATCAGACTAAGACAATTTATATATTTTATTAAATAGATCTTAAAATGTTTTATAAGAGTTTAATTCCTTGATTGAAACAATTCATTACGATGATTATTTACTCACCTAAAATTTCATAGATTTATTAGAATTTGTATAAGTTAACGAGATGTGTTCATAAGTTGATGAAGTATAAATAATAAACTATTAAAAATTAGAGCTTTAAACCATTGATGGATCAATATTGTATTTTGTCTTTTGAAGGGATACTCTCAAAAGGGATTGTCCCTACTCTAAGTTATCTTTACAATTAAGTAAAAACCTAGCAGTAGATAAACAATTTTACTAAAAGAGTAGAAATGCACAAGTATGAATTGGAGGGATCTTAAATAATCACAAGATCTTTTTTTGCACTCTCAAATAGTTTTAAGAGTAGCTTCAAGGAAATAACAGAAGAAACATTGAAATAGCTGGATGTAATTTTTATTTATAATTTAGAATGTCTCTATATGTTATTTGGTATTTTGTGGCGTTACGATTTTAGCTTTAATATTATTATACCCAAAATATTTGCTTCATTAGTATCAACTGTTAAAGCGGATTGTGTACTTTATACCACTTCAAATTTTCTTGAGAGATGGGTATTTGGAAAGAAATTTAAAGGAAATACTTATCAAATAAATTTGAATAATATTATTAATATTTTTCATTCTTCTGATCATTCAAAAAAGTCTATAAGCTATCTTATAGCTTGTTCTATAATTAAATAAAAATAGAAAGTTACTTTTAAGTTTAGCATCAGTTTTTTATCCCATTTGAATTTCATTAACAATGTCAGTAAAAGTAGGCCTTTCATGAGGATTCTTTTTCAAACACTTTTTGGCCAGTTAAAGTAAAATTGAAGGATTGCTATTTGAAGGAATAATAACTTAATCTTGTCCATATCCAACGGTACCAATAATTTAAGTTTATGATAAACCTTCATAAGGTATTTATTAAGTAATAATCTCCCATAGAATCATTCCAAAACTATAGACATCTGCTTTTTCTTGATATGGTTCTCCTCGCATGATTTCTGGAGCCATCCAATTAGGAGTCCCTATTCTAGCTCCTTTGTTTACTTTATGATCTATCTTCTTATTGATTCTGGACAAGCCAAAATCACATAACTTAACATTCCAATTTTAATCAATAAGGACATTAGATGATTTGAGATCACAATGCATAACTTTTCTGCCGTGTAGATAATTCATTCCCAAGGCAATGTCTTCTACTATTTACATTAAAGCTTTTTAATCTATGTGTGTCTTCTTTTTATGTAGATGATCAAAAAGACTGCCCTCTTCCAGATATTCAGTAATCAAATAATAATTCTATTTTCTTATGCATACTCCCATATACAAGACTATGTTTGGATGACGTAGATTTGAAATCACTTCTACTTCCTTCAAAAAATCAGCCATTTATAATTTGTATTTCAAATTTCCTTGAGATTTTCTTTTTCCATAAGATTTGATAGCCACATCTTAACCAAGCCACTTACCTTTATGTACAACACCATAACCACCTTCACCGATTATTTATCCAATAATCAATTCGTGAAATACTATTAAGACTCTTTCATTGATTCCAAATTCTTTTAACATTACAAGTAGCTTTTTAGGTAAATGATGTTATTATCTATCGTCCTTCTCTTTTTCTTTCTTATTAATTTCTTTTAATTTTCTGGATCTCTTTTGATTTTTATATCTCTCATCATCCGATGATTCTGAACTTGAATCATTCCCAGATACATCAGATTCTTAGCTGGATGAATCTTATTCCTAGAATTTACTACCGATTGCTTCTGATTTCTGTCTTTACAACTATAAATTAATGGATTATAATCTATCCAATTAAGTAATGTTTTCATCGTTATTATTGATTATCTGAGGAGGACTTTTGGATGATGTGAATTCTGAGATATCATGTTATTTATTGGTTGATTATCTAGATAATTCATTCACTCCATAAATATCCTTCTCCTTGTTCTCTTCTCCAATATTTTGACACTCATTCAACACTAGAATCTCAATCTTTTAATCACTTACATTATTACTAGCTTTATTTGGAGACTCTAAATATATTAAAAATATCAAATACAAATAGGTGAGCTCAGATGTTATTTACCATCTTCATCATCTGCAGATTCTCCGGATTTCTACTAATCTGTAGTTTATTTTCTCTAATGCTTTCTACTCCTTTTACTTTTTTGTTTTTTCAATTTCAACGACATATTATTATCACTCAAATTTCCTTAATCTGAATCATTTGATATTGATCTATTGGGAGACTTAGGAATAACATCTTTGCCATTTCTCTTTCTCTTGTTTGCACTTGGGGAATCACTACTTGATTCACTTTTGTTGTTGTCATGGTGTTCATTTTACTCCTCTTCTATCTTCTCCATATATGAAAAGATGCTTTTAAATCTCTAATGCTCTATAGAATTGTATAGTCCTTTTCTTTCTTCCAAAGATTCCAACCCCTTCTTCATCCTTACTCTTCCTCCCATAAATTTCACATAGTATTTCTTGTATTCCTCTATTGACTGCAAAATCTTCTTTCGATGTCCCAAAACTGATATTCCTAAATCTTACTTTAAATCATTATCGGTTAAGGCATAGAGAGTCTTGCCTGTCATTTAGTTCTTAATAAATTCATCTTTATATTCACCTAATTATAATGTATCTAACCAAATGCAAACTTCTTCTAATTACCAGTCTTACACTATATTTTTAATATATTTCAATAATTTTACTATGTTTTTAACTCTCAAACTCTTCCAACTTCTCCAATACTTATAAACTCAAAAATCCATGTTGTTATGAATTGCCAAGAGAGTTTAGTTAAGATTTACCTTCGTCTTTTAATTAAGGATCTGATTCCCCTTAACCACTTTAACCACTTGGTTGCAGATCTTTTTGCTTATCGCTATCATTCTATACTGTAGGACTAGCTTCTATTTTAATGGTGCAATCTTCACTCTTCTCACTCTCAATATGGTTTCTTTCAGGTTTTATATGGAATTTTTCAAGCACATATGATGGAACATCTTCAATCTACACACTATCGACAATGATGTCAAATTCATAATGCTATTTGTAATATTTCTTCTCTCGAGTATTAAAGTAATAGCCAGTTCCACACTTTTTATTCATTCTAAACTATCCTGCATAATCTATCTTCTAATACCATGGAATATATTTTAATCAGCCTAATATAAAGTTCCTGTACCATCCCTCTAATCATCTTTCCATTCTCCAACATATCTATCCCCATTTATATAAAAATGCATTCCTTCTCCACACTTCTTATTCTCAACCCAATCCCCTATGTACAGTTCCCCATTCTTATAGTACAGCTTACCTTTCCCATGCTTCTGATGATTCTTCCACTACCCTTCGTAACGATTCCCTGATGCAAACTTGTAAGTTCCTTTCCCATGACGTTTATCGTTCATAACCTCGCCTTGATATTCATCATCATTTGAGTAAAATAAGTGTTTCTATATCTTCTAATTCGCTTCTTACTTCGACGATTCTCCATAAAGAAACTTCAAAAGATTCATAATTATAATTCCTATATAAATATCCTAAATATGTTAATATATGGGCAACCCTCTATCATAAATTTAACGAATATCTAATTAATACAACATATATTAGCATGTATAAAATAATAAGTCAATCAAAACTAAAAGGATAAAGAGTTTCCTACTTGTTTGTCTAATTACTAAAAGAAGTCTAATAACTTATAAACAATATCAATACTTTTTAGTTCATTATTTGGATTAAAAAGTGAGAAGGTACTAGATGATGATGATTATGAGGCTGATTCCTATTTCCCAAATAGTCTTTGTGAGATTTGACTCTTCATGAATGGAGAATTCAAAAACGAAGAGGCTATTTAATCAAGATTAAATGCTTTCCTTTCAGTTATATTATTCAAATCCTAAATCTATATCTACTATTATTAAAGTTTAGCACTTGACACCTAACCACTACCAAAATGAGTAGATTGGCAAGGTTAAAACAATTTGTTTTGTGGAGTATTATTGAATGGATTTAGGGAACTATTGGCTATGTTAATAATTTATTCTTCTTCTTTCTAACTGTTATTTGATTTGTATTGTTCCTTGTCATATCGAATTTATGATTTTATTTTTGATTGCACTTGTCTCAAATGTTTAGGTACTCCAACGCCTGCACAAGTCCTATTCTCTTTTTGTGTGCTCTTCTTCTTTTCTCCTTTAAATTTTGGAGAATTTCGATTATGCAAACTGTCAAATTGACTTGAATGATGAGATGATCGTTAAGTAACCTGTCTGGCACTGTTTTCACGCTACGATAAAGGATGAATTTCTGTTTGTGAGTTGTTTCTTGGTAAATACTTAGGGATTATAGGTTGTTAATCAATTGTTAGCTTTCTTTGAGGTTAATGTTAAGATTCATTATTGGTATTCTGATGCTGATAATTTTCATTATATTGATTCCATAATATTGATTTGCTTAATAGTAGCACTATATATTTTACATTTCAGAATCGTCTAAGTGATGTTTAAAAGGTACTGCCTTTTTAACATTCTACTAAAGTGGAATTTATTCAGTGATTTTTGGTGTAACTTTGGGAGGTATTAATTTTGGCTGACTGTGATATTTAATCTGTTATTCTGGTTGAATATGTTTCTCTAAAGAGAGAACCTTATTTCTCAAAGTTTTCAATTCTTAATGAATAGACTTTTGTTTGAATGAATCTAGATAATAAATCAAAATTACTCGCTAATAATTTAATTGCTTCCTGATTTATATCCTCTAATTTTTACTTTACAAACCCTATGCCAAGAATCACAAGGTATTTAATTAATTTATCATTCTTGGTGAGGTTGTAATCTTCGACAAATTTATTCAGATATTTCAATTCCATTTATATTTTTAACAGTTAATTTATTAAATGCTTAGAGCAACATATGAACATATTATTCATGTAGAGTCATTTAAAAATATTGATCTCTTCAATCAAGGACTTTATTACTTAAGATTTATGATCAAATCGAATGGAGAATAGGCTACTCCTTATAATTATTTTGAAACCAATAATAATAAGAAAAAAGAATCTTGGCAACCAAGTCAAATTGATGAACAATACTTTTAAACTAGAACATTCATGATAAGATTCCAAGAAGAAGAAGTTGAAATAGATGAAAGCTGCATTTTTAAAATTGAATTCTCCGCATCACCACATTATGAACATGAATTCAAATTAGTATGTGAATTGATGTGCGCAGATTTAGCCAAAATTGGAGGTCCTCCAAATGAAGAATCTCTTTTTAAGTGTGTAGCTACTTTCTAAGGACGAATCTGTAATTCTTATAAAGGAGTACATGAATATGTTCCAATCATGTTTGATAACAATCATTTTTGTTAGGTTCACTGTACTGTGAATTCCAATCTTCAAGATTTTAAGTTTCGACTAAGTGAATTCCAAAAAGCTAATAGCTCTAGAATATCAATTCAACCAAAAACATTCACAGAGTTCCTTCATAAACACACTAGCAAGTTTACTAAGAGTCAAGAGTTCTTTGATTACTATATTGGATAATTGAGATTAACAAGTGAATCACTCTAATAATAAGTGGCTAAGCTTTGTGGTTAACTAAAATTATATGAGGAATTATCCAAATTACCTACTATTCCTAAATTCTCGTATATCCAATATCAAGAATCTTCAATTATTAAAGAGAACATTAATACAAAAGGTAATATGCTAATTTCAGAAGTTTTAAATTTAAAGAACATTAGAGATTAAAACTTGTTATCTACTCTCATTGAAAATGATATCAATCAATATTCCTCTGTTCTTTTTGAATTACAAAACATACTGATTAATATCATTTAAAACAATTCGAAATAATATAGAATATTATTGCAATAAGACTATCAACTTAAAATAAAAGATAAATGGGGAGAAACATATTTTAGAGAGGTTATTAAATGCAATTCATTTTGCAATGGAACTCTATGTCAAAAATAACATCAAGATGTTAGTGATCAAATTAGAAAAAAACCTATTGTCATGGACTAATAATTGGATATTATAGATGAAAATCTATTCTCTGATCAAAAGTAGGCAACTGTGCTATTCGAAGAAATCTATTAGATTAATCAACCCTTAATTTAATAGGAATAACTCTTACACTTAATTGTTTTAGTACATGGATTTCAAGGAAATTCCTTGGATATGAGATTGATTAAGAATAATCTTTAATTAGAATATCCAAATCATCACTACTTAATGAGCAGAGCAAATGAAGATTTGACTGATGGAAATCTTGCTGATATGGGTTAGAATCTAGCTTAGGAAGTCAAATAATACATCTTAGATTGGATCAAGAATAATCCTTTTCGTATCAGTTTTCTTGGTCATTCTATGGGAGGAGTTATTGTTAGAGCAGCATTGCCACATTTGAGTGAATTCAAGGTCAACATGAATACGTACATATCATTATCAAGTCCACATCTAGGATATGGTTATAATAACAGTTTACTTATTGATGCAGGATTGTGGTTCCTTAAAAGAATGAGAAAATCAGTCTCTTTATAATAATTAGCCATGACAGATGCTGAATAAATTGAAAACACTTTCCTATATCAGTTATCAAGATAGGAAGGTTTAAATTGGTTCTAGAATATCCTAGTTGTAAGTTCAGCGTAAGATTCATACGTTCCATTTGAAAGTGCTAGAATATCTAAGAACTTTGAAAGAAGTGATTAAGTATCTTTATTCATAAATATAATAAGAACTCTCGAAAATATGAGAAAATGGTTGATAACATTTTTAAAGGAATGAGAGCTACACAAGTGAGAAGATTAGATGTTAATTTCGTTTTAAATGAGTAAGTATACATATTTATTATTAAATAGAAATCGAACTATTGATAATATGATTGGAAGGTCTGCCCATATCATGTTTTTAGAAAATTAATAATTATTAAGGATGCTGGTAACTTGTGTAGATGGTGTTTTCAATTGATTTTTAATCTTTATTTTATAATTAGTTAGTAAATCATTTATTGATGATGAGCGAATCTGTGGAGAAATTCTAACTGTCAGCAACTTTGATTGTAGGTGTTAACAGCCATCCTGGTGATTATTGTTCAAAACAGTTTTCATTAAATGATAATTAATCTACAATGCTATAATTTTTTCTAAAATTTTAGACTGTTAATCCTTGGTTGATTAAGATGAGAACATCTAAATATTGCTATATTTAAATTTTTAAATCATCGAATGCTTTATTGTTAGTTAATTAGGACAATACATTTAGAAAACTCTAATTTTGATTTGCTAGCAATTATTCATATATTTTATTATTATTTTCTTAAACATAAGCCATCAATGTCTAAGAAGATTATATTGATTGTTAAATAGAGATTGCTTGTCTTGGTTAAAAGTCATTAATATCAACGGATTCCATTTATGAGAGCAAATCATTAGTGTAAGTGAGTTTAGATTGTACAAGTTAAATGAATTATTCCTCTTGTTGAGATGGTTGTGTGCATTAGGTAGTCTAATCTTAAGTAAGTAATTCACATTATGTGGATTAATCTTTGTAAACCTTAATATTTTGTTCAATTTTATTTTCATTGGTTAATTGAGTTTAACATTTGATTTTATTCATATACATGTTGCTGTTGGCATTAAAATTGATGACTTCAGGAATGGCTTTGATATGGAGTTCTTATTTGGGGATGGATATCTGGTTGATAAATTAATAATAATTATTCATTTAAATGAGATATTAGGAATAAATTTTATTTTTTATAAGTGCATGCACGTTAATCTATTTCGCTTATGAAAATGGTTATGATAATATAAAAAATAGATACAGAGGAGTTTAAGGAGGCATAATATTTATATGTATGATGGGTTCACTAAAATCATATGATGGTCCCATAAAACGTTTTTAAGGATTTTGGAGATTTATGTTTTGGTTGGGAGTATGTTACAATGCTTTTCTGATATTTCTGATATTCTAAAATGAGAGTGAAGCTAGATAACTGATGAAGTTGGGTGATGATAGCTTAGGAAGATCGGTAACAAAAGATATGCACACTTACGATGATAATTGTGAGTTTGAATTAGTGAACATAGTGGATAATTTGGATCATTATTTCTTGTTGCATTGTTTAAATTGGTTTTTATTAGCATTTTTACTTAGAGATGCTTGGTTATTAAATTTCTGGTAAATATTTGATGAAGTAATTGAATTGTCTTGGCAACACATTTTACCTCATTTTAGAGAATGTTGGTGGGATCACGTGTTGCTAGATGTATTAATTGGTAATACTTTATTTGTGTTCTTGGGATTATGGGTTAGTAAGAAATTAGGGATTGAATAATTTGATTGGTTGGGTAGAAAGGACAAATCATTTACTTAATGGTTGGTGTGGCATGACTATAAGTATTTTGCAGCAGCATTTGGTACTTGGTTAGCAGTGACAATAAATTTCTTGACTGGATTTTTCTTAATGAATTAATTGTGGGTGCCACCTAAATGCTGGATGGTATCATATAGATTATTTGTCTGGTTCGGAATGGGAGTACTGAGTTGGTAGGAGTAATGGAATGACTTGAAGGGAAATTAAGATCAATCAGGTTAATGTAGATATTTAGTTGTGTGGACTCTCTTTGCGGAAACATTTATAAGCATAAAATTTTTAAAGGATGCTGGAAATATTTAATATGTCGACACACCTTATTATATATCAATTCCATGGATAGCAACTATGGTGATTAGTTCAGTCGTGTATTTAATAATGAGAGTGAAGAACAAGAGAGTACAAAGAGTGAAGGTAAAATGAGTATTAATTATAAAAATAATAATTAATTATAAATGGATTATTGTATTCGTAAGACCGAAATGACTGATAACAAAGAAGATGATGGTAAGGATGGATGCTAGATTATTAGTTACATTTGCAAGTTATGAATGGGAAAATATCAAGGCAACAACAACATCATAATTGCCGACTTGTAGGAATTGTCACACAGCCACAACATTTAAACACTACATGATCATCTTTGGTGGCAAAGAGGGTGAAGGCAGGAAGAAGTTCTGCAATGACATACATATTTTGGATTTAAAAAGATTAAAGTAATGAATTTCAAGTAAAAGATTAGTTGGACATCATAAATCAAAGTAAGTGGATAGATACCAGATGTAAGAATGGGACACAGTGCTTAAAATTATTATGATAAAATTGTCTATTATGGAGGATGGAATGGATACACAGTATTGGATGATATTATTATGATGACTCCAAGTGAATAAATGAATGTTGTTTGTATTGATTGGTAACATGTCAAATCTGAGAATACACCTCCAAAGAGACAATTTCATACAGCTAATATTTGTGGAGACTTTATGTATATTTTTGGAGGAGGAGATGGTAAAATGTGGTTGAGTGATCTATACAAATTTGATCTAGTTAAATGTTTCTGGACTTAAGTAGAAACTACAGGACAAAAACCATAAGGCAGATTGTAACATAGTTCAGTCATCTATGATCATAAAATTTATGTTTTTGGTGGTGAACCTGACAGATCGCATCAATTAAATGACTTATATCAATTGGATATTGAAAACAATCTATGGACACGCTTGTAACCCAAGGGAAGTACACCGTCTCCTAGAGTTAGTGCTTCAGCTGTTATGATGAATAATAAGATCTATTTGTTTGGAGGATATGATGGATAACAATGGAGAAATGATGTCTTCATGTACAATATCACTGAAAATCAATGGGAATATATTGTGATCAACACTTAAGACAATTAATCTAATTTCAGAGGCCAAACTAAAGATAGCAGCACATCTTAACAATCATCACCCCCAAGACCCAGATGTCGACATTCTGCTATTGCCTATAAGAATACCATTGTGATCTTCGGAGGGAATGATAGTGAGAAATCATATAATGATGTTTACATGCTGAAACAATAGTCAATCATCAAATTAGCAGAATCTACACTCAAACAAGATTATTCAAGCATTCTATTTTCACCTATTCTGAGTGATATCACATTCTTTATTGATAATCAAGAGATTCATGCACATAAAATTATATTGGCATCTCGTTGCGAATACTTCAAAACTCTATTCTTAAACGAATAATTCAACTTAGGAGATAAGCTTGCTATCACTGACACATCTATTAATGTTTTCAAGGGTATTCATTAAATAATTTAATCACTATAGCAATCTTACAGTACATCTATACTGATGAAGTCTTCATAGATTCACACATTGTTTACGATTTATTAGCATTGGCAGATAAGTATATGTTGCAGAGACTTAAGAATTTTTGTGAAGATCATTTAGTATTTATTCAGATTTCATTAATCCTAGATTAAAAACATTTCACTCAAAAATGTGATTGATGTTGTCAATTTGGCAGATAAATTCTCTGCATAAGAATTGAAAGCCAATGCCATGATCTTTCTACTCGATAATAAATAGAAGATACTGAATACATAAGATATTAATATGCTATCTAAGGAGATATTAATAGAATTGTTAAAATTTACTAAATGAATATATTATAATCATATAACTATCAAGTAGTTTATCATCATGGCCAAAATCATCAGTTATGGAATGAATAACCATTTCATTCTTAACTTAGCAACAATTACAATCGTACTAATCAGGTATAAGATTACCATGACTAATAAAAATATATTGTCTCCACCATTTAATATATTTATTATTGCCACTGATGATAATAGCAAATGAACATTAATCAAATAATTTACTTTCGGCCTTATTAGTTATGCTATTGATTAATTCTTGCACTATTCATTTCAATTCAATACCTCCAGCTATTATTACTGTTGTTATGAAAGATCCTCCTCGCTTTTGCATTACTGTTGTTCCTCAGCCTCTACTTATCATAGCATATCTCACCTTCAATCACAAATTAGTTTCTAGGTAAATTCTGCGATTTATAGCTATTCATTCTAATCTTGCGATTCTAATGTACGTTCTCTTTCCATTTGAATTTTGACAATATTGCATAACCAAATAACACTAAACTACTCATTAACCAAAAGAATTCAATAATCTAGCCTTCAATCATTATATTTTAATTAACGAATGAATAATACACAAAGTATCTCATATTCATTTATAATCAATTTAAGTTCCGATATAATTTCTAACACAATTACTAGTCCACATTAAAAATAACAACCATTTATTATCTCCTAAAATAATTTGTTTAAGTTATCAAAAATAACATCTATTCATTAAATTACTACTTCTTAAATTATAATGTTATTATACACAAATGGTTGATAAAAATAGATAGCAATATTCATTTTCAAAGTATAGATGAAATTTAAAGTAGAAACCCTGGAAAGTCTTTCAAAATTTGTTGTTTAATGATTTTAATAGCATTTGGAACTTTCTAATTTGGTGTTCAAAGCTTAAAATAAAGTCAGTTTGCAGAAGTGAAAAATGTTTATTGCAAAATGAAATTTGTTGCTGTTATATAAGAATAAATTAGTTTTTTGGTGTTTAGTTTCCTCTTAATATTGATTGATATAATCTATATAAATTTAATTTATTTAAAATGGGACTGGCTTGTTCTTCGAGCAATCATAAGCCACACAATTCTAAAATCAACGAAATCAAATTGCCTATTATGATTGCAGAGAATTTCATAAATATCATAGGATAATTGGAATTATCCAGCGATATTCCTGATGATCTTCGCTATAATTTAAATCAATTAATTATACTGAGGAGCAAGCTGGCACATTGTATCGTTCGTTTACAGAAACGATACTCTCATTATCACTTGACAGAATTAGAAAATGAACTTACAAAAGTTATTCATTTTGTAGATATTGTTGTACAAGATGTTCAGCTAGAAGAGTATTTTCCTTTGGTTTATACATTCCTAGTAGAATAACTGGAGATACACATATAAAATTTGAAATAATAGGTATGATAATGAGAGTGACATTATTAAATTAAATTTATAAATTTGAAATAATAATTATACATCATTTTACTTGTATTTAGTGGACTTTATAAGTACATAATAAAAGCGTAACATGGTGTATTAGATGAATTAAGCATTTCAAATAGCAATTCAATGATTAATTTTAGAAAGTAAATTAAAAGATCTTAATTAATATATTATATGATTTTCTGATTGTTATATTATTTATTATCCTTCATCTTAAATCCAATTCAATAATCTTACCTTCCAATTTGTTGAGTTTTATAGAAATAAATCAACATTATTTATAATTAACTTTATTTATAAATATTTATACTACAGATAATAATAATAAAACAGATATTCAATCACCCACTGACACTTGTGTTAATTCATCATTACATATAATTTTTATTAATATAATAAATCACAAATTGCTATTGCTTTCTAGATAATTATGTTCCACTTTTTTCGATCGTTGAGCCTGTTGTTCTTTTCTAGCAATTTTTCTAAAGTACGGGTCTTCTTAAAAGGGTTTCAGTTTGAAATTTAATGCAGCTGAATTAATACTATATTTAATGAATGTTGGAGGAGGTCCATCAAAGGAGACCTTTCCAACAAAGCTATCACATCCAGCACAACAAAGATCCCTTTCTTCCTAAAAGAGGGTTGAATGAGAATTATTACTTTAATGTTTGATTCCTCTAATTTTACGCTATTAGGTATATGATTCCAAAATTATGCATATCCTGTAGTTGATTTGTATTTAGAGTCAAAAGAAAACAATTGATTATCGCAATGTTAACAGTGATATGTTCCAACTTCTTGATTCTGATGAGATAGATCATTAAATTTACAAACCAATATTCTCCTGTATAAGGGCGTTCCATTCCTTTACCAGCTGCAATCCAATATTGATGTGGAGTCAGTGCCAAACGATCTACTTTGATAAGTTTGCTGAATGCTTAGTAATATAGACGCATCATAATTAAATAAATTAAATTTAAGAAATATTAGATGAAACGAATGATGATAAGGTCATTCAGTTACAGGTTAATGATTGCAGCAATCAATACATTTACATTTCTCAGTGCAATTTTAATTTCTTAAAAAACACTCACAGTATCTTTTTCTGCATTTAGATTTAGTACAAGAACATCCATATATTACATCCAATTTAAAGAGGGCTTCTTTTGGAATTTTTCTGTTTCTATAACATTTTTCATTTACGTGTTTTATTGCCTTACTTCTTTCATGTTGATGTTGTTCCTTATTGAGACATCCATCCTAACATTAACACTCTGGCAAGCATGTTTTTCCACTATGAAAGCAACGGCAATATCGTTTGATACATCCGCTGCTTTTACAATTACAAGGCTGTTAACATTTTAAATTAGACATATTTAAAATTTTTGTTTCTTTTTAAAATTTAAATCCTTAAGATTTGGTACTTTTTTTCTTCAAAGAAATATTGACAGCCTCCTATTAATCACTTTTCTACAATAGGCATTCTAAATCAACTTACTATTCCGAGCCTTAATTATGCTCATTTTATATTTGAGTTAGGTCTTACTTAAAAATATTGTAGCAATATGACCTGCCAGATCTTAGAATCAAAGGTTGTTAAGCAGACAGATTAAGATGAGAAGTTTGTATATTCCAATTTAATGGAATATACTCATAGGAATTGTTGTCATAGATGATTTGTGGGGATCTTAGAATTTCTTACTATTCAAAATCTTTTTTTAATTCTAATGACGAAGGCGAATTCATCAGCATTTGATTTTGAGGGCCACCACTCTATTGGAAAGGATATTCTTAAGAAAAAAAATCATCTTAGTACATAATTGTATAATTAATATTAATAATTAATAATTAATTAATGGACCATTAAAATAATAATACAAAGCAAAAGGATTTTGCTGGTATCTTGTGCTCGTAATATGCCAAGTTCTTTTAAATCGTAACCCCCAGACCAGACCATAAATAAATTCGACGCCCATCAAGAAGGTCTTTATTGACCCGACTTAGAGGATCTATGAAGACATAGTAGTGAGCGAGTATCTTGATGAACATTCAATTGTTGTGGAATCAAATGAAATCTAAGTGCCATAACCATTTATCGAGTGGAAAGATTGCCAATTTCCAAATCAATTAAATAAGCGCATATCACTAAAAGCCTACTAAAGACCCACTCCAATCTAGGCATCAGGTTAAAATTACAATTATTACTTTTAGTGTTCCCTATAATTATGTCTGGACATGATTTGATAGGAATTGCTTAAACTGGATCTGGTAAAACAATTGCCTACCTGCTTCCTGGACTCGTTCATATAGAGTGTCAACGCAAGAAGGGAGGACCAATGATGTTGATACTTGTACCTACAAGAGAGTTAGCAATGCAAATACAAGGTAATAAAAGAACACATAATTTTAGAGCATATTAGCTACTTTTCTGAAGCATACAATATGAATTCTGCCTGTATTTATGGTGGTGCTGATAAGAGACCTCAAGAAATGGCATTGGCCAGAGATCCAGACATTGTCGTCGCAACTCCAGGAAGACTAATTGACTTCTTAGATGCTCAAGTAACAAATCTTCATAATGTTACATATTTAGTCTTAGATGAAGCAGATCGTATGCTTGGTATCATAATAATATATATAAAAGATATGGGATTTGAATAGCAAGTCCGAAAAATTGATAGCTATATTAGAGAAGATAGACAAACAGTATTCTTTTCAGCAACTTGGCCAAAAACAGTTTAAAATCTAGCATGTGATCTATGTCACAATGAACCAATTAATTTATATATTGGAAGTCAAGAAGTCACCATTAACAAAAATATTACATAAGAAACAATTTGTTTATATCAAAATGAAAAACAGGAAGAGTATAAAATTGAAAATCTATTTTTAGATTACTTTATATTTTGGAAGAATTATCCAATAAGGATAAAGTTTTGATTTTTGTCGAAACTAAAAAGGACTGTGAGGACTTGGCCAACTATTTATCGGAACATGGATTCTTTTGTATGTCTTTGCACGGGGATAAGACTCAACAACAAAGAGACTATGTCATGAAGGAATTCAAGGCTTCCAAATGCAAATTACTATGCGCTACTGATGTTGCATCAAGGGGACTTGATGTGAGAGACATCAGTTTAGTTATCAATTATGATTTCCCTAATTAAATTGATAATTATGTCCATAGGATTGGTAGAACTGGTAGAGCTGGTGATAAGGGAAGAAGTATTACTATGATTACTTTGGATGCAATGGATCCTAGAATAGCAAAATAATTGGTTGATGTATTAAATTCACTTAATTTAAGCTATTAAAAGACTCAGAATAGGTTGTGAATGACGATCTCTATGATTTCGCCTATTCAAGTATGTATATTTTGTTTATCTTAGAACCATATCAAAAGAGCAAGAGACCCAATCAAAGGAAAAAACCTAATGATAAACCTATTACCCAATCCAAAAATGTGAATAGCAACAATCTAAACACCTAAAAACCATAGTAGAAGCAGTTTAATTTGAAAGCATCCTCTCCTGTTAAATAATCAACATCATCGATGCCCCCTCCCCCAGAATTGAAGAAAGCCTTTTCAGATGCTCCAGTCTTTGGTTTTTTCAATTCAAAAAAAGAATGATATATACATATTTAGATATTAAATTATAGCAATCAGAAATCCTACTATTTTGACATTTTCATCCAAATACTACGTAATATTATTAAAATGTGTTCATCAATAATTATATCATAATGGGAAATTGCATAAAAGAATATAATAATCACTCCTCTCTTTAAGATTGTCCAAGAAAAGAAATATTTGAATAACACTCCTCCAATCTAAAAGCATGCCATAAAAGAAAAAAGTCAAGGTTATTGAGCTAAGTTTAAAGCATCGTTATAAAAGAAGACCCAGAAACGGAGCAGGATCAAAATTCATCTTTTGAACTAAATTCGTAATTTTAGATTCAATAGAGTGCAACCATAAATCTGATTAGGTTGCCATAGGGACTTAAGATGGAAAAGCATCACTAAATTAAATTATATAATCTACACACTTAAAGATACCTACACTCCCATGCAATTAAGCATGAACACAATAAATCAAATGAAGTAAGTACTTGTAATAATTGCAATTATGAATATGACTGGTGGCAAATTATATGGATGGACAATAAAACCTATGTTTATCATCCTATTACATAATCGTATTTAAAATGTTTACAAACCATAAATAATATGGGAGAAGTTGGCTGCTTGTAAAACGATATGGATGAATGGGAAATCATTGCAGATGACGAAGAAATCAAACAATACTCTATTATTAGTATTATTATCTTGTATATTAGAACTTAAACATATATGTACTGGACTTTATTTACACACCTAACCTTACTAAAGTAAGATCGAAAATTAACATATTGTATCAGTCTGTAAGCCAGAAATGGCTAATGCTTTATGGAGAATTACAGATATGCAATGATTTGTTATTATTTATTTTGCTATTCATTTTTGATTTTGGCTTAAATAGGTTTCCAGCAATGCCTTGGCTGAATTATCAAAGATCAACCCCCTAATATCATAAAGTAATTAGGTTTTTTTATTGTTTATTGCAACCTGAACGGCAGAAGTCTGCTATCCAATCCTTATTAAGGTTCTACAGGATTCCTAGAATATACTATACGAATACCTCAACATCAGGCATTTTCATAAGTATAGAAATGCCTCTTTCCTCTTGATCTGCTTTAAACAATAGTTCTGAAACTAATTCATATGGTATTATAATAGATTTCTTGTTCTTCTCCTACATAAATTTATCCAATTCATCCCAATTCTTCTTATTGATCAATGTTTTAACTCTAGTCAAATAGATTCTATTAATAAGTAAAGATGATACCTACGATCTGGTATCTTGTATGTTTTAGCGAATTCGTGAGCGAAATCTGGTTTGTCTTTAACGAAAAAGGCTTCCATGATTGAATTAATAGGTTTTTCTTCCATGATGGCTTGGTTTGGCTTCTTTCTGCCTTTTTCTACTTCTGATTTCAAATCTTTTAGGATAATGATTTATTCAGCAATGATTCTCTTATAAAATTAGTCGGTTTCGTCTTCTGCAAAGTACTTTAAAGCTTGATCTAAGAATTTGATTTTCTCATCTAAATTGTTTTGTTGATAGGCTTAGTTGATTGCTAATAAGCCACATTCATCAAATTTCTTGTAATATTGTAAATATTTTTACAAATATTTATCATCAAAATTTCTTAAATAATAGACTAACAATGTTTATGAGATGGGATTCTGAGAGAGAGTGCTAAATTTATAAGTTTCATTCATTTCAGTTTTTAAGAATTTCATTATCACAAAAAAAATTAGATTGGAATCTTTTGAAATGATTGCATCAGCTAAAGCTTTTTCATAATAAGAGTTATTATTGTTAGATGATTAGAAATTGGCCATCCAAATCAAAACTGGAATTCGTTTTGACAGACTCTACTCATTATCCAATAGTTTTAAAGCCAATTATTATTTTCCTATTTCAATTGATTTCTATGCAATCTAAGTGAATGAGACCCCTCTTTCTTCCTTAATCTTCTCCTTAATTATTTCACAAAGGACATCATCGTCTTCTTGAACCTCAACTTTGCGACAAGCCCAATGTGTATAAATAGAGGCCCTTTATTTGATTTAAAATTTAAGAAAATTAGAAACTTCAACAGCCAGGTAATGTAAATTATATCTCAATAGCAACCCAATCATAATATCTGGAATCTTGATTAATTGCAATACTTATTCATATGTTACCACTCTTCCTCCCACTCCTCCACTTCTTCTCAACGAATTCACGACTCTCAAATATCGAGCTGTTTCATTAAATATATTTGGATCTAAATTTTGAGTTCCCAAAAAGATCTTGCCATAATTTCCAGACTTTAATAATTTAATCTAATATTCAGGGTTTATTTCAAATTAAGCGCATCTTACACAATCACTGACTGCCTCACTCAACAGACTTTTACTATTTCTCAATTCATCATCCTCAATTGGATTCTTTTGTTCAAAGGACTCATAAGCACAATACAATTAAGCCCCTGGTTTTACAGACAGTTATTCAAATACATTAATATATGAATCAGGCAATTTCCTTAAAATTTCATTCTTTTTTTGTGTTAACACTCTTAAACCATCATACTCAGATTTCATAGCAAAATGCTAATTATTCATTTTTATTTTTGTATAGGAATCTTGGGATACTAAAACAATGTATTATTACAATTATAGAACTACACAATCATCTCCACACCAAAACATCTTTCTTGGTCGTTCCAAAATGCTGAGATCTTTCTCTGCTGTCTCATCTTTTTTTACATCATCCTCTTTCAAATCTATGGGCATCTGACGATACTCTGAAGATTCAAAATAGTTAGTAATAAAAGCCATAATCCACCTTTAACCATAATATTACAACAAGGCTAAATTTTTATAAGTTGGTGATAGACTTAACATTTTAATATTTCTTAGATCAGGAAGTTTCTTATCAATTTCGGTTGTAATCTTATCTTTATTATAATAAATCTTCCATTTCTCATTCTCAATTATGTGTAGTATGCCTCCATCAGGATTGGCAATCAATAATTCTACTTTACCACTTGATGACTTGTCAGAAGGAATCACTAACCAATGCTCTGGGAATTAAGTAAGATTGGATGGTTTAAATTACTATACTTCAGGCTCATGAGCATTTTGGACATAATAAAACTCAAAGTTCATTGCCATCAATACAAATCCATTATTCACGATGAGTGCACTTTAAATTTGATTTAGCTTGAATTGCTCCCCTAAATCATGGTTTTTTTTGGTTCCTTTGAAAGGATCAATTATATAGTAAACACCACTTGCTTTGAGTAATATCAGATGTTCATCCTCAAGAAAATCAAATAATGGAATCTAAATTGATTATTTTCATTTTACCTTATCGGCTTCTTTGTATGGAGTTCTGGACATAATTTTACCGCTGTTTGTGAAGAATACTATGGAATCTTTGAGAATATCATCTGTACGCATGAGTATAACCTAATCAAAATTTTTAGTTGCTGCCAAAGGACCCCCCCATTTGGCTACAGCTATATGCTAATAGTAAAAGTCAAGGAACTTTTGTTCACCTGTTATGGGATTGAATTAATGAAACTTATAGTATTTTTTATTTAATTCTTTCCATTATGTACTTGGATCCATAAAAATATTAATATTAAAAGAGTGACAAGAATCGTGAAAATTGAACTAATGAGAATATCGTATATATAGTATATATGAAAAAATTAAATGCGCGCCGATTTGTGAGCATATATATCTGAAATTCAAAAAAAAGAAGAAAAATTTATCATATAGTTTTTTTTTTACCTTTTTGTCCCTTATTATTTTATAAATGAGTGATTTAGAAAGTGAGAATGACCCAACCAATAGACAATCAGATAGACTACGAGAAAAGTAGAAGAGAAAGTATAACATGTTAGGTACATTAGTAGGTACAACTTAATGGAAGAAGAAAACTACCGTGAAGAGTAAAATGGAATTAGTAATGAAAGACGGTCTGCCAGAGCGATCAAGAGGAATTATGCAGCTACTATGAGCGAGGAAGAAGAGTCAATGAATGAACCAACTTTAGAAAGTGAATCAAGGCGTATATTCGTTCCTGAGATTGATCAAATTTTGTGGCGAAAAACAGACCCACATACAGAGACTCTTTAATATTTGGTTAAATACAAAGACCGAAGCTATTTCCACACTGAATGGCTTGATGAATTGAGAGTATGTTGAATTTATTCATAATGGTCAGATCCTTAACGAGAAGAATGGAAAGTAGAAAATCAATCGATTCAATAAAGTGTTTGATAAACGCATTATGGAAGAATTTGATGAAGTTGTTGATGCTTAGTATTTCGATCCAGCATTTCAAGAAGTCGATCGAGTATTATCATGCACAGAAATATTTCCCATTGTTCATCCAAAGAAAGGATCCGAAATGAAAGGTAAGTGGGCAGAGAGTCTAACCAAAGTGATGTCTCATTTACTCAATTTTAGTAGGAATCAAGTTCATTTTGGAGTATACTTTTTGGAAAGCAAAGCCATCCTTGATTTTGGCACCATAAATAATCGTTTATATTTGGGATAGTACAAAACTAACAATGAGTTCTGGAATGAATTGGGGACAGTATTTAGAAGTGCTAATCAAGAATTTCAAGAAAATAGTGAAATGAGATAAATTAGTGATACTTTGAGAGAGTGTGCAATTGTACTCTATAATTAATGGTATGAAGAAGCCAAAAAGAATTATGAATAAAAACTATCTTAACAAAGGTACATCAATGAAGAAGCATACAAAAATAAAGTTAATGATGCACATAGAAATGATATCATGCCTGAATTGAAGAAGGAAAAAATTAATGAATTAGTGCTCAATGTCCTAAATATTATTGATGAAAAATAATACACTATCTAAGAGAACCTATCAGAAATTGAATCCATCATCTAGGATAAGTTGAACCTAAAATTAGAGATTAAGAATGATGACTTTTTTGATCTTGAAGATTATCTTAGATCATAACTGTAAACCAAAGACGTTGATGTTGCTTAAGAAATGCAATTGGAAATGTTAGATTTCTAATAGTAAATGGATAGTGTTGATCCAGATATAGAGGCATGGAATCCAGGAGAGAAATCTTTTGATTGGTTATAAATGGATGCCTTGGAAATTAAAATCTTAACAGAATAGGAAATTCAAAAATTATCATAAGAGCCAGATCGCTTATACTTAGTCAAGTGGAAACACTTGTCTTATTTAGAAGCCACATGGGAACCAGAATCTTTGATAGATTGTAGATAAAAGATTTAAGAATTTAAATAATTCAATAGAAGTTTAGATAAAGAAACAAGGAATCTTATGATGCAATAAAATTCTAATCACAAAACACTTGTGGATTTTGAATTAGGACTTCGAAAGAAGAAATTATCAAATCTCTAAATTAGCGAAATTAGAAATTAATTGTATTTCTTGAATCAAAGAAAACCACCTCATGAATATACCTAACTTACACAAACTATTTACAAAGATAGAAGATTATTAAGAGATTATCAACTCGATAGTCTCAATTGGATAATCAAAGCTTGGTATGAGGACAGAAATGTGATCTTGGCTGATGAAATGGGTCTCGGAAAAACCATACAGACAATTGCATTCTTGAATCATTTATATAATTTTGAAAACTATAGAGGACCCTTTTTAATTATAGCCCCATTGTCAACCTTGCAACATTGGAAACGTACAGTTGAAGAATGGACTAATTTAAATGCTGTCCTGTATTATGATCAAGAAAGTAGTGCTGGTAGAGCCTTATGTAGATAATATGAGTTTTTCTATACTGACATCAGCATAAAAGGTATTGTACTCCAAGCCTCTGAAATCTACAAGTTTTAGATCCTAATTACCAGTTATGAAGTCTTCATGTAAGACTTTTAAACCATATTCATTAATATTCCATTCTAATATATTGTAGTGGACGAAGCTCATAAATTAAAAAATTCAAATGCCAGGATTTTATAATCTTTAAAAAAGCTTTCTTGTTAAAGGACATTATTATTAACTGGAACACCCATTCAGAATAATACTGAAGAATTATTCAGTTTACTTAATTTCATTGAACCATATTAATTCTCAAACTTAATGAGTTTTAAAAGAGAATATGGATAATTGGAGACATCGGATTAAGTGGAAAAATTGAATGTGTTGTTAAAACCATACATTTTGAGAAGACAAAAGGAGGATGTAGAATAGATGATTCCTCCTTTGTAAGAAACGATTATAGATATCGAAATGACTACTATCTAAAAACATATATACAAAGCACTTTATGAAAGAAATAAGTCAATGTTGGAATAGGGATTTTCATAGTGGGCTGCCAATGCTGCTTCCTTAAATAATTTAGAGATTCAACTTCGAAAATGTTGTAATCACCCATTTTTAATTTAAGAAATGTAAAATGATTTGACGAAAGGATGCTCAAATTAAAATGATTATATTAATAAATTAGTAGAGAGTTCAGGGAAAATGATTTTGTTGGATAAGCTATTGAATAAATTTAGAAACGAAGGCAAGAAAATGTTGATCTTTTCATAATTTACAATGATGTTATCTATTTTGGAAGAGTATTTAAAATTTAGATAAGTGAAATATGAAAAGATAGATGGGTAGATAAAAGCAAGGGAAAGATAGAATGCCATCGATAGATTTAATGATCCACAGAAAAAGAGGGAAGTATTTCTATTGTCTACAAAAGCAGGTGGATAAGGTATCAATTTGACAGCTGCTGAAATAGTAGTGATTTATGATTCAGATTGGAATCCTTAAAATGATGTTTAAGCAACAGCTAGAGCTCATAGAATTGGACAATCAAAAGAAGTCACTGTTTATAGAATGATTACTAAGGATACTTATGAAGCAGAGATGTTTGAAAGAGCAATCAAAAAATTAGGATTGGATTAAGCTATATTTATGAGTGGACAATTCAAATCATGTGAAAGTTCATTCAAAAATAACAAGAATGATAAAAAGATGAGTAAATAAGATATGGAAGTATTATTGAAGAATGGAATCATAGGTTTTATAAGTCATAATTAAAATGGAGACACATTTTAAGAAAAGAATATTGATGAAATATTAGAAAAGAATTCAAGAACTGCAAAATACTCGTTGATTAATGGAACATATACAGTATCAAAGTAGTCCTTCGTTTCTGAAAAAACAGATAAATCAATCAGTATTCAAGATCCAAATTTTTGGAAAATAATCTTAAAAAGTCAGGAAAGCAGATGTTAGAAGTTAATTAAATTATTTGATATACATATGTCATTACAAGAACAGAAGAAATATATGGAAGAAGTAGGAGATTGTGTGAATCAATTGATAGAATCCAAATTAAGCTAATCTAATTATAGCACTGATGATGAATAAATATTAACAGATTTGTTGAATAAAATTAATTCATCAAATTATGCCAAAAATTATAGAGAATTAGCTATGAATTGGATATATGAATTGAGTAAACCTTCAAGGAGAATCAAGAAATTAACAGACATGGATTTGGGTAGAAAGTAACAAAGGACAGTTGAAATCTAAGGTGAAGATGCAAGAAGATTGGCATCAAAAAGCAAGGAAGAATTAATAAAGAAACTTTGTTATGTGTGTGAAAGACCCAACTGTTCTGTCTTTTGTATGGGACATTGCAGAAGGGCTTTCCATATAGCTTGTAAGGATCTACTAGAAACAACAGAATATATTAATATTGAAGGACCTGATTAAGATTTCCTTAACAATCATTCATTCCCAGAACTCAATTGGAGTGAAGAATAATTGAAGGAAAATGTCAACATCAGATATTCTTGTCCTGATTGTAGGAATAGTTTAGTAGTTTGTCTATTATGTAAAACCAAAGGAACATATCCTCCCGAGAAGAAATAGAAAGAAGAAGTTATTGCTTCATCTGATGAAAATGATCCTCTTGAAGATAATGTGAGGAAGATCAAAAATAAATCAGCTATTTCAAAGTGTTCTACAGCAAATTGCAATAGATACTTCCACTTAAATTGTATATAGGCTAATCCATTATCTAAGACCTTAGATTCAAATGTAGAATTGTTTAGATGTCCTTCTCATGTTTGTGTTTTTTGTAAGGTGAACTCTTCTAATACAACTACAGCCTTAATTCATTGTGTTAGATGTTGTAGATCTTTTCATAGTAAATGCGCACCTCCTGAAGTGAAATCGAAAACTTAGAAGATTGGAAAGAAGGTTATGATTTGTGATTTGTGTGCTAAGTAGAAGGAGGAAAAATTCGAAGGCAAGATGATTGTCAAAATCTCAATTAAGGGATATTAAAAGAAATAGAAATAAGCAAAATTAGATTTTAAATAATTTGGAACCACTGCAAGAACCAGAAGAATTTATGAGAAGAAAAATGAAACTATGCCCAATGATAGACGATAATTGGATTCCAGCAGAAGCAACAGTCAAGAAAAGATTGTCAAGAAAGTCTAAAGAAAATAATTCAAATAAGATATTCATCCTTATTCTTATGAAGAGTTGGGAATCATACCAGTTAAGTCTTTCGATTATTCCAAATACACTAATGTAATATATATTCTCTATTGAGTTAGGATTGGTGCAGATATTGTGGTGCAAGGTTTGCATCCAATTTTACCAAAGGTCCTTGGGGTTCCAGAACTCTTTGCACTATCCACTATATCAATTGGGGGTAGAAGAAACAACTAGATCTTTCGGAACACATTGATTTGCCAAAAAGCCCAATCAATAGGGACGATCCTACTGAACTCTAATTCCTTCAAAGGTTAAAATTGTTTTTATTTTATAGATAAAAAGCAAAAGATCCAAACTTCGACCCAAAAAAAGAACTTAACATCTACAATGATGAGTAGTATCAAATATTTAACAATGACTGAATCATGTATAATTATGACAAGAGCTGCTAAATTTGGTTCTCTTATAGCCACAATTTTATTTTATCTTATATTTATATATTTTCTCAATTGTTAGCAAGGTATGCTATGAGGTCAGCTCTTTCTTATTCATTTTCAAGACCGGCGAAAGCCATCTTAGTACCAACAACATACTTTGAAGGATTCTTCAAAAACACAAACAAGTGCTTTTCAGACCAGTTGAATCCTGCACCCTTCATGCTCTTAGAATATGGGAATTGAGTTAATCCGGCCTTTCTTCCAATAAGTCCTCTAAAATCATTCAATAAAGAGTTTACCCTAAAGTTGGTGCTGATGCAGTCTTATCATCTCCTTCAAAAGCGTGACAGGCAGCACATTATTGATCAAAGATATCTCTTCCTTTTGCTGCATCTCCATTTGGAACATTGACATTTGGCTCTGCGATTGTCTTCTTGGGAGGCATATCTGTAAAATAATTTAATTTTAATTTAAAAATGATACGTATACGCATTAGTATTTATGCAATTAACAAGAAATAAATTTTATGTGAATTAAAGCATGAATGTAATGTAGTCCTTTTGTCTTAATAACTATTAAACAGAGAATAATATAGAAGAAAACTAAAAGTATTTCATTTCTAAATTAATTTCTTTGTATTTTACAGAGAGACTCATTCATCAGATATTACTTATATTTATTATCATCAAATTGTTTGATTTATCAACAAAAATAAATCAAATATTGTGTTTTATTTTTGATGCAATAGATTAATTCGAACTACAATACGTATCAATCAACAATCATGTATTGAAAATGCTTTGAATATCTATATATCAGTGGGGAATAGTTATTAATATAAATGTAACAATCATTTAATATATTGAATTAAAAAATTATGAAAAAATGAAAAAATTAATTCTTAGAAAATTCCTGAAAATCAATACCCCTCTATCAGAAACTTTACAAGCATATTTATTATACTCATCCATTTTAAGAAGCTTTATTTTATTTGAGAATTTAATAATAACACAAAATCATATATTATCATTATTAAAAATAGCAGATTTTCTTTATTTTTTCTATAGTCTTGAAAATCACAATTAGAAATAAAAAGTTATATTTGATTCTAAATTACTTTTATACTAAATATAGATATCATATTTCATCTCTTCATGCATTAATTAAATTTTTTATTCAATTTCAATTAAAAGCTATGGTATTCTGATTCCAAACTCTTTAACATTTTATTAGTTATTCTAAATCTTGATAGAATCGTTTTCTTTATTGATACATCATCTTTGATGGATTTATCAAATTTCTAAATGTATTGGATTAATTCTTTTTCTGTACTGATACTAAATATTTCTGATTTAATCAACTGACCTAAATAATGAAGGATTTCATCAAATTCAAGATTCAGAATTTGCTATTGAATCAATGAAAATATATAAAATGTTGCTTTATAGAATCCTATTTTATTCTTAAATTTTACCTTTCCATTCTTCTGCTAAAAATAAGTCCCATATCACATTCAATAGGGCCGATCTTTAACTATATTGAAATACATTAGAATATAAAGTAATGAACCAAGAAGCAACATAATAAGAGGCATCTATTTTCTAATCCTTCAAATGCTAAGATAATTCAGGCAAGAAAATACAGAGCAGTCTTTCAAAAGCATAAAATCCAGTTTTCTACAATTTATTATTAATTTTACCAATTTAGAAAAATCATTCATGTATAATTCCTTAAAATAGAGATTCATCATTCTATCAAAAGCCTTATAAGCAACCTCCTAATCTTAATACGTTAGATAAAGGTATCCTGCAATGTAATTCATGCCTTAACAATATCCAACCTCTTAATTGTAAAATGCATAAATTCTTAATAAGCTTTATAGAACATTTGAATTAATTTTATCTTTGTGAATGTGAAGACTTCTCTAAACATCCAATTTAATTGTTTCTTCATAGAGATTATTAACATCCATCTCTATTCCTACTTTAGTTTTCATTTCAACATAATCAATATTCAATTATTTCAATTTCAAAGCTTAAGACATCAATCTCAATCTTAATTAATGAGTAGATTCATCTGAGAGGACTTGAGAATTTCCCAAATAGAATTTCTTAATTTTGTGTTTCAACTATTTATTAAAATTGCTATTGAGAGTCAGTAATTTCTATGGTTAATCCTAAATCGATAAAAATCTAATTTAATAAAGAAATTCTTACTTTAAACAAGCTCCACATCCTTAAATTACTTTATTTTCATAAATGTATAACTTGTTTCTTTCATGCTTTTCAGTTTTATGAGTTAAAACCACTTTCCCTGATTTGAAAAGCTTCTTCCATTGAGTGTTATGCAAATCTTCCTATTTCTCCAATAACTTAACAACATGATCCTTATCAATATGTTATTATTATGACGCAATTTGAATTATTATTTCTGCAGATAATTCTGATGGTAATTTTAAGGAATAAATAAATAGATTAATTTCGTCTAATATCATATAGCAGATTTCACTTTCGTTTACTTCTATCATATTAGATTACTAGGCTCCAAAATTCTTGATTATCGATAATCCCTTTCCAATTATTCTGACTCCTTTTTTTAAAATTGTGCTTTAGGTTTATTGCATGATTGATTGAGCCTACTTTCTCTTTTCATCCACTTTCTTGGCGCTTATAAATTGAAACAATTCAATCCATCTATCAACTTTAGTCCACAGAGGATTATCTGATAATTATGAAGCTAAATTAACTCTCTCTTTTCCATCCATTCTGACAATTCGAATTGCTTTTAATAATAAATCATAAATATCCTCAGATTCATAAAGTTCATTCAAATCTACATAATTTAACCAATGTCTAATTAATTATAGCAATTCCATAAATTATTCAGTTGTTAATGTTAAATAGAATTCTACTATAATATTTCAATTTACTTGCTTATTTGTCTTGATATGATTTGGTGTGCAATTTATTCAAAGAATTTATAAAATAATTTCTGCCTGCTGATTTCTAAAGAATTTACTTTATTTTTATTATGTACTCGCATTTATCTGATAGATCAATTTAAAATAAAGATTATAGATATTTATCTATAAGCTTTTTCTCTTCCTCTTAGATTTTATCGCCAACAAGTGTCCATTAATTTTAAACCTATTAAGCAGGATGGGCCTAATCAAGGCTTTGGGGATTCTTCTTCCACTATTCATAACTAATGAACTCTTCAAATGAAAATTTAAAGGCTTTAATAATCATTATAATTCTTACACCCCTCTTAAATTTGCATTCTTTTTTCAATCAACTTTTTAATTGGAATCTTTGGGTCTTATTTCAATTTTAGTTCTAAATCTGATATTTTTTCTTCAAATTAAGATTAATCTTAATCGAAAGGCAGTAATTTCAATAATGCACTAATAGTTTGCTTCGTAAACATAATCCTATTTTATATTATATGTTATACCTACTCTATTCATTCAAACCTACATTCGCAAATATTGTATCCCATTCTTAATGAAACTGTTTCCACCTTTCATTTGTTATCTATAGTAATTTCTTATAGTCCTTTTCCATTCCATCTGCCAATTCTTATATTCTTAGAGAATTATTAAATTATCTTTAAAAATCCTCCTTTGTTGCGTTACCTTTTTCAATGTGATCTATCATTTATTATGCCTATTCAGATTTCTATTCAAATAATTTCATTAATTTCCAACATTCCTCTTATGTTTTACACATTTCTTTTCTTGTTTCTACTATTTCTGCTACTTGCTTTTTGGAATCGCTATTCAAACTTCTATTTGTTTATCTGAAATTCACTACAAATTAAGAGTAAGGTTCAGCAATTTCACTCTTAATTTTTTGGGCTGTATTATCCCAATTTTATGACAATCTTAATAAGTAATTGCTGACTTATTGATATAAGCAAACTAAAATATCTGGTTCATTGCCATTGCTTATTTAAGAGTGAAACTTTCTTCCAATACTTGAAATCGCTGAACTAAAATCTTGGAGGCATGCTATTAATTCTGCGAACTTGAATTAATTGATTTAATTACTATTTTTTCAATTCCTGTTACATTCTAGGTTAAGCCAACCATGTATTCGTAAAGCTTGTGTTACTGGAGATTATAATACTCAATAGAAGGATTCATCTTAATTAAATATATATAACAAAACAAATTCAAACTTAATTATAAAAGAATTCCAAAATATCTAATACTAAAAAAAGGAATTAATAATCAAAAAAAATCGCAAATTTCATTTTGCGGGTAAACAATTTAATGAAATAACGACAAATAAACAAATTTTCCAAATGAGTGAGAATGAGTGAATAGTAAAAAAAGTAAAGAAAAAGAATTGCTATTTAATGATATTTCTCTCTAAAAATAATGTTATCATTGAATAAACGCCATAAATAATGAAACTACAATGAGCTAAGCAAATTTATTCTAGGTATAAGCATCGTTAGGTTTGGCTATTATAATTATAATATTAATTACTTCCAGTATTGGTTCCTGTTGTTGTGGTTGTACTTGTTCCAGTTCCAGTTCCTGTAGATGTTCCTGTAGTTGTTGTAGTTCCAGTGGTTGAACCTGTTCCTGTTCCTGTAGTTGTTGTTGTTCCAGTAGATGTTCCAGTGGTTGTACCAGTAGATGTTCCAGTGGTTGTGCCTGTAGATGTTCCAGTAGTTGTACCTGTAGATGTTCCAGTGCTTGTACCTGTAGGTGTTGTAGTCGATGCAGCGCATAACGTACATTTGTTAGTGGAAGTAACCCAATGATAGTTTTTTAATGTACTTGAGTAGCACTTAGCTTGTGTTAAGACCTCAACTCCTGAAGCATCCTAACAATTTCCATTCCATTGACACAATGTCAATTTGGAATTATTCCATTAAGGAATAGAAGTGCAATAAAATTCTGTTGTAACATCGGCACAAGTCTTAGGGACACATTTCTTTTCAACTGTGTATTTACAGGATGAGTTTAATGTACATAGGTTGGGATCTGATTATCCATCTTCACATGAAGTGTATTTGACAGGCATACATTCTGAAGCTTTAGTCATTGGATTTGTTGTCCAAAAGCAAACTTGTGTTGAGCTTTGATATCCTTTGCAGTCTGCCTTAATAGTAATTTTTTGACATTCAGGCACATAAGTACCAGTTTTGCAAGCGTATCCACTTGAAGTAGCCTAATCTTCAGTGCATGTTTTATCTTTGGATTAGCATTATCCTAATCCAGAGACTTTGTAATCAGCACACTTGGTGAAGTCTTTGCAAATTCCATTAGAATCCAACGCACAGCCTTAAGTTGAAGAACATTGATCTTTCAAATCAGCACATGACTTTCTAGAACAAGTTTTAGCCACTCCATCCCATGTACATTGAGTGTTGAATTTACATTCTGTTTCAACCACTAATTGATTGCATGTGCATTGGCCATCATCGAATGTAAATGCTGCCAGAGTTACGCTGAGAATTGCAAATAATAACATAATTATTAAATATGGTAAATCATTTGAATGATGATTTAAATATCTAAATAGATATTAAACATATGTTTGGAAGATGTAAAAATACATAATCAAAATAAATCGTCATTTTATTGAATAATAAATATATATAAAAATATATAAATGAAGAAGAAAATGTAAAAAAGAAGTTCATCCTCATCTTCATCTACTTCTAGGAGTAGAGAGAATGAAGTTAAGAATCAACATTCTAAAGTTTCATACTAAGAATACTTGCTTCAAAGAAAACAAAGAAGAGAATCTATTAAAAAATCAAACATTTGGCAATTCAACAGTGATTCTGAAGAAGTTCGTAGAGGTAATAATGTAACCAATTATTTAGACTTGGAAACTATGAAAGTGTAAAGGAGATAACAAAGATATATCATCGAGGAACAAATGAAATAAGAGGAGGATAAATTAAGGAGGGCGAAATTAGATGCCATCATGAAAGGAGAACATTTATAAAAAGTACTTCCTTCTAAATCATAAGAAAGGGAGTAGCAATCCCAATAAAAAGAGATTGTAATCTAAGAAGAAGTAGTAAATTAACAAGAAGAAATCGATTAAGAACAAGATGAAGAAGAATAATAGTAATTTTCAAATATATTCTTAAAGTTACTCAGAAACAGACTCTGATGATTCCTTTGCTGAGAAAGTTAGAAAATTAAATGAAGAAATGCAAAAGAAAAAAGAAGAAAATGATAAGTCGTGCCAAATAGGTCCCATGCCTCTATTATTTGATAAAAACTTACAGCACAGAACCAATTATGGCAGTCAACTCTTACCAGGGGAAGGAGCTGCAATTGCTTATTACATTTAATCAGGAAAACGTATTCCTAGAAGAGGAGAAGTTGGATTGACATCTGAAGACATTGAAAAGTATGAAGGTTTGGGATATGTGATGTCAGGAAACAAACATAGAAAAATGAATGCTGTTAGATAAAGAAAGGAAATGCAGATCTTGAATGCTGAATAAGGCAAGGCTTTGATGATATTCAATTATGAATAAAAGGTCAAGAGAGAAAAACAAATTATCGATCAGTTATAGAAACAACTTAAGTTGAAATAAACAAATTAAGCAAGTTAATGATAATAAATATTATATAATTCCTATTTCAATCTATAATAAATCATCATAAGTTATATTTCTTTTGGCATTCTTTGAAAATGTCCATATATGGTTGACATCTTGTGATATCTGAGTTCATTTGTAAGCACTAAATAAACTATTTCTAAAATTTACATTTGTTATCATTTGGCTTTCACTCTAACAAACTTATTATTGTTATTGAGGAACCTATTGCTGGGTTTATTATTCAACTGGTTAAGATTGACCTATTTAAATGATATTTAAATCTACTTGATCCACCAATTACCGATCTGATTGCCTAATGAGCTACTTCTGAACCTGCTCCAAATGCCATGCCTGTCATTAAAGTTGAGCCAAGGCCAGAAAACATACCTCCTGATTTTACTGGAGTTTAAGGAGGAGCTTAAGTCTATGGAACTGGTCTTGCAGCTGTTGCTGTGCTTCTTGATGGGCTAGGTCTCGATCTTGATGATGATCCACTTCTTCTTGGCATTTTAAATACTTTTTTCTTAAATTATTAATGAAAATATTTTAAGATTCTAAGAACAATTTATATCAAGTCAATTAATAACCTTAGATTAAATTTTATCAGAATATCTACTCTCTAAATCTCTTTTAGGTCTTATATCTTCAAATTTATCTAAATATTATATGAAACCAGCAATAACGACTAACTTTCTTTTTCTTAAATATTACCACCCCTCTATCTTTAAATAAACCTCTTGTTTCTATGTCTTTTATTTCTTAAAATATTTAAACCATCAAATTTATAAGAAAATCTTTTTAAACATGATGTAAAGTATCAGGTGATCATTATTATAATTTTAAATAATCACATTCTACATGTCAATTTCTTAATATAATAAAATTTGAATTTAAAAATAAAACTACAACACCAATCTTCTTTAGAATGGTTTATTTAAATATTTCCATCCTATACAATTATTCATGAAAAATGCAAATTGTTACCTATCTCTTTATTTTAAGACACTTTTATTTATAATATTAATCTTTATTATTTATTTATAATGTAAAATTTAATAACAAGAATAAATAAACATCTTTAACTGATAGCTAAGGAAGAATAGAATGTAGATTCGAAAAGGATGAATCTCGTAAGCTAAAAGGGAATTGACACTAAGCAAATATTTGAATCAATCGCTATGCCTACTATGAATTTCAAATGTCTAAGCTAATTTTTAATGTATTTGATATCTTAATTGGAGTCATTATGAAATTGAGCATGATGATCAATTTGTTAATAGTTTTTTATATCGACACACAGGTTTGAAAAAATTTGAAATGGATTATGAAGAGTATTAAACTTTTTTATTCAAGTTTTCTGAATTTCGTTATGCCTTGCGAAGATGATGATCTTTATACAATAACAAAAAATAAGGAACACTTAGGAGGAGCAAGAACCATCTTTAGTTTATAGACAAGCTAAGCTTTATTCGATTTATTTTATGCTGAAGTTCATTACCATTTCGAGGTAGAAAGGTCTAAGAAAGAGCTATTCAGGGATTTTGAACACAGATTATTGGTACATCCTCTATGTGAACATAAATATATTAGAAGGGAATAGCTAACTTAATTTGATTTCACTGATGAAGATATAAGCAGAATATGGAGGAGACTTAATTACATGTAAAGAAATTGCTTTAAAGATGAAAAATATAAATGCAGACACTTTAAATCACTCTTGTTTCCAGAAGACTATTTTGAGAATCTTAAATTGATAGGATAACCTGTCTATTTAGATGAATAGGTTCAAAAATAATATGCCAAGCCTAGTCAATATTCAAAAAATACTAGAAAGTCTAGATTTATTGAGTGTCCAAAGAATGATAGATGTTAGTTCTATCAGAATTATGACTAACTTAAACCCTATAATGGAGATAAATTTATAATTGATTATAACAAAATTTATAATAAATGATAATATCTATTACTATCTAATACTCAAAATTTCAACTCATTCATAATAGACTCCAAATACGATTGCTACACCGTAAATACTTTCCTATATTTTTAATGATCATAAATATTAATTACATTTTAAAATGCGTATGATGCATAATTGTCCCAAGTCGGATCCCATAGATTTTTTGAAGTTACTTTGCATCCCTATCCCTTGACTTCTCCTATTACAACTTAAACTGCAATTTTAAATCTTGGCATTTTGATAGCTTAAAATTAAATGGAATAAATCATTTACTTTCTCTAACTTTACTTCTTATTCTTTTTACTAATTCTTCTGCTAAATTAGGAGTGTTGTTGGCATCATAAGTTTCGGTTTTTAATTTATCATCCATGATTTCTTGGATTAATTTTCTCACTTTTGATGGATAAAATCTAATTATATCAATTTAATAATCACTTCTCTTCATCTTTAGGTTCTACCACAAATGTATTTGCACCTCCAGAGTCCATCTAATTTATATTTATATAAAAATAAAAATAATTTAATAGTTATTCAATTTTTCAAAGTTATTATTTATTTCAACATATGATTTCAAATTATTTATCTATATTCGGACGTCATTTTTATTTATCTCTACTCTTCTGATACTATCATTGTGAATACCTTTCCGACTGTATTAAAAGTTAGTATCATAATAATTTCTATTATTTGTAATCTCTAAATTTTGTCATTTTATTTCTTCTGAACTTATGTCAAGATCAAAAGTTAGTATCAGTTGGAGACAATGAATATGATGGAAAATTTGAATCTAATTGATATAAGAAGTTTTTAAATATTCCGCACCAGATAAAAATGGTAGCTTATTGAAACCCATCCTAAAAATAACTGTTTACCTCCATGTATATCGTTAAACGATTCATAAGACCAATTATTATTATTTCATGAGGATAATAGGTTATTTTTTCTTTTATATGTTATAATTTGAGGTTAATCAATTTCTATCAAATATCTTTCTTATAATTCCTTTGCCAATTTAATGGTTTCCTAGCTTGCATTATTTATGTTTTTCCAAAGAATAGCTTAAGTTAAGCATTAAATCTTTTATTTTTTGCTATTAACTTTCATAGGCTGCCCCAAAGTAATATATCGTTTTAGCTTTTGTACAGTTGCTTATTAAGTTCATAGAAATTATTTTAAATTAGTATTTATATTCCTTTCTTTGATTCAATACTCCTAATTATTTGATTCTTGTATCTCTTTAATATAAACTATTCTGAATATAGTGGATGCTATCCAACTATTAGATTGTATTAACTTTCATAACAATACTACTAATTACCTTATTAACTCATTTGATAATCACTATGGTCTAATAATGTTTTAACTAAAAATTATAGAATTTAATCTTTATCTGTTTACCCCAGGATCTCAAGCATCTTTTGTATCAATCAATTAAATATTTTTTTCAAGAACCTCCTCTTAAACAAAAAAAATATTCTGTCTAAATCAATAGTAACAGCCACACCGAATGCATTTGTTTGCTGCTTTTGGTTCGCTTAATCAATTCCTCTTAAATTGTAGACAAAAGATGACTTTTCAGTACTTGAATCTCAGTCTGCTAAAAAAAGTTCTATTTTGTTAAATTTATATATACAAAATATTACTAGATTTAAACAAATGAACATGTTATTTATTTATTGTAATTGAAGACTATTCATGATTTAGAGGCTCTTTTCTTCACTTTTGAGCAATTGATAAATTTTAAGAAGAAATTTAAATTTTAAGGACTTCTATAATATAAAATGCTAGATTAACTTCTTAGAAGGGAGAAGGCATCTGTAAATTGATTTCTTGATATAAATAATAGCCTTTTATATCCCTATTAAAACAAATTTAAGAGGTCATAACCTTTATAGAAATATTTTCTTCTTTGCCTTTATTAGCCTTACTTCCTTGTAAATTGTGTTTTTCATGAATTAAGCCACAAAAAATTGAAAAATTTTTCAAAAACATTTATGCTGTTGGAAATTCATTCAGAAATTGTCGGTTTATTAGCAATAATTTCCAGATTTCCGTAATTAATTAAATAAAACATCGAATACAGTTTGCATTTTAAATGGGATACTATTATTAGTATTGATTTATTATTTTTTAAACTAAATGAATTCTGGAATCTCTTAATAATCTAATTCTAATCTAACCTCCAACCAAGATGAAAGCTCTTATTAAACTCAATTTCGTCATCAATCTACCGAAGAGGGAATTTTTTAATCTAAGTAAATCAGACAAAGAAGAAAAACAATCTAATATGGCTAGAAAGATAGAGGTAGTGCTATTTATAAATACCTCAAAGAAAAATAAATGGCTTTTCTTAACTACAAGCCAAGAGCATAAATTTCTTAATTCTCTGCAGAAGAAGACCGAATTCTAATTTTGCTTGTTAAAAAATTAGGACCCAAATTTAACAAAATAACAAAATACTTCTCTGGAAAAACAGTCAATATGATTAAGAACAGATACTATAAGTCTTTACGATATGTTGAATCTTAAGAAATTCCAAAAGAGTTAGAAGAAGAACTTCTTTAAAATAAAAATGAATAAAGAATTATAGGTAGAAAAATTCTAAATTTATGGCCTCAGCATAAATAAATGAGCTCTGTGATAGAGAATAGCCCTCTCTTTCCAGAAGCAAAGGAAATTCTACACACATTTTTGAGTTCATTTTAATAACTCATTGGAAATTTGCAAAAATGATAAATGAATTTTATATTTATTTATAATAGAAACCTTAAAATATCAGTCTTTAATGTTATTATTTCTCATTACTTAATTGGCTATAATTATTTTAGGCCTGGTTTTTCTTAGTATTTTTATTTACCAAGCTAATTTTCAAAAATATAAAAAAAAACATAAAAAATGACATGAAATTCTTGAAATATCTAAAATTAAAAATATCATATTGACAAGTTAAAAATAAGGCTTAATATTGTGTGTTGACATTCTATATGCGATTTTTAGTTTAGATAAATTTAGTAAAAATAAGTTCGTTTAATCTGGTATGACATTCCTATAAATAAACAAAATAAATTAAAATCAATGTATATAAAAATACCATTCTAAATCTGGAAAATATATACTTTATAAATTAAAGTATAATGTATATCATGAAGAGAAAATAAACTGATATTATTCAATAAAGTAAATATTGAAAAATTGATAAAGTTTATAGCATTGTTCCAAAACAAAATAAATTTAGAATTAACATATATTAATTAACTAAACTTTTGAGTGTCAATATATCATCTCAGGGTGATTGTTATCAAAATTAGATAATATTAGGCTCTCAATCATTACATTTTTATTCTTAAAAACTACTTTTGGCTCTATGATAGATTCTATATAAAAAATACTATCCTTTCTTATTCGAAAATTATATGATTAAATTTTAACTAAAACTTCATATTATTATGACAAATTCTAATATTTTTTTGTATTACGATTTTCATATTGTATATTTAATAGAAAACAATCATTCTAAGTATTAAACTTTAGAAAGTGAGAAATTAATATTTTTTTAACAGTTTTTTTAATCAAAATGAGTAACTTGTGATGAAGAATTTATCTCAAATGACTTAAGCTGTTTCTTAAGCTAAAATTCATACACTTACTCAAATTTCATAGTATTTTTTCAATTGATGATTATAATAAAAACACCTAAGCTTTTTTAAAATAATTATTTGTTACAAATTTAGTTTCGTTTTGACAGCATCAAATTTAAACTGAGATATTAAAGAAAAATGAAATCATTTGAAAAACTAAACAATAAAATATATTCAAAAAAAATTTAAATTGCCAAATTTCTTTCTAAATATGAATATGTTTAATTCTATGGCACTAGAAAAAATATCAAAAAAATTAGACCTTATAATCATATTTTCATAATAAACCCTTATTTTAGTTTATTGAAGCAGCATTAAACCCTATATATCAAATTGATTTATATAGGTCAATAGTATTTGAAAATATATATATTTTTATAAACATATTATAAATAAAAGAATAAATCTGTAATATTTATATTCTAACTACTTGAAATCTTTATAATAATACTTCTTTCTAGATTATTTAAGTACTTCCATCAAAATTTTAGGAATAAATTATGGATTTGAAATAATATTTTATCTTACCAATTTCATTTCATTCGTCAAATAATGCTAAATAAATTAGGAATTCTTTCTTAAGAATTACTAACTAATATAAAATATATTAGAAATTTATATATATCAAAATATATATCAAATTGTTGTTTTATAATATCAATAATAACCTAATAACTAAGAATATCAACTCCACAATTTATATACTATATTAAACACTATGGATCCGAGCTAGAAATATATATTGATAAAATAAATTAATTATACCTCCAATTTATTTCTGGTTTTTATAAATAATTTCATTCTAAAAATATGCATTACATTAAAGTATGCCATCCAACAAATATTATCAACCTTATATTATAAAAAGGTGAATTAATTGATAATTAAATAATATTCAATAATCATAAATAATTATTAGGAGATAAAAAACAATTATTAATATATTAGCTGGGATCATTTTTTACAACATTATAGTGTTGTATAATAATTTAAATACTTTTTTAATTTAAAATTAGTAGTGAAATTCAAATATTTCTTAAGACCTGATTCGTAATATCGCTAAATAATTTAACTTTATTTTTTAATGTTTAATGTACCATTTTAGATTACCGAATTAAAAAATCCAATAATAATTGAATTAGAAAACTTATTAAATCTATGATTTAAGCCTTATATAACCAAATAGAGTTATAGATAAATTTGGGTATATAAACGCTTTCAACCAATTTAAACTGCTCTAATTATCCTTTAATACTATATAAATAAGATTTGTGTGGTGGGATATATTAATTAAATTAACATGATCTCTCTCAGACACTAAAATGAAGACTCATTAGTACTCAATGATTGTGACTAATTATCAAATTCCTTTCTCTTTTTCAACCAAGCTACTTAAAGCTAAGAAACGAATGCCACTATCTCAAAAAATATACAAAAAAAAACACATTCAAGAAGAAAATGCTTTATTTATGGAGACAAAGACAGGAGCAGTGCACTTTACAAATACATAAAAGAGAAGTAAAGAAGCTATTTGGATTCAAATGGGAAAGCTTTAAACTCTATATTTTATCCAGAAGAAGATCGAATACTGTTACTTCTTGTCAAAAAATTAGGACCCAAGTTTTCAAAGATCACTAAGTACTTCCCCGGAAAAACAATGAATATGCTAAAGAATCGATATTATAAAAATCTCAAAAACTCAGAAGCCTCAATGATCCCAAAAGAAATTGAGGAAGAACTTGCAGTATAAGTCAAAAAAAAAAGAATTATGGGGAAAAAGATCATTAAAACCTGGCCTGAAGAATAAAGGATTTCAGCCTTAATTGATAATAGTGATCTTTTCCCAGAAGCTAAAGAAAAGATTTAACTATTATTATAAGGATTTACTTAAATAATTGCAAATTTAATGAAAAATATATGAGTTCTTTCTATATATTAATTTATTATAATTGACTGTTTTCAAATATTGATGTATCCTTTTGATTTAAATTACAACAATTAGTGTTGTATGTTTCATTAGTAGAAAAACAAACACTTTATCATGAAAATAAAGTTTCGTATCTTATCGGAATATTTAATTATATCATCATTTTATTATAAATTATATATGTAGAAATTAAAAAAATTAGATTAAAATAATAAGAAAATTGGAGGATTGGATATTTTGAATTATAAGATAAATTGGAAAGTCTATTAATTATAAATGAAAAGGAGAATAATAATTAGTAATATGTAAAATTCATTTAAATGAAAGCGATATCATTCCTCTGGAAATGGCACATCATAAATAAAATTATGAGCCATAATAAATGCAGCTTCCTTTTGATCAGCAGGTACCATATGTCCAGCATTTCTAACACTCACAAATAATAGGCCATCAATTTCCCAGAGATTACCAGCATTTTATTTGTTTGATACGAACCATGGTCTCCATTATTAAATAGTTGGTAAATCTATTATTTACATGATTAGGATTACTTAATTCTTTTTAGAGTTTTTCAATCCAATATATTGTTCCTGTTATTGGGACTACACCATCGACATCACCACTAAATTTGAGTATTTTAATTCCTTTAGCCATTATTTTCGGATACAAATGATAAGTAGCTCTGGGGTCTTTTGTGTAATTAAGAGATTGACATTTGGCCCATTAATCACTTTAAGGATGAATATTTAAATACTAAAAATTTGAGATATCTATTACTTGTCTAAATTCATCATCACGAAGATAATGATATAATCCAACAGCATCTGAACATGGGGGAATGTGTCCTTATATTATATCAAAGGGATCAAATTTATTTTTAGCATAAGGAATTCTTTCCCCTTGAGGTGTTTCCACTGGAGGTTAGTAACAAGTCCCATAAACATTATAAGGATTGTATTCATAGGTTCCATCTAAATTGGTTTCTGTCAAAATGTCTTGATATAGATCCTAACAAAACTATTCATTATTGAATTGACATTTTGCTTTGTGAATTTCTATATATTCTTCAAGTTTTTGACTAATAAAATTGTGATTAGCAAGAAATTAAAATTTGTAATATGGAAAATATTTTGCCTCTTTAGTACATTCAGCAGCATCTGTGCATCCATTTCCTATCATCATTCCTCTAATTCGAATATTAGATTAACTATTATCTATAATCTTATTCACTAATGTAGGAATGTAAGTTCCAGCATAAGATTCACCAGCTATATATAATTCATTATTTTTATATTCTGGGAATTTACGATAAAAGGCTAATAACATATAATAATTATTTTATGCTGTGACATCATCGCTTGTAGTTGTATTTCCATCATCTTTATATGAAAACCCTACACCAACAGGAGTCTCTACATAAAGCATATGAGCCTTAAATTGTATTAAAATTGTTTACAATTTTTGCCCAAGAATATTTATTTTCCTCAAAAATTGAGGTTCCTCCTATAAATACAAATGGACCATTTTCAATCATTGCTCCTGTAAGAGATGAACATCCTGGTCCACCATTTAACCATAATATTACTGGAACATCACTTTTATCATTTGGATAAAAAATGTAATGAAAATGATGATCAGGAATATCTTCAGGTTCCAAATATCCAGAATACATTGTTTTATTATAAGGAATCTTAAAGTACTCATATTGAAAAGGATCTACAAGATCAGATGGTGGACCACAAAGTATTGCACTCAGACTGATCAATATAAAAATATATTACATAATTTTAATTATTGAGAATAAATAACAAATAAAATAATTGTTAATAGTTTTAAATTAATTAATCTATATCTTTGGAGAATATATTGCAATGATAAAAAATTGCATCTTTGAATCTTTTTTCAGATTAAAAAGATTTAGTAAGACATAAAAAGTATGGCATATATTAATCTCTTGGGTATATTATATGAATTTTAAATGATTCTTGTGGATTGTGTTTTCAAAAAAGAGAAATATTATACTATAAAAAGTGATTAAAAATGGATAGTATTATTTTGATATAATTCTAGATTGATTAAATTGATTCAAAATGAGATCAAATGATATTTGTAATCATATGCAGTTCTTTTAATAATATTTTAATATATAATCTCATCTTATTAGTTATGCAGCTAAAATATTTGAGATTATTATAATAAATCATTTATCTAACAGGTATAAACATTGGTTGATTGTTTTATCTCCCCTTAGCTATACAACCACCTATTACCTTTTACATTTAATCATAAAATTTAATAAATAAATTAATTAATTAATTGAATTCATAATTATTTGAGTTTTTTATTGGGGATATCATTTTTTTATCTTCTGGTCAATCGTTATTCCCATTTTTCATATTCTAATTTGATTTTCTTAGAAAGGTAGAAGTTTTCTTTTTCATCTTCGGTCAATAGATTCAATTCTTCCAGTTTGGATTAAACTAATTTAAAAATCACCTAAATTGATCTTATATCAATGGATCATACCTCTTCTTTAATGCCTCGATAAGTGTTTCTCTCAATTTAACGGCCCCTCTAAATCGTTCTAATCTAACATCATTGGCAATCATATCCGCCATTTTGAATCCTAATTAATAAAAGTAAGGTGAATGATATTTCAGATTCACTATTTAAGGATCTGCATCTAAAGCTTTCTAAAATTCATCTTCAAAAATCTCCAAAATTTCAACTGAAACTAGTTAAATGCCATCATATTCTTATTCAGACATAATTTTTGCCATCCATAAGGGCAATTTCATAACATGTCCTCTTTACAAATTTCCATCTTCTGTATGTGCTTCCTTGTCTAGGAATGATCCCTTATACAAATCAACTTCTAATCTACATTCTACTAGGTGATCTTCACACAATATGTCTTCGATGTTATAATACATTAAATATATAAATTAAATTTAATGTTAAGAAATTGTGTACGACAATATTTCTGTTTAGATAGAATGGTTAGCTCTAAATTACACTTTGTAAAGGAGAAGGATGCAAAGACAGATTACGTCTATTATGAATAAAAAACTGTTTTCTCCAAAGAAAAGGGAAATAAGAAATATAAATTATTGGATGTCAAAGTCCCTGATATCAATGCTAAAAAGACTTAATTCTATGTTTTTGATAAAAATACTGTTCCAGTCCCAAGGTAATTTTATCACTATCCTCTAGATAAGTGTACACAGCTCCATTGAGAAAATATGTTAAATAGAAGCTCTAAAGAGATGAATTTGTTCGATACAAAAAGACCTAGACTACAATTCAAGAATAATAAGAGGAATAAGTAGATGAATTATGGGGTGAAAATCCTCCTGTTAGATATTTTGAAAGATTAGTGGCTAAGGATTTATTTTTTAATTACAGAAGCCCACGATTTGCTGAATATAACAACAGAAAAAATGATTTCCTCTCAAATCCCTCTGTTCATAGTGAAGTGAAGAATATCATCTAAGAAATTAAGTAGGCCTCGACTCTCTAACTATCAAGAAGTAATTCTGGTCTCTAATTTTAGTTTATCATCCAAATTATTTCATTGAAGACCACTATAAAAAATTGCCTGATCTTTTTACTAAGCTCAAGGAAGCAGTCAGTTAGGCAAACTTTAAGGAAATCCCTAAAATTGCTTGGATGTTACAAAATTAATTGTTATATAAGGAAGATATCTATAAGATCTGGGAAGTCATTGAAAATATTGTTAAACCATAAATACATCACTACTCTATTGATGAATTGATTTTATTGAAAAGAGGATTAGCAACAACATATCCAAAGGCTGGAAGTTATGAATTACACAACTTAATTTATAATTTAGTCTCATAAGAAAAGTTGAGTGTTGATTAAACAATTGAAGCACTTTATGCGTTTAGAACATTTAATCATGATAAATATGCTAAGGTCTTAATAGAAAATTTAATCAAATTATTACCTGAATATAAAGATAACCATTCAAAATTGGCTTAAGCTTTCTATTCAATTGCTAATAATTTGCCAAAAAAACATTTAAGAACATAGTCTTTTGATGTTACAGCAAATGATAAATATAGATTAAGTGTTATGAATGCTTTTGTTGGCCCATTAAAAGAAGGAAAATATAATATGGATGACATAACAAGGATTCTGCTAGGTATTTCTATCTTAAAAGTACCAAGTATTTTATTTCAACTTATAAAGATTTTAATGATTTAATATTTTTACTAGAAAATTAATTACAAGAACCTGATGAATATTAATTAGCTCATATTCTATATGCTCTCTCAAAAGGAAACAATGGAATACAATCAGGAACAAATGAAACTTACAAATATTTAGAATAATTTGTCTTAAAGTACTTTGACCAATATGAAAACTTAGAAAAATCGAGAGTAATAATATTTTTATTATTTACAAGATTTACTATGCATACTCAGCCATTCATTCTGAGCTTGCCCAAAACCCTATCTTCTTAAATTGGATCAAAGAGAATATGTTAAAATTTTCATTCTCAGAATTGTAAAATGTTGTCTATGGACTCATGTTTAATTAAGTAAATGATTAAGAAATATGGTCTAATTTCTTAAAAAACGTTGCAACAAAAAGTGAATATGTCCCTTTAGCTAATTATTTCGCTCTAAAATAAGCTAAGTTCTATATTACACAATTCTTTCCTCATTGGAATTTAAAACCATTTGAAGAAGCCTGCTAAAATGCTGAAAATATGTTCTTAGCTAATAGGACTGAAAGATAACATTTAGACTAACAAATTATAGATTTTTAGATTGTAATTAACTATTTAATTTATTTAGGATCTCAACACTCATTTATAATATGATTGGAAAACCTATTATAATTGGAATAACACCTACTTTTTCAATATTACACTTCCAGATCATAGAATAGCTATTACATTAAATACACCACGAACAACAATTAATGGAAAACCAAGAGCTCAATTGCAATTACAATAATAAGTAATGGCTACACAAGATTGGAAATTGTTGATTTTTGATTAGACAGAACTTTTTTCAATGAAAACTAAGGAGAGAGCTGCATTCTACAAAAAAACAATTGATGAAGCCATTGAATCATAGAAAGATAAGATGAAAGCTTGGGAAGAAGAGAGAAGAGATTAAATCTATGAATAATTATTAATCCAAGCTGAAAATGGCATAACTCCAGGAAAAAGATTCGTCAAAAGAGAAGATCTTAAAGGTCTTTCAAGATTCCCTGTTTGATAAAATGATGCAAATTTAAATCAATATTAAATAAATATATCTTTAGATAATTTAACTCATATCAAATCATCAATTAATTTTAATGTCAATAATTTTAGTTCATCTTTTAATATTTATATGACTACTCTTACTGTTAAATCATTTTTCAATCTATAAAAATACCCTATAATCTAATCGAATTTTTTATTTTGATACTTAACCTAATTAAGAAAATAGTTTAATATCTTGAATTCATTTTATAATTCAGTTTTTATAATGTCTTTAATTTCTTACATATCAATTTCAAACTTAAAATCTTTCATTATTATTTATTTATTTTTATTTATTAACTCCTCAATATATTTATCATCAATTATAAATAATATTTGATCGAAATAATTTACAATTATATTTTCTGGTTCTTAATTGAAATAAAAAATTGCATTTTTTAATTCTTTAGCCATTTTTGGGAATGTAGAATATAAAATCTGCTAAAATGAATAAAATTATCCTTTTTTATAATTATTACTGATGATTAAGTGAAGATTTTCAACAACATCCTTGACTCTCATTCCTCTTTTTGAGTAAGAGGATACTTCTTTATCAACTTTGTCAATTAATCTTTAGTTTTTACATTAATATTTTATAAAAACGGTTTCAACTTGGTGTTAAAATTATTCATGTGATTAATATATTCCTTTATCTAACAATTACTCAAAAATATCTTTCAGCAATTTGTATTTCTCATTAGATTTTTGTTTTTCGAGTTTTTTTTTCTTCAATTATTCCAGAATATCTCTTATGATATTTATTATAGTTTATTTATCAATTGTTTGAGAGTTTTGATAATCGTCTTTTTCATAAAAGGGACAATCGAATCCTACAAAATGTACTGTATAATGGAGAGTTCTTGGTAATATTGTAATTTATTGATTATTTATTACTTTTAACCAAATTCTGTCAGAACTCAAATATTTATGTTGAATATTTTATTATTCAAATTATAAGTGTTTCGCGTAGATATTTAAACACAATTAAATTTGTTATGCAATAGTAAATCTTATCAAGTCAATATCCTATTCTATTACAGATATTAAAATACTAATAGATAAAGTAGTAAACTTAATTGAATTGCCTTTGAATGGTCGATTGAATATTCAATAATCTTTAAATCGTCATTTAATGTAAAACAATTAAAACCATCCATTTCTAATATTTTTTTCATCTATTCATAAGGCATACTATATGTGTAAGTCAATTTGCTTTAATAATTAAGTCCTTTCATTTATAAAAAAATAATATGATTATAGAATTATTAAAATTTCCATATATATATTATAATTACAGATCAAAGATTTTATGAACATTTTATTTAAGTTTTAAAAGCCTTTAGTATTTATAATAAAATTAATGATGGTTCTTTTAAGATCAATTTTGATAAGCAATTATTATAGGCTTAAAAGATCTGGACTGAAATTGAATTATTGATAATATTATTTGATGCGATTGGGGCCTTCACAAAATTATAAAATTAAATAAAGCTTAGTGAGCATTTTATAAAAATTCTTTTTCACCTTTAGGAGAATCTTTAAAGCCAGATTATTACAAAAATTAAATTTGACTGTATAAATATAGTAAATAATAAGCGTAGTATTTAGGATGATTTATATATAATTTTATTTAAGAAGGGAGATGAATTCATATATATTGTATTTTTTAATTGAATTATTAACTTTAATGAATCCCAATTGAGATATAGTCGCACACTGTGTTTCCAGACCTTTGAAGCAAAAATTTTCATAATATCGTTAGTCATGTGAGGGTGGTTTAATAACAGTTAACAATCTTTAAGAAATAATCAAATATTAAAATGAATTATTTAAAAAAAATTGAAAATCTAAAACAGAACACTTTTTTACATGAAGTCTTAGTTTCTTTATCATACAGAGTGTCCCACATATATTTTTATTTTCCTTATTATTGATATTGGTTGAATTTTATCATTCACTTACAATATCGGAAAGTGATTATCAGCATCATCACTCTATGTAATTATCATCAGATTTGAATTTTAAGCATTGCAAACAAAAATTTACTTAATTTCTGAGAAAAGGAATAAGCAATTTGCATTTCAAATTTTAAATGAATTATTTTCATCGAAATTCAATAAATTTAAACAGAGATTACACTTTTATAGAAAAATTGCAATAAATTTTAATTGAAATTTTGTGCATTTGAACAAATACAAGAAATAATTGGATTTACAGAAATAAATTAAGAATGCAGAAGATATTTTCTTGATTTTAAAGAATGCAAGAAGGTGTCAGTAGAAAATAATTTCATTTGAAATAGAGATGTTTATCCTTTTCTTAGACACTAACTCTAATCCTTCATACCATATATGCTATCGGCTTTTATGCTTGCTCATTTCTATATTTTTTTAATTAATTTTTATCACAATTCTTACGGATTAATATATGACATTAATTATTAAAATTAATTATTAATTTAATTGAAATTTTAATAACGATTTTAGAATATATAGATATTACATTTATTCTATCCTTCTTTATTAGAATCTCGCATATTCCTTATCAATTTTTTTAAGAATTTTAAAGATTGTCTAGTAATTATTACTAGTTATTATTGTTTTATGTTCACACAGTATTCTCCAGAGCCTGAAATATGAATAAGACCATACACCAGGATTTGATTTGGGAAACAGTTATTTAATAGAAATATTTACACCTAATTGATGTATTAGTTATTCAATAATCTTATTTTATAATCAAATGGAATCAATTAAACTTTCTCATAAGTTTTTAATATGTGAAAAATTGTTTGGGTTTTTTACTCCCTTATAAATCTATGATCTATATCTCATATGCCAATTATGCTACACGATCTTAGAGTTAAAAATATAGTTTATTGCGTATTTCTTTATAAATATCCGACTAATATATATAATATAAGAATTTACCTGATTATTCTGAATGCCTTTCTAAACTCCTCCTCTTCAGGGTCATCAGAGTGTTGTAAAAGGCTACTGAAGATCCTTATGTTTAACAGTTATTTTTTGTAGACAGTAATCTTTTCCAAGAATTTTATCACCTTCAACTAGTCTTTAAGAATTTCCAAACAAAGATTTTGATTCTTACAGGCAAAAGTTATGATACTTTTGCAGTAATTCTTTGGTATGTTCTTCGTATCCTTCTGGTCTTGTAGGACGTTCACTTCCCGCTTCTTATGGATAGGAAGTTTAATTGTTGGAGTAGGTGAGTTGACTGGAGGAGGACAACAGTATTGGACAGGCCCAAAGTTGGGATAGTATGAAAGCTCATTTGACATTCTTAATTCTAGTTTTTCAGTCCCCAAATGAACCTAAGAATATTAACTACTAAGTACCATAAATTCATTCATAGAGAGTTGTAATACAAAAGGGTACTTTGGTTAATTATGGTTTTTGTTTTAAGCTTATTATAACTTGTTTAAGGCTCTCATGAATTTATGAATAACAGCCCATTGTTTTTAAATTGATATCAAATTTTCGCTTGTCTAATCTAATAGAAGATACTTATAAATTGTACAGTAAGGAATTGGTCTTGATATGCTGACTGAAGCTGGGTTTGTTCGTTCCTCTTGCTTAATACCATATATTTTCATTTCGATATAAAAAAAACAAATCTTAGATTATTATATGAACTAATCCAATAATCATACTTTTAATTAAAAGTCTCTTTGATATTAAGTGATCAATTCACCTACTCAACGATCAATTATTTTTAGATTTACTTGTTTCTAGTATCAATTTATGCTGTTTTATGTCGGCTTTCTCAACTTCATAATAGAACATGAGTTAAATATTATAAGCATTACATTATAAAATGCACATGTTGAAATAATCTAGAATTTAAATTCTGATATTATGATACATAGAACTATTTAAAAATTGACACCAGGGCTTTTTCATTATAATATATATTCTAGAGCAAAATAAACAATTGTTCATTTTTCGCAATAATTGATGTAGCTTAGTCAATTTGACCTATTCAACACCGGGAATTTCTTGCGCTATATTTACAGTTGATTTCGCTAATATAAAATTAAAAAAAATAGATTTTTATATTTAATTATCATTAGTATACTAATTAAAATTAATATTAAAATAATATTTAAGGTAAATTTATAAAAAATATATGCAAGTGAATAAACTAATACTATTTTTCTAACTATTCAAGTCTATTCGAAATCTATCATATCACTTAAAACCAATATTGTTGTAATTCAAGCTATTTTACAAAATCGAATGTCTTTATTAATGATGAAATAATAATTCACAAGTATGATAAAATAAATATAAACATTATTTTTAAAGAATAATATTTAATTTAAGTTGTTGAGTAATTTTAGATATCTTGAGTTCAAACATACCTATATTAAGCATCTAATTTCTATAAAAATCATCTAATTATTCAAGCTTCCCTTTACCTTTTAAAAGCTCTTGATTTAGATTCATAATAAAAATTGTTCATAACTAATAAATGTTTTTAATTTATAATAATATATTTAATGAATTATGTTCTATAAATAAAATTGAAAATCAAGTTCAATTTTAATTATTGCCAATTTTTCTATCAATAATAAAAAAAAAAAATTTGTAAATAAATCTGATATAAGTGAGGGAAAGTAAAATTATATATGGAAGAAGGTTGGTTTCTTTGAAAAAGGCTTCCAACATTCTAATAGAAATAAAGAATTTTAATTAAATTTAGAAAGAAAACAAAAAATTTAATTTATAAACATTCAATCAGCAGGCTTACAAGAGAAGGACATTCCTTTTTAAGATTCTCCTTATTGCTTTAATTAATATTATTATATTCGATAATTAAATTTATTGTTTTTAAATGACATAAGATTTTATCTATCAATTTAGTAGAGATAGAGTATTCAAGTGATATACCGTTTCGAAAAAGTTCAAAATCCTTGACCTTGCATTTTACAGGTTTGTCAAGACAGAAAAAAGATACAATATTAAATTATAATAATTCATTCTGGATATAAGTCAAATAGTTGTAAGTGTCTTAAAAGAGTTGAACATAAAGCGTGCTATTCGAATAGATCCAATTCATATTTAATTATTCTATTGCTTTTACAACAAAGAATTTAATAAAGAAATTTAAACCTCTCTGTCTACTGCTGATATTTATAATATAAGATATAGAACGTGATTTAATGATTAGTAAAATGAATTAGAGGTACTGATTTTATATTTTATAGGAAGTTGAGATTTGCCATAGTTTAGAATAAGATTATAATTAAATGTAGTTAAAAAAATAATATCATATGAGATCATAAAATAGCAAAATTGTCACTTTTAATAAAATAAAATTGAATTAGAGTTGGTTACTTTATGAAATTTAAGATTACAATGCATTATGAATAGTATATATATAGTCAAACTTCAACAGTTGCGTGCCTTTATTGCAATGTGATGATACCAGTGATGATATGTTGAATGTCGACACCTTTTGGATTAAAAATTTTACAAAAAATTTATAATAATATATTAAAATGAATATTTGCCCTATCCGATATACTCCATATTTGAATAATTCAAAAAGAAGACAAAGGATGGCTGATCCCAATAGAGCAAAAAGCTCTCAAGGGATGAGATTAAATTCTTCAAGTCAAAACAGATGCTCGACATAATAAAGTCCTAACCGAACTCCTAGTTAAGGAGAATTGCAACAATTAGAAGTATGATGAGATTTGTTTTGAATGATAGATTTAACATCAGGTTGGACCAATTGCACAGGTAATAGTTAATTGAGTGTGTGTCTAGAATTACTAATAATTGTTTCTGTCAACCCAGATCAGGAGAAGTCCATCGTTTCGATTGAAGAATTATCATGCAGCCGAAATCACATCGAGTACACAATCAAATTCATACTAAAAAAGACAAAATTTTATTGTAAGTGGAAAGTATTGAATATACTAAATATAGTTAAAGCAAGGAAGAGAGAATAAATAGAATAAATTTCTTAGGTGATTTATTACATTAAATGGAGTAAAATGGATAATAAACAAAGCAATCTCTGTCTACTGAAATGACCACAGTGCCTAAACCGAAATTTGAAATTCTGAATGCAAGAACATTAACTGAATATGAATAAAACATAGAAGAATTGCACTTTTATCTTGTAGACTCCTAATAAAGAACAAAATAGTATGCTCAAGTAATTGAAAAGCAAAAATCAATAATTGAATATAATTGAATAACTAATATATTATGTATGCTTAAAATCATTTAGGCATTCCAGGAGGAGGTGGAGGTGGGACAGGGAGCTATTAAGGGAACGGCTTGTAACCTTCTTGTAAGGGTTGGATTTAAATGGAGGGAGGAGGAGGTAAAGGAATTCTCAATTCCGTTGGCATATATCCAACAAAGCCCAAGAGTGCTTTTTGTGCCAAAGGTCTGTTGGCAGCTAATAATCTCTCTGCCTAACTTCCATGTCTTTCTCCCTTAGCATCCTTTTTGAAAGCATATTCAACACGAATAATTTTGGTTCCCAAAAATTGTCCATTCATGGCTGTCAAAGCACCATCACTAGATTCAAAATTATCATAACTAACAAAACCGTAGCCTTTGGATACTCCAGTCTCAGGATTCCTCATAATCTATTATAATTGAGAATTCGATACCTTAGTTGATAAGATATGCCCAAAAGCAGAGAATGTTTCATAGAGTGTTTTCTCATCTATCTCAGTGTCTAGATTTCCTATAAACAGATTGGCACCAACTTCTTAGGTCCTTTTATCTTGTGATGCTTTATTGACCTTAATGGGTTTTCCGTATAATTTTATCATATGCATAATTTTGATGGCATAATCGGCATCTTCTTCGCTCTTAAATTCCACAAAACCATAACCTTAATGTTCTCCAGATATTTTATCTTTTGGAATATGAACATTAACTACAGGTCCACATTGAATGAACAGTTCCCACACTATGTCATCAGTGACTTTCTGATCTAAGTTACCAATGTATATCGTAGCCTCTTAATTTCTTTCATATAAAGGAGGCACTACTCCTGCCAACGCCAAGGACATCTTTTAAATGTATTTTAATTATATTATTGGAATATTTATATTGAAATTTTGTATTAATTAGAAGTTAGAAGTTTTTACTATTCATAGTTTCATTATATTCCCTTAAATACAACGGCATTTTGTTTCATTAAAGTACTATAAACCCAATAAACAAATTTGATTGCTTCATAAATAAAATTTATTTGCAATTGTATGAGTGATTTCTAAACCAAACAATATGTAACACAGTCTTCTCAAAGACAATATACTTCAGGCTTCAAGGATAATGTCAGAAGCATCACTTAAGATAGAGTTGAATAAGTAATCACTCGAGAAACACCAAAAGTATAAGTAAAATTATCTGTTATTTCAAGACAACCACTATGGAAGTGGAATAAAGAAGTGCTACAAAACTCCCTAGAATGTAATCACAACAAGTATTGAGAACTTAAACCCAAGGTTTTGTTGGAGGATAAAGTTATATTTCAAATATGGCTGCCATCCCTTAAATTGGGTATTAAGGCAACTATTCTGTACAATAAAATTGCGTTGCTGCTCAACCACTGTGCATGAATGTCATTGTAGTTTCAAAAGAGGAAATTGAAGCTCCCTGGAGATTGGAATGCGAATATCTCTAATCGGTAATTGCTGAATTGGAAAAGAGAAAAGAGGTCTAAGTAGTTGAAAAAGTAGTTGAAAAAGAAAAAGTAGTCGTTGACAACTCATAAGTACAATTCTTGGAATCATAATTACGACAACTAAGATCAGAAAATGATTAACTATAGCTGCAACTCTAATCAATGAGAGGAGAAATTTAATTGAGAAGCTCTTAAACTGAAGATCTAGCTGCTAAAGAAAGAGAGTTTTTCAATCTTAGACTCAGATTTGAAAGCCAAATAAAAGATCTTGAAGATCAAATTAGAAGATTATAAGATGAAAATGGTAGATTGAGGAAAGAAAATAATGATTTACTTCTCAAATTAAGAGATTATGAGGTATCTACATATACGCTATTAAAAAAAGAATAAAATTGCTATGCTGTCATCAGAAATCGAAAGACTTGCTTATTCCATCAAAATTAAAGATGGAGATCTTGAAGATTTGAGATTCAGATATGAGCAATTAGAATCATAAGGCCAAACTGTTATCCAAGAAAAAGTGACATACTTATCATCTGAAGTGGAAGTTTGGAAATAGAAGTTCATCAAGGTCAATCATGATTATAATGAATGCTAAGAAGAATTAACCATGTGTCAAGCTGAATTAGAAGCCCTTAGGAAAGGATAAAAGAAGGTAATTATTTTACTATAGTTTAATAGGAAGTTGTTGTATCAACCTCAAAAGTAGTAACTCGGACAGGTGGAACTACTACAACATCTTCAATGGGATAAACAAGAGGAAGTAGAACTTATGAGTAATTTTAACCATGAAAAAATAAATATACAAATTATATTCAGAAAAATATCAATTATTAATTTATATACGCATAAGTAAATTTTATATTCAATATGAAATATTTATTACTCCAAGATATATCAAACTAGATATTTATAATCTTATTTGATATCCTATTGTATAATTAATGATCCAATGAATAGAAATTATCCAAAAAATTGAATGTAAGGAATAGAATTCCTTCTAATAAAATGTAATTATTAATCTGAATGTGATTATACATTAGAATTGGGTGATTTAACATTTAAATATATTATTAAATATTATAGTTTTTGTGTTTGATCATTATGAAAAAGCTTAGAAAAATGATTTACGATGAAGAATATAAAAGATTTTATGAAAGAGAAAATTTATTAATAGAATCACTTGGATATTCCATATTTGATAATTTGAATTAAGAGATAATTAATGAAATTCCAGCTGACAGTTGTTTGTGGTACTAAAATTTGATATCTATATTTAAAGGAAAATTCTATAACAAATAGAATTCATTTATATGCATAAAAGACTTGAAATGAATGGATAATAAAATGGTTAATAATATGGGAACATTAGAGTTAAAGACTTCATAACTTGTTGTTTGGGCCAAATAATATACTTACATACATAAATCGTTGAAGCAAAAATGAGTTCAGAAATTATGACTCACATGATTAAAACTTTAAAATAGTAAATCAAAATCTTACAAGAACATTAATAATAAAATTGCGATTAAACAAATAAACTTACTATCAACTACTCACATTACGGAAGTTAGAAGTTTAAAGCCTTCGAAAATTATATAATTAAATGCAAAGTAGGACTAAATTAATAAGAATAATAATCAATTCATTCATATGGAGAAGATAAAATTTGCTCGTTGGTGATTTAGCCAGAGGTCGAAAATATTTTAACTTTTAGAATATTAGGTAAAGATATTGATAATGGAAATAAATTTGAGATTTTAAAAACAAAAAAATTAAATTTGGATGATATTCTAGCAAAATTTGATTTACTGTCATTTTCAAAGAAACACATAAAACATCAAATAATCTGTTTTAATATAAAACTAAATAAAATATAAATTCCAAATTTAGAATTGAGATTTTAATTGCAATTGCCTTATCAATAGAGAATTGTACTAATTGAGGGAATGTTGGAGAGATAAAGAGCACTTCTAGATAAATATAATGAAGTAATTGAATAGAGTAGTTATTTAATTAAATAAATACTTGTACCATTTCATGATGTTATTTATGTTTAAGGACAAGGTATAAAACGTAGAAACAGGGAATCATGTTCTTCATGCATTGTATTTTGATATTATTTTATTGATAAATTTCTATTCTTATGAAATGGACAAATTAATTAAAGTAAAATTCAGTGTTTTTAATGCAGCAGGATATTTATAAATTGCTATTCCGTAATTTCTCCTTATGCACCACATTCTATTAAAATTTGTTACCAGATATCATCCTCTACTGTTCCTATCATCATTTCAAGTTCGTTTTTTGATATTTTCCCATCCTCATTTGCATCAAAAATTTTGAAGGCAGCTTTGACTTTTTCTAATGAAACTAACTTCTCTTAGTTCATAGCAGCCATCAAAAATTCTGAAAATAATAAGATAAAATAAATTACCAGAAAAATCTACTTGCCCACTTTGATTTATATCTACAATTGATAGAATTTTATCAACTTCTAATATAGCTTATTGTTTATTTTTAAAAACAGAAGTATATCCTTCTATCAATTCATCTCTTGATAGAATTCCATCTCCATTTTTATCTAAAAATTAAAATGATTTGGCTAATTCATCTTATTCCTATTAAGAAGTCATTTGACAAGCTATGTATGCAAGCACTGCTTAAGTAAAGACAGATTAAGCCTAAATTAATCTAATGTGTACTTGGAACTTTTATAAATTTTGTAATGCTGTTTTATTCACTTTAGTACTTTACTAGTTCTTTTTGATCCATGGATCCGATAAAGCCTCTTAAGCTGAGTATCTCTTATTGGGATCTACTTGTAACATATTTCTTATGAGATCTTTAACTTCTGTGGATATCATTTCCCAATCTTCCTCTATTCTAATTTCGAAAATGAAATCTTACACTCAAATATTAATTCGCCCTCGCATACCTTTTGCATTATTTCTTCCTCTGTTTTACCAGTAAAGGGAGGATATCCACATAACAAAATGTATAATATTATCCCACAAGACCAGACATCGCATTTTTCATTATATTCTTACTTTAACACCTCTGGTGCTATATAATATGCCTAAAGTTATTGATGATTTTAAATACTGTTCCTAATTTCTTGGTCATTTTTTAGTTTTACTCATATTTTCTTGAAGTTCCAAAATCAATAATTTTGATAGGAGACAATTAAGAATCATTAACAAAAAGCACGTTCTCTGGTTTAAGATCTCTATGAACTATGCTCCTTTGATGACAATAGACGACTGCTGATAAGATTTGTCTCATCAATTCAGCTGCTTTTCTTTCACTAAAATAATTGAATTCTTTTATTCTATCAAACAATTCCCCTCCCGATAAATATTCTGTTATCAGATAATAGTTATGTTGATCTTAATATAACTCATATAGTTTCACTATATGTGGATGATCTAAATTTTTTAAAATGTTCATTTCTGCAAATAACCTTTATTACTCTTCAATTATTATTGATTTCTTTTTCAGTTCTTTCATCGCTCTTATCATGCCTAAATCAATCTATTAGAAAAGTACCTGTATTTTTATGTGTCACCTTCCAAACCTTTCCATATGCTCCTTGTCCTAAGATTTCCCCAGTTTCATAATATTTGTGGATGCTACCGGATTTTAGATTGATAAACACTTCTGCTCCCAACTTTACAGAACCAACTGATGAGTTTGTTATTTTTCTCTGAAATTTACTTCTTGGAATTGCTATTTCGATAAATCTATAATACTATCATACTTGATTCTATCTGGCTTTCTTGTTTCTGCAACAATTTATTCTAACAAGGTATTTAATCTTGCATTTATCTTAAATCTAAGGATCCAGAACCAAGAACTTCAAAATCCTAGTAGTTTTCTTTTTGATAATTAATTATTTCTTCATCACTTTTTTAATCCTTCTTAATTACAGATCTTTTAGTTTGAGTATGCACACTTCCTCTTAACTTTTGACTGTCTATATCTATTTCATAAACAGTTAATTTAGTTGGTAAAGTGCAGCATTAAGCTCCCATTTATTTTAATTATTTCATTTGTAAATTCAATTCATTGAAAAATAAATATCATTTTTACATATTTTTTATGGATCCATCAGAAAAACAACACAGATTTAAATTTTAATTCTGTTTTAATTAATATATCGATTAGAGAAAAAAGATAAATTTAACAGAAAATGAAGTTAATTAGATTTACAAAAAGAATTGCTTCTTTCAAAACAAAAGATTTGATTATTCATGATCATTTATACAATAGATAAAATGGTTGAACAAAAATTATATCTGTGTTGATAAATATTCCATTATCAGCAAACAAATTCATAGGTTGCATTTATTATTATTTAATAATCACACCTATCGATTAATCTCAAATTTAAATGTAAGATCAGGATTAAAATTATAATTGTAGATATCGATGCTTTTATACATATAAAAATAGTGAACAAAAGAAATAAGAATGAATGATCATAAAAATAAGTATAGTTTATCGGATATTTTACTCAAATATTATTAAATCATAAGAATCTTCTTCCTGGCGTTATCTATTTTTAAGATGGCGATAAACTTGAACATAACATAATTTCAACATTTTAGGTTTATTAAATATTTACATTTGTCTAAACTCTTTTAAATACATGTATTTTGATTATTTTAAAATACTTTTACACTCTTGCCTTTCTTTTGCTACTCAATTCAAACAATTTTGAACTTTGTAGATTTTATAAATTTAAACATCTAACTATCTTAGTCTTTATATAATCAATTATTAATTCGTATTTTGAACTAAATACTTGAATGAACTTGAAAATTGATTTAACTATCAATATTATGAATGACATTAGAATTAAAAGCTAACATATAATATTCAGCCATAAATTAAATTCTTAAATTTCATATTACAAAATGCACAAAAGGAATGACCATATACATATTTAAATTGCCTATGATTCAAATTAATTTAGCTTGCCTACATTATATGGTTTACTCAAGCTAAATATGATTTGGTAAGCAAAAAGTAGTCCAATCAACATTATACCCTTAATTACAATAAAATCCTACAGTAACACTATGATAAGTATTAATAGCTATCTGTACATCAATTTTACTGATTCCCAATAATAATGAGTGTTAGAATACTCATTAAAAAGATATCCATATTTTTATTTAATTTTGTAATTGCTTAGGTTAGATTTGTTTTAAGATAGCTTTATAAATAAGAACAAAGGTATAATTAGTCCGAACATAATTAATAAAGGCAAAATGAGTGCAAAAAGTACTTTCTAATGAGTGGTTGTCCAAAATCGATATGAAAGATTTGCTGATATCCATTCTACGTTGCTTATCGTTTTTGGAGCTATTAATTCAGCTAACCTAATTTATGATTTTAATTTGTTACAATTTTATTAAATTAATTTGTCCTGATAAATATAAGTAAAAGAATGATGAATAGACAGTCTCCAAAGAAAAAAATCTTGGTCTTGATAATTTTATGAAGTACGATAATAAAAGATAAAGGACGTACTACAAAAATTAAACCTATAAGATCCAAATCAAATTCAAATATATTATATCCAAATATTCAATCTTGGATATGTAACAATCAAAATTATAAGTGGTTGAATATGTAGAACTACCTATAAATTAAAATAGACTATCTAAATTTGAGATGAATTCAACTTTAAATGTATAGACTACCATTATAATCTGAAAATAATTACTGATTAGTTTAATCACTGAACTTGATTAATCTAAGTTTCATAAATATATTATACCTTAAGAAAGCCTTACTAAAATATCATAAAATTTTGTTTGAGATTTACTCAAAAGAAACTTTTGATTTTATAATTAAGTGCCTTTAACAGCTAGGACTATTTACAAAAAAGCCCAGAAAAACGCTAATAGGAATTCAACAATCAAGAAACCAGAATTTGAACACTAGGAACATTTATAATCTCTACTTTTTGAGAATTGGCCCTAACCCCTAACATTATAAATATCACATGCTTCACATAAAGCTCCAATGTGACCTATGATGCATGTTACGTCTCCTGTTTCCCACCCTCCTAAACAATTTGATGGATTGTTAGAACAGTATTCTCCAATAGGAGTTAAAATATTCAATCTCCAAAATCCTTCATAAAGATTTAATAAATTTTCTGTATGATTTTGTATAGTATTTGGATTTGCCTTAATGCATTCTCCATTTAATGGATTAACACTGTAATACCCTCGAGATGCATTGCATTTTAAACATTAATCTTCATAGAAAAACTCTCCCATTTGACATTTATAAGTTTTTGCAAATAATTCATAATAGTTATTATTTTCAATGTTATCGCATGATATTTTGATCTTTAATAAGTCCCCAGAATACGGATTCAATACAAATGTATTGTTTTCTAAATTTAATTCGCTCCTTTCTGTATTAAATTCTGCAGTGAACATAGCAATGTTATCATGTAAAACATTGAACTCCTTATCGATCAAACTACTTGTAATGTTGCATTTTATAGAATAATTATTTATGATTTATTTTTCTTTGAAACTATTTAAAATTATAAATTTAAGTGAAAACTCTAAACTTTAATATCTGAGAACTTTTTTGTCAAAAATTTAATATTGTTTTAGTGCCTACCCACTTGGCAAATAGACTAAATATTATTCAGAATTTCCCTAATCTTTAAATGTAGATATTTATGAATAATTTGCAATGACTTAATTCTTCAAAACTGATTGACTCAAACTTAAGGAGTAAAATTCAATACCAAATGTATTTATTGCATATTTAGCCACATTATTCAAAAATAATGAACTAGAAGTCAAAACTTGTCTATCCTATATTGATATATTTGAACAATAAATTGCACCTACCAAAGGAGCACTATTATTGATAAAGTAGGATGATTAAATTTTTAGAGGACTGTTTTGTAAATATATTGCTCCTGCCATTTCCATAGCCATATTATTCATAAAATACGATTATTTAATCAAATAGGTTTGATTATTAAGAGTAAGTTAACCATACTTTGAATTATGATTGTTCATCATATATATCTATTTTAAAATTAGTTCAAGCATTTGATATTTATCATTGGATCTTATTCTTAAACATGTAGATAGAGTACATTTATTGTTTAATAGATAAAATAATTCAAATTTAGATTTCACCTATGTTTGGTAATAAATATCAATTAAAGCCATCGAAAAAGAATTCTTGTGAAAATTAAGGATAATGGCATTACAGAATCTAAAATTTCTAAAAGTATCTAATAATCTTATCTAGATTATGCTCTCAACATCCTAATAGACTTTTGATAATTAATTTATCAAGCAATTGTTAATTTTGAGAGCAATAGATTTTTCACTAAGATTCGGTAAATGGATTATTTCATATTTATAAGATAAATTACATGATTTTGCATAAAAGGCTTCAGGAATTGTAACTTTAATTTGTCTTGCCTGGAATGATTTGATAAATAAATCTTTGTCTTAAAAACCTTTATAATTAGTTATTCTCTTACTTTTAATAGATTCAAATTCTATAATTGTATTACTTGTCTATTCCCCAACCTCTAAATAGAAATTCATGATGTGTAGATTTTGCATATTTTATAAGTAGAAAATAGGTTAGGTAATAATTTCGAATGATAGATTGATATTGATAAATTATATTTGGCTAAATTTAATAAACAGATATATACCAGTAATCGAAATATAAATATCCATTCTTTATTTTTATATATTCGAGTTCATTGTCTTTTAATTCATCATAATTGCTTGTTATATACTCCATCTGGGTGTATTCTAATTGTATATCTATGTTTTTTAGAGTAACAACATTCTCGATTGTCTACAATGAAAATTCAACACTCATAAAACCTCTAAACATTGAAAAAACACCAGTGGCTTTTATATTTTCGAGCATCAAGAGATTTGAACTATCTGATGGAATTAAATATAAAAATCCACCGTCATAAAGGGAAAAGGAGTAAGAGATGGTTATATTGATCATTTTAAGTATTAAATTTGCGTCTTTTGCATTTATATAAAAAGATCCTCCTTTGCTTTCTTATGCCTATATAGATTTACTATTGTGTATATAAGTGTTTTATATCAATAACCCACAATCTAATATCAATTCAATTTTACAAAACCCTCCCAGCAAAGCAACAGAATTTTCGTTAATAACGTCATATAAAGTTAATTTCTGGCATAAAATATTGAAAACACTTCCTTCTGATTTAATTGGAAATAACTATTATAGGGATGAAATAGATATCTTTGTGTATTCTTAGTTAAAGTGATTGTATATTAATTCAGTAAAGTAATTTGATTCAATATTAGTAAAATTTTTAATTGAAATCTATTTTAATTCTAAATAGATTAAAGCACTAGTGCTATTAGTGATAATATTACTTTTTAAATAGCTGTTTAATAGTTCTAGAGTACTTTAAGCAGCAACGATAGAAATTATTGTTAATTGTTCAGATACCTTTCTTAATCTCTCATAATTATTACCAAATACATTAGTAATTGTAAATTACGTAAATTAGATCATTGATTATTTTGAAATTGAAATATCAATCATAGTAGTTTATGCAGTGCCTTATAATTATAGGAGTATAATGTCTTTAAAGATTAGATTATCTATGTTTATAGTAATTTAATTTTGAACATCTTTTATATTAATAAAGTTGTTATTGCAAATCATTACATTTTAGATTTGAAGGTCTTAAATCATTAATGAAGTGAGGTTATAAACATTTAAAAATTGCAAACGTAGGGGACAATCAGAAAACTCTGCTTCATGATTAATTCTGAAATCATTGCTGTCACCTTATATGAGAATGTTGTATAATTCTATTTTATTTGAATTTAGAATATCAAGTTAAATTTAATTAGATTTAAAATTATAACTCCAGTAATTTTTAATAATTAGCATATCTGCTTGAACTAAAAATAAATTAGATGATTAGTTTTTATCGTTTTTAAGCTATCTTATATCTCTTACTTCTATATTCTAAATCTAAACGAATCTTATTATACTTTAGGGTAAACTCAATAATGATGAATCCATTTCTAATTGTGATAATTCCAATTAATTGATAATTAGAAACTCTTTCTGATATGCAGCTGAAAGTTGTTATATAAAATATATAAATTGACTATTTTTTATAGTTGTATTTTGAATTTAAGTAGAATAGATCTCAAATTTAAGATCTGCTACAAAAAAGTTTGAATTTTTAATTTAATTATCCATAATCGTTAATAACATTAATCTAGTTTATGTTGCTGTATAATTAGAAAAGATAGAACTTGAAGTAAAGTTGCTGAGTCTAATGGTAAAATCTTCAATTAACAATGATTATAAATAAAGGCACAACTAATTGTCCTAAAATTACAAAAAGTAAGAATTTATAAAACTACAGTTTATAAATTCAACATGCGTTATAGAAATTGTATTCTAATCAAATATATATACCAATTATGTAATTGAAAAAATGCTTGAGTTTATTAATTTGCAATTTATAAGTTTAAGATTTACTAAATTGATTTTAATACGAGTAGATAAACTAAAAATAGACAGTTTAAATAAATCAAAGTTTTATAAATCAATATTGATAAGGGTCAAATTATTTATTGATAGACTAGTAATATTAAGAAGATGGAATATCTATTTTTAGAAATTTACAGAATGAGTTTAATTTAATATTAAATTATTGATGTAAATATCCGATCCATACTTTGAGGTGGTCTTAATTAATTCGTCCTTATTTAATTCTTAAATTGTAATAGTGAGGTTATTTAAATTAATGATCTGATAATCAATAAATTAGAGAGATTCAAGTTTGATTTTTTATGAGTAATCTTATAAAACTGTTATTGATTATATAATATGATTTTCTTAAGATTCTGAAATCTATTACGATTATCTTTTGTAATAATATATCCCATAGGTATTGTTCAATATATATATGAAATTCATTCTTTAAAAAACCTACTATTTGAAAACATCTGAATATTGATCTTTCCAAAATAGATTTTGAACTGTTAATTAGTTTGAATATCTAACATAATTATTTATTTTGATTTTCACTCTACTTGAAAGTTAATCGATATAATTAGTTGAAAAATCAGTTAAGAAACACTTTAATTGTGTACTATCTACTATAGATGGAAGACATATTTTGCATTGATAAGAACATAAATAACATGTCCCCTAACTTAGAGTAGCGGTATATGTATCATCTGAGTTACATTTTACACAAGCATTATCGAAATATTTGCTGCAATAAGTGACAATCTTATCTTCAATGCATTTTTTCGACCATTTGGTACTTTAATAACATATACCTATTTCAGCTACATAGGCATAATAAGGAGGATAAAAGAGCACTTATCCATTCGAGATAGCTAAAAGCAAAGGTTATAATTATTAGATCGTAAAATCATATTGATTCGAGTATGTCAATTTACATTCCTGGAAATTGTCATCGCAAGACTCACAATATCCATAAGAATTCTGAAAAAAGCCCTTGAAACAAGTTGTACAATAAAGTTTATTGGTGTTTGATTTAACGCAATTTTAACAGGATTTCAAATATTTAAAGCAATCTGAAATTTCAATACCGTCATCAAAATTCTATGTTAATGTTGTCAAACAAAGTGGTTAATTATTTTGATCAATTAGATAATTGTCACAAGATTGAGAAATTTGTAATTTTAATTAACAAACATTTAAAACAAAATTGTAAATGTAATTGTCCTCACATAAAGCACATCCGATTAGATAATCCTCATTAGTAATGATTTACTCATAATTGGTATATGTGAGAGTTGAAACAAATATCCCATCAGATTATTAAAAATATTGAAAGCAAAGTTTACAATTTTGAATAGAGCATTCAACACAATCTTTGTTATTCAAAAGCAAAACATCGTTATCATTAATGCACCTTTAACAACGATTAGTGGGACTACAACATTTACACTAGCCATTACAAGACTATCCTGAGCAACGGTCATCTTTTAAATTGTATTAAGGATGTTTACAGGATTGGGTCTAACTATCATATCCAAATGTACATTCCACATAAGTTTCTTTGCCTAAATGCTGTTCTTTAATGAAATAGCACCTATAAGATATAGAAGAATGCAGACAAAATTAAATGCAAAAGTTGCACATTCTTAGTTCATGATCGATAAATAGATACAAGGAGGATATTGAAGTATCATCAAATTCATAGTTATATTCCTCTTTATCATAATCATATATTATTCTGCTGAGCATATACTCCGAACAAATAGAATTTTAAATCCAATTCTACCAATTGTCCAGACATTCAAGACAAATTAAATCTCCTTGTTGAGAAGCTGATGGACTCGTCTATATAATAAATAAATTTACCATTAATAGCAATCACCTTCATATAAGAAATATCCGTATGAACAAATTATATTCGGTTCAACCTAATCAAAATTGTAGTTTTTAGAATCTTCAATTTAATCTACATTTATTTAATTAATATCAGAAATGGAGAAACATTATGTTGAATTTTACTCTATAGTCCAAATTTAACAAGTGCAAGTATGATTATCAGGATCGTAGTTCCTATATGAGTTCTCTGGACAACTTAAACAACTGTTCTTCAAAGGTCCATTGCAAGTAGCACATGAAAAATGGCATTGATATGTATCAATGAATTCTTCTTGGCAATTTTTAAATTTGAACTGATTCACTTGTCCAGCATATAGTTATTAATTCATGCTCTCTCCAAATATCAATGAAAATTAGGAATACGAAAATTGTCTTACAGTTTTATCCTTAAAATTAATTCTTCTCTGTTAATTAGGATAGTATATTTGTATAAACAACTCGTTAAATTAATATTGGATGATTATATAATGCCATTAATAAATTAGAGCTGGATCTATCTCCTCAATTTATTATACTTTGATTAATGATTGAATGTAATCTGGATCGTAAAATATGTATGGAAATTCATATGAATAATATTGAACAGTAACCAAAATCTATTTATTATGTTACTATTCGTAATTAATCATCAGAGTATTAGTCCCTAAAGAATATTGAGGATTAAGTTAAATTTAAGTGCTTATGTGTATTAGAGATACGATATCATTAGAATCTAAGGGTGTTGAAAATCTATGCCAAAAGTATATGGAATAATCCTTGGAAACAATGAATGGTAATATATATTGCCAAGTATTTTCCTAATCATAATCCTTTGAATCAAATTCAGCTTTTTCTTCAGCATAAGAACATATTTCAACTGCATACAAGTAATTCAAGTAAAAATAAATATTGCCTTCAGAGTCTTCCCAAAATGGATATAACAAGCCCTAGAAGCTGCTTAACTCTAAATTTTAGTTTGCGCCACCAAATACAAACTTAACATTGTTCTGCTCCAAATTAATTTTATTCAAATTCATATATTAGATATCATTTTTAGTTTAAATTATAAATTGAAGATTTTATTGTTCAGCATCATAGTAAAATGATGTGCAAATGAGTTAGCCTTCAAATAATTAAGTATCAAATGAAACTGAAAACTATTACTCTTATATGGTTTGTTATTAAACTAATATTAATGTATGAGTTATCTCATTGGCTTGGATATTGAGTTTGCAATATGCAACAATGAATATATCGTTATTGAAATAGGTGGAAAATAGAAATTGCTTATCTACTGATTGAGCTAAGCTATTAATAAAATTTGTTTATAATGACAATGGCACGTAAAAGCTCACAATTCCGTAATACTAGTTAGATAGGATATCAATATATTTTGTTATAACGGGGTTTTGATAGGTTAATTCTTCAATCTCGCAGCAACATAGCTAAAATAGTTTAAGAAGAATAAATAATCTGCTGATTTTCATTATATTTAAGAATCAATAAGTAGTGTTTATTTTTATATTATATAAAGCCAAATAAAATCCTTTTTTAAATGTCATCGAGATTTTCAAAATATTGTATTTAAAATCCTGATAACAATCATTTTAGTTGGATTCTACAGATAAGAGAGAGTTCAGTCAAGTATGCTCTTTGAATTGAACAAAATTAATAAATATATATTATTTAATAAATTCGTTTTTATTTTAATTATATGAAAAAGTTCATCATAATAACACTTATTTTCATTTGCAATTCTTTAAATGCAAATGCAACCAGTGAGTTAGAAATAGGAGTTATTTAATTTGAGGAGGCAAAAGGATCGCAAATTTATAATCAAGTATTTTCTTATTAAATCCTAGCTAGTCCGATTCGATACTCCATTCGCAAAACCTCCTTAAGTAGCTATAGCTTTAGTAGAACATACATCCACAACAGCTCTATTTGCAAAAGTTAAAAATGTGACTTAGCATGATTTCATTATCCAGTTTTTTAGTGCTGTCACTTTGAATGCAACTTACAGATATTTAGCAACTACAGACGACGATGTTTATATAAACTGTTCAAATTACAGAGCAACTCAACAAGCAATATTCAAATATCCATAATTTTAAACTAAACCAAATGCTATGGCCTTCCTTGTAGGTTATCATCACAATGGATTTGTTAATATTTCAATAAATCAGAATAGTAATACACAAGCCAATTTATCAATCAATACAAATGATGTATAACAAACAGCTATAGGCATTTGTTTGATTGTTGGAAGCAATCTCTAATTTGATGCAGATGCAGATACCCCAAAGTTTAGTGGAAGAGTAAGCAGTCAAGGAGAAACAAGGGCATTATCATTTACACCAAGTATTTATAAAATATTATTTATTGAGGTTTAATATGGTAGTGGACAAGCATAGTAGAAAATTGAAGAATCATTGACAGATTTGGTAACAATTTATAATTATATATAGAAAACATTTTTTGATCAAAATTAAAATAGAAAAGAGGAAGAGACTGAGGAGTCTACTTAAGTTTCAGAAGAATTAGAACCATAAACTGTAGAGGATTTAGAAGAATGTTAATAAAAGCTTGATGACAATATTATTGAGGAATCGATTTCAGATGATTTAAGTGAGGAAGAGGAAGATGATGAATACTTTTGGAGTTCAAAAGAAAAGAAATAATAACAACCTTCAGTTGATTTTGAATTATAATTAACCTTGCTTCAAGATGCTTTAAAAAAGAAACCTTAAATTTAGTAATAAACAATTAAAGAACTAATTAAAAAGAATTCAAGTAATTAAAAGGAATAAAAATAAAAGCAAGTTAAGAAAGATGAAGTTTAGAGAAAAAATAAACCAGCAAAAGATTAAAGTATTAAGTCGAATGATAATCTCAAGAATGCAGAGACTCAAATTTTAAATAATAAAGAAATTGATATGCAATTATAATAAAAGGAATCTCATGTAAAATCATTAAAAAAAGCATTACAATTAGTAGACACTGCTAAAGAAAAAGAATTAGAAGTAATACTTCCATAAATTCAAAGCGAAAACTAATTATCTTAAGAGTAAGAATTGAATGAAGTTAAGGCTGAGAATAATCAATAGGAAAGTCTAGAAGTGGCTAAACCTATTGGATATTAAAGTCCTTTAATAGATGACTTACCAAAAATTGAAGAAATTATTGAGGTGAAATAAAAGGAGAAGAAGTTCACATAAAAGCTTGATGGCTATATGTAGAGTTTTTCAGAGGATACTTACACTTAGAAAGTTTAGAAAAAGAAATAAGAGGAACAAACAAATAAAGTTGAGTCTAATAGCAAAGAAATTACAGAATAGGTACAATTAATTCAACTTACAGGTCAATCTCATTCAACTAAAGTTGTTTATGAAGCTTCAGAAGATTCTCTAAGGAAATTTGAGGAAGATTTTGAAAGAAGAAAGCGTATTTTTTATAGTTTATAATAATAGAGGAGAAGATGAAAGAAATTAAATAGTAACTGATTCCAGAAAATAAGCCAACTAAAGTTAAATTTTTATCCTTAGCTTAAGAGGACGAATAGCTAAGGTCATATAAAGATTTCTTTTACAATTGAATATTATTAATCAAACCTAATATAGAATATTTCCATATGTCTTTATTGGTTTATAGATTAGACTATAATCAAATTTTGTATATTTTGCAAAAAGTATTCTATGATATAATATGAAGATATCAAAATTTAAAATATAAATCATTTGAATTATTTTTAAGACGAAAATCTTTTCTATCTAGGTGGAGTTGGTGGTCTTTTTCTCAATTAAACTTCCTCATTCTATATAACTAAATAATTAGCAAATCCTTTCTTTCTTGAGATTGGTTCCTCAAGATCCATCCATCTTTATTCTTAAATCGGAGCAGCAGGTAATATGACTTTAGGTATAATTTCACCTCTTTTTGAAATCGTCAAAATTGCTTAGCAGATATTATCAATATCTTACATCCTTTACATTATGGTTGATTGCCTCCATAATCTGGACATGAGAATATGGTGATTACATTATTGTTTTACCTTTCAAATCCTTCCATAGTTGGTTCATGTGATCGTATGATCATATTTAGAGAGTTCTCTTATAAAAATTTATTAATTCTATTTGTTCCAAATCTGAAAATCTATTTATTTTAAAATATATCCCTATCTGGATTTGGTGTATTCTCTAATTCCTCTTCTTGTAAACAAGGATCAGACCAGAGAAGTTCCAATGCTATTTTTTATTAATACTTAAATAGATATAATAAAGTACAGTCTTAGGATCATGAACTATTTCCAACGGCTTTTATATCAATTCAATCTCATCGATAGTCCTCATAGTTTAACCAATACCACCATGTACACAAAAGATTTTTTCTTCGATAACTGCTGCTAATGGTAGATATTAAAAAACTCTATTTATTCTTTAGTAAATGCTGTTTGGATCCATAATATCTTCACCAAATTTTATAAAGCATTCATCAGCAAAACCAAACGCTTTATTTACTTTAGGGTCCTCATGATGTCCTCGAAGCAAATGAATTTGATCAGAATATTTAATTTTTAATGTAAATAAAAGTAAAATGATTTCCAAAGATCGTGAACCTCTGTCGACATAATCCCCCAAAAATAAGTAATCTTAAGAATCAATGTCTCCATTGTATAGATTATCGTACGGAGCTTTGAAGTGATCAAAAAATCTCATTAAATCAAGGTATTAACCATTCAAATTCCCATATATTTTGATTGGTCTTCTCAACCTCAATAAGTTAGGTTCCTTCTCTAGAATTCGCTAAACTTCATCACATAATTTAATTATCATTTCCTTTTTGATGCCTGTTAATAAATTAGAATTTGGAGGGATCTATGAATAATCTTTGGGTATTAATAGATTCTACATAAATGGTTAACATAACTAATCTAAAAATTATGATTTATTTTAAGAATTTGGATCTTAAAATCCAGGTCCCAATTTTTTATGTTCATCTTATAATTTTTCTATTGGTACTTTCTTGACTTGATTAGTTATATCTTCTTCTGGACTATATGTCATAGCAACCAAAGCTTAATTAGCCAATCTAACGTTTTTATTAGTCGCACTTGAAACTCTAATTTACTGATAAGGGTTTGAATCTAAATATAAAGGAAGTGTTACATTTTGATTGAGCAGAAGTTTATTAATTTGTCTTTTTAAATTAATCTTAGGTTTAAGCCAAAGGAAGAGAAGGTTTAGGATTAAAAGATTAGGTGAATGATTAATCAGCTTTTATAGTGTTCATTTGTTTTAGTAATTGAGGAGTTTAAGCGAATCTCTTATTTAAATCTATTCTAAGAATGCTCTCAGTTGGTATGTTTGGTTGATCGGAATCAAATCCTCCATGAAGATATAAAAATTGTTCCACCAACCATGAAGAGTGCCTGAATCTCTGAATTGGTTAAAATTTATACCAATCAGATGTTTCAGTATCATATATTTCAAAAGGCAAAGTCTCTCCCACATTATTAGATCTGCCTCCAATCACTAACATCAATGTTCCTAAAAATAAAGTAGAGTGTTAATATCGTTAAGCTGGTTAATCGGTTTAGGATCTATAAGGAGCTCTCACCCAATCCCACCTTCCATCGCGATGTCTTCTCAAACCCCAAGTATCATTTAAAGCACTTTGATCACTTGTGCGACCTCCAAAAGCGACCATCATCCCATTGGCAGAACCTGTTGAACACAATGCAGCAGAATGATAAACTCTTACAACAGGTTATTCAGATGAGCACTCTAATTTTTGCCATGAATATGGTGATTTCTCTAAATTAAAACTCCAAACATCATTCACAGGTTCTTGTCCTGTGTTCCCACCAAACACTATCAAATGCGGTTTAATAAGCACCATAGTGTGACCATATCTTCTTCCTGGTGTTGTTCCAATCACAGGAACTGTAACCCAAGTTCCAGTATCTTCTCTTAATTCAAATACATATAAGTTATCATCTGCTAAACCACCGCCTCCTACTGCTCCTCCGAATATAATCATTTGATTTAATTCAATAGCCAAAGCTTAATGAGCTGCTCTATTAGTGGGTACGTTTCCACTAGCTTCAACTCGCTTCCATTTTTTTTAAATTATATCTCCAATATACACATCTCCTGTTATTACGTACCTTCCAGTATCACCAACAGCGCCTTTTAAGTCTTTATTCAAAATATACCTCCAAATAATGCGATCTTATTAGGAGCTATGACACAAATGGTGTGACCAAAGCGAGGCTGAGGATTATCTCCTGCAAAATTCACACTTTCCATTTTTATTTTAAATATTTTTTTAACGATTTATGAATTCAAGACTTGTCAGGCCCTCAACTCCTAAGAAACCTTTTGATCCTAATTTAATTAGATAATCTGCTAAAAAGCCTTTCTAATACAAAACATAATAACCAAAAATACTGATCATAGAATACTACCATATAAATATTTGATATTTTATTTTGTATGTCAATTTTATTCTTATAAACAACTTACTATGATATAAATGGATATAAGTGTTGTCTTTATTTAAATTACTTAAAACTCTTTTGAGGAATCTTGGTTTTACATTTCAACTCTATAAATTATAATATCTATTAAGCAATAAAATATTATTTTAAATATGGATTCCAATTTCTACAAAGAAATTAAAGATATCATAGATTTTATTTATTAATAGATAACCATATCAAGGAATAAATGTTTAATATAGAAATTAAGTGAAAGAAAAGAATAAATTTATGCATCAATTCCTCAAACAAGGAGCAATATTTTATAAAATTAATAAAATCGAGAGTTTATAACAAAATATTTAGATAAGTTTGTGTAATTTGTGAGTAATCAAGATAATTTGGTGGAATAAGGCTTCTTTAAGATGATTAGATAATCTCAAAAAACAAAATTGTAAAATATATTTTCAAAAAAATTTACACAATTACCTTAATACTTCAAAAATCTAGAGAGTCAAGACCTGTCAGCCACTGGATTTATCAATAGTCAAGAAGTAGCACATTCCAAAATTCCAGTTAATTTTACTGCAAACTCATTCCTATTAGACAATGATATAGATTTTATTGCTTGCATTACATTAATTTTCAAAGATATTTGCGATGAAGAAATTTTCATTCATTCCTTAAGCACCTAAAAATTGTTAAAGAAGATCCCAGAGTTAAATTAATTTGAATATTTGAAAAGCTTGAAAAATTACTTAACAATCACTGTAGATCAACAACAACAGATAATTACATTAGAACCTTTAGATCCAATTATTCAATTCTCACCCTTATTTAATGGCAATTAAACAGAAAAACTATAAGAATTTTATTTATCTTAGGACATGGAAATCATCTTGAGTCCTACTTATAAAATAAAAGTAGTGGGCATTTTCAATAAAGAAAATCAGGCTTTAAATGATAATTTCATAACCAAAAATCTGATATACTAGTATGATAAGACCTTATTAATTAAAAATGCAGAAAACTATATCATTCTAGAACCTTAAGAGTAGAATATTAAGCATGAACCAATAGTAATTTTTGATCTTAAGGGATCGATTTCACTTAATAAATTTTTGGGTTTGTCAAAAGATATATCTTTCAAACTTACTCATGATGGTTTTGGATTTCTATTTGAAGAATTGACCTAGAGACCCAACTTTTATACCAGTTTATCATACTAAAGTCCAGTTTATTCCAAAACCAAGAAAATTAATTTATGTTTAGTCATAAAAAATGAGTTAAGACTTTCAATTGACTCAGAATGTGGGTAGTTATTTGTTGATACAAACGAATATAATAGAAACTTGTTTGATTGAGCAATTATTTTATCGTGTAAAAAATCATTAATAATTTCATTTTGGAGGAGGAGGTGGGGGAGGAGGAGCTGGTCTTGGAGGCTGTGGTCTCTATTAAGGAGGTGGAGGTGGTGGTGGCTTTCTATGATCTTCCTCAAAAATGTCTGGTCTCTTCTTTTTTAGTTATGATAAATGTTCAGCAATCATATTACCTGGTTGTAAGGTTGTTGTTTTGCTTCTCTCATTTATTTCCTTCTTTATCTCACTATAACGAGGATCTTATAATTCTAATTGAATATGTTCATTAATTTAATTCTTGGGAAAATTTTTTCCACAAATTTCACATTTAATTAGGACTAATTCATTTTATGTTGTGGGTCTTTGATAATTTTAGATTATGGGGGCACTACTATCCCCTTATTGTCCTGCCTTTTATAAAGTTGAATTTAAAGTTATGATTTATTTTTCTTTTGGTTGCAATGGATTATTAATGATTCTAGATACAACTTGCCCTGTCTATACTAAGTTTTGCTATTACTCTAAAAATAGACAACCATATTACAAAATTATGCTTAATCAGCACCTTTGAAGTCCATTTTATCAAATCTTTAGATTCCCTTCTCATAAACCTTGTCTATTCTATCATCCTCAGCGAAGTCAATAGTTTCACAAATTGTAAAGTCATTCCAATCAATCATAGCCATTTATTCTAACATATAATTATAAAATGTTACATTTCTCATCCTCATCCTGTTATTGTTTTCTATCTTTTTCTTCTTTCAAATAAATCTCGTACTCATATTTTTCTTGACATCTTTAATATATTACTTGTCTATCCTACACATAGGTCAATAATCTATCGATTTCTTCCTTTTTTGGTTGTAAACATTTTGTATAAGCATCGACTAAGTTTGAAAAGAATTGAAATAAATCATGAGTAGGCTTTAAAAAATCATACTAAGGATTCATTTTTTCTCTTTCTGTCAAGGCAACTAAAAATTTCTTACCATTCTTAGCTATGAATATGGCTGTATGTTTAATAATGTCTAAATCTAAAGCTGACAAATTTCTTGGTTATTCTACAGTATATTAATCATTAGGAGGAGCCTTTACTACCTTTTTAGGTTGTTCATTTTTAGGCACAGGTTTTGTTTTCTAATCCTCTTCTTCTTAAATAGGTGCTATAATAATTAGAATTGAAATCTTACCCACCAATCCTCGAGCGAATTCCGTAATTTTATTTTCATAATATGGTCTATATGGATCATCTCTTCTCAAGAAACAAAAATTGGGATTACTCAATTCTTTTTACATTACAAGATCTTCAAATGTTGCTCCATTTTTTGCCACATATTCTGCAGTCTTGTCAGCATATTCTAATAATAGATACATTCTTATACTTTTGATATTGGGAGGAGGAATGACAATATTCGATGATCTATTCTTAATTAATAATTGGGCTTCTAGCACCATTAAAAGAATAATTAATTATTAATTGATATATTATCATTTTTTAAGCAAATGATTAGAGTAAATTTAATTGCTCAATTTTGTTACTATTTGAAATCGAGAATATTAATAAATTCAATCAATATATTAATCTAAGAATGAAATCTTTCTTCATATCAATAACGTCTCTAGGTTTTAATTAACATTAATATCGTAATCTTTTGGATTTAATTATTTAATTCTGCATACATAAATGTATAAAGGAGTGATTCTTATCATAACTTCCTTATTTCAAATAGTCAACAGTACCGTATAGCTTTTATCATCCTAATATCCCTTTAAATAAAGCATAGTCGACCTTGAGGATAATAATATGTATGGTGTATTTACATACTATACACCTTTAAACTAGATAATAAATCTAGCTTAAACCCTTGATAAAAGCTAATAATAAGTCCATCTATTTTCAGCCTTCTTTGAATAGTACACATTAATTGCATACTAAACCATAGATGCTGATGTAGATAAAATTTATCATGTGATAAAAATATAGTCGACATCTACTGATACAACGAAAGTGTATGAATTTGAATAAGATTATTTATAATATGAAGGATTAGAAGTAGGAACAATATTTACTTATTCTGAAGAACTATTATAACTTGAACTAAAGGTTTACACATAAGATAAAATGAATACAGTTTAGATTGATGATATTTTTTTATAAAAATCAAATGTCAAATTTAAATTTGGTGGAAGAAATAATGAATTAGATTTAATGGGATTTCAAGGAATAATGTTTTTGGTTCTCGGTGAGACATATTTAACAAGAATCGATTATCTATATTCAATAAAGTGTTATGAATCACGGAGAGATTTTTCAATACTATATTAGGATTATGTATCTTCTAACTTGAATACCTTTAATATTCCTGTTGCGATATATAAAGAATATTAAATATAATTTTGGAATAAATTATAAACATAAATAATTCCTGAAAACTTGATTTAAGTTTTAGTTATCGATACATAAAATGAAATTGATGAATAGCTCTCTTTAGGAAAGAAAACTATGCAGATATATTATCACTTTTAAAGCGACTCAGATCTTTTGATCTATTGTAAATATTATTCTTATAAATTTCCATATAACTATTATAATGTCGATTACATATAATCATTAATTTAATAAGCAGAAATAACTAATGTTGACCCAAAATTTATCTAAAGTTGGCATTTTATTAGAACATAATATTAGAAAGAAACGCTTAATTTATAAATTTATTTTCCAGAATTAAATAAGAACGTAATTATTGAAATACCAGAAGTTAGATAGTTTTCATAAACTGTGAGTTAAATAACTATAAATGCAATATCAGATTTAAACTTAGAAATAAAAGGTTAGATCGCATCTTTCATTTTCAATACTTGCATGTAAGATTTTAGTATTTTCAAACCTTGTCATTTTTCATGTTTTACGTGCAACGGCCCTTTTTACAACAATTGCTTATCATGTGAGGATGATTCAAATAGAATATACGATGAAGATGCATCCACTTGTCAATGTAGGCCTTGGACTTTGGAATAAAACAAAACTATATGCTATGATTTGCTCTAAGATCCCTAAGTTTAAGTCAAATACGAGTAGACCTCTAAAATCTAAGGTTACGATAAAATAGACCCATAAGTGATTTGCGCATTTGGATATTTTTTGTATGACGGAGAATGCATTAGATGGTATTTATTTTCTTTATTTTAGTCCATCATAATTGTAAAATGGGTATATTATATGTATTGAATGCTTATTGAATTGGAAAACTTGGATATATAATAGCACTTGCATTTAATATGATATAATTAATAAGGAATGGTTAAACATTCCAATAGAATCAAATTTTGATATACTTGATTTATTCCAAAATTATTTATATACTTATAGTGATGGAGAATTACAAGCTTGTCATAACTGTTTTGCTTTTTGCAAACCTGAAATATATCATGATAATTGTCATAAGCTTAATGTAAATCATTTAGGGTCAGAAACCTATGTTTATTGTTTATACGAGTATGATGAAATAAATCTAGTTTGTTTGCCTAGAAAAGGGAGTGGACTTGCAGTGCAAAACAATTGTGGCTCTAAATGTTTAAAATGTGATACAGATGTAAAATTGTGTGTTTAATGTGTAAATAAGAACGATATCTTATTATTAAATAGGGAAAGCTGTTAAGAATGTACAATACCTAATTGTAAGTACTGCTTCTAATATCTCAATTCAGATGAAATAGTAATATCTACTTTGGTTAGTAAAGCATACTTTGGCAATCAAATTTCATCTCCTTCAGAAATCCTTAATGAGGAATACTTAATAGGATGTGCATTATGTGAGGAAAACTATATCTTTAATTTTTAATCTATGTAATGCGAATTAAAACAAACTACTTAGGATTAGTGTACAGATTATTTTTTAAATGATTAAGGAGATAAAATTTGTTTAACAACATTAACAAAAGATTTCATTTAAGGTTATGAAATATCTGATTGCACAGATTACATTTAAAAATGTATTAAATGTGTTTAATCTAATAGAAAAAAATTGTTTTGCACTTAATGCGAAAAGGGATACTATATTAATAAATTTGGTCAATGTAACAAATGTGATGAATAATTTACTGAATGCTTTCCTGATTATATTATTACTAATAATTCCTACATAACTAAAATTTAACCATTTGTTTAAGCCATATCAAAAAGGTTGGAATTGACCTTCAATAACTTTGTATATTAAGACATATATGGTCTTTGCTAAGGTAGTCTTGGGTACTCTAAATCTTGTTCTATTGAAATCAACATCCCTTATTGTAAGCAATTTTATATAAATTAATGCTAATAGTGCAACTCATATGAGAATTCAAATACAATCACCCTTTATGATGGCTACTGTTACTTATGTCCCTACTAATGCTCATATTGTTAACCAAAATAATCATCATCAATTGAAATATATTGTTTAAGGACTAATTTTGAATAATTCTCTATTGATTAAATCACTGGTAGGCCAACACCAAAACTATAGAACTATTTGAAACAAGATCAGCATGTTATTTACAATTTGATGAACTATTTAACACTTGTGACAATAGAAAGCGACCTTATTTTCTCAAAAGTGACTATAAATCTTGATATATATATAGAATACTTTACGAATTATATTATCGAGATACCAATAAAAAATCGCCTTTACAGCCAATCATATATTAGTTAATTGATAATTAACTCAAAATTGGAAGAAGATATGATTTGTCCTTACAAATTAGATGTATATTACTTTGATGAAATATTAATCTCAGATTTTTTAATTTCAATAAATGAGAAATTTTGTGAAAATATTATATTAGTTAATTCAATTTATGGAACTAAACTAATAATTAAAAATATCACCATGACCTAAAAGTTAGAAGAGAATATCGTGAAATAACTATTCATTTGGAATGAAATCGTTTATCTTGAATTTAATTCTGTGACATTAGATTCCATTTAAATATCTCATTTCCCATTATTTTTACTTAAGCAGAATAAAACACAAAAAGGAATAAGTGTAAATTTTGAAAATGTAATATTTAAAAATTGTTACTTCTATAACGCAAGCATAATATAAGTAGAACTTGTAAATCCAATTTTTGAAATTAACTATATTGAATTTAACAATGTAACCATTACAAACTGTACAATGAAATTCTCTGATATGATTTAAATTGTTGGAGAATAAAATAAATTAATATTCTAATACATTAGATTTTCTAAAATTTCAATACTAAGCTGCTTCATTCAAAATTTTTAATTCATTGAAAATTATCTAACTAATGATTAGATTACTACGGATATAACAATTTTTGACACAAATTTTATCAAAACAAAAGTTTTTCTGATACAGAGCCCTGCTTATTTTGAAAACATCAAAATCTCATAAACATAATTTATTAACTCTAGTTTGACTTCAACTTAAATTAATGCCAGATTGAAATCATATTCCTTAACTTTTTAGATTTCACAAATATCACTTAATGAAATAATATCTGATAGTAGTATAATTGCTATTGAGCATGATTACTATTAAGATGTGCAAATATCAAATGTAAGAATTACTGATTTGAATTAGATTAGTGATTTGAATTAAAATTACTTTCTATTTATTATTTAAGGTGAGTTTGTATTAATTTAAGATTACTTTTGTTCATAAATTGCACAATCCAGTTTTCATATAAATATTGTCAACTCAAAGTACATCAAAGTTAAGAATGTTGTAATCTTTGGGTAGGAATTAACTTCCAGAATTAGTCATGAAAAGTAATTGGATATTGACCTTGATCCATCCTTGTAGAATTTAATTTACATTCACAATTCCTCTGTTATTGAATTACATAAATTTAATATCAGTAATCTGAAAATATAAAATTCTAATTTGATTAAACTTTAGGATGATTCAAATGTTATGGAAATATCAATGACTGATTTTAATCTATAGAATATTATACTGTCTTAAGAATTAGGAATCTATGAAACATCTTTAATTTAGGTTTAGTTGAGCAAGGCTTCCAAAGCACTGCTTTATAATTTTTATTTTGCATTTATTTTTGGAAACAACTATGAAAAAATTATCAAAGCATCTGAGTAATTATCACTCATAACTTTTCTATCATTTTAGAGTGAGATATAGCTTTCAAATTTTTTATTCTCTAATAACATCATTACTAATACATCTACTGCCCTTATTTATTTAGAGTCAAAAAAAATCTTAATTTCCAATTTTGCAAGTTAATTTGCTAACATACATGCTGTTTGGTTATANCTCATTTCCCATTATTTTTACTTAAGCAGAATAAAACACAAAAAGGAATAAGTGTAAATTTTGAAAATGTAATATTTAAAAATTGTTACTTCTATAACGCAAGCATAATATAAGTAGAACTTGTAAATCCAATTTTTGAAATTAACTATATTGAATTTAACAATGTAACCATTACAAACTGTACAATGAAATTCTCTGATATGATTTAAATTGTTGGAGAATAAAATAAATTAATATTCTAATACATTAGATTTTCTAAAATTTCAATACTAAGCTGCTTCATTCAAAATTTTTAATTCATTGAAAATTATCTAACTAATGATTAGATTACTACGGATATAACAATTTTTGACACAAATTTTATCAAAACAAAAGTTTTTCTGATACAGAGCCCTGCTTATTTTGAAAACATCAAAATCTCATAAACATAATTTATTAACTCTAGTTTGACTTCAACTTAAATTAATGCCAGATTGAAATCATATTCCTTAACTTTTTAGATTTCACAAATATCACTTAATGAAATAATATCTGATAGTAGTATAATTGCTATTGAGCATGATTACTATTAAGATGTGCAAATATCAAATGTAAGAATTACTGATTTGAATTAGATTAGTGATTTGAATTAAAATTACTTTCTATTTATTATTTAAGGTGAGTTTGTATTAATTTAAGATTACTTTTGTTCATAAATTGCACAATCCAGTTTTCATATAAATATTGTCAACTCAAAGTACATCAAAGTTAAGAATGTTGTAATCTTTGGGTAGGAATTAACTTCCAGAATTAGTCATGAAAAGTAATTGGATATTGACCTTGATCCATCCTTGTAGAATTTAATTTACATTCACAATTCCTCTGTTATTGAATTACATAAATTTAATATCAGTAATCTGAAAATATAAAATTCTAATTTGATTAAACTTTAGGATGATTCAAATGTTATGGAAATATCAATGACTGATTTTAATCTATAGAATATTATACTGTCTTAAGAATTAGGAATCTATGAAACATCTTTAATTTAGGTTTAGTTGAGCAAGGCTTCCAAAGCACTGCTTTATAATTTTTATTTTGCATTTATTTTTGGAAACAACTATGAAAAAATTATCAAAGCATCTGAGTAATTATCACTCATAACTTTTCTATCATTTTAGAGTGAGATATAGCTTTCAAATTTTTTATTCTCTAATAACATCATTACTAATACATCTACTGCCCTTATTTATTTAGAGTCAAAAAAAATCTTAATTTCCAATTTTGCAAGTTAATTTGCTAACATACATGCTGTTTGGTTATATTAATACATAAATATGATTTATTCAAATTCCTCTATAAAAGTATTAGAGTAATTGTTTCCTATTGAATCAGAAGGTAGCATTTTTAATATATAATCTCAATACCTCACTCTTATTAACATTTCCTCAAAGTATTCAAAAGCTATATAAGGAGGATTTTGTAAAATAGAATTAGTTTTGGATAGTGAATTCAACATAACAAATGCATCTATATCAGATAGTATGGCTATAGGTGGAAAGGAGAGTAAGGGAGGGTCATTTTATGTTACAGCGAAGGATTCAAATTTAATTCTTAACTTTATAAATATTTAAGTCACCACATCCTACAGTCTTTATGATGGTGGATTTTTGTATTTAATCCCTTCGAACACCTACAATCGAATAGAACTTAGGAATATAATCGCCTTAAATGTTTTATCATTGTTCAAGGGTTTTTTTGGTATTGAATTTTCTTTATAAACTCAATATAACTTTGTGTATTTAAGTAATATTTTAGTTAATGTGTCTTTTGATGGATTTTATGATAATACAAATGAATTCCAAGAATTAAATGAGAATGAAATCTCCTACATTAATAATGATAATGGATATTTTTATTTGGATTACTGGTATTAAATATATTTTTATTTAGCAATCTAACAATTAATAATGTCTATATGTATTTTGATATTATTAACTAACCAGTTTTCTCTTTAACCAAAATACAAAATTTAAAACTCTTCAAATTACATGTAGAAGTAGGAGAACTACTGACAAGCTCATTGATTTTATATGAATCTTACTAAAGTATTATATCCAAAAATATATGTAGATAACATTTTGAAACTTTTAAATATTGCTCATTTAAGATTAAGATAGACCCAATTTAAAGTACCTTCATTTTATAAAGACCCTTGTATCTAAGTTTTTAAAGAGGAGATGCTTTTCATAGATATTTACTTATATAATTCATTTTAAATTAAGCAAAAGAACTGCCTAATGACCTAAATACTTCTTTCAAGCTTAACTCCAGATTCATTAATATCAATTAATTTCTTAGATGAATATTAGAAATTCTAGATTCAAGATGCAATTATTAATTAATTTACTGAGATGTCATTTAAATTGGGTCTATTCAATATTCATTATGAGAAGTATTTCAAATCTAGGTTGGAATAATTTGTTTTTCTTAATAATAGTTGTATTTCAAACAATAAACTCAATATTAGTTCAAAACAATTTGGAGGATAGGAATTAGTTCTTTTAAAAAAGCAAATTTATTATAACAATTCAAATTCTTAGAATGGGTAGATTTCAATCTCGAATCTCAACTATCAAATACAGTAATCCTTATTTATTCATAATACTGCACTACAAAAAGGTGGAGCTATTTACATTTAGAACTCTCCTTTTTATATCGTATAATCAGTGATATCTGAAAATCAGGCATATCAAGGAGGAGGAATATTTAATGAAAAGATTTTAAAGAAGGATCTTACCCACTCTTTAGCAAAGACTTTGTTTTTTAATAATAAAGCCACTTATATGACAAACACCTATGGACAAGAATACTTTTAATTAAAAATGGATACAAATCGCAAGATTAACTAATTATTTTATAAATCGTTTTTATACGATTAGACTACTAAAGGCGGAAATGCTTTACTTAGTCTGCCTAGTGGCTAATCATTATAATCTTATAGGGAATTCAATATGCAGACTCTAAAATTTAGTAATACTTCAATAAACTTAAAATTCAAAGTTCAAAATTCATATTAAGAAGATTAGACATTAACAGATTTAGCGGTTTTATGTGATATTCAATAAGATTTGTTAGATGAAAACTTCAAAGTTATAAAAAATAATTTTTCGTTTGCTGAGATAAAATTTAATAGTGAATAAAACTACCTTAATCTTGAGGAGATTATTTTTATTCTAAATCCTTATACGAATAATTACTTATAAGTAGGAATTAATTGTGATGTTATTGAAAATGTAGATTATAAATTTACGTTTTATGTTTAAACAATTAAATGTTAGATGGGCGAATATTTCTAAGAAGATTAATGTCTAGCTTGTAATTCATCAAAAGGCTATTATAGTATTGATCCTCTCATTGGATATTGTGAAAAATCTAATCCTTATTATATACGAAATCACACTGAAAATCTGCTAGACTTATACCCAGGAGTTTGGAGATACACTTTACAGTCTTCAACATTAGAACAATGTTCCAATCAACCAAAAAATTGTCTTGGAGGGTGGAATTTTGGAGATGAGACTTGCTTAGAAGGCACGATAGGAGCACTTTGCTAAGAATGTGATGTATACAATATCAGAGGGTTTGGAAAGTATTCAAAAATAAGAGAATTTACTTGCTTGCTTTGTGGCAATTAGGGTTTAGTACTATTAGAATTCTGCTTTGTCTTTGCTTGGGTGTTAATTTAGATTGCTTTAACTGTCAAAAGTACCTAATTATAAAATTAAAAATTCTTATATTGCAAAGCATAAACTAAAATGTATGATATAATTGTGCGATTATCTTAAGGTATTAATCTTTTAATTTTAGATCAATCCAGTACTGTAATTAAATTGATTAGTAATTACTTTTAGATTGTGTTGGTAGTATATACATTTTAATTGAATTTTATTTCTAATATTGAAGATGTTTTTAAATTTATTGGAAACTCAACTTATTCTACTACCAATAATTTTGATTGCTATCTTTCAAATCTGAATATCGATTACATTTATTTAAATCTCTCCTTTATTGTTATTATCCAATTAATTCAATATATAATATTTGTTTCACTTTCATTTATACTACAAAAATTGCAACTGAGTACCTTCACTCAAGAAACATTATATTCCTCCTTCTTTTATTTATATTTATCTGGCTTTTTGAATTTAATCAAAGTGTAAACAATTTCACGCATATTTTAGGCTATCCTCCTTATTAACCCCAAAGACATTTGGGGATCAGTAATGGATTAGTGCAAATGTATCGTACTAATATTGGACATCTGTCCATTAGAAGGCAGTTTACATTCTTATATTACCTCTATTGATATTTGCTGGTTTCATACTTCCTTTAATTTTATTTGTAACTCTCAATCAAAATAAGAAGAATTTTAATAATTATTCCATTAAATAAAAGTTTGGTTATCTATTTAATGAGTATTCAAGAAAATTTTATTTTTGGGAGTTAATAAGGGTAAGTCAAAGACTATTACTGACTTTGATTATTGTATTGTTATAAGACTTTATTATAACCAAAGGGATATTATTAGTTGGATTACTTTTTACTTACTACCTTATGTTTAACATTAGTAAACCTTTTAATGTGGGAAAGTTAAATAAATTTGAGAAGGAATGTCTAATTTTATGCATAATCTCATTACTATTATGTCTAGTGTAATTTTCTATCTATGATAATTCAACAGTATTAAATAAAATCATCCAGGTTTTAATATTAATATCATTGTTGTATTTATTCTATGAATGTGCGATGAAATTTATCTCTGTGCACATATCAAAATATGAAGCGTTTTTAGACATCATAAGGATAATAATCAAGAAACATATCAAAATTGAATACATTCTAAAATCTAAATATCTAGAGTTGAGTACTGAGAGAAGGGACAGAATAAGACAATTGTTTATGAAGTTGAAAGCTTAAACAAATAAAAAGCAGGCTCAACCTCCTTTGTTTACTAATCTAGTTTCAGAGTAAAGAGTTACTTATGCTTCAGTAGACAATGAGAAAAGCCAAAAAACAAGATTAATTTGAAAATTTATATATTTAATAATAATATTATTTTATTTCTCTTTAGATAATGATACGATACATATGTTATTTAATCAAAAATGTCCAAATGGAAAAAACATATTAATAAATGCCAAAAGTGCTGCAGAGATGGTTTAATCTTAATTTAGTTTAAACTAAAATTAAATGATACTTATTTACTTTACCATTAATTATTTGTAATGTACTGTAGAGAAACAAGCCTCCAAAGGTTAAGGCCCATAATTCTGTAGACATCCATAAAATGAGTACTGCAGTATAATCAAAAGGGTTGAATATTTAAAATATGAAGGCATAAACAAAGGGTGGAATGACAACATACTTAATTGTTCCTGGGAATATTAAATTATTTTACTAAAAAATGTTATCTATTTATTGGTCAGAGAAAAATGAAATTGCAGAGTAATCAGAGTCAGAAAATTGCATATAATACCAATGAAAATGGCGAATCCTATTTAAACAGAGTTTTCTATATTCCAAATATCCGAATGGTCTGCAGCTATGAGGCCACTAATCCATAAAGCATAGGAAATTGTGAAGATCAAGAATATGAAAAAAGCATAGTGTTTCTTGCTAATTATATTTAAATATATACACATCTAAATGGTTTATAGAATCTGATTAACAATAATTACGAGGCAGAGATCAGAAAGAATAAGTATAAGGGTGCTCGATATTTTTCCTAGTCAAAATTATAAAACAAGTTATCGTAGTTAAAATCTAGGATAGTTATGACTGACATAATTATTTATATAGCTTCCTAAAATATCCAAACTCCTGTTATTTAAATAAGAAATCTCTGTTTTTGCAAATCATTCAGACTAGACAATTATTAATTATGTTGTAACAAGGGTTAATAAATTTAATCTAACTATGAGAAAGTGTGACGAGGGCCATTCTCTTAATTAATTAAATTAAGAGTCGGATTCTATTATAAATTAGCAGTCTCTATTGTGGTCGAATTCTGGGAGATGGCGGACTCCTAATTTCCGTGGGATTGATTCTCTTCTTTTTCTCTAGTTTGCAGCAAAATATTATTTAACATAATTTATTCTTTTTATGTCTGGATGAAAGATTTAATATATAATATTATAAGTGTGATATTTAGATACGATTTTCATAGCTCCAAAACAAGATACAAAGAATCAAGTTCTAGGTCTGTATTTTTAAAAATATAGTTAATTTACTCATATATTAAAAGGAAATAATTCTCTTTCAAATGTATTTAGTATGACATTTGATGATTTGCAATTGATATAAATTAATTAGAAATGAAGCAGGAATAAAATCATTTTACATTCACTACTGTGATTCATCCACCATTTGTAGATTAGGAGAAGCAAGAAGAGCAATTCTATCCATCAATTGGGTATAATTTCGCCACAGGAGATGCAAAACGTAAAACGTATTATATTCTTTAGCTGGATGGGCTTTCATAAGCAAAGATCAGCCTCCATGCGTTCCCTACTTTTCATCCTATATCAAAAAGTAGAATGGAGCAGAATTTCTCATTACTGGTGGTGCATATCAAGAAAATAATCAAATTATTAGCTCTGCCTTTTGCTTTAGAATTTAGCTTCATGATCACATGGAAGGACACAGAATCAAATATGAATTATGGAGATAGGGGTTAACAAGAGAGGATGAAGATGGCAATGAAATTGAGGGAGAGAAAGTGTCTGTAATACCACAAATGAATTTTGCAAGGCACAATCACAAAATTTTCGAATTATTAAAACCAGGAACGACTAATTAATATTTATATCTGGTAGTTGGGGGACAACTCATAAATTAAGACGGTTGGGGTATCTTAAACTAATGTGAAATATATGATGAGAAGGGCCCTGTGAATCAGAATGGAGAGTAATCATGGGAAGTAGTGGACAGCATGGTTCAAGCTAGAGCTGGATTCTCAGGCTTTGTTTTAAATAATAAAGTCTATGTTTATGGTGGATTGACTATTGAGAATGAGGAAATTGTATATATTATTATAGTATTGTTAATAGAAAATACTCCATAGCAATAAGGTGGAATGCTTTGATCTAGCCACTAAGAAATGGAAGGATTTCAAATATAGATAAGGTATCAACGTAACAAATCATTTGGGTTCATCTTGTTTGCCTATTTCGGATAAGCACATTTTAGTTTTTGGAGGGTCGAATGGGGAGAAAGTTACTGATAAGATTGCGATTATGGACATTGAGAAAAAGTCAATTGAAAATATCAAATCAAAAACAAAATTGAGTGTTCCGAGGGCAGGCTCTCAAATTTTTGTTTTGAAGCAAGTGGAAGTAGCTGGTAGAATTATTGTTATTATTTTAATAGATTCAGCTCAAAAGAAGGATCTTATTGTTGTATTGGGTGGAAATTAGGACGAAGTTAGTTTTGACTATTTTGCTATCAAGGATCAGAATACACTTGAGATTGAGTATCTAGGTAAAAATGAGTTTAATAACGCTTTTACTGGAGCGGTCACTGGAACTTATGCTTTTGGTGGCATTAATGACATTAGGGCGTGGGTAAAAACGATGTAGTACATGCCTGTAGTGACATTAATATAATGAATATTAAAATATCACATGCCTTAATTATTAATTGTTTTTTATTATTGGGTCAACTAATATAATAAATTGTTGATTCTTTCACTTATAAGAATCTTACAATACTTGCATTGGTAATATTTACTATATTTATTATCTATTACAATTAGACTTTAGAAAAAAAATGGATAATCATGATACAAATATTGTTGACATACACTTTGCATATAGAAATTCAGATTCCTTAGTTTGGCTTTGCACACTCTTTATTTTATGCATACTTAATGTTTAAGAACTAAGATCAATTTTGGATCCTATTCCCAAATTTGCTATTTATTGGATCATATTCCTTACTCAGAATGTTAAATCATTTGGATCAATAAATTATCTGGACTGCAATTCATTATGCAGCAGTCTATATCATATTAACAATAATGAATTATGAGACCTTTAAATAATAGTAATCTCCGAAATTAATAGAGATCTTTTAAAATTCAGAAAGATATAAATGGAAAGAAATGAGTTAACATGAGCTCTTTTAAGAAAATTATACGAAGAATCTATGCTTCAATTAAATAAGGGAAGGTGTGATCCTTTATGAATAGGGTTATGAATAATAGCCAACATTTGTAAATAGGTCTGCCAAGTCGATGTTTTAGATATCTGATGAAACCTAAATTTAAACTGCATATTAAAACTACTACAAGATTGAGAAACTTGAGGCGAAGAAATCGATACAATCAATAAAGAGTATTGGAATTGATATATAAAATTCTATAAAGTAATATAGTGGATCCTTATCCTTTAATTCAAAAAGCCAATACATTCCTTAGTAAGGATTGAAAGAAATAACTTTATAATAAGTGCTTGATAAAATTTGGATTAAGTAAAATAAGGAGAGCTATCTATTTTATGTTCAGCAATCTAAACACCAATCTTAAGTAATCTTATGCATATCAATAGTCCTAATAAGCTCCTATACTTGAAGTGAGTGTTTACGTGAACTCTTAAGTCAAGAAAGTTATGACGATTATTTGCAGAGATCTAAGTTACAAGAAGTACATCAAATAATTGCAAAGTCATTACAATTAAAAATCTAAAATGATTTCATTTGTTTCTCATGAATTTAGAGCCCCTTTGGGTTGCATGATCACAATGTTGGAACATGTTGCAAAAGAATAAAATAATTTGTATATTTAAAATTCAATTGACAATTCAAGATACCTATTAAATCTTTGTAATGATCTATTGGACTTGGCGTAGATTCAAGCAAATAAATTTTAGTTAAAAATGGAAAGGTTTAATTTAAAAATGCTATGCCAAGAATGTTTATAAATGTTTAATCTCCAAGCTGAGAAAAAACAATTAAAATTAATTTTATAGTATCAATCTGTTTGTCCAGATATCATCGAATAGGATTAAAACAGAATAAAATAAGTGATGATCAATCTAATAGGAAATGCTTTCAAATTCACTTAAGAAGGATATATCTCATTGAGAGTAGATCTAGTGGAAGAGTTAGTTATTGAAATTTGCATATCTGATTCAGGAATAGGAGTGTAGGAGTAGGATAAAGAGATGTTAATGAAGGCTTTTGGGAAGATAAACTCTGAGGAAAGCAAGAAATTAAATGCTCAAGGAGTTGGCTTAGGATTAGTGATTAGTAATAAAATAGCATAGCAATTGGGGGATGGTCTCAGATTTGATTCAATTTATCATAAGGGATCAAGTTTTTCATTTACAATCCATTTATAAGAACTTTAGAGTCAGGAATCAGAAAAAGTTAAATCCATCAATAATAATAAGCAATCAATTTTAAGTGATAGTGAAATGATAGAGAATCTAAATGAAGATGAAGAAAGCTCAAAAGAGATCTAGATCATTGTGACCCAACCAAAAAAACAAATTAATAGTTCTGTTGAGTGTTGCACTAAAATATTAATCGTAGATGATACTTAATTCAATATTGATGCTTTGCAAATGCTGTTGTTAAGAATGTATTCCTTATTATTTTATCTAGAGGAGTTAAATAAATTGATTATTCAATTAATGGATACAAAGCCATAGAAAAAGTCAAATTAAAAGAAAAATGCAATTATTGTAATTCGAATATGTACGGATTAATATTCATGGATCTAGAAATGCTTGGAATCAATGGTATCAATGCTTCCAAACATATTTTTTCATACTGTGAAGAAAAAGATTTAAAATCTCCTATCATTGTGGCTTGTTCAGCCTATCAAAAGGAAATAGAATTTCCTAAGTGTTAATAAGTTGGGATGAAATTTTATTTAGAAAAACCTATTGAAATGAAATAGCTCTAATCTATTATCGATTATTATAGAAGCACAATTTGATAAAATTTCTTTTTGTTAAACTATATGATATTACATTAATACTAACTAACTTATAACTTATAAATATTATAGCATTCATCATCATAACTCATCGTAAAAAGGACACATCAATAAAATTGGAAAACTTATGGCCATAGCAAAGACATCTTTTGTTTAAAATTTATTCTAAGAAATAAGAATAAAATCTTACATATCCTTTTTAAACTATCCTATTTATTATGAAAATTTATCCAGCTCCAATTAGTACCACAAAAATAACCCAAATTAATAAAGGAGCATAAATAAAGAAATAATCTTGGCATATTAACTCCAAAAAGAAAGTAACAACTGGGGCAGCTATTAAGTAACCTAAATATTCTTGAATAGGCTTCTTCACTCCAAGACGCTTAATTGCAAATCTCACTGAAATAAATTCAACGCATATTAAAAGGTAGAAGTAATAGAAATAATTGGTATTCCAAGAGAAAACCGTAGCACTGCCTGATACTGCTGTTTGAAGACCTTACATTAGCAATACGTATAAAATAACATGTATCCAATACTGCCATTTTTGATTATTTTTCTAAAATAATAATGATAATTTACTTGAGTCACATAGGATGGATTTGTTAAAATGAATAAATTCAATATTAAAAATAATATTAAAACTACCCATAATTCACTATTCCAGGAATAGTTATTTGTAACCAACTCCCAATTGAAAAAGGCAGATGAAGTGTTAATTAAGAGCGAAATACAAATTTCAAACATAAATAGATATGTAGACCACTCATAAAAATATTTAAGTTCTAAGTTACCAGCATTTTGAATAGATTTATGTTGTAAAGGATTTTGATTAATGTTTAAATTTTAATTTGGATTCTGTTATTAGTATTATACGTATTGTGGGAGAGGTTAAACTCCTTACTAATACAGATAAGCGGGTTGGTTAGGATGAGTAGGAATTTATGGTATATTGATTAAGGTAGCTGCGTTTTAAGACTAATTCAAAGTTTATTCTTGAAATTATTAATAAGGATGCACTTGTTGTTGTTGTTGAGGCTAAGCTTGTTATTATTTCTTTTAGTAGATTTGTTGCAGTAGTTATTGGTGCATTTAGGCAGGTTGGCTGAGAATTTGGTTATATTCTTCTTGAGATAATACAATAGGAACAAAGGTTTATGTCTATTATTGTGAAGTCATTCGATAAATATATTAATAATATTGAATAACAAGCAAGTGATATAAATTATGAATATTGTTTTATGATTTTCCTCATTGTATATTATTTTTTTACTAATTGTTTTAGCTCTAGGATTCCTACACCATTTCGTCACTTTTGTTCAATCCAATATCAAAGAATGGAACCAGAATTAAAAAGCTTAGGAGAACAGCTGCATATTTGCCGTCATCGGATCTCAAGTTAAACTAAAGGATATTCATAAAATAAATTAATACCTTAGTTGACTGAATCATTCTAGAAAGGATGAATTGCAAATAGAATCCAAATGCAATTGAAAAACTGATGATTCCACACAATATACCATATGAATAATAGAGAGAAAACAGGATTCCACCATAAGTAATTGATGGTATCATTATATACCAGAAGGATTCTAATGATAATAATGATATTATACTTTTAAAGCTCAATTGGTCTAATTCTTACATAGCGTATGTAAATAGCGACAGAACTTCAAGATTGATGAAACTAAACACGATAATAACTATCTCATCACCACCATTTGATTCCAAAAAGTGATAGCTACTTCCACTTTGATAATAATAGTAATATGAATAAGTGGAGGAATACAAAGCTTAAATAAAGAAACCATATGATAATCCATAAACTGCACAAAGAATTTTGCTAGTTGAAGTGTTTTTTAATTTCTTTGATGCTGTGTAAGAGTATAATAGTGAAAGTGCCATTATCACTGTGAAAATGTAAAAGGGAACCTTGAAACTACCGTAAAGGTGATACTAGAATTCAATAAAGCCATTGTGATAAGAACTACAACATAGAATCAAAGCGAAGGCTTAGAAAAGAAGGAAAAAGGATAGAACCTGTAAGTTGAAAAACCTTCTTTCTAATTTTCCGGCCAATCTTAAGGAATCATGCTTTAGGGATTCTTCTTACTTAAGAGGGGGAATTAATGGTTACATCATCTAAGGTTATTATTGGTATGGTAAGTATGGTTGTTATTAAGGTGGGACCATGTGTTGAGGATGTTGAAATTGTGGGTATTGTATGGGTTGAACTTGATTAAGATTAAATTATGGTCTTGGTTAGTACATCTAAGGAGCATATACAACATATGTTTATTGTGGAGGCTATTACATTTGTGGAATTTGGTTTGGAATCTACATTTGATTCTGAACTGCATTAGGCACTTGATATTAAGGATTAATGGGTATGACTCTACTAATATCATCAGGAGTTTAAGTGTCTGCCATTTATGTACAATGTTTTATTTTCTATAATTATTTATTTTAAAAAAAGAATGCTCCTGAAGTATTTCAGCTATAATACATAATATAGAAAAAAATCAATATTCTGTAAATACATAATTTAAAGAGAAGACCTTCCTGAGGTTCTTGAATGTGGAAAATGTATTCTTCATAATCATTATATGAATATTAATCAATATTTCAGCTTTGCATATCTCACTAATTTATGTGGTTTTTTTTATTTGATTACTCCAAACCTTTCGTTAACATGGTCCTCTAATTCAGTAATCAATCTAAGTTCAGATCTCCTAGCTCTTGTGGCACTGTAGTATTCTATTTCGAAAGTATTGCATAATGCAACTGCTTGATCCCATAGTTATTGATTTCTCTCTAACTTTGTTGATGCTGCTTAAACAATTGCTGATTAAGTTCCAATGCATTAATTTAAATGATCTAATTTATCTTGCAATCTTTCTTCTTAATTTGCTAATCTATTTAAGATAATATTGATTCTATCTTTCTAATCATTAAAAGCAGCAACTGAAGCAGCATTTGAAACTGTAAATTCATTGTAGGTGTCATTGATATTTTCTCTCAACTAGAGTAACAATTATTCAACTCTCTCAATTTAACTTGGGTCAACTAAATCTTATTGTGATGCTAATTATGAAAAAGCATAAAAGATTGGAGCATAATTGAAAGTTTTCTAAATATTGAATGATGTCTATAGCATTGATTTACTTACACTGCTTAACTCAGCAAAGCTCCTTTTGCCATTAGCAATACCTGATAAGATGTCAAGTGCTTCGTCAATAGCATGAAGAGAGTCTTCATAGTCTCTTCCTCTTTTTTTGAAATATCCTTATTCGCTTTCAGCAGTTGCAAGAATTAATGTCAAATGTTCTTGATATGTGAATAATTATTATTAATTAACTTCTTATTAATTAGTGGTTCTAATTTTAGAGGTCTTACACACATTCAGTTAGGCTGTTGAATCTCTCACAACATTAGAAGCATCCTCTACTTCTTTGCTTCTAAAATCAAATTCTGAATAACATTCATTATCTTGCAGAAGGTAGATTTCATCATGATTTACTTACTCAACATTAACTGCATCTTTGAATTATTTTAGAACATTGAGAATTGAATTCAATGGAGAATTATTTTGTAGTTTAGCCTCTACCTCAGTTAGAACAGCACTTATTGATCTTTATTTTGAATAGTTCAATTTAGAATATGGTGAAATTGATGATGCAGAAACTAAGGTTGCTGCAACCAGAATCAATGCTATTTTCATTTTAGAAATTAATAAAAACGAATTTCTTAATTCCCTTTAAAATACCTTTGCACCTCATACTTAACTTATATTTAATTGAAATCAGCTTAGTGAATCAAGAACTTTTATCGCCTCAATGTATTATTACAAATTTACATAAATTTTATGAAATTAATTGATTCTATTTAATCATTTCTCCACCTTTGATTTGTTTAACAATACGAGTGCAAATTACTCGCATTGACTCCACATTATACCTTTGTCCATTACTTAAAAATAAATAATATATTTATCTGTTAATATATTTATATATTATTATTAAACTATGCATTAGGGATCCTTTATTTTGACCAATCAGAAATATGCAGAGTTGGATATGTTCAGAAAGGATGTTAGAGAGAAGTTTTCCTCCAAATTTGACAACCAAAAAACTGTACTTCAAAAGGCTAAGGAACCTTAATTGAATCCTCATCAATCCATTTTCAGAAATAGTTAATCACCAAAAGCATAGAAAAATTCATAATAATAATCTCCAATACGAATTAAGCAATACTCCAAGCACTCTCCAGGTAGATTGTCATTTCAAAGATCTAGTATTGATATGGGTAATGTTAATTCTAGGTATATGAGTTGGTTTAACTATTATTTAGTCTGAATATACCCAAAAAAACTCTAAATGAAATCGTGGCTGTCGAAATAATTTAGGATTTAGCCAGAGCGTTAAAAGGATAAAGCTATGCGGCTACAGATTTATATATGTAGGAATTACGAAAGTTATCCAAAATGGTTTTAAATGAATGAATAGAATCTAGTATTGATTATAATTATTATTGCAATAACATCCTTTTAAAATTCTTTGACATTTTACAACCTTTTATGCTCTATATAGAAATATTAATTTTATTTTATTGCTTTTTATTTTCATTATTCTGATCTTCCTAATACCTCACATTAATGTAGTAGATGAAATATAACTTATTCCCTTAAGTGTCTTATCACTTTTTCATTAAAAAGTATTTTTATTATTTAAAGTTCTAATATTAATGATTCTGTTGAACACTTGAAAATATATTAAATAAAACAGGTTTGAAGGAATATAATTGAATTAAATTGTCTATTATAATTTTTATTATATAAATTATATGTATTCTTAAGAGTATACATTAGAACCTAACTCTTCAAGTTCTCCATGCATTCTCATTTTTATTGGGGAATTACAACCACAACAGCTAAAAGATTTAATCCCGATAGGTAACAACAACTTAGAATGGAGTATCTAAAAGATCTTGGAAAATGGGCTGCAAATATAAAAAATAAAACCATAGAATAAAAATAAGAAGAATAAAAAATTTACTTTTCATGATAAATTATTGAAATTAAAATAATTCATTATGTTAAAGTAATATTTGACCAAATAAGATATTTATATTATAATTAACTTCCTATATTAAAATTAATCAACCAACTTAAAGAACTCTTTTCTTTTCTATTTTATACATAATTAATTAGGTATTAAGTTGAAATAAAAATTTGTCAGTTTAATGAGAGAAATCGATAATTGATGCTCAAGAGGATTAAGATATCCAATTATAAATATAAAATATTGAGAAAACCAGATATAAAAAGGACTGATTAATAGAAAAAGGCAAATGATGCAAAGAATAATTTTTTGTAAATGAGTTATAAATTATTTTAATATATAAAAAATTTTATATACTTTAAGGATTTATTTTATATTGAAAATGAATAAATAGTCGTTATATTAATAATAGGATGATTGTAGAATTCTAGTCATTTTCTATTCACTTACATATATAATGATCTGTATAAACTCAAACTTGAGTGATTTAAGTTATGTGACTTAATATTTATAAGAAAATAACGTGAGAATTGATAGGATTTATTGTATTTTTAACTAAATATGTATTTTTTCATACTCTAGGTGATATTCCTCGACTAAAACGATTTAGTACATTGTAAACCTGGGGTCTGGGAAATAAGCATATAATATAATCAAATTTGCTTCATTCTTAAATAATATTTGATTCAATGTTTTCAAAGATCAATAGAAATTTTATTCTTGAATCAGCAATAGAAAATTGAAGCTTCATACTTTTGCTTTTAAAGCGTTATTCAACTATTAGATTTTAAATGAGAGAATATTTTTTTGGAAAAAATTTTGTTTTTTTAACTAACCTAAGGTTATATTAAGTGAATTGAGGACTCAAGTATGCTAAATTGGACTTGGAGATACAAACCTTATTTCCCCCTGAAGGAAATACTAAAATTATGATTGTTATAATCATGAATAGATCAGCCGAATTTAGAACTAAATTATATATAAATGGACTCGTTCAGAGTGATTCGTCTTAAAATATAAGGATAAAGTAATTTTAGTATTTTTTTAAGGGAAAAAAGGGGCATTTTTTTATTATTTTTGTATAGCAATTATATTCAAGAATAGCTAAATTTTTAGATTTTAGTATATTTTTATTAATATTTTCTTTTTTAGAATGTCATACTGTGTATATATAAAAATATGTTTTTTATTGCAGAGTTTTGATATTTCCAATAGAAATTTCAATAGAGGGAAATATAAATTATTTTAATATAAAACATAATGGGATCAAGTTGTTGTTTAGCTTAAGGGGATGAAAAAGTAGAGTTATTGTTGCAATAAAAAAATAAATAAAAGAAGAAAATTGGAATATTATATAAAAACCCTTCCTTAAGCAGTAATGATTAAAATAAGCAAGATAAGAGAAAACAATCCTATTAAAATTAATAATCATATATCATAGACGATACTGGAAAGGAATATAATAGAATGGCAGCAAGTACATTAATAATATAGGTATTAACTGGAGATCTGGATAGAGTAAATTCAATTGAATTATCAGAAAATGCTATAAAAGACATACCAGTAAAGAATGATTCTTATGAAATTATTTCATTAGAATCTAAAAAGACTATCTTGAAGAAAGAAACAAAATATAGTATATTTCACAATAAGGCTCATTTAAATTAGAATTAAAAGAAGGTTAGATTTGATGATGTTTGAAATTAAATATAGTTGTAATAGTTATAGGAACAATGTAAAATGATTATGAATCTCATTATATTTAATAAATTATCGCTGATTCATATATATAATTAAAATGAATATGAGTGGAATGAGTAAGTAGTTAATTTAAATTAAAAGTTATTTTAAGTTTTTTTATTTTTGAATTTGATTTTGTCTTATTAAAAATATTAGCATTCAGCTCAATCTTTGAAGTTATTTTTCAATACTTTATAAACATTAATAATTTTAGTTAGAATGTGAAAATGTAAGAAGGATCAAAATAAATAACTAAATTTTATTTTATTTGAAAGAGATAAGTAGGGTATTTTCTAGGTAGATTAAATTTTTTGATTTATACATTTAAGAATAGAAAAATAATAGAATAATAATTGTTTATGTAATGTTAATAATACTCATTTATCTGTTAAATTTCTAAATGCTGACTTAATTTCATCAACAAATTTAGTGAAATAATTCATTAATTCTTATTTTGGTTATTTTGGATCCTATAATAATATAATAAGGTTATACTTCAAATTTCATTTAGGATAACTTGACAAATTGTGGCTTAGTTTAATTCAATATGATATTCCAAGTAATTTTAGCATCTCCTGAGGATTCAAGAATGGCCTTTTTACCACATTCAAAAAAGGAAACGATGCATCTCATCATACCAATAGTTTTATAAAGTGGACAATTGTAATCATATTTACTGAAAGCATCTTATTATAAGAAATCTTCTCTGATAATTTTAGCAATCTAAGTAGATTATGGTAATGTGTTACTTCCAAAGACAATTTTTGATCTTCTGAAAGAGAGTCTCTACCGACCAATTGGACAATTTCATTCAATTCTGATTCTTCATGTAGGATCTATTTGAACATAACTCTCAAATGAGAAAACTCTGGATCAAAGGCATTGAAATATGGTTCTAATATTTTTTCATAATTGGAATTGGAAATGGTCCAATTGACAGATGGGAAATGTTTTCTTTGTGCCAATTTCTTATCTAATCCCCAAAAGACTTAGACAATTGTAAGAGTGGCAGTAGTAACAGGATCTGTGAAATCCTAGGAATGATAAGAAATAATAAGTTACTCCTCCTGGAGGTGAGACAGCACCGACAATAGTAATGGATCCTTCTCTGTCAGGTGAACCTCTGCACCTGACTCTTCCAGCTCTTTCGTAGAATTGTGCGAGTTTAGATGCCAAATAAGCAGGATAACCTTGATCTGCAGGCATTTCTGCCAATCTACCAGAGATTTCTCTCAAGGCTTCTGCCCATCTGGAAGTGGAATCAGCCATCATAGACACATTGAAACCCATATCTCTGAAATATTCTGCCAATGTGATTCCTGTGTAAATGGAGGCTTCTCTGGCAGCGACTGGCATATTGGAAGTGTTAGCAACCAAACAAGTACGTTACATAATGTTTTCTTCCTTGCCCTTCATTTGAATGGTCAATTCTGGGAATTCACTTAGCACTTCAGCCATTTCATTTCCTCTTTCTCCACATCCAACGTAAATGATACATTCAGAATTGGAATATTTAGAGAGTGCCTGCGAGATACAAGTCTTACCGCATCCGAAGGCACCTGGAATACAACAAGTACCTCCCAGGACTGAAGGATAGAGTGCATCAAGCACTCTTTATCCAGTAAGGAGTGGTGTATTACCTTACAATTTCTCAATGATGGGTCTGGGTTGTCTGACAGGCCAGAAATGACTCATTCCATATTGATGTTTTTTGCCATCCAATTCTACTTCTAGAACTTTGTCTTTTAGTGTATAATTGCCCTCAGGTGCAATGTAAGTGACTCTGCCTTGGACTCTGGGAGCTGTCAAGATCTTGTGCTCATCAAAAAGATTGTTCTCAAAGACTGATCCATAGATGTCACCTCCGGAGATCATTGAACCGACTTTAATTAATGAAGATGGTTTGAATTCCCAGATTCTATCTTGATCGAGTGCTGGAATATCGACACCTCTAGGTACAAAAATGGAAGCTGATTATTCTGCAATAACTTATAATGGTCTTTAAATTCCATCGAAAATTTAGGTCAAAATACCTAGATATGTAGTCATTATTACCTGGTCCGAGTTCGACTGAAAGAGGAGACTTTGTTCTCATCACAGGATCGCCCACTGTCAAACCAGCTAATCATAGTTACGTAATTTGAGTACATGTATCTTCATAACATTGAATTGATGCATTATCTCCTTCTAATTTAATGATTTCACCAACCAACTTGTCCCAACCTACTTTCACTAACTCAAACATCTTAGCTCCTGCCATCTTCTCTGCAACGACCACTATTAAATTAATGAACAGCAATTACATGGACCAGCCACTTTGAACACTCTACCAAAGCTACTCTCCTTCTCTTGCAATTCCTCCAATTGTGTCTTGCGTTATTTATTCATATCTTTTAATAAAATTTATATATATGAACATCACGATTCTGAAAATAAAGCAAGAAATTATTTTATTCTCTGTTCATATTTAATACTATGTGTTCGCTTCTCAATTTCTTAAATTATGTTAGATTTCTAAGTTTTATAATATAAAATAAAACGAATTCAACTTTTAGCAAACTCGTAGTTTGTAATTTCGCCCATCTGTTTTTTATCATCTTCTATCATCTTCTTCAGCAATTCATTCTTGATCTAAGTGATCAAATAGTCCTTTTTCAACTTCGTGAAAAGATCATTCAATTAATCATGCAATTACTTCTTCTCCTTTTAAACAAATGTTTGTTATTCAATTTAACTCTGTAACCTCTGCAATTCCTCATCTTCCTTCTACAACTTCTGCTGCTATTCCAATTTCAATCGCTCCTTCTCCTTCTATTTCTATTATTGTCTGACCAACTCTTCCCCTGTTGCATCCCGAATCAATTTCCATTAGAATTTCTACCAATCTATGCTATTTCAATACATCTAAGTGAAATTCGAATTTGGCATCGATGCTGTCCTCCTGCAATTGCATCTTCACACTCTGCAACGGCTGCGATCTCAAGTTTGCAATTTCAATTTTTTATTTCTTTCCACAACAAATAAACATTAATTAAAATGCAGAACTATATGACCAGATCCCCAAGGACAAATACCAATGAATATGGACATCGACACGAGGACAACTTCGACTACAACGAATTCAAGAATCTGGCCTTGAGTTTAATCGCCCCTCAACACCAAAAGGAATGGAATCATCAACCCAGACTCACATAAATCCTTCTGAACCAGAATCTAACTGTGATGTTCGACGGAGTGATAATCAAAGAGTAATGCACTTTGTTTCCCAATGTTCTTAAAATCGACACTCATTACATACAGCTCTCTCAATATTAGATCAAGAGGAAACAACTGATTCACAATAATAAAAAGTGTTACCTCCTCCTCCTGGGCAATGACATTATGCTCTTCTTCAGCAGTTTCGATATCCAGAAACATTGGTACAATTAGATTAAGCAATTTTGTATCATGAAAAACTTACTAGTCAAATATCGTCTACAGGAACAGTTATTCCAGGACTTCTACTCCATCATCAAGAAAAAGGTAACAAAATCTATGAATCCCAGAACCGACAATAGTTTTCTGCCTACATCATCAACAAATAGCAACCCTATCTAGAACACACTTTTGGCTTGTTGCACGAGAGCAAGAATCATTCAATACTCAAAATTAAGAGGATCTACGAGGACACCAACAACTATGTCATGATTACAGAAAGGTTCGAAGGCGAACCAGTGTTTAATTTCTTATTAGAGAACATTTAATTTATGGAGGTTTAGGTTGCTACAGTATGATTAGAATATATATAAATTTAGTTGATCTACTAAATCCTACTATTGTTACGCTATCTGAATGAACACTAGGCATATCACGGAAATATCAATGCATTAAATATATTAATCAATAGAGAAAGTCAATCCTTAGAGATTGCAGTAATCGGATTTATATACTATGTATAAGAATTAATTCATTCGATAGCCTTTTAAATAGGGAGAGGACATAAGTGAATACTTGAAATGGGTCAATCTGAACAAGTACTATTGGAGTGGTTTTGAAGAAAATTAAACTCCTGGGATACATTCTGATCTCTACCAATTAGGAGTTCTACTTTATATCATTACATTTTATACTAAAATAAACTAAGATTTGAAAGTATGCACATTAATAATAATAGCGAAAAAGTGACCCTTACAAATTGTTTTTGAAGTACATGAAGGAGTTGGTAATAAAATATGAGTTGATTGATGAAACCATCGAGGTCTTGACATGTTGAATATTAATATTTTATTTAGAGATGAAGACTCCAGATTAATAGTTTGTACACGTCTTTTCATCGAGTCAATTGGATCTGATAAAAAAGTTATTGTCAAATTGTTCTTTGTCAGACGCCCTTACGCATCAATGGTTTGTAAATGCTAAGCAGAAAGCGAAACCACACAATTAACGTTAAGGGTTACCAACACTAAAAACAATCATTGAATTGAAGGAAGCCAGTGATGGCGAAGCAAGTAAATCATAAACCAAAAGATTCAGTATTCAAAGTGACACCTACGATTCAAGTAAGTATATTTGTGATATTCAAGTGGATGAGTGTCCGACGGTCTCATATTTAATGCGCAACATCTTAGATTATGAAAAGGCGCCATGTAAAACTCATCATTCCTGATTATATTTAATTAAAATAAAATGTTACATGCAAAACCGAAGACTTAAACACAATAAGCACTTTTCCAAGATCTGAAG